TACAGTCATTTTAAATCTATAACTAACACAGTTTTATGCAAATATACAATGAAAATTCCACCCAGTCAAACACACAAATAATTAAAGAATGTTGCCTATGACATTTTATGGTTCATGTAGAATGTTCTCTGGCTGTAATAACACATTCCTTGGTGGGTGTTTTTATTTAGACATTTTAAATGAGCTGAGACTGGCTGCACATTTGCTTGTGTCTGGCAGAGAGTTCCACGTTAATGCAAACATCATGCGTCGATGCCGCTTCTTCTGTTGCTGCGTTGGCAACGGAACGCACACACACACGCACACACACACACGCGCACACGCACACACACGCACACACACACACGCACACACACACGCACACACACGCGACTCAACAACACTCCTCAATAACACCGTGGCCTTGAAAGAACAAAAAAATACAGAAAAATCGGCGACGTTTCAGGCAATGGCTCTTCTTCGTGTGAATTTACATGCTCTTAAGAAAGGGCCCATTGCCCGAAACGTCGCCCATCATAGTATATACAGTATATATTTAGCTTTAAAGGCCAACAGCGTTATTGACGGACGTGCCTTGAGTTGTAAAGTCAAAGCATCGCAGTCTGCGTCTGTGTCTCGCCTGCACTGAGCAAAGCAGCGCGCGTGCCAAGCTGAATGTAGGCGAAAGGTCCCACCGCAGCTTGATGGAGCGCGCACGTGAGCACCGAGCGGCCCCAACAGCGTTGTGGCCGCGGTCGTTTGTTGCTGTTGTGCCACCATCGCCCAACAGCCACCACGGTCGAATCCACTGCTGGTGGATAAAAGCCTCCGTGTGTAATGCATGCAAACCACCACGGCCATCTCTCACAAATTTTGCGAAGTGATAACCCACGTAACCACACTCCGTGGCTATAAATTAACACGTGGTGAGCGAAATCCGTTTTCAGAGGGGTGGGCGGGTAGGCGCGCAGGCTGCGGCGTGGATACCGTGCAGGAGAAGTGTCCAATGTTGCGACGACGAAGACAACAACAGCGCCGATGCACAATATAACTTGAGACGCGGACATGTGACCGCTCTCTCTCGTATATCCGTGACACGGGTAACCCGAGCGGTCATTACTAAAAGCTGTTGCGAAGCAGGCCTGACAATCTGCACGCGAGCTCATTCCAGTGTTGTGTCACCTGTTGACATAAAATAAAGGGACATTATTGAAAGAAAAAAAAACACTTAATAATGAGCAAGCGCTGAAAACAACGGTGCCATACATTGTTCCTGTTATCTGGAGATTTCCTGCACCTTGGGATGAATATAGAAAGAAAAAAACACATTTGGCGCTGATCCTGCTGCTGCTGCTGCTGCTGCCAGTGATGCTTATTACATTGACGTTAACATTAGCAGGCTATGTGATAGTCAAAAGCGAGCGCGATGCATTCCCGGATCTGTGTGGGTACATCGTGTACACGCCACGCATTTCATTATTATTATTAGAGAGGTTACGTAACCTCGTCCGTGGTTCACATCGCGCAGAGCGATAATAGCACGCGGCAGAATAACTCCCAAGTCCGCGTGCGGGCGGGCGGGCGGGAGGAGAGTGGGGGCATGAGGACGTGGTGTTTGGTGACAAAGCCCTCCAAACTATTCACATTTTAAATCTATGATTAAGAAAATTAATTTACCGGACAAGGCTCCACTTGAGCTCTCCATCTTTTGTTCAGAAGCGACTCTGGCCATATATGATGGCTCAACGAAGTGGCTTATCATCACGTGGGAATTTATCGCCGCCAAATACTCTAAACTCACGTTTCTAAACGTGGAGGGGGAAACCGGAGGACCCGGTGAAAAAAATCCACGCGACCACGGGGAGAGAGATACACACAAACCCCAGGATCGAATTCACGACCTCCTGCACACCAGGCGAGGTAGTTAACATCTCACCACCGCGGCGCCCTGGGTCAGATCTTTCGGGAGGACTACTTCCTGGGCTAGTTCTTCCAGGATAAGCCAAAACTAAACAATTTTTTGTTATTTGATCAGGTAAGACCACACTGAGCTAGACAGCTCTTTTTCAGAAGCGACCTGGCCACACATCGACAGAGGGCCCTCCCTCCTAACACCTCGGTAGGTGGGTCACTGGGGGCCCGGATTTCAGATTCCCTGCTCTGAGAGACTCAGCGATGATGTGCGTCAGATCTCGGTCTTCGTTGCAAAAACGAGATCCCGTCCCAGTAAACTCTCACTTGGCTCTGAACCTCGTCAGCCACCGGCTTTGTGATTTGGCACGGCTGTCATGCTGCTTGTGCCTGCACGAGCGATGCCAATTCATATACACATTAAAGGCTGTGTCGTAATTGTAATGTTTTATTGTCAAACGTCCTGCCAAACGTATTATGTAATTGTGGAATGAGTACTGGTGTTTGAAGACCGTTTGGCACATGCTCCCCCTGACGGTCAAATGTGTTGCATGCGTTTAAAGAAATATCCAAATGTATCGAGCAAAGGACAGGGTTATCCATTGGTAGATGTAGTTACTAGTCATTCCCCCTGACAATAACAAGAATACATTATAAAGACAATTTTTAAACGTTATTTAAAAGGCTACACGTTTCCCACTGATCTCAATTAACCGATGACAATTTTCAACACTCTCTGCCTCTGTTTGACACGGAGCCATCGCACTCACTTTGTTCAATCAGCGATTGAGGTCAGAGTAATATAGCTGGGTTATTAGAGGTGAGTGGGGGTGGCTATAAATACATCACCCTGTATCGTACTGTATTGAACTACTTTGCAGGTTGATGTGGGTAAAGATATTTTTAAACAGATACGAGTCATGCAACATTTTTAATAGAATCGCCTAGATCATCGGTTCCCAACCCTGTCAAGTGTGCGGGCCCTTCTTTCAACTTAGCGGACCACCAAACGCTACTAGTTATTTGAAAGCATACATTTCTCCATTATAACGGTATTTTAGTTGGATTTCACAACGATAAATTTGTCGTTAAACCCGCCACCACCCGACACAGCCAATTTGTAAGGTTTGTCACGTTAACAGAACGTGCTATTTCATTATTCGTTCAACACACCGGCTTGTCGGAGGGTAAACCCACAGCACTTACAATTAGAGGACGACTTTTCGCTGGTGATTATACAACCAGCTTCATCAGGCGATCGCCAGAATTGTGAATATGTCCTTTTGTTTCGGTCTTAAATCGGAGAACAAAGGTGATGTCATCACTGTGGTCCGATCAGGTGCGAACGCCTCCGTGTTAAATCGTACACTTCCTAGGTGAGGATGTTATTGTTTATTTCCCCCTGTAGCTGAGCCTTACCGACCACCAAGGGTCCACGGACCACAGGTTGGGAACCGCTGGCCTAGATCTATGTACACACTGAACTTATTTCGCACCGTGGTTTATGGTTTACTCAGCTCAGCGGTAGCTCCGTTCGCCGCTCTGTTGCTGAGGTTCTGCGGTTCGAATCCAGCAGCCGCCCCTGGTTATCACCGCGGTAATCACTGCGGTAGTGTAGTGGTTAGCGCACTGCACTACGAACTTGGCGAACCGGGTTCGATTCCCGCTCACGGCTAACACCAGTGACGATTATCTGAACCGGTCCTGGGCCTCCCCTAGGTCGACTCAACCTCAAATGAGTACCTGGTGCGGTGTGTAAACATCGCCGCTAGGGAGACAAAGGCGGTCGGGCGTAGTGCTGACCACCCACCCCCTCGTGTACCGTTCCGGCCTTCATAGGTGCTCGCTAACAGCACTTGCACCTACAGTCTGTTAAGGCTATACGGGGGATCTTTATCTAACCGTAGACATAACCGTAGACATAATAACGCGCCGTCTGCTTCAAAGTCGGAGTCCCGAGGGTATGGCGAATCGACCGCCCCAGGCCCCGAGCTTTGGGGGGCACGCTTCGACCTCACGGTGTCAGATGGAGTACTTTCGGTTTCGTTTGAAGGCGTCAGGGGGGGGGGGGGGCACGCAGTGGGCTTCGTCCAGGGCCCTGCCCCCCGCCATATGGACGGCACTGTCCCAAAGTGGACGTTAAAGATTCGGTGACGTCATTGCCCGCAAATGACTCAATTGGAATCGTTACACGTGGGGAACGAACATCGCTCTCCAACTGCGAAACATGTGGCAAGGGCCCTCCTGAAAACAAAAGTCAAGATACTCGGCGAAGCTTTCTGTGGGTAAACAAGCGGAAGGATAATGTTGGTTGCAGGACAGTCGACAAGGTGTGCGGACAAATGTGTAACAAGCAGAAGGCCTGGTAATGCAAAGTGTATTTTATTGTGCTAATTGCTGTGGAGCATATACAACCAAAAATGCACCAAGTTTTGTCCCCAAATAAATAAAATGCTACTTGCACGAAACTGAACACATCATGGAGAGAGCTTGGTCACTCGAGCATTGCAGTCGATGCCACATTTACAAGTCAAACTTTCTTCTACTGAGATACTGTTGTGACTACGGGGTAGAGGCGCCTCCCTGCAAGTGCTGGCACACGCGACTGCTGGAGTGAAGGGGCCTCCACTAGATAGAAAGCTCTAGAGATCCCTTCGAGGGGATATTCGAATTCCAGTAATTGTATGGACATAAACCCACATATTTTCTACATTTACCAAAATAATTAATGCTGGAACCTAAGAGAAGATGATGTGAGATGCTGAGATCCACATCTTATACGCTCTACATCCATCTGGTGAAGTGGTCGTAGAGTATAGCACTACGCTATAAAACCAGTGACCGGAATTGATTGCCGGCCAAGGTGATGTGGCGAGTGATTTCTAAACTACTCTTGGCCCTCTTCTTCTTGGTTCTTTCGGTGAAGTCACGTAGAAGGGAAGTAATAAAATAATAAAAATAAAACATAATAAAATTATTCTCACGACGTTTCGGCCACAACGCAAGCAGCCGTCCTCAGGTGAAAACCAGGTCCGTCGAGGCCCGCCCCTTCATCTAACAGCACTGACCAGTTTGGTGAAGTATGAACATAGAAGCGCCCCCCCCCCCCCTCTTAACTAATGGCACGTGGAGATCTTTATCCACGAGAGGATTGATCAAGGGCTGTAAATTATGGTTAAACTGTATTGTGTAATTTATCTCTATGCCTTTTGTATTTCTATCCATACACCCAGTATTGTCAATGGGATACTCAAGTAAACTAAAACCTTGAATGTAATACTGTACTTTGAAAGTTGTCTTTTAATTTGCCATTCACATTTCTTGATCCAGACTTGAATCTACGCACGCGTGCCCTATCTTTGGCAAGGCCGCAGGCTTTCACTCCACCGGACCAGAAAAACAACACAACTGTAAAAGGTTTGCGGCATTCTAACAAAACCCGATTTAGCGTAAAGTTCTACAAGTCATGGGCGCAAAGGAAGCCGCCAATGTATCATGTGCAACGTCTAAAAAGCGACCCAAACCCCGGGGGAAGGTTCAACCTGTGGCACGTGGTACAGCCCTTCCCCTTTCTGAAACACCGCCCTTTTTCACATAGCCACGCCCGCGTGTTCTCTCGCCGTGCCCAAATACAGAAGTTGAGCCGAGAGACCGACCTGGTTCAAACTACAAACGCCTACGTAATATTTTCAGGCAGTGCGTCCTCGTTGCGTGTAAATTGTGTTAATTTCTTGCACTTAAAGGTGTCAGTTTTGTTGCCAGATAAAAGGGTAAAAAAACTATTATCATATTTTTTCTTCTGGCAAATGAGGTTCCAATGGTGTAAATGCTTAGCCCGAGCTTTCATACTCTGATGGTGCGTTGTCTTTGAGTTGTGCGCCTTTTGGGGTCATCTGGTCCAACACCATGTGAGACTAGGCTCTAAGGAAAGCTGTCTCGGGTGTGGACCAATCAACTTCAAGGACAGTGCATACATTATCATAGTTATGTTTTTTGTTTGCATTACGACTGCAGGTATTGTGGTCTATGTAAACATGACTCCTTGTAAAAAAAGGTGTCAGTTTTGTTGCCAGATAAAGGGGTAAAAAAACTATTATCAATTATCTTAAAGAGTCTTGTTCACGAGTTCCTTCTATGGTGGTTCGGCCCCTTCTGTGATGTAACATTTGGTAATAATTTAACAGTTTTGTGACACAATCGTTTTAAGGACGCTCTCTATATAAAACATTGAACAATCGTGATGACACCGCTGCCAGGCGGCATGGTCGTTGCTCCGATGGCCTCGCCCTTTGCCCACATCACGAGTCGGGAGAGAGGCCAGAACATTTTTTTTCAACGGGTACAAAATCCTGACTTTTTCAAATGATTCGGCACTGAATTTCTGAGACCAGGAACGACTCCTCCATGTTTGGGCAGCTTCGCTATAGCTGGCTACGCACGGTGCGAAATAAGTTCAACGTAAACTATATACAAAAGCTGCCAATGGAAAATGAACGCTGCTCATCATGGGTTGAGTATAGTACAGTACATCGACAAAATGTAACATTTGTAGAAGGGCATGATTGCGGTAGAGTGCTTTCAACATTCAGCCGGTGAAATGGTAACTTGATGATGATTTTTTACGTGCAGCTGAAATGAGGTCGGTCCTGTCTGCGTAGTGGAGCGCGCACTCAGGTACAAGGATCTGGACGTGGACAGCATTGAGACGATTCTATGTACGAGCTGAGCACCCACCTCTCAGAGCTATCCGTGGGAAGTGTGCGAGGTGCTATGTATGTGTGTGTGTGTGCCCTCCTGTTTAGCTCTCTTTAACGTGTTTTCGTCAAGTCAATTTGAGCTCGGCTCAATTGCTGAAGAAGCTCGCAGCACGCGGCGCGAAACGTCGCACATGATGCCGAACAAAACGCGATGCAAGCCAAAGACGCATCGTGGTTGCTGAAATTTTAAGGCCGCTTAATACACTCAGGCACCCTGTGAATATTGTCCATCTGCACTTGGCTTTGAATCGACATAAACAAAGCATAAACGTTTCGATTTAAAGCTTTCGTGACTGCAGGGATTCATCTTCTTGGTTCTTTCGGTAAAGTCACGTAGAAGGAAAATAATAAAATAATAAAAATAAAACATAATAAAATAATTCTCACGACGTTTCGGCCACAACGCAAGCAGCCGTCTTCAGGTGGAGAACAGGTCTGTCGAGAAGGCAGAGTCTGCCGTCTTCAGGTGGAGAACAGGTCTGTCGTTGTGGCCGAAACGTCGTGAGAATTATTTTATTATGTTTTATTTTTATTATTTTATTATTTTCCTTCTACGTGACTTTACCGAAAGAACCAAGAAGAAAAAGCATAAACGTTAAAGGACGCGTAGCGAGAGAGCGACCGTACAAACAATACACCGTGGAGGAAGACAAATGCTTTGAAGCCAGCTTCAATACATTGGCAAACGAACAAAAAAAATGCTTAAATAATAACAACAACAACAATATAGGGGGGGAGGGGTGGACGGGGTGGTGTTATGGCCGGGATCGTCAGAAGTAGTCGCGAATTCCGGCCTCGTCCCCGACGTAGGAGAGGTTGCAGCGACCCAGCTTGGACATGCGGTGCATCTCCATGTCGCTGTAGCGCCACACCTCCGACGCACGCTCAGACTGAAGCGGGAAGGGAAAAGCAGAGGCGTGAAATCGCGAAATGCAGCACCCAGGCACGTGGCGACTATACGCTGAATAGTAATTTTGCAGCGGTGGTCCACATGTATTGTGACCCCCCCCCACTCCCCACACACAAATTATTGACCACTAACATTTTTTTGTTCCTTTACACTGTTTAGGGGAAAATAAATACATATTTAATTACCAATTGCTTAATGCTGGCAGACAATCATCTGACCCATAGGTGGCAGCCATCTCAAGCCAGAGGACGAGAGGACTCTAGCCGCCACGCATATAAAGGATTTATTGTGAAAAACGTAGTTTTTACGGGTTAATTTTTTTTGGTTCCTTTGGATATTTATTTCTATCTTTAAAAAACCTTACTTAAAAAAAACAAATTTTAGAGAGTTAAATCGGGGTTACAAGACATCTGGACAACTCTGTACAACAAGCACTGTAGCTGGTAAATGATCTTAGTTACATAATTGAATCCATCAGCCGCGATTGGCATTCCAGACCAATGTGTGTTTAAACGATAATTCTCGGCGCTGTCTGGAAGCCAATAGGCTGATGAACGAATTGCTTGTTATTATTGACTCGATGCACCGCAGCGAAGCGTCGTGAGTTTGTGTATCGGGGCAGTTTTGCCGCCCGCGGAAGGTCGATCGAGCGACATCCAGAGATTCGTTTTTGGGCGACTCTCCAACTTAAGCGAGTTAGCAACGCTCAAGCGCCGCGGCCCGAGTCGCAGGCTTGTTCCCCGACTCAAGCGAGCCGGCTCAATGTCACGCTCGGCTCGAGCCGTCTCTGAGCCACCGCTCCCAGTCAGCCGCGTTCGGCAAATTCCACGTGTCCGAAATGCTCGCTCGTGCGTCTTAGGGGCCGTCCGTAAATGACGTCACGCGATTTTGGACGATTTTTGACCCCCCACCTCGTCACACGTCGTCACAAAAAGTCAGACCCCCCCCCCTCGAATATGACGTCACAAAGCTCTGCCCCCCTCCCCCAAAAGCATATTTGCATTTTGAAAATAAAACATGCTTCAAATCGCTTTGGACTATTGTCATCGTAGTGCGTATTTAATGTGGCGCTGCACTTTGATGTTGTCGGAGAAAATATTTATTTAAAAGTCTATTTAATTAAGTAGAACGTGTTGTCTATATTTATTTAAAGTTACGCATTTTGATGTGACGTCACATTTCTCAAACCCCCCCTCCTCGTCACACATCGTCACAAATGTCTGACCCCCCCCCTCCCCCCCTAGGTGCGTGATGTCATTTATGGACGGCCCCTCGTCACACATCGTCACAAATGTCTGACCTCCCCCCCTCCCCCCCTAGGTGCGTGATGTAATTTCTGGACGGCCCCTTATCAAACTAATCGGCCGATGCGGCTCAAGCTGGCCCGAGGTGATTCCGTCAAAACGTGGAGGTGGCCTTCGCGTGTTCCCGAGCCATTGCGACGCACCGATGTGCTGCTGATCTGCTGCTGAAGGGCGAGTTTGACGCGGCTCCCTGCGCTCCCGCACCTCGCCCGGCCACGGCGAGCCCCAGGTGGCGCTGGCGGGAGGTCGGCGTAGGGAGAGAGCTGCACCCTGCTGGGCACGAGTCTCCGAGCACGTGCCCTCCTCCTCCTGTACACAGAGGTCGCACACGGGTTTTGATTCCTTACCTGTACCCGTACCCGGCCGCACCAGGGTCGCAAACGGGTTTTGATTCCTTACCTGTACCCGTACCCGGCCGCACCAGGGTCGCAAATGGGTACCCGTTCCCTTACCCGTACCCGTATCCTACCCGAAATGAGTGACAAACGGTTACTCACCAGTGACTCACGGCCTACCCGTACCCGACCGCACCAGGGTCGCAAACGGCTACCCGTACCCGTACCCGGCCGGGTACGGGTAGCCGGGTATCGGGTACGGGTATCGGGTACCCGGTTGCGACCTCTGTCCTGTACACAGACTCCCCCCGTCCCCGTGCAGACACAAAGACAAAGATCCCCCATATAGCCTTAACAGACTGCAGGGGCAAGTGCTGTTAGCGAGCACCTATGAAGGCCGGAACGGTACACGAGGGGGTGGGTGGCCAACACCACGCCCGGCCGCCTTAGTATGCCCACCAGTCGCGATGTTTACACATCACACCAGGTACTCATTTGAGGTTGAGTCGACCTAGGGGAGGCACAGGACCGGTTCAGATAATCGTCACTGGTGTTGGCCGTGAGCGGGAATCGAACCCGGGTCGCCAGGTTCGAAGCGCAGCGCGCTAACCGCTACACAGAACACACACACACACAGCAGGGAGATATTCAGAGTTGTGGGAAGAATGTGGTTTGAATGGGTCCCCTGGTGTAAGGATTTTTTGCTGCCTTGCCACAAGCTTGATAAACGCGGACTTACATCAACAAATGGTTATTTATTTATTCATATTTAGTGACTTGCTTACATTTTTCTCTATTTTGCACTCCGATCGTTGATTGCGTTGTTTGCTGTTGTAACTTTGATGACCCCGCCGTGTCCATACTGGACATCTGTAGGGGAAAAAATTTGCTTCGCAGTTAATCGGATTCCTCCTGCTGCAGTTTAAGATAAAATAAATTCAGATTCTGAAATGGGCCCCTCCCCTGTCTAATTCCCACACTATTTTTGTGGCCCCATTGGACCCCCTCCGGCCGGTGGGCTTCGGTGCAGTCGCACCGCCTGCACACCCGGAACGTCGGACAGTCGTGTGCTGTGGGGCAACGTGTGGGATACTCCCTCCTCTTCCAAGACGTCTGGCCCCTATGGAAGAGTAGGCCAAATACCCCGCTACACAGCTCCCTGTAGTGGAGGCCCTTCCGCCAGCAGTGGAGCGCAAGCAATTGGTTGCAGCAATTCATTGCAGCAACTCGTTGCAGCAATTCGTTGCAGCGTTCTACCTTTATTACAAGCCCTTTTTCATTGTCAATACTCCGAGAACAGGGGTCGGCTACCCGCGGCTCCGAAGCTGCATGGTGCTCTTCAAGGACTCTCTGTGCGGCGTTACTTTTTAAGGACCCACCGTGTCGTCTTCACCACACGCTGCATCGCGGTTCTTGAAACGCTGAGTTTCTTCACCGAATTCGGAAAAAAACCAATTGCTCCTCTTGTTATTTTGGTTTCCGCGCCCCCCCCCCCCCTTTGTCCTGGAAGGCGTCGATGGTTGCTTGGCCCAGCAAACGATTCAAAACAACGAAAAGACACTCCACATTTGTCAATAACTCTCGCTCAAAACAGAAAACAACAGCCTGATCTTCGTGCAGTGGCTTCTTATCTCCGCTCTGGAGGAGGGGCATTGTTCGAAACGTCAGCCTGTTCTGCTTGTTTCTGTCTTAAGGCAGTGCTAATGACGGACGTGGTGGTTTGGTATAAAATGTGCTTGTGCGCCACTGCCAATGCAATTCATCGATCCGTGTTTTTACACAAACTTCTCGCGGACTGATGACTGTTACAAAATGTGTGTCTGTCCGGTATGGTACGAGAAAACACCGGCTGTGGCTGTGGCTGCATGTCCCGTGCCTGCCCTATGTCTGTCTACCGGCGACTCGGAAGACACTGAACGAGGACTGAAGTCCTAGCTATGATGACGCGATCTCGTGGTGGCCGCTCACTCACCCACACGCCTTCTTCACCATCCACGCCATGGCGAGGAACAGGCAGCACAGGGTGACTGCCATCGCCACCATCACCAGGAGTGAGGCTGCAATTGTACAAGGCGTAATCATTTTTGAAATAAAGATCAAAATATATTCAATACTTTTGGCGTCCTCTGGTCTAACACCGTTTTGAGATTAGGCTCAAAAGAAAGCTGTCTCTGGTGTGGACCAATCAGTTTCAAGTACCATGCATATATTATCAGAGTAAAAAAGGGGAAAACCTATTCTCATATTAAATACTGTTGGAGTATAATAATATAGTAATTTCAACTTGTAATACGCACCGTATTTGCTCGCTCTCAGAGAGAGAACGACTCAGAAGTTCGAGAAACAACAGGCAAGCAGGAAGGCAGTGGCCAGGCGGTGAGCCGGTAAAAACAATTGCCAAAGCTCTGTGGTCCTCTACATATAAGATGCTTTCATCCAATTGGTGAGCGAGGACATTTGCATACCTGTCAACCCCTTATCAGTGCTCTACCTTATTACAGACCAATCCAGACCTTATTGGCCACCCCGTGCCCCTTATAGATCTCAACGTTCATCCTACAAAGTCCCATCATGAGGGAGAAGCACAAACAAATAGACGCTTTTATTTGTGTTGCCCGTGTCGAAACGGCTGTACGCCTTATGGACTTGAAAACTCAATTTCCCCGTACAAGAATACGGGGTAAACCGTATGGGTTGACAGCTATGCATTCGGGAGGGAACTGGAGCACTCGGAGAATCCACAAGTTGCGAGGGTTGGAAACACTGTCCACATACAGATGGAACAGATGGAGTCCACATTTGCAGTACTGGAATGCATTCTCCTAGCGAGGCACGGGAAGGGAATTTTACAACATTTGTGTGATCCACAGTGCTGGTTTATAGGCGCGTGCCACCATGAATGCACAGTAATGTGTCGTAGGACACGTAATGTTGTCCTACGACACAGAGGCCTTGGTGGGTTTTTTTTGGCCGGAGAAATTACACCCCGGTGACCTTTTCAATTTATAATCGTCTCCAAACGTTGGAATTATTGGCGGTGGAAAGATTCGCCCTCTTGCGATTCAATGCGTTGTCATGGCCTAGGGCGGGGTGGGGAATCTATTTTCTGCCAAGGGCCATTTGGATATTTATAACATCATTCGCGGGACATACAAATTTATCAACTTAAAAATTTGCCTGTTATATTTGGTCAAATATTGAATTAACTCGCCCCTAATGTGATGGGCTGGAACTGCTTCTCTTTGGCGAGGCGTGTGATGTTAGCTGGTATTGATGATGTTGCTTCTACTCGCAACTGCTTTTCCACGTTTGCTCCTAGATTTATTGAATTTCGAGTCCTGCCCGCGGTTGTCTTGGCAGGACCAGACCAAATGATTTCGCGGGCCTTGTACGGCCCGCGGGCCGGATGTTGCCCATCCCCTGGTTTAGGGTAATGGTTCGTTTTAAGAATAAATGTGTTTTCTTCACATCGTGGTATTGTAGCGGCCTCTAGTGGATGGAGGGGGACGCGTGAAACTATAATTCTTTCTCACGCGATTAGATGCATGTCCCATATCGATATCAACAAATTGATGTGGTGGGCTCTACGGAGGCACACACTTGCACTTGGAGGCAATCACGTGTATTGAAAAACCCCGAACAGGCTAACTACATAATCGTACACTGGTTAACTAGACCACAACTGTGTAACTACATAACCCGAGTCAGTCAGCGAACACACTGCCTGGACCCACAATGCCGAGCGTAAAGACCGAAGATCGAAGAGACGTAGCACCGACGGGGTCCATTTCCGCAGACAGCCGCGATTGCTCTCGGGACTTCCCTTTTATGCTCCTGAGCACGTGGCCTCGCTCCACCCTCGGCCACGCCCCCTTCTGGATCTCACCAGAAGGTTCTCGACCCAGCATCACGTGTCCCTCAAGCCACCCTTTGGGCACCCTCGTTACCTTGTCCCGGTCACGTGCCCTCTCGGGTTCACCCAGACTGTCACGTCCTCAACTGCCCTCTCTCTGACCGTCACCAGAACCATGCCCCCTAGGGCCCGCTTGCATGCCATACTTACTCTGGTGCCAGAGAGTTGCTCAAGATGCACAGTTCCACTTTTGTGACAGTCGCTGGCGCTAAATGCCATAGTGACTTGACTAACGTCACTACAGATGTATCCATGACACCCCGTGGTAATATGCCATCTTATACAATATAAAGTAGTTATTGTGCGAGTACAACCATTGAAACATTATTATTTGAACATTCTCACCAGATTATATTTTATATACGGTAATATGTCCATGCCCGTGTACCACGTCGTTGCTATAAAACTTACGATCGTCACAATTGAAACCACCAAAGCCATAGGAGCATCTGCAAAGATGAACATCAGACCTTCAGTAACAAAACAGGGCTTTGATGCAATAGAATTAAATAGGCTTAAACATATTATTGGTTCTTTCGGTACAGTCACGTAGAAGGGAAACAATAAAATAATAAAAATATAAAACAATAAAATAATAAAAATATAAAACAATAAAATTCCCACGACGTTTCTACTGCAATACAAGAAATCATCATCAGGTGTGGAATCCACAGCAAGAAAATTTATGTGGATCATCATCAGGTGTGAAATCCACAGACATATTCTTTCTGTGGATTTCACAACTGATGATGATTGCTTGTGTTGCAGTCGAAACATCGTGAGAATTTTATTGTTTTATATTTTTATTATTTTATTGTTTCCCTTCTACGTGACTTTACTGAAGGAACCAAGAATATGAATCCCTGCAGTCACGAAAGCTTTAAATAAAAAGCTTAAACATGTTACGCATAATTCACTTTTGGAAGTCAGAGTTTAAAATGTGAAAAACAACACAGTAGCCTTGCACGTTGAAGACCCTGGGTACATGGTCCCCGTTTTTAAGAAAGTTGGACCAGAGGGAGGGTGTGCTCCAACTCAAGATTCAGGAGGAACAACGTGGATTTCGTCAGGGTCCTTCGAAACGTGTCGAATAATGTAACATACATTTCCTAGAAATTAATTCGTTTCTAAGATCTCATTTTACAAACTCTCCGACACGAGTCTCGAGACTCAGCAGGGGTCACGATGGACGTACCTCGTGCAGCTTCCATTGTTCCGAAGGAAGTAACCACTGCCGCAGTCTACAAAGGCAGACACAGGCAACTGCTATGAGCGAACATATGAAGCTACCCACTTTGCAAATGTAACTTTTGAATGAGCGGTGGAGCGCAGTTGGCAATGGGTCCTGGCTTCAAGGAATGAAATGGGGGCCCCCCTATCCAATTCCTCCGTGCCCCCCCCCCCCCCGCCTCTCCCCTTCCCCACTTCGTAGCCTGGAACCTGGACCGTTCTGGTTTGTAAGGTTGCCTGTGCAGTTGCACCGCCTGCACACTTAATAGCTAAGCAATCGAACAAGGATGTTTACTGCATCGCGCACTTTCAGATGCGCTTCAGAGGCCGTCTGGAACGCTCTTCCTTCCGATATTAGGAAGCCACTGGAGCTATGCACTTTTAAATCATCTAGATTGAAAACTAATTTCTTTAGAACTGTTTTTTGTGTTTAGTCTGTCCTTCCCCCGCACCTCCGATTAACACGGTTGGCTACGTACGGCGCAAAATAATTTCAACCCCCACAAGTGCAACAGCCAGAATGTAAATCACGTGTTTGTGTTTTACTAATATTACTACGACTATATAGGTGCGTGTTGTACGGTTCTCAGAGGGTTGCACTGCATGTTGTTTAGCACGATGTCAGACGTTTCGGTCCACCTGCTGAAGGCTTCGCAAGTAGCGAAACAATGGACAACGTGTCGATCAAATTAGTAAAAAATATATTTTTACCAGGCAAGGCTCACTGAGATAAGTAGCTCTTTTTCAGAAGCGACCTGGCCACAACTGATATCGCAACGAAGTGGCCTATGATGTGGAAATGTACAGCAGCCAAATACTCTAAACGCATGTTAATTCAAAATATAGAGGGGAAAAACCAGAGGACCCGGAGAAAAATCCACGTGACCACGGGGAAAACACGCAAACTCCAAACACACAAGCGTCAGGGTCAGGATCGAACCCACGATCTCCTGTATACCTGGCGAGGTAGTTAACATTTCGCCACCGTGGCGCCCCCCCCCACCCCCCACGCAGTCCAACCCGAAAAGCGCATCGGGAGTGTTTGAGTTCATACCTCGGCAGGTCCGGTCCGTGTCCTTGAACTTAAAGTACCCCGTCTTACACGTGCACCTGACGAATCCGCCCGGGTCGGAGCACTCGCTGGTTTTTTCGTCGCACGCGTCACCATCGCAGAGGCTCACCGCTGCTCTCACACGAAGGTGGGGGGGGAGGGGGGTAACGTCATCAAAGAGAAAGATCCCCCGTATAACCTTAACAGACTGCTGGGGCAAGTGCTGTGAGCGAGCAGCACCTATGAAGGCCGGCACGGCACACGAGGCGGTGGGTGGCCGGCACCATGCCTACGGGAAATGTTTTTGCACACCGCACCAGGTTATTCATTTGAGGCTGAGTCGACCTCGGGGAGGCCCAGGGACCGGTTCAGATAATCGTCACCGGTGTTGGTGGCCGCGAGCGGGAATCGAACTCGGGTCCGCCGGGTTCGTAGCGGCGGCGTGGCGCTCACCGCAACCACCACCGCCGGTTTCCAGCGATCGGTGCCGGCAAAATAAAAGAAAAAAACCCACGAACGCAAAACGTGTGGCGGCGTCGGCCGCTCGCGGGCGCGAGAACTTGGGACGCTGCCCCTCCTTGCCTTCGTACGACAGCCCGTGCCGAACCACGAAGGAGCAGACGGAGGAGGCGCTCGCCCCGCCGCGGCAGGCGTTCACGAAGCCGTTGATCCTCGCCGCGACGCCCTGGCCCGTTGCCGCCGAGTACGCGCCGAAGAGGTTGGACCACGCTGCACCGTCGCGCCGTCGGTCCTTGGTTCGTGGCGCGCACACGCGACAGTCAAGGTGACATTGTTGCAAGCGCCTTTGCGCGCGTCTCGTCTGTGCTCAAACGAGTCACGAGTGTGTTCTCCTGGTTGCGTTCCTGAAGAACGCCGCGTTATGGAAAAATCGCGTTCTAATAAAGAATGTATAATATGGGGGTAAATCACAGTCCTGATCTAGAAGCATCCAGCAGCATCCCGCCTTGTGTGATGCTACTGCCGATGCAGCCGTGCGACCGCTTATTCCCACTCGCGCGACGCAGTTTTCTGTTCACTCAATCGCGTTATATCCAATTCGCATCCGCGTTATAAAAAAAGATGCGTTCTCTGATAGATTCATCGCGTTATATCCAATTCGCGTTCTGAAAACACGCGTTATAAGAGAACAGACTGTATTTTATGTGACGGTGCTCAAGTCCGTTGGTGGTACCTAAGCCGGTGGTGGAAATTATACATTTCTATGGCAGGGGCACGTGTATACGTAGAGCAGTGTTGTTGAATATGTTAGCGGTATTGTATGTGTATGTGTCGCGCGGCTTTCATAGGTGTTACTCGCTAACAGCACTTGCCCCAACGGTCTGTTAAGGTTATACGGGATATCTTTGTATTTGCAGTAGTGTAAATGCAATGAATAAAATATAATGGTGAAAGTGAACTATTGTATTTTTCTGTGGCTCAACGAAGCCACCGAGATACAATTTAAATAAAATGCCACGTGTTATTTAGTTATATAATATGCACGAATATAATGTTTGAGTATTGCTTACCTTGTGATATTAATAACTGATTTAACAAAATGATGGAGGTCCTTGAAAGATTCATTGAGCTGTGATATGTGAACAACATCCCATGCAAGAATTAGCCAGAGCCGAAAATATATGAATCAATATCTTTCATTAATACAGCAACATTTAATCACGAGAAGCTATGACTGCGAGAATTCTAAACTCTGCATCAAAACAATGATTTTTTTAAAAGTCAATTCCAAAATTACAATCTATTGTGTGAGTTTGCAAAGCCAGGTGCATTTTTTTTCACGAAATCAAGCTTACCACTCTGACAAGTTGCAGGAGGGTTCGTTTGTTGGGAAAAGTCGTGCCGTTGTTGAAGCCCCTTTCGAACAATGCCCGTCTCGTGTGCATAATGCCAGGAAACACCTTCACTGCAACACAATGATGCATTTTCACGTTCTTTTTCACATCGGCACGCGCTCCGCCGAGTCTCCCGTTTAAGTCTCCCGCACCACTGCCGCTCGCTACCCGCCCGGCGCACTCACCTTGCACGCAGCCCCCGCCCGCGCTGCCATCGTAACCTGGAGGGCACTTGCACGCGAACGACCCCGGCGCGTTGGAGCAGGAGGCGGACGGTGAGGGGCACGGGTTCTTCGAGCAATCGTCGACGTCTTCAAAAAAACAACAACGCGCGTACGTACGTGGGTGCGTGCGTGCGTACGTTAGACTTTAACATTTTTATTTAAAACTTTCGTGACTGCAGGGATTCATTTTATTGGTTCTTTCGGTAAAGTCACGTAGAAGGGAAACGATAAAATAGAAATAAAAATATAAAACAATAAAATGTATTGAAATAAAAATACAAAAATTACATTTATCGAAATAAAAATATAAACAATAAAATGTATTGAAATAAAAAGATAAAACAATAAAATGTATTTTTAATATTTTTATTATTTTATTGTTTCCTTTCTACGTGACTTTACCGAAAGAACCAAGAATACGTTGGACTTGTTTCGCACACCGTACGTGGCCGAGCGTGCTCATCGGACGTGCACGGCGCCTGGTCGTTTAACCGCGACGCACAGCTCGCTCCGTGGCTATTCCGCCCGTGCGTGTGCGCGATGGGCCGCAGCAGCAGCAGCAGCAGCAGCAATGTGGCTCGGAGAGTTACGCTCCCATCCAGATGTGGAGGTCTGCCAGCCACGACGAGAGAGAGAGGGGGCTTTTTGCTGTTCGTCCTCTTTCGTTAAAAGGAGCGTAGGCTACGGTGGGTTTACTCTGTGTGGGTTCCATGGCCACAGTCGCACTGCTGTGGCTTGTCTTTAATGTATCTTTAATGTACGTGTATTTTGTGTGTCTCTGTGTATCTCTGTGTGTCTCTATGGGTTTAATGTATGGTCCATAATTTGAGTTGCACTGGCCACAGTCGTTTTACCGTTGCTTGTGTCTTTAATTTTCCCGGAGATAATAATCACAACATTTATTTGTAAGGCGATGTGCGCAGCGGGCCTGTTGATATTCTGACGCGGTTGATGATGATGAATGTCAGAGCCAGGAGGTGCGATTTTTTTCGTGTGGATATGGTGGTGGTAGTACTAGCAACAGCGGTTACATCTCTTTGTCAATTTACTGCTGGATAGAGGCCTCCCCAAGGCCGAGTCAGTGACCCTAGGCTTCGCCACTCTGGGTCAGTGAGGATTGGTGAAGGTGGTGGAGACCCAAGGACCGTGTTGGAATGTCGCTCGCAATGGATGGGAATTGAACTCGGGTCGCCGGGTTCACAGCGCACTGTGCCACTGCTCCCTATAGGTAACAATACGAATGTCGGAGAGTGTCCTCGGAGCAAGAAAGTCTCAGGATTGTCTTTTTGGAGGAATCTGTTACATTGGGACATTTGGTAAATCCCATTTATAGTGGTTTGAGTTTGGCTGGCGTTGAATCCACGACTCACTCTACATACCCTCTCAAGCTCATTGCGGTGGCCAGGTGATACCATGCATCTCTGCCATAGGACTGTGGAAATTCATCAATGGCTCAGGACTGCCAAGGGAAATTAGCAAAAGGTCCCCGCTTTAATAGGAATACATTGGCGTGTCCCTCAGTCCAATTCTATAATGTTACATTGGCCTATTTACCCATAATTTAAATCAATACGAGAAATTCATTGTTTTCCACGTAGAGTTTGATACCCGATGTCTGATAATTGATAACTATTTTCATGCATCAATTCTTCTCAATGTCCACGCTCTTTTGCTAAAATCATGGCAACTGTAAATCAATCAAAATACGCAAGTGCTACATCTCTCTTGCTTTGAGGAAGGGTCACTGGGTTGGAAAAACACGACGTTTCGGTCGCGACACAAGCGTCCGTCATCAGGACGCTTGTGTGGCGACCGAAACCTCGTGTTTTTTTAAATTCTTTTTTCTGTCTACGTGACTTTACCGAAAGAACCAGAGAGTATGAAAGGCCACTGCTTGAACCGTTAACCCAAATTTTCGTTATTTTCTGCAGCGGTGTTAGGGAAGATGAGGGGATGAGATGTTGTATGGCTGCACTAGCGTGGCTTGTCAACACGAGGCTAAGAGGCAAAAAAAAAAAACACTCGGATGCGAACGATAGTACCTTCGCTGCAATCAATGCCAGACCAGCCGTCCTCACATTGGCAGGTCACACTACCATTGTTCTTACGACATGTCCCTCCGTTCTTGCAATTGTGTTGTGAGCAGGGACCTACAGGGAATTTAATAATAATAATAACGATGTTCCCAATAATTTACCCAGTCACTTTCACTTCCTCTGCAATCCGTGTATCAGTCTTTGTGTCCCTTCATGCAATTCCAAACGTGCATCTCTCCGTGCCTCTGTGCACACGTGTCATCTCTTATTGGCTTTGCTTGAGGTGCCACGGTGGCGAGATGTTAACGACCTCGCCTGGTACGCAGGAGGTCGTGGGTTCGATCCCGACCCGCGGAAGCCTGTATATTTAGAGTTTGCATGTTCTCCCCGTAGTCACGCGCGATTGTTCTCCGGGTCCTCCGGTTTTCCCCTCCACATTTAGAAACATGCGTTCAGAGTCTTTGACTGTTAAATACACTTTCACATGACAAGCCATGATTTGTGGCCAGGTGGCTTCTGAAAAAGAGCGGTATAGCTCAAGTGCGCCTTACCTGCTAACGTGAAAACAGCTGAACACCTCGTGGCGAATGGATGTTGTTGAAAAATTTGTTGCATCACAGGACCATGAGAGATGGTGACGGCTTGATTAATGATGATGATCATCATCATTATTTACCCAGCAAAGTGTCACTGCTCAGTCTCTTGTTCAGGAGGGACCTGCATGAGAATGTTTTGCCAATTCCATGAGCGAGTTCTTGGGCACGCGCGAGGAAACGAGCGTGCCCAGAGAAACCCCCACGCTTAGAACGGGCTGACACGCAACACGACCACCTCCTGACCACTTCATAGTCCCATCCCGACATCACCCTGGCAATTCCAGATTGTCACAAATGTAAGCACAAACAGGTTTACAACCTGATTAGCTTCTGAGATCTGGTGAATTTAGGGTGTTTTTTTCTTTCCGTTAGCAATTAGAATGTCGAACTTGAAACACACCGGGTGAATTGCAATTGGCAAATCAAGTTAACGGTTTTGTGAAAGAGCAACAACTCCCTTTTCGACCTGCACCGTGAAGCGATTACTCGGCGTTTACACGGCGGAGTTACTCGTTAAGGACGCTCACCTGTTGACGTGGCCATTGACAGGTGCGTTGGAGGGGCAGTTGCGTTGTTTGTGGGTGGCGCACGCGTGGCTGCGACAGTCGAATTTGTTACCGCAGTCGTTTCACTCGACCCAGAACTGTTACTGGGCTCGCTGCTGACATGTTGAGAAGACGTAGCCGTCGAAGTTGCTCCATCTCCCGGTGTGGTTTGTGGGTCCCGCTGTTGTCCCAATCGTGGGCGCGGTTCTGGTGGCGTCACTCGAAGCGGTATTGGTGACAATAATCTGCGTTGATGCCGAACTGGGAAAAACTTGGCCGGGAGAGGTCTCGTGTGTCGCCAACGTGGAAGCAGCTTGTGAGGGATTCACGCTCTTGGCTGTGGAATCGGTGGCAGCCGTCCTACTCAAATAACCCCACGTGCTCCCAGCTGTCCCACGGTGGAAAGGAGGCACGGAGGTGCCTCTGTCTTCACCGCGCACATCTGCTTCCGTCGTTGTAGCCAACGTGGTTGACTCAGTCGTGGAGCGACTCGAATTGGATGACGCGGTCTCCCGCACTTCGTTCGTGACTCTCCAAATGAGGCTTGCGTTGTCCGTGGTGGGTCGGGAGAACTTTTCGTGACTTGATGAAGTTGTTAAAGTAGCAGAAATGTTTCCGTGGCTCCCCCGGTCTGTCTCTTTGTGAGTCTGTGGCTGTGTCGATGTGTAATGATCTCTGGCGTCCACAGACACATTCTGCTGCCACCACGTGTCTACAGCTGCTGTAGATGTTGCGACACTGGTTGAGTCGACATCCTTTCCACTTTGTTGTGTTCGTGTCGTGCCAGTCGGTAAGCCAAGAGGCCCGTGCGTTACAAACAGCTCTTTCTCATTTGACGCTGTAGATGTTGTTTCAGTCATTTCTGTTATCATCGCAGTTTTATTGTACGAGTGTGAGTGGCTTCCATACAGCGCAGTCGTGATTACTGGAATCGCAGTTTTTTCCAAATTTGCTTCGGACGTAATCGCTGCAGGAGTCACGGTCAATCTGTGACCCCCGCCACCGTCCGGTGTCCTGGTGATCTTCTGCAACACCAACAACGCACCGCGACTCGTGGCCTCCGTTCCACCCAAAGCCGTTGGCGGTTGCGCGTCCCTGGGCAGCGTGGCGATGGTCACGGCGGGGCTCTGCTCACCCTCTGAATGTCGAGTCGGATTCCGACCGAAAGCGATCTTTCGGCCTCTCACAGTATCCACGGTTTCGGTCGGAGAGTACGACGCGGAGAGACGAGCCCTCTCAGAGGCGCGCGTACTGGCTGCAGGTGAACGGGGCAAAGCGGCCGCGCTAGGAGTGGCGGCGGCGGAAACGGTCGCGTTGCTCTCGGTCAAAGGCGGCGGAGCGGACACATCGGTTGCAGACGTGGGGGTACCGTTGGAAATTTCCCTCGGAGTTGAATGCGGCAGCAACGGCGACCCCGCTGATCCAGTTGCGCTCGATGCGGCACCGACAAGATCACCCGGGTCGCTTGCGAGGGTGGAAGCGTCATTCGAAGAACCGCTCGCGTCCGTTTGTGAAACGTCAGCGGGCTTGCTGCGTTGCCGCGTACCGGAGGCCTCGCTCGTTTGACTTTTCCCCAGCACAGTCACTTCGGTGATCGTTGCTCCGGTCGTAAAAGTCGTCGGTGTGGAAGCCTCTCTTTGTTCTGACGAAGGCGCAATTTTCTTAGTAATCTGTTGGGCCGCGCCTGGACCTGTTAACGAAATTAAGAGAAACGCTTAAAATAAATTGTAAAACACAATATTGTTTACCGCGCAGGATCTCACAATCCACCCTTCACTAACAGTAGGTTTATTGCTTTATTCCCCCCCCCCCAATACAATCTGGGTACCGTTAAACTACATTCTAAGGGGGTGAAGTGTTAATAGACTCTTTTTTATTATTATTTTAAGCTTTGACAGTTGACCCGGAAAAACGCACATCCTATGCAGAACAGCTCGTGTCAAAAGTTTCCTGTTTTCAAGCTCGGGCACGTTTGGCAGCCCCGATGTGAGACCTTGACACCACGTGATCTTTCGATTTAAAGCTTTCGTGACTGCAGGGATTCGTCTTTTTTGGTTCTTTCGGTAAAGTCACGTAGAATGGAAATAATAAAATAAGAAAAATAAAACATAATAAAATAATTCTCACGACGTTTCGGCCACAACGCAAGCAGCCGTCCTCAGGTGGAGAGCAGGTCTGTCTTCAGACTCTGTCTACTCGACAGATATATTTAATATAAATTTTTCCAACATGTTTCAATTACCGGGCTTCAACAGCATGGCACCCACAGCTACCTACGGCTGTCACGTGGTTTTCTACTTGTGCCGTGCTCAGAAACATAGAACTCTTTGTTTAATTTGCACCAAGCGAGATCTCATTGTTTGCGTGGTTTGATGCCATTGTCCCACACACCCTATTTGCCAGAATACGCGCCCGTGAAGTACGGTACAACACTGTCGTGCATGATGTTTGTCCAGTCGTAGATCCGAGGGGGGGGGGGCAATGGTGTTTAATTGATATTTACAAGAGAATTTTGAAAATTTTACTTTGAATGTATGGTCCTATTTAAGGTGATAAAATACAACAGCAACGGCTTTTCTGCTTGAATATTCTGGACGGTCGGCCACCCTCGCCTCCCTTTGGGAAAGTTTCTAGATATAAATCTGCCCCTGTGTTTGTTCATATTTTGTGACATTCAGAGGTGGTGATCCGAATGAGTGTTGAAGAGACACCTGGCTCAGCGGTCAGTTTCACTCGCATACAGAATCGGCAATGAATCGTATTATCGCTGCTTCAGCAAGGGTTGTGAACAAATATGTCAAATGAGAAAAGTTACACTACAACAATGCTTTGTTGCATTATACATAACACCGTGTAAACCTTTCTGAATAACATTTTATGACTTATTTTCAATTTCACGTAGGCTATTTTTTTAGACATATGCTTTAAAAAAATCTGGATTGAATACTCATTTCTGTACAACTGTTTTTAGTGTTTAGTTTGCTTGTCCTTATCCCGCACCCCCGATTCACACGGGTGGCTACGTACGGTACGAAAGAAGTTCAAACAATTGTACACATACAGTTGCATATTAATATCCTTTATCTAACCAGCGCTGAGTCCATTCAGATTAAATATCTTTTTGTGTGTGTGTGTAATAATTTAGTCAATTGTAACTCTTTTTTATATATAACTTGCCAAGCCTATAGTAGGCCTCATCACAACAAAAGTCAATTCAAGCGTTTCCGTTTCTTTACAATTCTAACGCGTGCTCGACAGAAGCAACTCCCCGCACACACATGAAGGTTTCACTTCTGCGCGACATCAATCCCCACGCATGGGTGTAAAACCCACAGAAACATAGCTTAAAGTATTTCACAAACGGTGCAGTGTTTATGGCATTCATCTTGTCCTAATAAAACATTTCCTATTATACGTATTATCGACGCTGTGGACAGTTTCAATCCACTCCTCCTGTTACGAAAGCTGATTAAGCCCAAATTCAGATTCCAAAGAACACAGGATGAGATGTTACTATCCTTTGTGCAAGCACTTCCAAGAGTTCATGAACAGTGAGCCTGGTGAAATTTGGGGAGCGCATCGTCAGTAGTGAACCTTTGGGTCCTAGGTTGTTTCGGCCTTTCATACTATACACCCTCCCCAAAGGCGGCCAGCGACAGGGTGATCAATCCTACGCTTGCGTCCCATTCCCAATTAGTCATAGGCGTTACAAACTATTGGGCAGCATCCCACATATTTCAATGATGATGCATGCAATTAACTTGCTTAGTCAACACTTTTTTTTCAACGTAAGCCTTCACATATCGAGGAAATTACAGATCATGGCCAATTCCTATCTCTTGTCTGACCATTACAGTTTAGACTTTGTTCTATTTACCACGTATGTCTGTTTCCTGGGCAAGAAATGAGGGTGATGACACTACTCCAGGTTATCGGCTCCATCTTGAGCGATAACCCACCTTCGCAGTCTCTGCATATGATGGGATTTCACTGTCCAAATAAACACGACTGTGCAATCATAGAGACGCGTTTGCCATTACACATGTGACGCCGTCGCTCGTAGCACTGCTTCGTGCCTTAGCCTTGACTTCATTAACTCATCTGTTTGGTCAGCCCTGCGTCGTCCGCATTCAATTCTCTCGGTTGCCATTCCAACACTTTTGTTTGGCCATCAATCCCCATCCTATCTGTCGACATCCACTTACATAGCAATTTCCATACTTTGATGGTGAATTTTTGTACGGCTGAATATTATTTAATTATTGTTATATTGTGCATGTTTACCCAGGAAAGCTTCACGAAGTCTCAAGAGTGTCCTGCCAACAAGTCTCAAGACTCGTTTTTGTCAAGAGGGTCCTGCCAAGTTGTTGCAGAAGGGGCGATAATTGCCACGTATATTCCAATCGAGTCATTAGTGGGTAATTTTTGTTCAAATTCGGACCATGACGCCAGGCACACAATGGCCTACTCTTGCGAATGAGGTCACTGGATCTTCATCGTCCACTGTGAATTAGACGGCGCGTGTTTTCTTTCTGGGTGATAAGCACCGCGGTAATAACCAGGGCGGTTGCTGGATTTGAACCGTGAACCTCTCTAACAAGCGTCTTAAAGCGCTACCGCTGGGCCGCCTCAGCCAATCAAATCCTCCCAGTAAACGTGCAACGTTGTATGTACGTGTGTTTGTTGAACTTTTATCGCACCGTACGTAGCCAGCCGTGCAAATCAAAGTGCGACAAATTAAACACAAAAAGTAGTTCTAAAGAAATTAGTTTTCAGTCTAGATTTAAAAGTGCACAGCAGCTCCAGAGGAAGAGTGTTGGGCGTGTAATCCCAATCGAGTAATTTTCAGGATATTTATCAGCATTTGGGATTTTTGGCCAAATTGCCAGTTACACTTGAATTTGTGTTACTCAATAGGTGCGGCAGACAATGCATCTCATTCCGAACTCTGCATTATTCCCAAGAGCAGTGCCTTTCTCAACATGCTCGGCCTCTCCTTAAAGCCGATTTTCAGCCTGTCGAAAGCTCCGGTTGTGGTTGGCGAGTGAGCGTGTTTCTCATCCGCGCAGCTATTTGTCGGCTCTGTTGATGTTGAACCGAAGACTTTCCTCTTCGCGTGTGGGCGTGTTAGGTAGGCCTGCTGTAGATGGCCGCTCGCACCGTACTTTGAACACAATATTCACGTTTAGAAGGAAAAAAGTCAATACTTTTCAGAATTTTTGGTCCAATTTTGACTAAACTCCTCGTGTGGGTTACTATTGACGCCCACATTGCTTTAACGCTCATTATATAACTTTACCAAAAGGTATTTAACATGTATTTTAAAAAATAGCATTCTTAACTTAGGCAAGTTGACATGACGCATGCACTTTGTGTTTGAAAGGCTCTGTATAAATACACTCGTCACAACAACGGTTGTCCTTCACCTAGGAAGTCTCTCCAACAAGTCCGAGATCTTCTTCACTAAGATCTTGCTCGGAATGATTGTCAATCAAAAGTAACAACTAAACACGCTCATTAAACATCAACAACAGCGTTGACGCGTACATGCTCACAGACACACAAACATCGATGCAGTTTAACACGTAGTCTTTCGCGACCAATATCATCAACATCAACACAGCCTGCAGCGTCAGTGCAGAATGAGCATGCAAGAGGACGCCGAGTATCACGAATCTCAACACTTACCAATCGGAGAGGAGAGAGTGTTGACAGTAGTGAGCACTGACGTGGCCTCTGTCTGACCTTGTGCTGTTGCTGCTGCTACTGCTGCTGTTGCTGCTTCTGCTACTACTTCGGCTGGCGCTAAAGTAGCATCTATCAGACCCTGTGGTGCATCTGCTGTCGCTACCGCTGCTTCTGCTGTGGCTCCAATGCGACCTTGTACAGCTGCTCCTGCCGATGCTATGGCCTCCGTCTGGCCCCGTACTGCTGCCGTTGTCGCGGTGGCTTCTGCCGCGGTGACCGCGTGTCCACCCCGCGCGGTGGTCGTGGTGGCCACGCACGCCAGCAGGCTGCATAGGAGCACGCTCCTGCTCAAGGGCGGCATGCCGCATGCTGTATCGGGACTCTGCGTCAGCGTGGCACCGCGCCACGGCCTCACGCGCGCGTCGCCGGAGAAGAACGGAGAGCGGCGGCTACGGCGGCGACGATGCAAGGTGGACACCTCCTCCTCGTCCTCCTCGTCCTCGTCGTCTTCCTCCCTCGTACTCCTCCGTGTCTCCCGTGGGCCGGCAACATGACGTGGCGCCGCCACGCCGCCTGGCAGATTTTCAAAACAACCCCCCCCCCGCCGCTACTCTTTTCCTGTCGCGAGCAGAGGATACGAGACGTTCGTGTGTTGGTGAGATTACGCGCTCGTGCGCTGTTGCGCGCGTGCGGCCCCCTCCTTGAAGATCACGCCGAGGACGATGTCCTCCTTCTGCTCATCTCGTGCCGGGGTGTCTGCCGACCGGCGCTTCGCCTCTCTGGGAGCCCGTGGTTCTTTGTGTCGAGTGATTTTTTTGTTTGGGGGGGGGGGTGATTTCTGGTTCGCCGCTTCCTCGCCTTCCGGCGTTTGATTTTTTTAAATCACTCTGACCTAAATCAACATCGGTGATGTGGTTTTTTTTGTTGTTGTTGCTGGAAACAGGCGCATTGATGCGTACAGTATAAAGATTAAAAAACAGAGGTTAGTCTCCCTCTACTCTTTGGTTATTTCGGTAAAGTCAAGTAGGTAAAACAAGTACGTGACTTTGTCGAAAGAACCAAAGGCTATGGATTCCTACAGTCACGAAATCTTCAAATCAACATTGTTATTCTCCCTTTCGCACATTGTTCTCCCGAGCTTCGATCGGCGTGCCGACACAGTCGCCGTGAATCATTGTCGAGGAGTGGGCACTGTGCAGCGCTCATCTTACGGCTTGTGGAAATTCCACATTCTCATGACAGCGTGCCGCTGTCTCCATAGGACGACCACCGTCGACTTTGCCACGAAGCGATGCCGAATTTCGCGCAACCACCACTCGCGAAGAAGCGGCGCCCATAATGTGGGTCACAGTATGACACCTTTAAGCCAAATACCCCGGGAGGAAAAGAATAATAATCCAAGCTGAAACAACAACAGACATTTTGCTTGGCGTGGCGTCAAGGCTAATCGCGAGGTTCCCCAGACCCCCCCCCTCCCCGTGTCTGCCAGCGAGTGGCGGCCGTCAGAGTGGGGGGGGGGGCGTCAGGCACGGCCCCAAGCACAACACAGGACAGCCACACCGGCTCCACGCCTCCGGCCACAGTCAGAGGCACCCGACCCCAACCGGAGCCGCTTATCAGGCCCTCCTCCTCCTCCCCACCCCCCGTGCCATCGTGGCACAGCTGCAATGCTGATGTGCGATACATTGCCAGTTGTACGTTGTTTTTCGCATTTTTCTCACAGTCTTATTCCAATTGTGCTCTCGGTGTCGCGTCACGGGACAAAGTAGACGGAGCTCTCGCAAAGCGACGCATTGCACGGTGGGGGTTAGAGAATGGTCCGCGGAAGTGGATATCAGAGAACTACTTTTGAGATCCCTTCAAGTGAGCTTTTTTTGTGAAGCATTAAAGGCTGCGCTTTCCAACCAAATCTGCTGCAAATACATTTGAGTGACATTGGCAGTCAAACCAATATTATTGTTGAAGTTCTCAGAGCTGGAATGGGGCAAATTAAGTGGATTTTGTTTTTAATTGGCAGTCGCATGTGACCGGGCTGAGACGATCACCTATCTCCCCTCGAGAACCCAGTTTGATTTCGCGTGGCTGGAGTCTGAACCCAAACCCAGGATTTCAACGGTGCCGTTTGAGTGCTCTGCACCCCGAGCCGTCAGGCGACGTCTTGTACTGCCGGCGTTGTCTCAAACACGGCCAGGATCAGGGGACGTGTGCACATGTATCTTGGCGATGGCGTAGCACGTTTGGCACGGGTCCTGGTTCCCGGAATGAAATGGGGGTGGCCCCTGTGAAATATTCTTCCCTCTTCGTAACCTGGTGCCCGGGTCCCTCTGACCCGTGTGCTCCGGGCTAGTTGTATGTACGTATGTTGAACTTCTTTTATTCGCACCGTACCAAACCGACCGTGCTAATGGAAGGTGAGGCGGAAGGACAACGAACTAAAACACAAAAAGCAGTTCTAAAGAAATTCGTTTTGAATCGACATTTCAAAGTGCATAAGGGTCCGTCCATAAAAGGCGTCACGCACCTAGAGAGGGGGGGGGGGGTCAGACATTTGTGACGATGTGTGACGAGGGGGGGGGGGGGTTTGAGAAATGTGACGTCACATCAAAATGCGCAACTTTAAATAAATATAGACAACACGGTCTACTTAATTAAATATACTTTTTGATAAATGTTTTCTCCTACAATATCAGAGTGCAGCGCCACATTAAATACGCACTACAATGACAATAGTTTAAAGCGATTTGAAGCATGTTTTATTTTCAAAATAAAAAACTTAGTTTGGGGGGGGGGGGCAGAGCTCTGTGACGTCATATTTGAGGGAGGGTCTGACTTTTTGTGACGCCGTGTGACGAGGGGGGGGGGGGTCAAAAATCGTCCAAAATCGCGTGACGTCATTAATGGACGGCCCCTAACTCCAGTAGCTTCCTAATATCGGAAGGAAGAGCGTTCCAGACGGCCGCAGAAGCGCATCTGAAAGCGCGCGGTGCAGTGGCCGCCTTCGTTCGATGGCGAGTTGCACCTCCTGCACACTTGATACACTTGATAACTATACCACTGATAATTGTTTTTTTACCCTCTTATCTGGCAACAAAACTGACACATTTTTTACGAGGAGTCATGTTTGCATATACCACAATACCTGCAGTCATAATGCAAACAAAAAACATAACTCTAATAATGTATGCACAGGTATTGTGGTCTATGCAAACATGACTCCTCGTAAAAAAAGGTGTCAGTTTTGTTGCCAGATAAGAGGGTAAAAAAACAATTATCATATTTTTTTACTGGCAAATGAGGTACCAATGGTAACTATACCACTGTTCTGTGGGTGTCCTGTTCACGTGAACATGTGTATATGCGTGTGTCACGTGCGTAATCACAGCACTGAGTTCGAAGCAGTCCATCAAGCGAGGAGGGGTGGAGCGTGTCTGGGGGAGGGGGGGGCTGAGAGTTTTCAAAACAAACGCTCATCTTGAGAGAGCTGCCAGCTGGTGGAAAGAGTGACTTCCCTGATGGATGCAAGGCTCTGGTGAGCAGCCCTGATAACCAGGCCGATGGAGGGGAGGCAGCCTGCCCACGACAATAAGTGGAAACTGGCGTCACCTCCTCCACTCCGTTCCGCTCTGCCCCCCCCACAGCGCGTCCGCGATGTCCTCAGCAGGTGCTTTCATGTCGACGTCACAAAGAGTTGCCCCCCCCCCCGATCCTCCCCCCCTCCCAGAAACCCATTGTTTTATATTTTCGCTCCGTTTTCCTATCGGACGCGTGGTTGCGGTGTTGATAAAAAAGAGCACAACAACGATCTAACGTCCAGATTGCGACGAACGTTCGAGAAAGGGAGAGAAGGGAAATGCCAATCGTGTTAGCGCTCTGCAGGTCATTGGGGGTTGGGGGGTGGAGGGGGAGCGATCATTTGGCAGCCCTGTGGAGCCCGTAAACCTCCCACACCCCATTGGGCAACTTGGTGAACACAGCGAAGCAGAACAGCATGTGGGTTTTTTAAAATATATAAAATATATATTTTTAATTCCACATCCTCCCCCTCACATCGTACATTGCCACGTCCTGAAGTTCTGGAACGGCATTGCCAGGGGCATTGGTGGCATCGGCGGGTGTATCGGACTCGTCAGAGCAGGCAGGGCGGGCGGCGGGGAGTGATTTTCTTTGGGGGAGGTGGAGGTGGCCAGGGTGCGTAAAACTGTTTAACACGTGGCAGGCTTTCACGACCAATATCATCCATAATAGAGGGGGTGGGGGTTTAGGTTAGATAATGACACATTTATATATTTACGCGATCTAACCCCAAAAAAACCCTCTTATGGATGTATTTAAAACTGTTCTAAGATTTAGGAATGGATCCCATGTACGTGTTGCAATCTCATGAGAATAGGTAAAATCTTGACTTTAAGCATTCGTGACCGCAGGAATTCATAGTCTTTGGGTCTTTCGGTAAAGCCACGTAGATAGAAAAATAATAATGAAAAATCACGACGTTTCGATTGCAACACAAGCAATCGTCATCAGATGGAAAAACATCATATTTTTTCCTGCCTCAGCAGCTCTCCCGCTATAAAAGCGTGCTCCGATAATAATAATAATCATTATATATGGCATCGTCTTTGAAACTGATCGGGCTCCACCAGAGGCAGCAGCCTTCTTCTTGAGGGCCCAGGTGCTTCATCACTGGCAGAGCAGTTTAAAGACAATGCACTATCAGGACATTTATAGCTCGGCATGAGCAGCTTATAGCTCTTTCCTTGTCTCTAAGCTTATAGATCAGATGCTCCATTGCTGAGATTGGGCCCTAATGAATACAGTCATTGAATATGGGGAGGGGGGGGGGTCGTGATTCTTCCATGTACTCAATATTGTTTTCCTGGCCGAGCATGTGGGTTCTTAAAAAAATGAACCCGTGTGGAGCCTTATCTCCTCACACACACATGGGGGGTTTCCCAAAAAATGGTTTTCCAAAAAGATGTCTAAATTCCATGCCAATCGCTGATGAAAGGAATTGGCCAAAATATCCCAATGCAGAACGCTACTTTAAAAAAAATATCCTGAGACTCGGTGATGCTTTCCTGCATTAACAAAGGGTATTATATTGTCATTGCATTTGTGTTTATGCGTGGATCGGTGATGTCGATCACAAGAGTGAGGGATAACAACTCCGCTGTCTCTGTCATTATCCATACGCCCACTCACACCACTTAATAATTAAGGAATTGTACTGCAGGGATGCCACCAATCAATGTGGCTTTTGGGGAGAGGAGCGGTGGTGCAGTGGTTAGCGCACTGCGCTACGAATCGGCCGAATTTGACTCTGAATCCAAGCAATGGTTAACACCACTGACTAGGGATATCTAAATCGATCCTAGGCCATCCCTGCACCTTCAACCTGCACTGTCACAGCGTGGTGAAGTATGGTCAAACTACCGCAAATGACTGATGCTGCATGGGGAGGCCTTAATCCAGTAGTGGTTTTTACAAAGCGGGGTACACGGATCAAATCAACCACAGTGGGAAACAGTGAGCTTGTTCGATAACATTATTAGTTATTTAGGACATTCTCAATTGAGTCTGTGGACTCGTTGCCAAGAGGGGGACCTTGCTTGGCACGTGCGGCCATTTGAGTTGTTTTTGTAGTATTGTTGCATGCGGGAGGAAACGAGAGTGCAGCACTCGGGCAAGATCCACACACACACACCACAGAGCAACTCTCAAAACATCGGCAGGCATTACGGGGGAACCTACTTGCTGCACTGCCCCGGGCTGGGAAAATACATTCTTGGCGCGCTCTCGCATCGGACGGCGGAGGAAGCCGATGGAATGAATTTGGCAAAGTGATGCCCCGACCAACCGACCGACCGACCTCTGCCCAGGGTGTAGATGCAGCACGGCGATGATCCATCAGCGCGCATCCTTCCCGAGACACGAGAATTCGCAGATTTCACACGGGAAATTACGATACCCCTCTGATTCCCCCTATCCTGCACACCCCCCCTCCCCCCCAATCAGGGTGTAGTGATACGCAGAGAGAGAGAGAGAGCGAGATACGTGGCAAGCGACAGCCCTTGAGATAGACCAACTCGGAGAGATGCAGAGAGTGATGAGACGATGCTAGCGCAGACGCACGCGCAACGAGAGCCATTGAGAGGTAGACAAACTTAGAGAGGGACGAAGAGTGAAACATAGAAACGCAGAGAAAACGATAGAGAGACACGAAGAGAGACGACACGGGGAGAGACACGAAGACACACACATAGACATCGGGACACAATAGAGACAAAGACACACACGCAGAGAGAGAGAGAGACACGCACACACGCTGAGCAACAGAGAAGCACATACAATGGGAGGAGAAAAGTAATCGTACAAAGAGACACGAAGACCGAGAGAGAGAGGCGGAAAGTGACAGAGACATGTCCACGGAGAAAGGCATCGACATCAACTGAGCAGTCGCGTAAACTCACGTGGGGGCAGGGCGTGCCTTGCCCCCCCCCCCCAAGCTACGAGTCGGGGCCCCCCTTGACAACCACCACGAGATGGGTTTTCATCAACGACGTCTACTACATTATCAGCCCAGAGCTGATAATGTAGTTGACGCCACTGAGACCCGAGACATTGACGGTGCACTCGTATCTCTCCACTCCCGTGTCTGGCGGCAGTTGGAGATCGGATTCCACTTCCTTGAGTTCAGGAATCGGCAAAGAAAATAAGAAATAAGAGCCATTGTTTTTGTCTAATTCGGTAAAAAAAAAAATATTTCTAGAGCCGCGATGCACTGTGTGGTGAATACGAGAAGCGGTCTTTAAAAAGAGTCGCGATGCGACTCCGAAGCCGCAGGTTTGCCGAGCCCTGCTTTAGTTCAAAATCTTGAAGTCGGGGCTCTGGTCTGTGTGTGTGTGTTCAGCTCTCACGTGCCACTGATGAGAGCCGTGGTCTGGAATCGAACTCGTGTTGCTCATGGTTAATAGCGTGGTGCACGAACCACTGCGCTATGAGCGGACATAGCTGTCCATGCCCAACAAAGTCGTACCAGGTGCACACGTAGGCTTTCACCACCACGAATGTGATTCATAATTAGCGTTGAAATGCATATATGCCAACTTTATTTGATTGGATCTGGCGGGTGGTTGGAGGTTTGTCGTAAAAAAATAAACTGGCATTATCCCTCCACTTTTTAACCCACAAGAAACGAATTATGAATCATAATAGTTACACTACTTACATTTAATTTGTGTTGTTAAATAATTATAGTGAGATGCGGCGGGTAAGCTCAGGTGGAGTGCTCGTACCAATCACATCTGGTGTGTTAGCAGCATTTGTTTGAACAAGCCCAGACCCTGTTGATGGAGACCCGGAAGGTCGGAGCAGAGTGAGCTTGATTAAACAAACGCTTTTGAATAATATTGACTCGGAGGGCGAATATTACGTGTTATACGTGGAGAAACGGAACTCGGCTCCGCGCTTACATATGATTTACTAATAATATAATTACACGTACTTACACATTCTGTCGATTAAAACCTCATTTCTTTAGAACTGAATTTTGTGTCCAGTCTGTTTGTCCTACCCGCGCACCGCCGATTAGCACGGTTGGCTACGTACGGTGCGAACAAAGTTCAACATACATATTCATTCTATTATGCATACTGTACATTTGTTTAAGTTGCCGTACCGGCCATTCACACGCATATACGCCTTAACTTAAAATCACGATTTCGTCCAATATCACTCCAGCTATCGGAACTTAATTAATTGGAGGTGGTGGAAGGGGGGTGTTTTGTTAGTGGCTGAATGGATGCGCTCATGCGGACAACTAGAAAAGTGGATCAGCGCGCGTCTCGCTTTGGAGGTTTTGGTGGGGGTGGGAGCCAGATCTCACAAAAGGCCTCTTCCTCCACACACAGGTTTATTAAAGGAGCGATGCGGGGGGGCTGGGGGCGGTTTAAATTAAAGACGACTCTGGGGTCAAACTATGCGTGGAGTCCCTCGCGATAAAGGTTTGCCCCCTTAGGCGGATTTTTATTTGATTGACTTTTGCAGCCATCCAGCTGCGCATCAAACGAGATAGTTGGGACCCTTACCAGCGTTATACGTAGCGTGAAGTGACAGCTTAATCCTTAGGTACGCAATGGTGCCGTGAACTCGCATGTGTGTGCGAGAATATCCATTTAAGGACAGGGCCACGGGAAGGGTTAAATAAATGCGATGAATGGACACTATATGTTGCAAGAGTTTCAGATATGAGCACGTGAAATGTCCCTTATATTGCATGGGTCAGTTTAAAGTTGGAAGTGTTTCGATTCTCAAAAGAATACGAGGCCGAACTTTCATCTACATTGTGAGGCCTTGAACCGACTGTGACATTTTCGCATTGTCACGGCGGTAATCGTGTTTCTCCAAAATGTGGTGGCTACCAATTTTATCCACCACAGCATGGATGATTGGCCGAATCGGCATCTCACCGGGCACATTGAACACGAAACCTTACCGTTGTTAGTTGGAGCGCTTCTGCCTGAATTGGGATGTACCTTAGCCACGTGTGGTGCGAAATAAGTTCCACATACGTACGTGGCCATGTCCACGAATGTTTGGCTTCGTGTCGCAGGAAACTGAAGAACCACCACGCACTACGAGGTGACACTTTGGCATTCTCCTGGCCACTACGCAGCCTCGCGGCTTACACCTGGCAAGCCCTGATGTTATTGGTCACCCATCCAACAACGAACCAGACTCAAATATACTTAGCGTTCGAAATGCAATGAAATCGAGCACTTCTTCAAGTTGATTTGGCCGTAGGCATTTGCAATACTGTAACGACAAAAATTACATCGCTTGCCCAAATAGGATAATGGTATTTATATGAGAACCGATGTGTTTATGTAATGCTCACGACCGTAAATGTGTTTTTTTTTTAACATCAGTATCCAAAAGAGGGCAATTGGAAAGGAAATGCCAAGCTCACAACAATCCTGCAACTTCGCAGTGCACTGCAGAGCCAAATGCAAATCCGCTTCGACAACATTCGGCGCACATTGCAACGTGAACCACAAAAGCGCCGTGCCATTCGTGACACTTTCCCTGTACGTAAAGGACGACAAAACCCCATCGCAACAAAAACAAAATAACAGCGAGGGCTTGAAAACCATTGGCAGAAACTACTCAGCACTCGGCGTCAGTGCATATATATATATATAAAACATCAGCAGGTTCCAAAGAGCTGCATTAAGGTCCCCTTGTCTCAGCTAGGTCATCGTCACTTGAGCGGACGCGCGTGCGTTCCAGCCTTCCACTCTGGCGAAAGTTCCCTTTCTTCCGATCTTTTTTGTTGACGATAACGTCCTCATCAAAGCGCTGCGACGCGTTTCCACCGCATCCGCCTAGACGTGGTTGTGGCTGCGGTGCGCGCGCTTGTGTGTTGTAGGGAGTTCAGTCGGTGCGGGCGATTCCAGACTGCTGCGCTCCATACACGTGGAGCCGATAAAGGGTGAACGATCCGAGATGACACCAGCTTCATTACTCCTCGCTCCGGGCAAACGGGTTGCGCAGATACGGTCCTTTGGTACCGGAGATGGAGCGATGAAGACCTTTCATGTGCTCATTAATCCTGCCAAAGCCGACCCCATCCCTCTTTTACAATGGCCGAGAAGATCTGGATTAGCGCAATAATAAAGCAGAAAACGCGATTGATTCCACGTGCCCGTTTTCTTCTGCCCAGTCGGGCCACTTGCAAATGATCCTCGGCTCTTCTCAGTTACCCCCCCTCCCCACCAACTCCGATTCCGCGTAAACAAGGGATTACCAGAAATCTATAAATACATGGCCGACACACTGCTACCGAGAGACTCACTTCTCAATTTTTTTGCGGCAAAGACCGAAAAAAAGTCCCCCCCCCCAAGTTATTCCCCGGCAGAGCCGACTTCTCAGTTTAATTGGTCAAGTGATTGGAAGTCGCGTCGTTGTTCGCGAGTCCCGGTGTCCCTTATGTGACTTTGTGAGCGCCGTGGCCCCCTCACGGTGGCGAAGATGTTGAGATCGATCGTCGTGGCGGCGGCGGCGGCTACGGTGCTGATGGTGGTGGTGGTGGCGCTGGCGGGCACGAGTGTCCAAGCAGAAGGGTACAACACCACTGGGAGTGCTCACCTACCTCTCACACTCAAGACTTGTCTTGGGGGTCTGATTTATTTCGCGTCTGTGCTGATGTTTGTTTATTAACAGGTCGGGGGGGGGGGCATATTGAGAAGACCGGAAGATATTATTTTGAAAGATAGAAAAAAGATGCAGGAAAAACAATAACCATCATTGCGATAATTGTAAAGCGATCATGATAAAAAGACGTGTTTTCGATACATTTAATGCTTTTAATATGTATAATATCGCAGCTGCAACGGTTTCTTCTTCAATACGACTTTGATGTTATTGTAAATCTGTAATACATACAAGTTACAGCTAGATGATGTAGAGAAAGGAATGATTAAAATAACTTGAGATCAGAAGAACATCAAGCCACAACGAGCCGGTCAACGTGGAACGTTGGGCCACCGTTGGTTGGTCAAACAGTTCCAACCGCATGCCAACGTTGGTCCCAACGTTTGCATGTTTACTGGAAAGCGCGAGTTGATAGTGGATAACCCATTGAGAGAGAGGTTTATCGGTGTTTGTGCACTGAGAGATGATGGTGGTGGTGTGTGACTGTTCTCCTATACGATGCACGTACGGTATCTGGAAGCTGCCAATGTAGCTGGAACGCAAACTGCGATGTACGTGCCATTGTGATCCATTGAATCGAGTCGACAAATCCAGCTTGGTCCATCTGTTGTTTTGTGTGCTATGAAGAAGGGCCATGGACTGAAACGTCGCCGATTATAGATTCATATTAAGGCCATAGTGTTGTTTTCGAGTTTTTGTGTCGATCCTAACTGCAAGACAACAAAGCTGAGACTTGAAACCTTGCAGAATCAGAACATTTATTTATGCTGGAGGAATCTGATGATATATAAAGCTCTTTCACAGATGCCTAGTTGTTTCCACAGATTAGTTTGACATTCGTGTATCTCAGCTTTAAGTCCTCAAAGCTCTGAACACTGGAAGAGATAGTGGAGGGTACAAGCAGCAATGTAATGAGCGAACATAGGTCATTGCTAGAAACATCAGTCGCATGTTTCTGTGTTAGGCAGTGTTCATATGAATGCGGTGCGTTATTTCCCGACTTGCGCGTCTCTTGATTCTTTTGTTGTTCTCTAATGTGCTGGCGTCTGTAAGAAAAAAAAATAACTTGCTAATCTCCCTACTTGGTATTTAAGCAATTGAGAATGTAATATTTACATTTATAATATTGATATTTATCTATTCGGGAGAGCGTGCCTGAGTTTAAGTCTCAAGACCGAGCATCGCCGAGTCTGATAAAATCTGCAATGAGTCTGATAAAATCTACAATGTGGTCTCGCCAAGTTATAAACATGGGGTGAAAGTATTTCCTTAATTAATTCGACTACACGTGAGCCAAGAATTGCCGTCATTATGGCGATGCGTAACGATGCACCCATGCCTCCACCCACGTTTCGATCGTGTTGTCACATGTCGAATAAATGATAAAAATCGATGTTTAACGTCGTGGTGACTGTAGCGGCCACTAATGGCTGCTGCAGTGGTTACGTGAATACGTTTACAGTGAACCGTATGCGCAAAGAATGGGAGAAGATCGAATCTCACACGGTCGATGCAATGCACATTATCGAGAGATTAAGAAAACGACGCTATGTACGCGTTGAATCGATGCATCGTTAAGCGTTTGCTCATGAACGACTGGCGGGTTGCCTTAGCGTGGCGCAGTGTTCTTTACTCATTTTCAGCGGTGGGTGGGGGGGGGGGTGGCACTTTCGCCGAAAATACATCAACAGTGTGAGGGCCGCCACACCATTTAAACAATTTGACAGCGCGATGACGACGATGATGGTGATGATGGAGGGATGGGGCTGTTTTCACATGTTGTGGATTGTCGGGGGCCGCGCCAGTTCCCCGTTGGCCTTGCAATGAAGGACACTTTGCGCATCGAATCGAGCCGGAGGTGAGGTGCGGTGCGGTGCGGTGCGATTCCCCAACACCCCCGGTACAGGCGCTGGTGCGAACGCCGGGTGCTGTCCACGGAGCTGGAGGTGCTGACTCCACGGCGTGAGCTGTCGGCTCCCTGCAGCGCCCTGTTGCGCTTCACCCTGCAGGGATGGAGGCTGGACGCGGATCGGATGCGCGCCGAGCAGGGCGGTCATCCTGAGCGGGCGACCTCCGAGGCCACGTGCCACCTGTACAGGTGAGTTGTGCGTCACCCCGGTGGATGGAATCGGCGTCTCCGCGCTCAGCGAATGGGGCAGTTGTTCACTTCAGCCAGTGGTGGGGAAATCCACATTTTCGTGGCGTTGGATGTTTTTGGATTGCCACGAGGACTTGGTACACACAGTGGTGGTTAAGGGTCGTGTGAGGACACGGTAAGTAATTAAGAAAGCGCGGGTGAGGCGCACTGCCAAGGGGTGCGGGAGGAAGTGTGGGAGAAATACGGCGGAAAAGAAACGAGGGAGAGTGGACAAGTGGAGAAAGAAACCAAGGGAGAGGTTTGGTTAGAAATGAACGAGTGTGAGGGGAAAGGTTCCTGAAGGGACGGGAAGAAGGGTGTACATGGGAGGGCAGAATCAGCATATTTATACTGGAGGAATCCGATGAGCTATGAAGCTCTTTTTGACAGAGGTGCGATGTGGGCCACGGTGTTTGGCCAGCGAGAGAGCTTGCCGCGAGTGCGTTGTGTAGGTGGAAGCATACACTTACCTCACCAGGGACCACTCGTGAGGACTCACGTTCAGTGGTATCAACTTTAATAAATCAATAAACACACACACGTATTATTTTCCGAGCTCACTAAGTCACCGGCCGAAGATCGAAGCGGTTGAAGCGACACGTCCGTCGGAGGTTGGCGTTGAATGAAATCGTAGAGATACGTAGGGTTAATTGATGACAGGGATCGTGGTGTAAAACCGCCACCACCAAATACGTGGTAGTTACACATCAACAAATATGGATCTCTCTCGAGTCAACCCTCGTCATGCGGTAACACAATATACATTGTTTCGTTAGAAGGCAACTTATCAATATGGGCAACGAATTCGATATGAGCGTTACGTTAAATTGGCAATTTTGAATGTGTAAATTAGGAACAAAAAGATATGAGGGCGGGGGTGGGGGGAATTGAAAAGGCAGAATGCACGTTCTGTTGTTTGGCCGCACCGTCCTGGTGATCTGCGCGACGCACTGTACTAGTTTAACGCCACACTGTGCTGGTTTAAAGCGACGCACTGTACTATTTTAGGGGCCTTCCATAAATGACGTCACGCACCTGGGGGGGGGGGGGGTCAGACATTTGTGACGATGTGTGACCAGGAGAGGGGGGGTGGTGAGAAATGTGACGTCACATCAAAATGCGCAACTTTAAATAAATATAGACAACACGTTCTACTTCATTAAATAGACTTTTTAATAAATGTTTTCTCCTACAACATCAGAGTGCAGCGCCACATTAAATACGCACTACAATGACAATAGTTTAAAGCGATTTGAAGCATGTTTTATTGGGGGGGGGGGGCAGAGCTTTGTGACGTCATATTTGAGGGGGGGTCTAACTTTTTGTGACGCCGTGTGACGAGGGGGGGGGGGGTCAAAAATCGTTCAAAATCGCGTGACGTCATTTATGGACGGCCCCTTAACGCGCTTTTCGTGATCACGCCTGGTACTGTACTGCGTGGACCAGATATCTTGTGACCCCCCCCCCCCCCCAACTTAATTGACCCCTACAATTTTTTTCCCCTTTGCATATTCATTTCTGTTTTAAATAAACATTACTCTAAAAATATATTCAGTTTTAGTGAATGTAATGGGTGAGTGGGGTGGGGGTGTCACAAGACTTCTGGACCACCCTGTGTAACATTGTGCATATCACCGTTTCCGATTATCTCCGCCCGCCCCCCTTCCAACTCAGACCCGCGGAGACGCGGACTGTGCAGGCGGAGAAGACGGTGAAGGAGTGCTGCCCCGGCTGGACTGGAGCACTGTGCACCGACAGTGAGTGTGCGACAGTGGCCGATCTGGCTGTCGCCTGATGAAGCTCGAAACGTCGTACGCATGTTGTAAATGTCGAGGCTTGGCTCTCCAACTAGTGACGAATTGGCCACATTCTGTTTACGTGACAAACCTGACTAGTCGGGTGGTGGCGGGTTTAACGACACATTTATATATTTACGCGATCTAACCCCCCCAAAGAAATCTCTATTATGGATGATATTGGTCGCGAAAGTTTTCGTGTTAAGATGTCCTTCTACTCCAGCCAACCAACTTGATAATTCTCACAGTGTGAGGCGGGGGGGGACGGGAGTTTCCCAGACGGTGTGCCCGTCGCATTACACGGGCAAACGCACATGTCCGTGCCATGTGTTTGTAAAGCACTTTGTTTTCAGCGCTTATGGCAATGACTGTCTTTGGGAATTAACGCGTGCGGTTCAAGGGATGCCGAATGAGGGAATATTACATGCGAGAGGATGTCCACAGCGATGAAATCAGCTCGTGTGAAGGAGCCGGAACGTGAGAGATGGCAATGGCTTGGGGAGGCCGTCACTTTTATAGATCGTCGATGATGATGATGGTGACCAATCAAATACATTTGCACTCACACCATATCATTTTTATTAACTCGTGACGCGTGTCCGAGCAATGGCATCACTGACTGGCGGGACGCTAGCCGATTCTCACCGGAGCCGAGGCGGTTCGCAGAGTTGGGTGGCAAACTCGGCCCACGTCGGTGGCCGTCCTCCAGAGGTTGCAACCGGGTACCCGATAACCGTACCCTACCCGATACCCGGCTACCCGTACCCGGCCGGGTACGGGTAGCCGTTTGCGACCCTGGTGCGGCCGGGTACGGGTACGGGTAGGCCGTGAGTCACTGGTGAGTCACCGTTTGTCAATCATTTCGGGTAGGGTACGGGTAGGGAACGGGTACCCGTACCCTGGTGCGGCCGAGTACGGGTACGGGTAAGGAATCAAAACCCGTTTGCGACCTCTGCCGTCCTCTCTCCTCTGCCCAGGGCTCTCCTACCCGGGCATTTGCTACGCGCTGCCCGACTGTGGCAACGGCAGCGACGCCGACGGTGCGGGCATCGCGCTGTCGGCCATGGACGAGTGCTGCGCCAACGGACTAGCGCAGAGTTGGCGCAACCTGACGTCGGCGCGGTGCGCCGAGTGCCCGCAGCTCCTCATCTCGGGTGGGCAGCATCACCGCGCCATTGGCGGATCGTGCCGAGATCTTCGTTTAGACGCCCGCCGCCCCCCCCCCCCCCCCCCCCACAAAAATTTTTTAAGACAAAAATCCCCCGCGTAGCCTCAACGGACTTTCGGGGTAAAAGGTGTTAGAGAGTTGCACCTATGAAGGCCGGAACGGTACACGGGGGGTGGGGGGGGTGGCCAGGGCCACGCCCGACCGCCTTTGTCTCCCCCGGTGGTGATGTTTACGCACCGCACCGGGTATTCATTTGAGGCTGAGTTGACCTAGGGGAGGCCCAGGACCGGTTCAGATAATCGTCAGTGGGTGTTGGCCGTGACCGGGAATAAAACCCGGGTCGCCGGGTTCACGGCGCAGCGTAGCGCTAACCGCCGCCACACGATCACACACTTGCGCTCAGCGGGCATAAGAAGATGCTTACTCACTCATCCGCGTGTATTTACATCATCACCTGTTTTGTTGTGTGTGCTACACCGATGGCTCGTAATGATTGACGACGACGGTAATGAGCCACGGCGAGACCGCGAAAGCCGTAAGCGCACGCGCTCTGCCACACACGGGCATCGCACCGTCGCGCGCCGTGCCACTCACGCTCTCGCCCAACTCCGCGCAAAATGCAGGGGGACCCGGGGCGCCTCGCCTCCCGCTCATCCACGTGGCACCGCAGGCGGGCGGCGACCCCCGTCTCTTCGGCACCTGCGCCACGTGGAGCGGCTTCCACTACCGCAGCTTCGACGGCAGACACTTCCACTTCCCCGGGGCGTGCGCCTACGAGCTGGCGTCGGCCACCGACGGCACGTGGGCGGTGCACGTGGCCAGTGCCCGGGGAGAAGCCGCGGTGAGGGAGACGGGCGCGGAGAGTGTGGTGCGGTCGTGTTGCCTCGGCTGCAAGCTGCCGCAACGCGGTGGACGCTGATTTTGCGTACGACTAAGTCGATGTCACCGTCGCCTCGACCCCACCTCCTCCCCCCGCCGGCGGTCCTAAGTCACTGGCGTCCGTGTAACAATAAGCGGAGGATTAAATAGATGACATCTGTGGCTATCCGTTTACCCACGGAGTCTCGAGGATTTATTTTCTGGGAAGTCTGTGGCGTGAGATTATGCGGTCGCTTCAATAAGTGGGTATATTTTTTCGGGCGTGGTGTTAAAAATTTGAAGAGCATTTTAGAAAACCCGTGCGAGAGATGAGAGAGAGAGGGTGTACATTTGTACTCCGCACGGGTTGGTCATGGACCTACTCGCACTCCCGCACCCCACAGGTGTTTTATCTACCGCCACGCGAGAGCATCTCCCGTTCCTGATGCCGGCAGCGAGACGGTTCCCCCCCCCTCCAACCTCCTCCCCGGCGTTGCGATGATCAACGTCCACGTTGGGTCTCGTCTCTCTCCGCAGGAATTGAAAATCCTGTTTGGCCTTGAGGTGATCAAGGCGACCAACGGCTCCGTAGCGGTCAACGACGTCGGAGTTCCCCATGGGCATCCCTACTTCCAGAAAGGTCACCCCGTGACCCCTGACCCCGCCCGCATCACCGCATTTGATGCATATAAAGTATCGATGATCGAAGTTTTTTTATGATAATAATAATCATACTTTAATAATTTATAGCCCCTTAGTTTAGCCAGTGCTGGATGAAGGCTTCCCAAAGCCCTGTTGGTTGTGCGGTGATTTTGACCGTGCTTCACTACCACTGGTCAGTGCAGGGTGGTGAGGGTGGGGGCCCAGGATTAGTTGAGCCATCACCTGCCACTTGATTTAAACCTGATGAAGACCGCTTGTGTTGCGATCGAAACGTCGTGGGTTTTTTGCTTTAGATATTTTTAATTTATAATTTAAATGTTACATTTAAATTTTATTTAGTTATTTTTATTTCATTTTTTTTTCTATCTACGCGACTTTACCCTTCAAATAAAATCAATTCATGATTGAATTTGGTTACTCGCATCATTCAATAGCGCGAGGCTATCACACGGGAAGGCGCTATGTTTCACAGAATCTGCAGTAGTTTTTTGCAAGAGTGGTGATGTTGCTTTGAGTCTAATCCCAGTTGAGTATCTTCTGGGTATCATTCATACATCTAAGTTCACAATTATGTGCACATCTTCGTGTGCACGCTTATACACAATCGAGAGATTATGGACAAATGTGAGTTCACTAGGACCAGAATAACATGACCTTTGGCAGGTCATAGGGTAATATTGGTTGACCTGAAGAAGAGATTGGAGGTGGTGAAAGGGGTGGGTGGAGTCAGGGTGGTGCTGCGGTTGTAACACTCGAACCGCAATCGGAAGGTCATCATTTCAAATGCCGGGTTGGGGGATAAGTTAATCTCATCATCCCTTCGAGTTCCATAAAATAAGTACAACTACATGGTAAGTCGGCCTGTCCCACCACCCACCTTGGTAAAGTGAGATTCCCACCGCCGGCTTCGTGCCGCCGATGGCGATGAGCTGGGGACGATGTTTTGGCGTTTGACCGGCTCTGGTAACCTGCGTGACCCGTGCGTGGATGACAGGCGTGAGCATCAAGTGGATCGGGGACTTCGTGTTCATCGAGAGTGGCCTGGGCGTGCGCGTCAAGTGGGACCAGGAGCGCGCTGTCTACGTCACCGTGACCTCCGACCTCAAGGGGCAGACCAGAGGCCTCTGCGGCTCCTACAACGATGACCCCGGCGGCACGTGTTTACGTTTTGTTCATTTCCCGAAATGTGCCCCTCCGCAAAGCTCTCGGATGCGTTTACGAGTTGTGCGTCGCGTGTTGTTCAGCACCATATCCGACGTTCCGCTCCACATGCTCGGAGCTATCCCTAAGATTTTTTTTATGGAATGAAGACCACAATACAGCCAAGTGGAGACATGCGTATTTGCTGGGATTTCGTGGATATCACACATTTTTTTTCTTGTGTGATACACCCAACCCGCAGGGCTTGGAGAAGCCTGTGAGATGGCCGTACAACGAGTAGGCCTTCTGACCTACGTAATATCTACGATGTGTTGACCTAGTAGTGTTGTCTCGTTGTGTGCAAGGCTTTAGTTCCAGCCACCCCAATTTCTCGCCACATGCCAAATGCTCTATTGTTTCGTGCAGATGACTTCATGACGGCGGAAGGGCAGGTCGTTCAGTACGCCGTCACCTTCGCCAACTCGTGGAAAGTGGTGTCCGCAGAGAACGAGGCAAGGCATCGGCATCCTCAGTGCAGCCCGCATCCACACACGCGCCGCACGGCATTGATAACCAAGCTCGGCCACGCAATTATACGACTCGCTACGCTGGGTGCGGGGCCAGTAAGCTGCGCAAAATACTTTAATGAGTGTCCGTTCTCTGTCAGTCAGTAAGTCTCTCTGCTCTCTCTACTCTGAAGAAGTGTCATTGCCCACCATCTAAAAGATCGTGTGGTGTTAATGGTGTATGTGGTGAGTGTTTTTTTAAATTTGTGCTTGCTGGGCCATCTTCAGGCTCCGCTGATCGGATGAATTTCCATGATTCAGGTCACGATTCAATTTTAGATTTGCTACCTTTCTCAAATTTTGGTTTCGTTTATTTCGTCTCGTTTATCGTTTGGTCCGTCGAGTTTGGTCTCGTTTGTTCTATTAGCATCAAGGTAGTCGCCACGTAACGTGCGTGAAACCTCGAACGGGTCCCACCGATCGAATGGCGGGATGCCGAGCGTCGATCACATCCGTTTACTTTCGGCCCGGTCGTCTTTCTCGCGCAGGGCTGCCGAGACTCGGCGGAATTCGGCCACGCGTGCCGCCGCGCGGTGGACCCCGCGCTCATGGTGGAGGCCGAGGCCACGTGCCAGCTGCTGCTGGCGCCGCCATTCCGCCAGTGCCACGTGGAGGTGAGCGGCCGCGTCGCGCCGTGCCCGCCTCTAGGCCGCGTTCTCACAACCCGACGAAGCGAGGACTGGAAATGCGGTGACCTGCACGAGCCCAACTCCCGGTTTTGACGCTCAGTTTTATAAAACTGCACATGGCCCGGCTGTGGTGTTGACATGGTCCAGTGGCGGTGCGCATTTGGCACTTTTTTTTCTCCAGAGATTCGAATCTGGCAGGCGGCCCTGGTTAATCCTTCTGCTTCCCTGCTTCGCAGCGGTCGTTAAAGATCCTGCAACGTCATTCGAAACGGAGTAGTCCATTGTTTGCCGGCGTCAGCGTCCACATTTTACCGTTATTCGAAAAATTACCCAAAAAAGACACACAGCAACATCGCCCCAAATTTTTACTTAAAACTTTCGTAATTGCAGGAATTCATATTCTTTGGCTCTTTCGGTAGAGTCACGTATTTCTTATTACTATTTGTCTATCTACGTGACTTTACCGAAAGAACCAAAGATAATATCGCCCCAAACGCGAAACTCCTGCAGAATGTATCCGTGAAACACCACGGCGCCTTCCTTCGCGACGGTAGCCTTGCGTGCGATAAGAACGATGTTTGCCGGTGCCCCGCGCACTAAACCCATCTAGCGCTTTCCCGCTCAGGTGGACCCCACGGAGTACTACGACGCCTGCCTCTACAGCTACTGCCGGCCGCCAGGCCCGACGGCGGGGGACCCCCGCGGGGGGCCCCGGGCTGCGGCCGTGTGCGACTCGCTGGCCGGGTACGCGCGGGAGTGCGCCCAGCGGCGGGGCGGCTCGTTCCGGTGGCGCAGCGAGCGGCTCTGCGGTAAGAACGGCGGCGTTGTGCGTGCGTGCACGTTGCCCATCGTCTGTTGCCCGTCGTCGTCGCCGCTTGCGTCCGTCGGCAAATATAGCCGGCCCGGTTTGCTCGGCCGAGAGAGTGATGTCGCTCGCGATTGGAAGTTCGTTGACTCAGCGGGCTCATCATCCCCCTGGAATTGATGTTCATTCCGCTTCGCGGGGAAAGTCAACAGCGGCTGGGAGATTTTCCCCTGCCATAGGAATTTATGATTTCCATCACTGGCTAAGAGATATGAACAAGAATCCCCTTTGAATTTGTCAGCGTATACGCCAGAGATGATTTGGATTCGTGAAGTCGAAACGCACTAAGTGGCCTCTATGATGATTAGGGTTCTTTATTAACAGTCGGGGGCTCACAGAGCCAGATAGGATCCTCATGGTTCGTTTTGAGAGCAGCAGAGTTGTGGTAATACTATAATAAATAAAAATGAGTATTTTAAACAAATCCATATATAATCATGTGTTATTCGTCTAAGTAGGAATATTCTATTGACTTACAATAGTCTCATCAGCCGATTAAACAAATGCTGCTGTGTTGCCTGTGTTTGAACGGTAGTGGTTAGAGCACTCCGCTCTGAACTCTGAACCCGATTCCCGCTCACGGCCAACATTGGTGGCGAATATCTAAACTGGTACCGTGACTCCTCAATGTTGACTCGGCCTTAAATAAGTTCCTCCTCATGTACTGTGCTAGCATCGATAGGTGCTCGCTCACAGCACTTGCCCCAGCATTTTGCTCAAGGCTATACGGGGGATGTTTGTCTTTGCACGATGAAATCTCACCATGTACGGTGCCTGGCAGGATGTCTCAAAATTGATCTGATGACCCAGTGCCACTGCTCGCTAACTTTGGTGACGCGAGCAGAGAAAATAAACACAAATAGGAAATAGCTGACCTATAATAGTTGGCCATGATGCTCTTCCCCCACCGGTCTCCTCCTTGCCTGCTGTGGCATTTTAGAGTCCAGATCGACAGTGACTGACGCATCGGTGGAGCAAACGCAAGTCCGAGACGTCACATACTGACCGTGGGTTTGGGCAGGAGACATCGATAGCACTGGTTGAGATGAACTCCTTCCTTTGTCTCAACCACGAGACTAACGGTGGAATGGCTGCCAAAGGGAGGGAGTTCAAGCACCATGAAGATGAAGAGATCAGATCTGCTCACGTGCGGGCGCTAGATGTATTGTCGCATTGCAAAATTGTTCAAGGTAAGCAACGGCATGGGAAGGACTACATCTAGCAGTGGATCGATCATGGCTGATGATAATAATGACGAATCATAACATTGGTTTCATTTCGATTTAAAGCTTTCGTGACTGCAGGGATTCGGACGCTGTCTTTCCGACAGCCTTGTTCTTCACCTGAGGACGGCTGCTTGCGTTGTGGCCGAAACGTCGTGAGAATTGTATTTTATGTTTTATTTTTATTATTTTATTATTTCCCTTCTACGTGACTTTACCGAAAGAACCAAGAAGATGAACATTGGTTTCCACTGGCTCGCGTGATTTTCAGTGCTTTCTCTCTCTCTCTCTCGGCCCCCTCGCAGTCAGGATTCAGCAGAAAAGGCGGTGGGAGGGGAACAGGGTGGGAGCGCAGAGACACGTGGGCGATTACAATTATTTGGAGCCGAGGGATTTATATTGCAATCAGCATTGTGCCCCAGGTCTCTGGACAGTGTCACGGAAAGTGTGCCCTGGAAAATCTCCTATAAGTAACCCATAATTAAGAATGCACAATAAGACCGAGCACAGCGTGTAATGTACATACGCACGCGATGGGGCGTTGCAATATAATGGTGGATGAAGACCTCCCAAAGGCATGTCAATCACGGAGTTCGTTTGACCCTTTCTTCACCACGCTGCTTCGTACGGGTTGGTGAAGGTGGTGGGGGGCAGGGCCGCTTTCGATATCACTCGCCACGGATGTCAGCTCTGGGGGGAATCAAATTATAACTATAATAATAATAAATTTCAGCTCACAACGTGCCACACAGTATTCGCTCGAGAGAGACAATGACTCGGCGCTCGTGGGGAACCACGGACGAGTGGGAAGGCAGCCAGACGGTGAGCTGGCACAAATTATTTCCCAAGCTCTGCAGTCCTGTACATATAGCTCTTTTTCAGAAGCGACCTGGCCACAAATGATAACTCAACGAATTGGCTGATGATGTGGAAATTTACAGCAGCCAAATACTCTAAACGCGTGATGTTCATTCTGAACGTGGAAGGAAAAACGGGAGGACCCGGAGAAAAATCCACGTGACCACGGGGAGACAGACACGCAAATATACAGCAGGCGTCAGGGTCGGGATCGAACCCACGACCTCCTGTATACCAGGCGAGGTAGTTAACATCTCGCCACTGTGATGATGAAGAGAGAGAGAGAGAGACACGCAAACTCTAAATACACAGCAGGCGTCAGGATCGGGATCGAACACCACGACCTCCTGTATACCAGGCGAGGTAGTTAACATCTCGCCACTGTGATGATGAAGAGAGAGAGACACGCAAACTTCAAATTCAGCAGCAGGCGTCAGGGTCGGGATCGAACACCACGACCTCCTGCATACCAGGCGAGGTAGTTAACATCTCGCCACGGTGGCACCCCATACACAGCGGAGGGTAGAATGCGTTATCGGTGCGCGGTGGTGGCGTCGGCGGCGTCTCGATCCTCATCCGCAACCTGCGCATCCGTCCCACCACCGCAGCCAGGAATTGCTCCGGCGGCATGGAGTTCTCGGACTGCGCGTCGCTGTGCCCGGCCACGTGCTCCTCCGTGGGCTTCCCCGAGGAGGCGGCCTGCAGGGAGGTGTGCGTCAGCGGCTGCGAGTGCCCTCGGGGCACCTTCCTGGAGGGCGGAGCCTGCGTCCTAGCCGCGCAGTGCCCCTGCTACCACCGCAAGCGCAAATACCGGCCCGGGGAGACCGTTCAGCAGCAGTGCAACCAGTGGTGAGGTTTCGATTTAAAGCTTCTTTCGTGACTGCAGCAGGGATGCATCTTCTTGGTTCTTTCGGTAAAGTCACGTAGAAGGAAAATAATAAAATGAAACATAATAAAATTATTGATAATTGGTTCTTTACCCTTCTACCTGGCAACAAAACTGACACCTTTTTACAAGGACTCCTTGTAAAAAGGTGTCAGTTTTGTTGCCAGGTAGAAGGGTAAAGAACCAATTATCATATTTTTACTAGGCAAATGAGGTCCCCATAGAATAAAATTATTCTCACGATGTTTTGGTCACAACGCAAGCAGCCGTCTTTAGGTGGAGAACAGGTCTATCGAGGAAGGCAGAGTCTGAATGCCTTCTCGACAGACCTGTTCTCCACCTCAACGTTCATCCTACAAAAGTGCCATCAGAAGGTAGAAACACTAACAAATAGACGACATTTGTTGTGCCCGTATTGAAACGGCTGTACGCCGTATGGACCTGAAAACTCAATTTCCCTGTACAAGAATACGGGGTAAACCTTACGGGTTGACAGGTAGGGAGTAGGCCAAAATAACCTCCAGTACAGGGCTTCCCTACAACTCTCTCTAAGTAGAGGCCCTTATAGCCAGGAGTGGCGTGAGCGAGCAATTACAGGGCTTCACCCTTTATTGAGAGCCTATGTTTGTCCAAAACATTGTTGCAGGGGACCAGCTTCAAGTAGTTCCCCCTTTTCACTCCTGTTTACTGTACAGAAATCGTGCGATCGAAAACAACATCTGCGGAAAGAGCACCGGCCAAAAATGTCGTGCCGTTGTGTGCGACTCTCCTTTGCCCCTGGGCCAGCCTCCCAAACCTCGGGTCCAGCGATTGCGTGCGCCGGGCGCTTAAACGATCGTAAACACAGCCATACAGTAGCCTGCCGGCGCAAGTTCCGTTTCGTTTGCGGAAAGAAAACAACTGAGCAGGCCCCCCCCCCCCCCGTAAACACTCTCATCCGCCACTCGCGCAGGAGGCTCGTAAATAAACAGACGCTGGCTCGCATTCAAGCGGCTCTGGAGTTGGTTACAGTCACTGGCTTTTTTTGTTGTTGGGCTCGGTCTGCTCACAACTTAGGGAACAATTGCAAGCGCTCGCTACAACTTGCGCGTGTTTTTGTTGTTGCTGCAATGGTGGCGTTGCATGCAATTAGCTGGAGATTGCATCCGCGTAATGATTATAATAATTGAATAATAATTTCGCTCGCTCTCGAAAAGGGAGGGGAACGACTCAGAGGCGCGATAGAATGAGTCCGTGAAATATGGGGGGATACATGAAAACTAAATTAAAAAAACTATAAACATTATTTAATTTTATCAGGTAAGGAAGGCCCACTGAGATATATAGCACTTTTTCAGAAGCGACCTGGCCACAAATGATAGCCCAATGAAGTGGCTTATCATGTGGAAATCTACAGCAGCCAAATACTCGAAACGCGTGATGTTGATTCTAAATGTTGGAGGGAAAAACGGAGGACCCGGACAAAAATCCACGTGACCACGGGAAGAACATGCAAACTATATATACAGGCGTCAGCGTCAGGATCGAACCCATGACCTCCTGTATACCAGACGAGAGAGTTAACATCTCGCCATCGCAGCGCCTAAATTACGATGCATCCATAATCCCTCCATATTTCACCGACTCATTCTGTCCCGCCACGGTGCCAAATTCCTTCCCCCCTCCCCAAGCTCTGCGTTCCTCTAAATATGAAGGTGTTACAGGACCGTTATTGAATGTTTACACGCGGGAGGAAACTGGAGCACCATGGGAAGACCCACACGTGCGAGGGGGCAACGCGATACCCCTTGCATTTGGAAAAGTTGGAGTCTACATTCTCTGTATCGCCTGCCCCTGGCAAGCCAGGGTATGGCACCTCAACGCCCAGGGGAAGGCAGCTTCCAAACACCAACTCCTGCTGTCTCCACAGTCTGTATTACATGCCACGTGCATAGCCACCACCGCCCGGATCACTTTCAGTGGAGATTTACAAAACTCAGTTTATCATTGTTATTTGCCAAAAATGTGTAAAAATTACCCGCAAATTACTCCGTAGCAAACATCGTCCTCTTCCTGTGCAACTAGCGGAAAGACTGTAAGAATCACGGCTGTGAATGCCAAATGCAACCCAGTCATTGTCTGCGTTGTTACACATGTAAGCGGCTCTAACTGCGCTTTGTTTCCCTGCACGGAAGCGTGTGCCAGGGCGGGGTGTGGAACTGCACCCAGGACAGGTGTTCAGCGGAGTGCGCGCTGCTCGGCGATTCCCACTACGTCACGTTCGACGGGAAGCGCTACTCCTTCCAGGGCACCTGCGACTACGTCTTGCTCGAGGTGATGTGCGTTCACGGTGACGCAGCGTCTTACCGTCACGACCGTCACCCCAGCCGCGTTCTACCCGCTCCCCTTGCTCCGTGTGTATGTCGACCTTGCCGATCTCGTCAAGGAGCTAACTCCGGTCATCCTCAAAGCAGCGGCTTTTGGTCAGCTGTCGAACAAAGATGGTCACCGCATCGCGCGCTTTCAGGTGGCCTTCTGCGGCCGTCTGGAACGCTCTTCATTCCGAAATTACGAAGCCACTGGAGCTATCCAATTTAAAGTCATCTAGATTGATAACTCATTTAGAACTGCTTTTTGTCTTGAGTTTCTTGTCTTTCCCTCGCACCACCGATTAGCGCGGTTGGCTGCGTGCGGTGTGAAAGAAGTTCAACATACGTACATACATAAACAAGGTGTGACGCACGACGTCGCCGGGACCAGAATTGAGAGACGCCGCTGTCGAGTCTGCCGGCTCTGTAACGCGCCGCGCACTCGCCCCTGCGCAGGACTTTGTGAGCGGCAAGTTGCTCGTCATCGAAGAGAAGGGCGCCTGCGCCGCCGTCGGCTGCAGCCGGACCCTCACCGTCACCGTCTACAAGACCACCGTCCGACTGCGCTTCACAGGTCCGCCGGCGCGTCCGCGTCACTCGCGGGTTTTCTCCTGGTAACTCCGTTGACGTGACGGCGGATCGCGGAGCTTGTCGTCGACTCGTTCGGGGCGGCGTCCTGCCCCGCTTGTTCCACGTTGGTGTCTCCGCGTGGTCGCCGCGCAGGTGAGGTTAGCGTGGACTCGCGCGACGTGCGCCTGCCGTTCAAGAACCAGGACGTGTCCGTGTCGAGGGCGTCGTCCGCGTTCCTGCTCCTCCAGGCGTTCGGCCTCTCGCTGCTGTGGGGCCTCGAGCACCACGTGGCCTACTTGAGGCTTGAGCCGGCTTACGCCAACAAGGTCCGTGGTCCCGTGCACCGAGAATCGATGGCGAGGCGTGCGGGCGGCACCGCGGCCGCGACGGTGTCTATAAATCGGCCGTGCTTCCTCCGGTGCCGCAGGTGCGCGGTCTCTGCGGCACGTTCAGCTGGACCCAGAGCGACGACTTCGCGACGCGCGAGGGCGACGTCGAGACGAACGCCGCGGCGTTTGCCGACCGCTACCGGGCATCGCAGGGTTGCCCGGCCACCGCCCCCGAGCCCGCATCCGACCCGTGCGCCACCTACGCGCAGAGCCGCCCGTACGCCGAGGAGAGCTGCGCCGTTCTGCACGCGCCGACCTTTGAGGTCTGAATGCGTTGGTTGTCAACTTGCATTTACACATTCTAGATTTGAAGCTTTCGTGACTGCAAGGATTCATACTCTTAGTTCTTTCGGTAAAGTCACGTAGGTAAAAAAAATGAATTAAAATGAATACAAATTAAATAAAATAATATAAATAAAATAAAAAATAAATATTTTTATTTTATTAATTTTAATTAAAAAATTTTACCTACGTGACTTTACCGAAAGAACTAAGAGTAGGCATTTACACACTTCCTTCAGCCCATCGTTGACTCTCCCGGGCTGGTAAAGTGAATACGACTTTGTGGCACTGGTTGTCCCCCATCACATAGGGTGTCGAGTTTCCACCACTGACTCAGGGCTGTAGATGGGAGATCAGCACCGCCTCAGTTCTCATTTGGAGTAGGAAATCACTTTGCCTTTTGACTTGACATTTACGTGCCGTGCGGTGCTTTATCACTTCAAATAAACATTGGCGCAGCATAGCACTGCGGCCGAGCAGCGTGGTGTGGTTGACCATAGATACTGGTGTAAGGAATTTAAATGCGGGCCCTCCTTGTCTTAGTTACCCCTTTGATCCTCGGTAGCCCGGCTCCTAGGCCCCTACGGCTCGTGGACCATGGTGCAGTTGCGCTGCCTGCACACTCAACAGCTGTGTGCGACCGCTGCAGCCGTATATGTACGGCTGAAGGGGGGGGCTTCGATGGGGACGCTTGACTCACAATAGAAAGAGTTTGCAAGTTCAAATTCTGGTCGGGGGCCGACTCGACTTATCAGCCCTCAACTAGCGGTCATTGTTGGAAAATTAGCAATAGGTTTTTTTCTTGTTTAAAGGGACTGTTCCTTGCCATGGCAATATTGAATTTCCGCCACTAAGAGATAAACACCACCCAATGCTCGTTTTAAGCATGGAGAAACTTTCACCTATTTATCGTAGATTCTAATGAGCCCGATATATGATAATATTTTTGGGGTAGTCACATGACCCCAGTGGTGGCGCACTCGCCACTCGTTGCAGAGGTTTGCACCATCAAGTTCACAGCGGACATCGAACATCCCATTAAATAATTCGCAAAGTCTAGAAAATTACAGTGTGCTGGCATCATTGTCCAAATCTGTCAAATTTCTAAAATGTACCTGCAGTTTCTTCAGTTGAAACTTTTGCAGACTCGTCTGTGACACAAAGCGCCTATTGTGTAGATCTTCTTCCGCACCGTACGTCGCCAAACGCGCTAAATGGAATGGCGCGAAATGCCAAACGTACCAAAAAATATTTGTTCCCGTGCACTCTGGCAGGCCTGCCACGTGGTGGTGGAGGTGTCTCCGTTCCATCAGCTGTGCCTGGCTGCGGTGTGCGGGTGCGGGAGGCGATCTGGCGGCAGCAGCAGCGGCGGTAGCGCCGGCTGCCTCTGCTCGGCAGTGGCCGCCTACGCCCGGGAGTGCGCGCTCGCCGGCGTTCCCACCGTCTGGAGGAGCGCCTCCTTTTGCCGTAAGTGTTCGTTGTTCTCCGCAGACGACATGTCCCTTGACGAGCCTCATTTTTTGCCCAGACCGCATCGCTAAAGGTGTTTTGGCAAGTGGACGTACGCACGCACGCACGTACGTTGAACTTCTCGGTAAGCATTTAAAAAAAAATACCTTAGTTTAGACAAGTAGGTGACTGATCACCGGAGTGCGAGTGACCGGCGCGGATCTTCCCGGGCGCAGCGATGCCGTGCTCCGGTGGGCAGGAGTACGCCGAGTGCTCGCAGCCATGCGGGGCCACGTGCGGCGAGCTGCGTCTGGGCCTGGCGTGCACCGGCGTGGAGAGCGGCTGCGTCTCGGGCTGCAACTGCCCCCCGGGGCTCGTCCTGGACGAGCAGGGCCGCTGCGTGGCCCCGGAGCTGTGCCCGTGCCCGCAGGGCGACGCGCTCTACCCGCCGGGACACACCCTCACCAGGGGCTGCAACTCCTGGTAAAGCGATGCGAGCAACCCCCCCCCTCCCCCTATCCTGGCCCTTCCCCCCCCCCCCCCCCGAGTCCCCACTGAGTTCTCGACTCGGGCCATGGGTGATTATGTTCGTGATGTGTTGAGCCTGGCCGTGTAGGTGATGTTGCGCGTTGGTGTCTCGTATGGCTTTTGTGGGACCCTGCGATTGTGAATGTGGAGGATCTTCTTGGTTCTTTCGGTAAAGTCACGTAGAATGGAAATAATAAAATAAAAAATAAAAATGTTTAGAAAATCTTTTGATTAATAAATGTTCTATTTTTATTATTTTATTATTTCCATTCTACGTGACTTTACCGAAAGAACCAAGACGATGAATCCCTGCAGTCACGAAAGCTTTAAATAGAAATTTAATGTGGAGGATGTTGAGGTGGCGAGATGTTAACTACCTCGCCTGGTATACAGCAGGTCGTGGATTCAACCCCGATATTTGGAGTTTGCTTGTTCTCCCCGTGGTCGCGTGGATTTTTCTCTGGGTCCTCCGGCTTTTCCCACCACATTTAGAATCAACACGCGTTTAAGAGTATTTGGCTTTGACAAATTTCCGCGCGATAAGCCACTTCGTTGGGCTATCATATGTGGCCAGGTCGCTTGTGAAAAAGAGCTGTAGAGCTCAGTGGGCCTTCACTGTTAAAATAAAAAAATACTTTAGTTTAAGTGCATCGCTGCGTTCGTTTAGGTAAATTACAGGTCAGGGCTACCTGATGTTCCAGAGCGTCTGTGTGTGACGAGGTAATGATGCTGCCGCAGTTTAACGAATAGCACACCGGACAATCCACAGGTCGTTGTTTTTTACCGACGTGACTTTACCGAAAAAAACAACTGAGTATGAATCCACAGGTCGCCGTTTCAATGTCCTGGCGCGGCGGTTGAAACAATGGGCACGTTCCTGTCCACGCAGCGGTATAAATGGGTACCATCACGGTTACGTGGCAAGGAGGGTTTGCCTGTGGTGGGGTAAAGTGGAGGTAGTAGGCCAAATAAATATCAAATCTAGATTAGGCCAAATATCCTCGAGTCGAGAGGGGGCACGCTTCGAGCTCCCTCTAGTGGAAGCCCCTTCCTCTAGCAATGGTGTGGGCAAGTGAATTCAGTGCTGCGTCTTTACCTTTTATTTGTTTACCTCCATGTAATTGTGTCTGAAGACTCCAGAAAGCAAGCTCACGCATGCAGGTTGAATACGAGGTGGAGTGTATTAGGGAAACAGTTTTGCAGGCTGGTAAGCCAGTCGATTAAGCAAGTTTCTCTTTTGCCAGAAACAAATACAGTACATCACACTGGCCAATGACTGTGTAGGTAGGTGACACTAAGACCTGGCACCTGTACCGGTGCTACCTTTTTTGCCGATCCATTGCTGGATGAGTCATGGGGGTAAGCATTTGACCATACTTCACCATGCTGGCCAGTGTGAATGACACTCTTCCCAGGTCTAAGTTGCCAAAGAGGACGTATCTCAGGATGATTTATGTCTGGACTCGAGAACATCGTTAAAATGTTCACATTTAGCAAATGACTGTAAAGTCACCCGGTATTTGACCCCGGAGAAGAGGTCAAATTTCAAAAGCGGTAAATCTCTTGTCTCAGTGACCTCATAAAGTGAGGCCCAGCTCACAGTCAAAATCGTAAAAAATAGCATCACTTGGTCAATTTCAGTTTGGACATATGTGTTGTGGAAGAGGTGCAGCGGTTCGTTCACTTCGCTACAGAACTCACTGACATGAGTTTGAACCAGTCCTGGGCCTACTCTATCGCCCACTCAGCCTTAAAGGAGTGCCTGGTGTGGCATATAAACATCAGCACTGGGGAGACAAAGGCAGCCCAGTCTTGGTGCTGCATGGGCATATCACCACCCCCTTGTGGACCACACTAGCCTTAAAAGGTGCTCGCTCACAGCACTTGCCCCCTGCAGTCCATACAGGCTATACATGGAATCTTTACGTTTTGTCTGTGTGTGTGTATGTGTGATGTTTGTGCTTTAGCCACCCGGCGCTCCGCTCGTTGTTGTGAGTGTCGCTCCTCCGCCCCCCGTTGTTGTTGGAGGGCGACTGCCTCCAACTGCCCAGTAGCGTCCTTCACGAGCCTCCTCCACTGAGGCCGATCTTGACACCGCTGGTACCAGTCATCAGCAAGTTGGCAAAGTAGGGGGCACAGGTGGTGCATCAACCAGTCATCTCAGTTATCTCAGTCAGTCGACCCGTGGCACCTGCTGGGTCTGCCCCGTGACCTCCTGCCAGCGGGCGTTCGACACTTCACGTGGCCTCAAGGTGCACATGGCCTGGCACAAGCGTCGTGGTGACGTCACCGCCACTTAGTGGCGAATGGCGGTTGTTGTGATGTTTGTCTTTTATGTGTGGGTGTGTGTTTTATATGAGAGCATACTGTTCGGACCAAGCGGTGGTAGTTTTATGCTAAATATTCGTGTCGTTAACCCTCTACCACCCGATTAAATTGTCACGTTTATAAAGATATTATGTTCACGCACCAGCGGGATGGTTAATGACGGGAATATTGACGTAATACCCCACCACGTGGTCTCACCCTGGGGTCGGCAACCTGCGGCTCCGGAGCCGCATGCGGTGGCTCTTTAAGGACTGCGGTGAAAAAAATGGCTTCTCTTGTTATTTGGGTTGCCGACCCCTGACCATGAAAGTCCAGTTTACCATGGAAGTCCAGTTCACCACGGAAGTCCAGTTCACCATGAAAGTCTAGTTTACCATGGAAGTCCAGTTCACCACGAAAGTCCAGTTTACCACGGAAGTCCAGTTCACCATGGAAGTCAAGTTCACCATGGAAATCTAGTTCACCATGGAAGTCCAGTTCTCCATGGAATTCCAGTTCACCATGGAATTGAAATACTGTTTTTTTTACACCCGAATTCGAAAATAATGTCTCTTGTTGTTGTTGTTGTTACTTTGGTTGCCGAGCCCCCTGGTCAAAGCCACAAATAAAATTAAACGGACCTTTGCATTGTCTCCGAAAAAGAAAAACGCGACGCTTTCTGGTTCGCCCGCGCTATGCCGGCTGGCAAGAAGGAATTCGAGTGGTAGGAGATGTTTGATGAAATCACCCTATGGCCTGTTCTGGCCGTCACGCACAGGATAGGTTGATTTCATTGCATATCTCTACCACATGGCAGCAGACGCCGAGGGTCACGGAGCGGAGGTGGGGGAGAGACGCCGCCGCCGCCGCCGTGGGGTGGGGAGGAGTGCGCGAAAAACGCGACGACGTCTGCCTTCGGGGGGGGGGGGGGGGGTGCCGGGGGGGATTTCTCGCCGTCGGCCTTCTCCGTTCGATTCACATTCCCGTTTTATTTTGTAACAAATTTTATTCTGAACGACCCGTGATACATTTCTTGCGTGGTTATTGAGTTAAAGCACATTGTTGTCAATATTTTTTCCCTAGGTCCGCTCTTGAAAAAAGAGAATGTTTTTGAATTAATGCACTTATATTTGGAATGATAATGATTAAATATTTAAATATGTACTTAGCGACACGTCATTTCGTCATGGTCTGTGGTGTTTCAACAGTGGTTGTTCAATTTAGAATGGCCCCTGCCATGGGAATGTGGAATTTCTGTCACTAGCTCAGGGGCACCAACAGATGTTATGCCATTTTTTTTGTATTTTACCAGGTAAGGCTCACTTGAGCTATGTAGTTCTTTTTCAGAAGCGACCTCACCACAATTGATAGCCCAACGAAGTGGCCCATCTTTACGGAAATGTATAGCAGCCAAATACTCTAAAACTCATGATGTTGATTCTAAATGTGGAAGGAGAAACTGGATGACCCGGAGAAAAAAAATCCACGCGACCACGGAGAGCGAGCGCGCGAGAGAGAGAGAGACACGCAAACTCCAAATATGCAGTAGGCGTCAGGGTCTGGATCGAACCCACGAACCTCCAACCTACCGGGTGAGGTCGTTAACATCTCTCCACCGCGGCGCTCTTGACGTGCCCCTGCGTGTCGCCGTGCAGCTCCTGCGTGCGCGGCTCCTGGAACTGCACGGACAGAGATTGCCGCGACGCCGGCCACTGCCCCAGCAACCAGCGGTGGGGCCTGCACCCGTGCGTGCGCACCTGCGACAGCCCGGACGGCCCCGACGCCTGCGCGGAGCCGCGGCACTCTGGCTGCGGCTGCCCCGATGGCCTGGTGCTGCTGGTGAGGGCCCTCTGTGTGTGGCATCAGGCCACGGTTGTTGGACGAGATCGTTTGGGGAGTGGGTTCGGCCTGCAAGTTCGCGTTTTTTTGTAAAACGTGGTGGAAGTTTTATCCTAGATTTGAAGCTTTCGTGACTGCAAGGATTCATACTCTTTGTTTTTTCGGTCAAGTCACGTAGGTAAAAAATGAAATAAAAATTAAAAAAAATAATAAAATCACTATTTTTATTAATTTTCATTTAATTTTTTTACCTACGTGACTTTGACCGAAAAAACTAAGAGTATGAAAGTTTTATCCATACCACATTGGGTACGATGATTGACTAAAGGGCAGCACATGTAGAAGGTGTGTCTTTTAACACAATTCCTGGAATTTGTCCATTCATTGTCGGTGTTGTGATTTGTGTTGTTGTCATCGCCGTAACCGGCAATGTCCACGAAAAGACGATGCGTAATGTGCAAGAAAGATACGTACTCGAATTTAACATAGGGGCCGTCCATAAATGACGTCATGCACCTAGGGGGGTGGGTCAGGCATTTGTGACGATGTGTGACAAGGGGAGGGGGTGGGGTTTGAGAAATGTGACGTCACATCAAAATGCGCAACTTTAAATAAATATAGACAACACGTTCTACTTAATTAAATAGACTTTTAATACATGTTTTCTCCTACACCATCAGAGTGCAGCGCCACATTAAATACGCACAATGACAATAGTTTAAAGCGATTTGAAGCATGTTTTATATTTTTGGGGGGGGGGGGGGGCAGAGCTTTGTGACGTCATATTTGAGGGGGGGGGTCTGATTTTTTGTGACGATGGGGGGGGGGGGGTCAAACATCGTCCAAAATCGCGTGACGTCATTTATGGACGGCCCCATATCAAAACCAGAGACGATATACGAATCTTCACTCACAGTGTTATCATTTCATGCAATAACCTTCTACTTGTGGCATGTCAGTTTGGTGAAGATCCTGACGAAAACATGTTCAGGTGTGCTTTAAGGACAGCAGATTATTGTGGGAGCAGTAAACATCGTGGGAATGGAAAGTACTCGCAAATGTAATAACCTTTGTGCAACAGGGATAAAGCGAGATAAAGCCAGGGAAATAAAGCCAACCATGTATTGCTTCAGTACATTTGCGATAAGCCCTGTCTGCACACACTCGACCGATACGCTTCCTCCGAACACAATTGCAATCGAAGGTGCCTTGCTATTGCCTGACTCCGCCGGTAGGTGGGGCTATGCAACAGCGCTGCTGATAGTCGCGTCCGCTGGTCGCGGAGTTGGCTTCGTGCTGCCTCACGGACGCGGTTATCCGGCTTGACCACCTGAATGTTAAATTGTAATTGTCGCTCTGCATCCACATCAGCAGCCATGCGAACGAAGATGAAGAAGCAGCAGCAGCTCCGGCAAAGTGAAGATGCCCTTCAGAAGGAAACGGCGCAGAGCTTGCCTCGTTCTCGACTTTGTGGCGAACACACTGCACCTTTTTTTGTGTACAATGTCCATTTCAAATCGGTTTCCCACTTTTTTTTTAAATTTCGTTCTGGGTAAGAGCCGCTTAGCCCCCCGTCACTCAGTCACGGGCCAGCTTGGGTGACCACTGCACGTGAAAGCCGTGCGTGGTGGTCATTGCGGGCAGTGCAGGAAAAATAATTGTTGTTGTGCATTTCCCCTACTTTCATCAAGGTGCACTAAGCAGTGCGGTCAAGTATGGATCATACATCTCTCGTGGGCTGCAAGGCGTGGGGATCGCCTACCTTTGGCTGATGGTTCACAAAAATGGGCTGTAAATCGCAACAAAGTTGAGCGTCACGTGCGTGTCATGTGCGCTGCGGTTGTAATTGTGCGAATGGTGCATTGAAGCGGCACGTTCGCCCTCGTGTGTTGCCGAGCCTGGGCGTGTGTTGAGAACGGCACCGATGTCTCGACAGGACGATCGATGCGTGGCACCCTCCGAGTGCCCCTGCCATCACAACGGCATGGAGTACTTCAGCAACAGCACCATCCAGAAGGAGTGCAACACATGGTGAGCAATGCCGCATTGTCACTGAACACCCTCCTTACAAGGCCACCCAAGAGGCATCTGCAGATATATTGACGCGTCAATAAAAATAAAAATTTGAGGTCACCGGGTTGCTCCGTGCTCAGAGCGACGACTGGCACTGCTGGGTGTTAGGCTCAAGTGAGTGTTAGGTTGAGCTCGTAACTCTTCTTGTTATTAAGCTCGTGCTGGTAAATTCAACAATTCTTATGTCAGGACAAGGAACAATCCCCCAGAAACCCTCCCACAAAGTCACCTATTGCCGACAATCCTAACTCGCAACATTTCCGAGTCGAGTGCTACGCCGCAGCGCCAGCCTGACACAGTTTTTCGAGAGCGGTCGCCCGATGCCGGAACAAACGACGCCCTCGTCGCTCGCGCGCGTGTGCAGCGTGTGCCGGGAGCGGCACTGGGAATGCGGCCGGCGTCGCTGCCCCGGCACGTGCGTGGCCACGGGCGACCCCCACTACGTGACGTTTGACGGGCGGCCCTTCACCTTCCCGGGCGACTGCGCTTACGTGCTGGCGCGCGAGGCCTCGGGCCTCTTCTCCGTGGCGGCCGAGAACGTGCCGTGCGGAGCGAGCGCCGTCACCTGCACCAAGTCCGTGACGGTGGCCGTCGCCGGCACCACGGTGCACCTGCTGCGCGGTGAGACGCGGTGGGGGGAGTGGGGGGGGGGCGGCCGCCGATTGTTCATTTGACGCGTACCGGCGTGCGGGGAGGAGACACGGAGAAGTTCGGGGGCTTTGTCGCAGCCGCTGTGGTGGATCGAGAGCAGCTCCGTAGTTTGTTTCACCACGCTGCTCTTTTTGCGATGGTGAATGGTCGCGGGCAGTTGCTGTGAAATTACCAAACTTTTCGAGCTGAAACTTTGCCAGCCCTTGGGACAACATGGCACGGGTTCGTGGCCCATATGTGCAGACTTTGAGTCGTACTTTTTTCTTTGCGTGAGTTTTCTTAGGGTACTCCAGTTTCTTCTTGCATGCAAAAACACTTCACTTGACTGCACATCTCAAATGCAGGCGACTCAAAAGATTTGTATGTATGTACTTGCGATTTCATGAGACTTGGGATTTCCTCGATAAGCCAAGGACACAATTGTGTTTGATGGGTGCTGGGAGTAAGCGGTGGTTTGCGCACTGCACAATTACATCAGTGCCCAGCCACGGCTAACGTCAGTGGCGAACGATCACAAACCCAGGCCTTGCAACCCTCCCCACCCCACCTCCAACCCGCTTCACCAACCCACACTCACCGGCACGCTTACGCACGGTCAAAATACCCGCATGCCATGCTCATCCAGCAGTGGATTGACAACGGGCTGCGAATGATTTATTTTCGACACTATCCAACCAGGTAGTCACATTGACTCTTGCAAGTAGTAGGTTTTTACCCTTTCAACTGGTACAAAACTGACACCTTTATACAAGGCATCATGTTTGCAATAACCACAACACAAGCAGTCAAAATGCAAACAAAAAGAAACAACTCTGATAATGGTAATGATATGCACTGTCATTGAAGTTGATTGGTCCACACCCGAGACAGCTTTCCTTAGAGCCTAGTCTCCATTGGTGTTGGACCAGATGACGCCAAAAGGCGTACAACTCAACTCTTGCAAGGATAATCCAAATATGAAGCAAGCTGAAGTTGGCAAATGTTGAGTCCTTCACCTACCAGAGTATTGACAAATGGTCATAACGGGTATTTAATCCATGATAAAGGTTTTTGGGTTTGATCGCATGAATATAAATGCGTCGTTCGACCCGCCACCACCCTACGTAACCAATTTGTAAGGTTTGTAACGTAAACAAAACGTGCCAATTAGTTACTACTTCAGCACACCCACAACATTTAAAATTTGAGTACGACGTTTTGGGTGGTGATTACAACCAGCCTCATCAGGCCATCGCCAGAAAAGTGAAGAATTCCTCCTGTTCTGGTCTTAAATAGAGGGGAGTAAAGGCGATGTCACCACTGTGGGTTTATCAGGCACGAAGGCCAGAGAGCGGTTAATGTAGTCACACTTAACGTGAAGCGTCAGTTTAACTGTGTTCGGTACTCCATTGGAACCTCATTTGCCAGTAAAAATATGATAATTGTTTTTTTACCCTTCTATCTGGCAACAAAACTGACACCTTTTTTACAAGGAGTCATGTTTACATAGACCACAATACCTGCAGTCATAATGCAAACAAAAAACATAACTCTGATAATGTGCACTGTCCTTGATGGTGCATTGTCTTTGAGTTGTGCGCCTTTTGGCGTCATCTGGTCCAACCCATGTGAGACTAGGCTCTAAGGAAAGCTGTCTCGGGTGTGGACCAATCAACTTCAAGGACAGTGCACATTATCAGAGTTATGTTTTTTTGTTTGCATTATGACTGCAGGTATTGTGGTCTATACAAAGATGACTCCTTGTAAAAAAGGTGTCAGTTTTGTTGCCAGATAGAAGGGTAAAAAAACAATTATCATGTGTTCGGTACTACCTTTTTAAACCTCTGCATCTTTTATTGCAAGGTATTTACCTATCCCTTAATGTGCTTCCATGTGACTCGTTTCCTCCGCTGCCCCCCCACCCTCCCGCAAGGCCGCGAGGTGACGGTGAACGGGCTCGCCGTGAAGCTGCCCAAGGTGTACGGGGGCAGCGGTCTCGCCTTGCACCGTGCCGGGATGTTCGTGGGCGTCGCGGCCAGCGTGGGCCTTCACCTGCTGTGGGACGGAGGTGTGACCCCACGGGGGGGGGGGGGGGGGGCTTGCACGGCGACGGACCCCCGTGTTTACCGGCGGCAATTGATGAGCGCGCAGCTGTAAATGTGCTGGTTGCATTTTTGTTGTTGTTGTTTGGTTGTTGTTGTTGCTGTTGATGGTTAAATGTGACGCGAGCCTAAGATTTAGTAGCGCATCATTTCTGGTTTATGTCTCATGACTCTTATTAGGTTTATTTTCTTCATTCACGTTTTCCCACACTGCAACGCTGAACGTAGTGGCCGACATTACTGGTCATAAGCGTCCTTAATTATAGGGCCTATTTTACTTTTTTTATTGATTGTGTGTGCCATTTTATTATCGCAAACGTCAATTGAGATTGTAGGAGTACTGCAGAACACAGGAACACCAATACAAACGAGACAGCAAATTGAACGATTCGCAAATTCTACTGTGACCAATAATTGTGTCGAGAAATTACGAAAGGGAGCTAAAGATTGCTGTCGTTCCGAGCCTTACTTTCTCCGGTTCAGCGGAGTGCACGCACGCACGTACGTCTGCCGAACTCCGTTCTCACCGCACGCAGCTAATCGGAATGCGACCACGTGACCCGCGCTTGACCCCGTCTCCCCGGCAGGGACTCGCGTCTACCTCAAGCTGGACCCGTCGCACCGGGGCCGAGTCGGTGGCCTCTGCGGAAACTACGACGGCGACGCGGCCAACGACTTCCGCACGCGGCAGGGCAGCGTCGAGTCGACGTCCGAAGTGTTCGGAAACTCGTGGCGCATGAGCTCCGCGTGCCCCGAGGTGGAGAGTCACAAGTTCCCCGACCCGTGCGCGGTACGTGGTTCCCCGCCCCCCCCCCCCACCCCGAGCTGTTTTCAGCACTTAATTTTAGTTTTCAAATCTGGATTGATGGCTCATGTCTTTTGGGACTGCTTTTTGTGTTTCGTCTGTTCTTCTTCCACCATACCTCCGATTAGCACGGTTGGCTACGTACGATGCGAAATAAGTTCAACATTAATACATGAAACTACTTCTGCACCCGGCACACCGCATCCAGTATACCCGTACTGGAAGGAACCTCCTGGTTACAGCAGCCTACAGGGGATTATTGTGTCCGTCCGTCCGTCGTGCAGGGAGGGGCTGGGTGGGGAGGGAGGGGCTGGGTGGGGAGGGGAGGGTGGGGAGTGGCTGGGTGGGGAGGGTGGGGAGGGGCTGGGTGGGGAGGGTGGGGAGAGGCTGGGTGGGGAGGGTGGGTGGGGAGGGGCTGGGTGGGGAGGGTGGGGCTGGGTGGGAGGGGTGGGGCTGACTGGGGAGGGGCTGGTCACCCCGTGGTGCCCTTATAAAACTCAACGTTTAACCTACTCACGCCGGCTTGTGCCCGCCCTCACAGTCGGGCATATTTGCGGAATACACCACGCCGCCGTTGACCCTGGCCATTGACCGAGCAACCCAACGTTCCTACCAGCTCCCTCCGCAGGAATGTGTTTTCTGGGACTACGAGTCATGTACCACCTCCAAGAATAGAGCTACCCAGAAAACAAATTGGCGATGTTACTTCTTTGGGCTGTTTCGTCAACATGCGAATGTTGACGCAACAGCCCCATAGAGTACCTATCTTTAAATAGACATTGGGGTGGTGCTAATCTCAACCGGTGACCTTGAGTCACTGGTAGAAATTCCACAATCTCTGAGTCCTGGTAGGTACAGAGGAATGACAGGAGGCAACCGCTGAACTGCTGACATTACAATGTGATTAACTGAGAGGATAGCTGAGTGGGCTAACCTCAACTCGCCCATGTTATGATTCATAACAGATGCTTGGGTCAGATAAGGTAAGTAAAATATGTGTTGCACACCCTCCTCCACCCAACATAGCCAATTAATGAAGTCACGTGAACAAACGTGCAATCGTATTACTGCTTCAGCACATTTGCAGTATAAAACTTGCAGGATAAAATTAGCCACGTTTGTGCATCACGTGACAACTTTATTAATTTGGCTGTGTCGGGTGGAGAAGTGTGTACGACACACATTTTACTGTTCGCGATCAATAAAGCCAATAATTCATTGCAATGTTGGTCTCGAAAGCCTCGGGTGCAAAATTTTCCAATGCAAATCTTACGCAATTGTCGTGCAGCCATCCAGGAAATCCTCCAAGGCTCATTCCGCAGAATTGCTAATTCCGTCGTTTCAAAGACGGCGTTTGAATTGCGGTGAACGCGTCGCTCGCGCGAGCGCGTGCGATAGAGTGTGCGGATCGTCGTTGAACCCCCTCGCCGTCGCGGCGGTGTCGTCGGCACAGGCGAACCCCCACCGGGTCACGTGGGCGCGCAAGCGGTGCGGCGTGCTGAGCCAGCCGCTCTTCCAGCCGTGCCACGCGGCCGTGCCGCACGAGCAGTTCTACACGTGGTGCGTCTTCGACGCTTGCGGGTACGTCTGCCGCTCTGCCCGCCGAGTCCCCCGCCGGGATTCAGCCCGGCGTGTACCGTAAGCGGGTTGGCCGATGTTTTTTTTTATCATCGATTGAGGGCCGAATGGCCACAGTTAAGCTCTTTCTTGTGTGTCCGTCACTGGGTTACCGTTTAGGGATTAGGATCAATAACGGATGCTCACCCTGATAAAAAATGTCAGATGCTTATCTCTTAATAAATTGGGTAACATTCTCTGCTTTTCAAAACAACATTTTGTTTCTTTCACGGTCACTATTGGCGTTGTGTGCAGTGATCCATTAATATTTTTTCAGTAGCGTCCTGATTGTAACTGTTCACGACTGGTTGGAATCTGAGGCTTATTTCCGCCTGAAGACACATTGACTCCATACAAAATTTCTACAGAAAAACGAGGAAAATGTTCTCCCAACATTTTTCAACCACTGGCGTTAACGAGCGTATCGATAATAATAATAATCGGAGTAATAATACAATAACCGGAGACCTGGGTCGGACGTGCGGCTGCTCCCTCGCGCAGGTGCGACTCTGGCGGGGACTGCGAGTGCCTCTGCACCGCGATCGCTACCTACGCCGAGGAGTGCAACAAGAACGGCGTCTACATCCGCTGGCGCTCGCAGGACCTTTGCCGTGAGCCCCACCTCCCTCCTCCACCCTCCTGCTTCCCACTCATCCTCCTCAGCAGTATTAATGGGAGATTAGCACCATGAGAATGCAATCCAAAGGACATGTGAGAGATCTAAGAGAGAGGCACAGAGAGAGAGACACACACAGAGAGTCAGAAATAACAGCTGACATAGGCAGGTAGGATTGAAACATCACAGTCAGTTAAGACTTTACCTGGTCAATAACGTGTTTCCAATGATTGCTCAGTTTGTACCCATCTTCTTGGTTGAAGTGGTGTCTGTGTTTATATATCTGGATGGCTTCGTGAACAAATCTCTGAAGGTAGGGTTTACAGAGTACTTTCGTCTTGGAAAAATCAATTTCATGTAAGCCCACAGCTTTCAAACAATGATCAGCAATGGCAGAGGTATTGGTCCTACCGTGTATGGATTCCTGCAGTCACAAAAGCTTCAAATCAAGATTGTATAAAAAATAGTTATATACACGAAATACAATGCAAATTATTCATATTTTTTTTACTATTTTACTTACCAGGTAAAGCTCACTGAGCTGTGTAGCACTTTTTAAAGAAGCGACCTGGCCACAAATGACAGCTCAACGAAGTGGCTTATCACGTGGACATTTATAGCAGCCAAATACTCTACACGCACGTTGATTCTAAACGTGGAGGGAAAACCCCGAAGGATCCGGATAAAAATCCACACGACCACGGGCAGAGAGACATGCCAACTCCAAATATACAGCAGGAATCAGGGTCGGGATCGAACCCACGACCTGCTGCGTAGCAAGCGAGGGAAATAACATCTCGCCACTGCAGGACAATCACAATTGCCGTCCCATAAAGTGGTACTCATTTTATCACCCCAGGGGGAATGTTCAGTTACATGAATCCTCAACCGGGAGTTGAACTTTGCGACCCATTTGCTGTGGCAACTGCCACCACGTGCCCAGTATTATGCAAATTGCTCTAATTTAGCACTATATGTGCTACGCAGCGGCAGTTTAGATTAGGCTCACACGGTTTCCTTTGTGGGTAATCGGTGCACGCTCTACCACACTGAACTTCATGGAGGCGCACGCATGATTGGGTGTGCGATGTTAACTCGGAATGATGTCAGACGCTGTGGCGCATGACTCTAATCCCAGACACTTGCGGATCGTCAGATGTCCGGAATTATCCATGAAAGTCTCAGTGAATCCGGAGGGTCCCGCTTAGAGCGGCTGAACGATTCCACCTGCTCATTTGGCGACCTTTACACTTGGCAAGTGATCAGTTCCAGACAGACAGTCATGCATACATAGGTATAATGCTCAAAAATATTCTCGAATAAGGTCAGCGTTCTACTTGCTGTACTACCATCTATGAGTCATCTCATAGGTGAGCTACGGGCACTCGATGATGTCTTTACCCGTTCTCTGCAATATCGATGTTTTTGTCCTTTGTTTTATTTGCTGCTTTGTTCATACACTACGGATCTCCCTTCTAAAATGTATGGGAGGCTGGCTAAACGGAAGCATCGACCAAGCAAAGTAAACTAAAGCTTCGTGTGATTCACCAACCCTGCCTCCTGAACGCTGGGCCACAGGCACGCCCACTCCTGAGATGAATCACATCTCAGCAAACGTGAATGTGGAGCGCTGGCAGCGGTAACTCTAGCCCGCCGTAAACCCTTGATTTTTCCGCAGCGATGCAGTGCGACGGTGGGCTGGTGTACGAGGCGTGCGGTCCCCCGTGCCAGACGACCTGCCGGGACATCGGCAAGGAGCTGGAGCCGCACTGCCACGCCGTCTCGTGTGTGGAGGGCTGCTTCTGCCCCCAGAGCACGGTTTACCACGGTGGGGATTGTCGTTGAACTTCTTTCGCACCGTACGTAGCCAACCGTGCTCATCCGAGGTGCTCGGGGAAAGGGCAACGATTTTAACACAAAATGCAGTTCTGAAGAAATGAGTTTTCAATCTGGATTATTTATAAGTTGCGTAGTTCCGGTGGCTTCCTAATGTTGGAAGGAAGAGCGTTCCAGACGGCCGTGGAAGCGCATCTGAAAGCTCGCGATGCGGTTTTGCCAAAAGCCGCCGCTGCGAGGATGACCGGAGTTTGCGTGATGATGGTTTATGCTCCTTGACGAGATCGGCAAGGTAGTGTGGTCCATGTCTGGCAAGGACCTTGTGTGTACTGAGTCTTGCTCTGGCAGGCGAACAGCACACTCAAACTGAAACGGCTCGGTAGGCGTTCATTGCGCAGCTTATAATAGACTTGGACAATTATTCTGTCGTATGATGGGCAGATGATTTGCATCACTTCTAAGTGCAGGTCGACGTTGATTTTAGTTCGTTTTAGTTCATTGGTTATGTCTACAATGGGATTATTATCTGGTGGCAAACATCACGGTGCACAGTACAAATGTATCACATATCAAAAAACTAAAGTTATCACGGGTCAAGCTTAATTTAAAAAATCACGTATTTTTAAAAATATTGATCTCGGTTGGACAATCCTCCGTTATGTCCTGGGGGAGCTCATTCCACTCATTGTCTATATGACACATACAACTGTCTTTTCACGTATCACAATGTGCATGTTTTTTTAAATCTATATGTATATCATGATACATGATAAAAATGATTGAGCCAGTGGGCAGCTTTAGGAGTAGGTGAATGTCTGAATGTCTGAAACGCTGCCGGCGAACGATCGAAGCGGGCGCTACCGTCACCACGATGACGCGTCATCCTCCTCCTCCGTCCGACCGCGTGCAGACGGCGCGTGCGTTGACGTGGCCGAGTGCTCGTGCCTCCTCGACGCCGTCGAGTATCCTCCGGAGGCCTCCATCGTCAGAAACTGCAGGAATTGGTGAAGCGTTTGCAGCGGGCTTGCCGCGTCACGGTTGCACCGTGTTCCCGTACCGTAGCTGCGCCACAATCACGATGATAAAATAAACAAACTCCACCTGGGTTTTGCGAGCACTGCAGTGCGCCATGGGTCGTGGGTCGACACGGTAGCGAGATATTAACTACCTCGCCTAGTATACAGGTTGACGTGGGTTCGAACCCGACCCTGACGCCTTTTGTATAATTGCAGTTTGCATGTTCTCTCTCTCGCTCCCCCCGTGCTCGCGTGAAATTTTCTCCGGGTCCTCCGGTTTTTCCCTCCAGATTTAGAAACATGCGTCTAAGAGTATTTGGCTGCTGTAAATTTCCACGTGATTAGCCTACGACGTGTTAAACCTAACGCTCGCACCCTTCCGCCCTCTCCGCACGCGCGTGCTCGCGCCAGCACGTGCCACCACGGGGACTGGCGGTGCTCGGGGTCGCCGTGCGGCGCCGGGGCCGGCGAGACCGAGGGGGCGTGCGGGGCGACGGAGTTCCGCTGCGCCTCGACGGGGCGCTGCATCCCGGCGGTGTGGGCGTGTGACAACCAGGACGACTGCGGCGACGGCTCGGACGAGCTGTGCGCGGCGTCGTGCGGCCCCCAGCAGTTCCCTTGCTCCGATGGGCGGTGAGCGATGCGCCGCCGCTCGTCGTCATCCTGGCGCGATTAACCGCCCCGCAGTGAGATTTATATCACGGAATGGGGCTGATGGCACGGGCATGCGTCATCTCCTCCACCGCCGCCGTCGTCATCATCATCATCGGCATGAGTCACGGTGTATCCACTGCTGAATAAAGCCCCATCCGAGCCATTTGCCACCCTTCATGATTCTGCGACGCAAATATGCACGTGAGCTGACCTCGTCGCCGCGTCTCTCCTGTGGACGTAGACGGGGCGCGTTCACTGCTGCCATTAACGAGGTTAAAGGCCATCCGAATGCGCGTTCATTTGACCAGAGAGTGGTCGTGACACTCGTACAAGATTGCATCTTTTTCAAACCGCCAGAAGCAGGATTGTGTTACGTGACTTCTAAAATCTCAGGCGAGATTAATAATTGCTGTACTTCTCAAAAGTAACCCTCTCAGCATTGCAGAAGTCGCTGAATGCGTGGGATATGCTGTTAGGCGGTTTTTCCTGAGTTTAAATGTGGACTAATTAGTTACGCAAAAACTTGCCGTGTGTTTGCGTAACTAACATTCGTATGTACGCACGTGTATTGGCGAGGCTGGTATCGTACTGCCACTGCAAAGTTGTGGTCTGGACACGTGCCACATTCAACGTGGGCCGCGGCCGACTCGCAACGCCGTCACCAGCACGCGCCGTGCCCGCTGTGCGTCCGCCCCCCCCCCCCCCCCCAGGTGCGTGTGGGCGAGCGAGCGGTGCGACGGACAGCCGGACTGCGCCGACGGCGAGGACGAGCGCGGCTGCCCGGCGCCGCCAACGCCGTGCGGCGCCGGCGACTTCGCCTGCGCCAACGGGCGCTGCGTGCCGCTCTCCCGCGTGTGCGACGGCGCGCCCGACTGCGGCTTCGGCGACGCCTCCGACGAGTCGGGTGAGGCGCGGGAACGGGCGCCCCGGCGGGGCCTCCTACGTCGTTCATTGCCGGAGTCCGCGATGCGGCGACGATTCGGGCAACGTTGAGATCGAGAGGCAGGAGAGATCGAGCGTTGTAATATTTGGAGACTGAACTACGCACCATGGGTCCCTGATTGAAATGTGTGATGAATTCCTCTAATGGGGATATTTGTTGCGAGGCCTGAGTTTGAAGTGGGAATTCCATGTTTTTTTGGCAGGCACCAGTTTCTTTAGAGGACGGGCTCTCTTGTAATAATGTAATAATGTGCCCTGTTTTCATCAATTGGAACCTCGTTTTAAGCTCAAGTCTGTTGACGTTGGGTCCTGTATTCAGCGTGGGATGATGTTTGACCCATTAGAAAAAAAGAAAAACATTGGGGGGTGGCATAGGAGGAAATGAGAGTACTCAGACAAAACCCACCAGAAGTAGGAAACCGATAGCCATGGGCCGCGAACCCTACTTGCTGTACCACCATCGCCCGCCTGGCACGTCGGTGGACATCAGTTCACGGTCCGGCCCCCTCGCACCGCGCGACGACTCTCTCGGCGTGCCCTTTGCCAGCGTGCGGCGGCAGCTGCGCGTGGACCGAGTTCCGGTGCCACGTGGGCCGGTGCCTCCCGTACCTGCACCGCTGCGACGGGCATGACGACTGCGGCGACTTCAGCGACGAGGAGGGCTGCTCGTGCCCCGCCGGGTGGCTTCAGTGCCCCGACGGCCTCTGCCTAAGCCCCCTGCGCGTCTGCAACGGCCGGGCGGACTGCCGGCCCGCTGTGGACGAGGCCTTCTGTGGACACCCCGGAGGAGGTGGTGACGACGTGGGGCGTGGGGGCGGGGATGAGTTTTTCTATGACGGATTGTTGCTGCGTTGTTGAGTGCTACTCGCCTGCTGCTGTCGGCCTGTCCCGTGGAAAGCCACTGGGGTTCTGACAAAGTGGCGCACGTTTTATCGGCCCACGGGGAATGATGGGGGTGAGTGGACTCCCAACCAGGATTTTTACTTGTAGTTGCTATGAATCGACATCCGTGTGTAAGTTGCAGCCCTTGATCAGCCCCCCTCTGGATAAAGTGCACCCCACGCTGTGTCAATCATGAGGTTGTTTAACAATACCTCGCCACGTTGGTCATTGCTGGTTCATCAAAGGATTGGTTCGGGTGGCAAGACCAGTTAATATTTTCCCGCGGCCAGGAATTGAACTCGGATCGCCGGGTTCAGAGCACACCATCCCTCTACCCTGCATGCACGCTTCTTTAGAGCATTTAATCAGGAACCCTGCCTCGCGTATATATGTCCAATCGCTGTCCTTCCCCCGCACCTCCGATTCGCACAGTTGGCTACGTACGGTACGACAGAAGTTTAACGTGCGTATGTAACTGTCCCCACACCGCCCATGCCCACCCCTCCGCTTGGCAGTGCCGGTGACGTGCGGGCCGGGCCAGCTGCCCTGCGGCAACGGCTCCTGCGTGAGCGGGCGCCAGGTGTGCGACGGCGTCCCGGACTGCCAGCGCGGCGAGGACGAGAGCCCCGAGCTGTGCGCCGAGCGAGATGGCCGCCCGGGGGTCACCACGCTGACCCCGACCGCTCCCGGGGTGACCCCGACCCCCGGCTCAGGTAGCGGTGGGCCAAATGTGTCCCCTGGCGGCACCCTCGCTTGAGATTCAGCGACGTTCTCCTGGATCGCGCGAAGTACATGGCTATTCATCTTCTTGGTTCTTTCGGTAAAGTCACGTATAAGGGAAATAAGAAAATAAGAAAAAGAAAACGTTTTTTTTTATTATTTGTATTATTTTATTATTTCCCTTCTACGTGACTTTACCGAAAGAACCAAGAAGATGAATCCCTGCAGTCACGAAAGCTTTAAATCGAAATTTACATGGCTATTGTTATTTGTGTTATCGTCATGATCATTTGATTGTTCCTAACATAAATGAGCAGACGATAAGCCGTCCTTAGCCATATCCGTCCCTCCAATTTACAAAATAAAAGTATTACTTTAATTAATCTCATCTGTCACATGGCCAACCAATGCTGCTGAAAAACAATTCACTCCCAGTCGGCCGTGTCACCGACGGGGATGTGCGAGAAAACATACCAATCATATTTTTGTTACGTAGCGGGACGGACACGGAAAGGAGGCATGTGTATTGTCTCCTTGTTATTTACCTATTCAGAGTTTTTTTTCTCACTCGGGCTCTCGTTCCTTCTCGGCGCTCAGCACCCGCGCTCAGCCCGTGCAAGGTCACGGAGTTTGCGTGCGCGAGTGGCGAGTGCCGCCCCCTGGCTTGGCGCTGCGACGGCGAGGCCGACTGCCGGGACGGCAGCGACGAGCGCGGCTGCGACGGGTCGTGCGGCCCCGGCGAGGTGCCCTGCCCCGATAGCGGTGGCGGTGGTGGTGGCGGCGGCGGGCAGTGCCTTCGCCACGCCGAGCTGTGCGATGGCATCCCGCACTGCCTGGACTTCTCCGACGAAAGCCTCGACCGATGCGGTGAGCCGTCCCTCTGCGTGCGTGCTCGCGCGATGAAGTCGTCCCACAAAGCGTTCTTTGTGGTTACCTAGCTTCTGGTAGGAGCGTTTTTAAGTTAGTAGGAGTGTTGTTTCACGGCTGGAGCCCCAAACGGAATTTTTTAAACTGCATTTTGCGTTTAGTTGTCCTTGTCCCCGCACCTCCGATTAGTACGGTTGGCTACGTACGGTGCGAAAGAAGTTCAACATAAATCTAGAGTTTAAGTTTAACATATACGTACGTACAACATGCACTCACACACACAGCCTGTCCACATCGAGGCCACACAGCCTGAACACCACCACACCACCGCGTGCAACGTGTGCAGACGAGACACTCCGCAATAGGTGGCGCTGTTAGTCACGGAATGAGGAACATAGGGGCCATCCATTTAGGGGCCATCCAATTAGTACAGACGCATGGAGGGGGGAGCGGGGGGGGTAACCCAAATGCGTACGCTTACGTATGGGGGGGTCTACTGACAATGTACGCATAGGAAACGGGGGGGGGGGGGCGGTGAAGCCTCGATAATAATTTGTCTACATTGGCCTTCAAATGAGTTAGATAGTCCGGCGGTGGACTATCTGTTTGCTTAAACAGGTTCATATTATTAACACTTGATCGTTTCTGCATGGATTAAATATCGGCCGTTCTATAGGATTCGGGGGGTGGGGGGGGGGGGTGTAAAAAGTACGCGTGCGTACACGGAGTGGGCGGAGGGGTCAAGTTTTGACAGATTTTTGCGTTACGTCCTCTGTGTGTACCTCACCAGGCTCTGCCCAGATCCCTCCTTGCCCCGGCAATTTCGAGTGCAACAACCGGACGTGCGTGAATGCCAGCAAGGTGTGCGACGGCATCCCCGACTGCCCAGACGCCGAGGATGAGCTGTCCTGCGGTGAGGTTTTTTCATGACTACCGATTCGGCAATGAATGGCTGACTGATCGATGTCGAATTTGGTAAAAAGAAAGTCAATGCAAGTGGTGAATACGGGACGGTGGCCCTCAATAAATGACGTCACGGAACAGTGCTTAGTGAGCCACATGCCGCTCCAGAGCCACAGGTTGCCGACCCCTGCCCATGGTGAACTGGACTTCCATGGTGAAATGGACTTCCATGGTAAACTGGACTCCCATGGTGAACTAGACTTTCATGGTAAACTGGACTTCCATGGTAAACTGGACTCCCATGGTGAACTAGACTTTTCGTGCTAAACTGGCCTTCCATGGTAAACTGGAACTCCATGGTAAACTGGACTTCCGTGGTGAACTAGACTTCTGTGGTAAACTGGACTTCCATGGTAAACTGGACTTCCATGGTGAACTGGACTCCCATGGTAAACTGGACTTCCATGGTCAGGGGTCGGCAACCCAAAATAACAATAAGAGCCATTTTTTATTTTTATTTCAAGAGCCGCACCGCAGTCCTTAAAGAGCCGATGCTGACCCCTGTGCTAGAATGAAGAAGCCCTACAGGCAGGAAAGGGGCGGGGGGGTCAGGGGCGGCTCGCTCGAGAACGCACAGCACGCTGCGCACAGCGATGACTCGCCGGGCCGGTTGAACTCAACCTCGCCGCGTTGCCTCGCTCCGTCGCTTCAGGTCCAAGGGTGGTCGTGCCGCCCGACGACGACGCCGCCGCCGTGCCGTGCCCGGAGTTCACGTGCCTCACCGGACAGTGCCTGCCCTTCTCGCGGGTCAGTCCTCCTCTTCTTGTCTTTTTCCACGTATTCCAGCTGCCTAGTATTGCGCTCAGCGACGCTTATTGAGAATCTTAAGTGAAAGCCCACAGAGGCGTTTGACCCGATTGTTGTGGCTATTTTGGACGTTGCGCCGCCACTTTTGTGGAGGAATCGTGGCCGTTTTTGTGTAAATATGGCTTGATCCCACAACTCCATACAAAGTCCCAACAATAATGGGTAGACTTCTTCTAAATGCATAAAAATAAATTGTACATGACTTGGCCACAGTATTTCTAAATGTTGCTTGTGTTTTTGTTCCTAATCTACAATGTCTCGCTGTATCTCACTTAAACTTGAAATGGTTAATAGTCAAGGCAAAGTCAAAACGTGTCCTAAATCAAAGAAGAGCCGGGTGGGACTTCTGTCTTACGAAGCCCTGAGCCAATGAAGGACATTCCATGTTTCTATGTCAAGAGTTCATCGCCAAGGCACTTTTGAATTCCCACAAAGTAAAACTCGTGTTATTAACCTCAGATGAATCAAAGGCTACGTTCATCTTTGAGTGGGATTCCAACTCACAGCTTTTTTTTTTATTGTGAATGAATAACTCTAACCCCTGCTTGGCCCATCAATATTATAAACACGATCGTCTATCTCGTAATATCCTCATCTATCGTGACATCGAGCATCTCATAAGATGGCTTGAACCGGAAAACGCGCGCACGCTCGTCTCTCGCCGCTCGCCCGCTCACCTGTTCGAGTCGCCCTCTGCCCCTCACCAACCCCCCCCCCCGCCCCCCGCCCAGGTGTGCAACGGCGTGTGGGACTGCCCGGACCGCGGCGTGGCCGGCGCGGCGGAGGTGGCCTCGGACGAAGCGGGCTGCACCTCGTGGGGCACGTGGGGCACGTGGGGCGAGTGCAGCCGCGCGTGCGGGCCCGGCGTGCAGCGCCGCTCCCGGGAGTGTCCCCCCGGCCGGGCCGGAGACCACCACGACGCCCTCCGGGGCTGCCGGGGCGACGCCGCCGAGGCCCAGGAGTGCTTCAGCACGGCCTGCCCCAGTGAGTAGCCGTGCACGTCGTCGGCTTCTTCCTTCGTCGCCGGTGGCTTGGGAGTTTTGCTGACGTCCCTAGGAAATCCGGTCGCCCTGCCGTGCGTGTGTGCGGCTTGCTGTTTTGTCCCCGCTGTCACTGGCCCTATGCTCTACCCTGATGTGTGTGTTTGCATTTGCCACGTATTTGTAAGTCACATTGAGATGCCGTGGCATCTCGCAAATCCCTATTCTTATACGTTACTGTGATGTTAGGAAGAACTCAGCACATCTGTCAATAACAGCTCTGGCCTTGAAAGGAAGACATGTATAATAGGCAGCGTTTCTGGAAATGGCCCATCTTCATAGCACATGCGCCATGAAGGTGGGCCATTAGTTTGTGATGGTCGGGAACAATTTGTGTTGAAAACACAGACAGAAGAGAATGTCAAAGGCGGATCTGTGTAAGGAAAGAGAGAGGTGAGGCTGTATTGCAGTGGGTTGGATTACACAAGCGGAGTTGCCCTCCTGCGTTGGACAGCGCCAGCGATGTGTGTTTTCGGGTTGTGCCACGCGTCGTTGGACACGATGAAGCGCCCGCCTCCTGACACCATCGGGCGTCGTGCCGGACAACGCACGGGCACGACCCAGAAACGCGTCGGGAGATAGAGGAGCTGTCGTCGCGCTCACGAGTTGTTCATCGTTGTTTTTGTTGTTTTTTACTTAACTAGGAGACGGGGAGTGGAGCGAGTGGAGCGTCTGGTCTAACTGCACGGCGGCGTGCGGAGGGGTGGTCGTGCGGCGCCGGGAGTGCCGCTTGGCGGAGAACGGCGGCCTCATGTGCTGGGAGATTCCCGGCTCCTCCCGGGAAACGACCCAGATCCGTGTGTTTAATCCCCGAGCACGATGTTCACCTTACCGAAGCACCTCCCCACACAACGCTTGTCGCTGTTGCCGTGTTTCGTTTTGTACCTTAGCAGGGTCGACCCTGGATATAGTGCTCGAACGGGGGCGACCGACATGAACAAACCGGTGTTATTGGCTGGTGCAGGAACACTAAAATGTGGGCAGCAGAGGAGCAGTGCGCCAATGTCCAATGTTGTACTATACCGTGCTCCCACGTATATGCTCCCTAGCTTCACTAACGCGCAGCGCTCATTGCAGTGAAGAGTGGGCAAAACAAACCCCCACAGGTCCCTCATCCAGCATCGGAGTGACAACAGCGCTGTACGCGTCGCAAGCACACAACACAATTTACGGGAACAAAGAACACAACACAAGCCTTAACTTCACGAATCCCGATTTACAGCTTTCGTGACTGCAGGGATTCAGCTTCCTGGTTCTTTCGGTAAAGTCACGTAGAATGGAAATAATAAAGTAATAAAAAAAAAACATGATAAAATTATTATGTTTTAAAATAAAACATAATAAAATAATAAAAATAAAACAATAAAATTATTATGTTTTCAAATAAAACATAATAAAATTAAAATGTTTTATTTTATTATTTTATTATTTCCATTCTACGTGACTTTACCGAAAGAACCAAGAAGATTCACGAATCCCGTTTGCCTGCCTCCCCCCCCCAACCATGCCGTCCATGTGACTGCGACGCTCGGCAGAGCCGTGCCCCACGGACGACTGCCACGTGCCGGCGGACTGTGTGGGGGACATGTCGTGGCGCGATTGCGTTGGATGCCCCCTCACCTGCGAGGATCTGGTGGGCGACGCCGGCTGCAAGCAGCCCCTGCCCTGCCACGCAGGTCGGCCTCTCCCATAATGCACCGCGCCTTCTTCTCAGTGTCGACGCCACCGCTTGTGTCTGGGTCAAGGACAGGTCTGTTTTTGTTATTAGATTATTTGCTTGATAATGCACTTTGGATTTATGTAGTGCATGGATGCACTGCCGGGCAGTGGTGGTGCACGCCTGTGATGCATGTTCGTGTGTTGAACGTGGCCGACCGTGCTAATTAGAGGTGCCGGGGAAGGACAACAAACCAAACACAAAAATCAGTTCGAAGAAATTCGTTTTCAATTTTATATAGTGGTGTAGTGTATAGTGTAGTGTATTGTAGTGTCTCGTGTCCACAGGCTATCTACCTGTGGATACCTTCGGGCTGATAGCCTGTAGGGGTCCACTGACATTTGTTTCCACTCTTCTCTGTCTTGTGTTCAATGTGCTCATGTCGTGGCCACATCTTTCTGGCACCAATCTCGTTGAGCCATTCTCTATTACGTCTTCCTCTCTTTCCGGTTCCTTCCAATTGTTGTTGTTGTCGTCGTCCATCCCACACGCGTGCGAGCACAGGTTGCCAATGTCCCCCGGGCAAGGTGCTGGACGCCACCTCGCAGCGCTGCGTGGGAGCGGCCGAGTGTCCGTGCGTGCAAGACGGCGTGCGTCACTGGCCCGGGCAGCTCGTCAAGTCCGAGTGCAACCTCTGCGTGTGCCAGGACGGGCGGCTGCAGCACTGCCAGCCCAACCCAGAGTGCTCCGGTCTGCCGGCACCCCCCGCCCCCTTCCCCCCCTCCCTCCCGCCCCCCCCTCCCCCCCGCGAGACACCCATGGCACTTTGCGTTTTAGACCCAACGAGGTCACGCCGCACGGCTTCGCAATCAATTACTCGTCTAGGAAAAGCTTCGCTTGACTCTGTGTGGGAGGCACGTGGGCTACCAAGCTAGTCGGATGCTCTAATATGCTCATATTTAACTGTGGAACTGTTTTTTTCCCCATGCTGTTATAAAATGTATAATTACACTAATGTTGCTATTCATTCAGGTTCATAAAGAATAATAATAATAATGTAGTTGTTTTTAGATGCATCTCACTGAAACTTTGGGACCTTTTTGCAGAATCCCTTACATGGGGTTTTTGGGCCAAATCCTATTTGAATATATTAAAAAAAGCGAGATTAATCGAGAGAAAACCATAGAGAATATACATGTATATTAAAATAACATACACCTGTAGACTGGTCAGAAAGCGATTTACTGGTTTGCATGTTGGCATGATGTTTTGCATGTTGGCGATATCTTCACTATCCACCGTGCACATTGTTTAACCGCAGATTACCGATGGTAATTTGCTCACGTAGTGACCGCGTCTCGTCGCTGCCCCTGCAGTGAACTGCGGCTGGTCCTCGTGGTCCGAGTGGGGGGAGTGCCTGGGACCGTGCGGGGTGCAGAGCGTTCAGTGGTCATTCAGGAGCCCCAACAACCCCAGCAAGCACGGAGACGGCCTGCAGTGCCGCGGGATCCACCGCAAAGCGCGCAGGTACCGTGCAGCGTCGCACTCCCCACCCACCCACCCACTCCCCCACCGGCCCTCCTCTCCCTCAATTACTGCCACCCACCCACCCAAACACCCACCCACCGACCTACCGACCGACCCACCCACGCCGCCATTACCACCACCTCCTCCATCCTCATCATAAACCTCTCTGGTCCTGGACACTGAACCGTAGGGTCACGTGTCACCCCAAGTCTCTCACGTGTCACCTCAGGTCTCCCAAGTGTCGTCCCAGGATAAAAAAAGGCTTTGGCCTCAATGGGATAATTAGCCTATTTTAAAAAAAATGAGTATTGTAACGTGAAATTGGAGTACAGTGCCTGCAAAAAATGCAGATGAGACATAGCTAAGCAACCTATTTTCTGTACGACCAGGTTTGCAGCAGGTTCCTGCTACGGATCTTGTCCAAGTTCTCATTGGGTGCTTCGTGGGTGTCTTTGTGTCTGGCTGGATGGTGCCGCCATAGTAGAGCACTGGACTCAAAATTGGAATTGTCACGAGGTCAGGTCTGGGTTGGGGTTTGGAAAATGAGTACTACTTTGTGGGGGTCCTCCAGTTATTGTCCTGTGGTTATACTTCTCCCTGCCATGGGAATGTAGAATTCCCATATTCAGCTCAGGGACACCCAAAACAAATGAGAACGACCTATATCGCTTCTCTGAGCAAGAGAAGGCCCCGACTTTTGGCCTCGCGACCGATTCACGTGCGTGAGCCCCACGGCAACGAAGACGACGCACGCCTTCGGCCGGGGGTGGCGATGCCGTGGCGTGATGCCGGGGGGCTCGCCGTGCCCACACAGGTGCCAGACGGAGCCCTGCCGGGAGTGCCAGGAGGAGGGCATCCGTCACCTGGTTGGAGACCTCTGGCACGCGGCGCAGTGCCACCTATGCCAGTGCCTGCCCGACCTCACCGTGCACTGTGCCAAGTTCTGCCCCTACGCGGCCACCGGCTGCCCCGAGGTGAGGCCCATTCGGAGAATCTCCGGCAAAGTCGCGCGCCGTGTCCTTCGAAATTGTGTCACTACAATATATATGGTCAACAACAAAACAAAATTCTGGCCTGGACTTTTGCAGCTGTTTTTTTTTTTATTTTCAGGGTGCTGATTCCAAATCTGATCTCAGATTTGCTCTATCACATCTCATTTTTAAGCTATCGGCATACCCCATTTTCATTGATTTTACCCGAAATTAACTGTCACTTATGATTGCAAGTTGTTGCGAGTCAGTGACTGCTTTAGTGTTAAAATATGGTGCTGTATTTTTAGGATAGTGTGTTTATAATATCATTTTATGTAGAAATCCACATTTATTTAATATTTTTCTTCTGCAGTTTTTATTGAAAATGCAATATTTGATATCTCCAAAACCTGACGTGATAGACAAAAACTGATGCCAGATTTGGAATCAGCACCCCAAAATTACCTTAAAACGGTTGGAATACCTTATGCCAGAAAATGTGTGTTGACCAGTGTAATGGGTGGGGGCAACGGTTGACGTTTGGAATTACTATGGCTCACGCCACTGCTGGCAGAAAGGCCTCGAGGGAGCTCTAGAAAACCCCTCTAAAGGGTGTTTTAGTCTTCCAGGCAGGCTGTACATCTTTGAAGGAGTGGAAGTACCCGCACTTTAGCCCACCACATGCAACCTATTTTGTGAAACTCAATGATAGTATTTAACAGGTAAAGCCTATTGAGCTGTTCGATCTTTTTCAGAGGCGAGCTGGCCACACGCGATAACTCATCGAAGTGGCTGATATCATCATATAATGTGGGAATTTATAGTAGCAGCCAAATAATCTTAACTGCATGATTCTAAATGTGGAGCAAAATCCACGCCACCACAGACAGAAAGGACACGCGGACTCGAACTATGCAACAGGCATCGTCAGAGTCTGGATCGTACCCACGGCCTCCCGCGTACCATGGAAGAGAGATAACATCTCGACCTCCTGCCGATCAATTAACTGTTACAATCATAATCAGAGCTCAATTTCTCACTGAGTATGTTATGGGTTACTGGTAAGCTGGACTAGACACATGTTTAGTCGTTACAGCCATTTCAAGAAGTATACTGGATGTGGTGTTCCGGGTCGTTGACTCTCACATACTCAGCTGAAATTGAGTGGTAAAAAAAAATTATGCTGAAGTGAAAGTTTGTGCCACGATTTTTGCAATGTTTGTTTTTCAGGGCATGGTTCTAATAAAACAAGAAGATAAGTGCTGTCACTGCACGCCCAAAGGTTTGTAACATCGCAAGTCATGCTCCTCTGACGTATTTTGGCTACCAGGTGCCACTGTGGCAGATATATTTTTAGAATTGTACGCAAGTTCAAGTGTGGGTTGAGGGATTGACTCAGCCCGTCATCCCTCCAGGACCATTAAATGCGGAACACGTTTTGTAAAGCCAACGATGGTTTACTCTTGTGGAGAGAATGACCCCCAAGATAGCAATGTGGAATGTCCACCAATTTTTTAGGACCACCTCCCACCCCCCCACCCCTGCCCTCCCCCCCACTGGCGGAGATGAGTGCCGCCCCATTATCATCTGACTTTTGTTTAAGCACTGAGACACGTGCCATGTCACATGGCGGGCGGAGGGGGGGAGTTTCAAGTCAAGAGCCCTGTTTTGTGTCTCTCATCAGACTCGGATGGTTCAGCGGCGCAGGGGCCCACTGGCCTTCCGGACCACGACAGGAGGCCGCACCCATCGTGGACAACAATCGAGCCTCTTGGTCCCAGCGGTGGGCCCAGCCCCGGTACCTTAGTCTCTTCATCATAATTATAATAATGACGTTTTTTTTTACCCCGGAAAAAGAGGCTTCACCGAGTCTCAAAATACCACATTTGGGATTCTTTGATACATTTCATGCATCATTATTTTTTACAGAACACAAAATTACACATTTCTCACCGCTCTTCTCATGTGTAGCTGTACAAGGGTGCCACCATCTTTTGTCACGTGGTAATATCTGCCATCTAGTAATACAATCTGGGAAAAAAAATGATGCATATGATAGAATATTCACGCCTCATCCACAGCACATTGTTTACCAAAAATCGCACGGACAAGGGTTACCTCACGAGACGAAGTGTCCTTTCGGATCTCTCGTAGAGCAGTGCAACCCTTCGCGTCGCAGAACGGCCCACAGAAGTGGACTTCACAGAGCTACCTCTGAGATCCCTTCCAGCGACATCTGTTCCACGCGCAGCAGGGGACGGCGCTTGTTCATTCGCCAATTAAAACGCCCTCGCACGATTAACCCCGTTCGGCATCTCGCGCGCATATACTTCTCTCCCCGGCAGATTTGTGCTACAATTCTCTGGGAGTATCCGACCTCCCGAACAGCAGCTTCTCGGCCTCGTCGAACCAGCCGGAGAACCCGCCGCACGCCGCCAGGATGGCGTGGATGCCTCCGCCGCCGGCGGCTGCAGCGCAGCACGGGAACGTCACGGTGGGGGCACACGGCGTCGGTGACGACCCCGAGGCGCCGGGGCCGCTGCTCCCACCGTTGAGGAGGGTGGCGCCGAGGCCCGGCTCCGAGGTGTCTCCCTGGGAGCTGCACGGCTGGAGCCCCGCTCCACGCGAGTACCCGGGCCTCCAGCAGAGAGCGCCATACCTGCAGATCGACCTGCGGCGCCTACGCAACGTCACGGGTGGGTTGAGAGTTCTGACCTCGAGTTGTGCGTAGGATGTGGCACAGCCGCTTACAGATTTGGAGTCGAATAGCTTGTGCACGTGTATTTCCATGACTGGAACACCAAAACAACCCCTCAACTATCCAATATGCTCAAGCGTTCCTGAGCCATTGATGGAAATTCTCCATTTCTATGGTGGGAACCAGTCTATCCATAGTAAAACCACATAAAACATTCTCACCAATTGCTACAGCCTCAGAGATTGTTACTAATTTCATTAACCCCGGAGGTTTTCATTGGCTGGTTGTTAATACGATCTCCTGCCCGCCCCCCCCTCCCTCCTCCTACAGGACTGGTACGATGCGAAATTGTTGTCGTTTAAGTGCCAGGCTTGCGGACCTAATGAACGGCAGTAAATAAAGTGTACGTGCCTCGTTTCATTAAACATTCATGTCGTCGCTTTAAAGACTGTCCCACACTCTCGTGGCATCCATCCCCTTACCCTCGAAATCTGACAGAAACCACGTTGCAAAAAAAAACTGCATGTTGCGATTGCAGATGGCATGATTGAGCGATTCGGTTTATAATTGGAATGCAGGCACAAGGTGTGATATTGTACCCGTGACAACCCTTGCATCACCCAGGGCAGATTTGCTGAGAAGCCGCATTGGATTTCATGCTACGGTCTGGTGGATGAATCTCTTTGGGAAGCCACAGCCATCTCATTATGATTGATCTATGAAGCCTCCTGCACACGTTGCCCGAGACAGAGAAACCCACGGCAGAGTCTGTACCTTCACGTACACAATGCAGCGACAAGGTTTTACGTTTGTATGGAGATGGAGCAGTGAAATCAGATCACGTGCAGCTGCCAGGTGAATTACTACGGTGGTGTGACGTTAACTACCTCGCCTGGTATGCAGGAGGACGTGGGTTCGATTCCGACCCTGATGCCTGCATATTTTGAGTTTGCATGTTCTTCCCGGTTTTTCCTTCCGCATTTAGACCTGTCCATTTAGAGTATTTGGCTGCTGCAAATGTCCACGTGACGATAAACCCCTTCGTTGAGCTATTATTTGTGGCCAGGTCACTTCTGAAAAATATCCATGTAGCTCAGTGGGCCTTACCTGGTAAAATACAATTGTTTAGTATATAGTCTTAGTTTACTAACACTGCAGAATCACGAGAGAAGGTCACAGCGCGGAGAGACCTGCATCTTGCAGTTGATTGATCGTGACTGATGATGATGATGATTTTTGAGGTGTGTTCGGAACATGACACCATGGATATGATGATGAACAGCTTAATTGATTGAAATCAATACTTACACTCATCGCGCATGCATCTAATTGAGTGCAAGCATGCGTTATTTGATATTTATTCACGTTGTATCTAATGCTGCTGCCACGAGAGGCCCCTGCTTTGCCCACATTGATCAAATAAATCAATTGCCTCATGGATAGAATCTTGAAGCGAATCGCCACCGTAAAATCGCGACAATCCATCGAATTGCCAGTGGGTCACATCGTCGCAGGCCTACGTACGCGTCACCGCAAGAGGATGCATTGGTTTTCGGGACCTTTCATTCATGCAAAATTGAGTGTGAAGCTCTTGCGGGGTTCGCCTGCCCGAAGGCGGTAATGCTCAGTCTGCTTTAGCAGCTTATTTACGGTCCTCAATGAGAAAGCATATCCCTCATTAAATCCATCCCGTCCTCACATTACCAGAAACGGCTTAGTGGGTAATCACTCCCAAAATATCTCCCCCGATACTCTCTCACCGCATCAAGAGCCGGCAGGGGCGCTGGGGGAATTCATGCCCAATTAATACGCTTCATTATTATCTACTTTAGTAATTCGCTAATATAACATTCTTAAGTAGGCTTCCGTAAAAGCGTAACCTGCGCAGTATTGCATGAGGCCGTAGTGCAGATATCCGGGCCCGCAGTTTCATTCAATGTCAAACGTTTACACTTTAAGCGATACAAATTTGTCGCCTCGTAACTCACGGCGGAACGCAGCCACCGCGAGGTTGCGTTATATAACCTCGTCCCAAATATTTCAGCGGCATATTGCAAAACCGTGGCGCTTACCTGTGCACTCGTGCTCACAGCGCGTGCTTGTGAGTGCGAGGTAATGCAGCTGACACGCGGAACTTTGCTTTGCAGCTGCGCGCATTTTAGGGGGTGGGGAGGGGAGGTTTCTTTTCCACAAGACCATCTCTGTCTGATAATTGATTCCAGAGCACAAGAGGGCACGGGCCAGTGGTGAACTCTGACCGAAGCACTTTCTTGTTTTTTAAGCCGGCACCTTTTCTCTTGCAGACACGGTTTAGCTGTTTCCCTCTTCATGCTAAATATAACATTGAAGCACCCCAAATTGTTGTTTTCCCCGTTGTGCTGTGGGCGTCACGTCATGTCTACGAAGTGTCCTTTCAGATCCTTGCCAGAGCAGTTGGCAAACCTTCGTGTTAGGGAATGGCCCACAGAAGCGAATATTACAGAGCTACCTCTGAGGTCCCTTCCAAGCGATCTGTGGTCCGCACGCAGTCGAGGGCAGCACTTTACCACCTGCTCTGTAGTAATGTTCATCGCATGACAGTAAAAAAAAATAACAACGATATTTTTATTTTGCAGAACCAAATTTCATATTGTGTTTGTGTTGTTGTTGTTGTTGTAATCATTGGTGACCCGGCTGAGATCAGGTCACTACACTGGAGAACACGGTTTAATCACAGAGCGGCTGAAACCTGGATTCAAACCCAGGATCTCAGCGGTGCCAACTCGACCCTTTGACCTCTTGAGCCACCCACTCCCCTCCGGTTGCCCTCTTTAAACGTTTGCTTTGTGTTTTTAATTTGTGGCAAAAGAACCTTTGGTGTGACAATGTGTTGGTTTGACCCTTACTTGACCCGTAAAGAAATATAATTATGCTGTCAGCGGGCTCTTACGTGCCGTTAAATCGGGAAATGTCACATGCGATGTTAGTATGTGTGTAAGTTTTGGTGTGCAGTCTGTGTGAGTTGTATGTATTGCACGTGAGTATGTGCGTGCGCCTCAATGTGTGGAATATGCTTTGCATAATTAAATGCTGCACTGGCAACTGCGGGGTTGTGCACGTGGGACCCATTCTTCTCTGAATGCCACGAGACGCAACTGCCCCAATCCCCTGCAATTTTACAGAAAAAGTTGGGGTGCATTTAATTACACCGTAATCCATTATGCATGGGCGTGATCCCGATTTTTACAACTTTATTGACACCGTTTGGGGTGAATATTCGTTTTCTAAGCGCGTTAGGGTCCTAAGAATACATACGGTCGCCGTTTTTTACGGAGATTCACCCGCAGCGAATCCGGCAGAGTCTCGAAAAGCAGGCATCGGGGTGAAGCCACGCGGTGAAATTATGCAACTGGGTGCGATTGCCACCACTTCATGATTCAGTGAGAACTAACAGGGCCAGTGAACTCGATGGGCCATAACAAACCATTGCCTTTTGTCGCACTGCTGTGGCATGACACCACACAGAGCAACGACACTGCATTTCCCCTGGTGAACCAGCCACACACAGTTACGCAATGAGGAATTGAGTTACAGAATGGATCATGTGGCGTGTTTGTATTTGGACGGACCTAATTAGCAGCATGGAGTGTTGGTAGTTGTCAGGGCAAAACGCGTTCACATGTTTTCAAATTATCTTTTTTTGCATGGGTTATACCTTCAAGTTTTGGGCAAATATTTGATGATTTAAGAGATGAAGATTCCGATCAATTTGTCTAATTTCCGATAGAAAAAATATTTTAATAGCAATACCACTTCACACTAAAGTTTTATTTCACGTTAGACCATCTTCACGAGAGTTACAGTGTACTCCCCCCCTCCCACCGCCACCACCAAACCATCGTGGACAAACGAGCTACAAGAGAGCGCTCTCTGTGGGTGTGACGTGGCCAGGTGTCGTGACGCAGGGCGCCGGAGCGTTCGACGCCTACGTGTCGCGGTTCCAGCTGCAGTTCAGCTCAGACGGACAGATCTGGGTGCCGTACCAGGAGAGGGTGAACCTCTCCTCGCCCTCGCTCCCCAAGGTCAGCGTCGACACAAAGACAGAGGTCAAAGATGCCCCCCCGTATAGCCTTAACAGGCTGTCGGGGCGAGCGCTGTTAGCGAGCACCTATGAAAAGGCCGGCACGGCACACGAGGGGGTGGGTGGCCAACGCCACCGCCTTTGTATCCCCAGCGGCGGGTTGTTTTTTACACACCGCACCAGGTACTTATTTGAGGCTGAGTCGACCTAGGGAGATGCCCAGGACCGGTTCAGATAATCCTCACTGGTGTTAGCTGTGAGCGGGAATCGAACTCGGGTTGCCGGGTTCGTAGCGCAGCCTCCTCGGGCTCAAGTGGTGGCTGCTGGCCCTGACACACACTCGGAGCGAGTGACGTCCATTTAATCTGTGTCCACGTTTCAGCCTGGGCAGTCGGGTAGCTGCGGGTACTAATGATTAATCGATTCGTCAATTAAAATCTATTTTCCTATGCTCTCGATTTGTATCGTGCTGTATATATGGGTGGGTTTGTGCAGAATGTAAACAAATTGTATGAAAAATTCGCAAGTTATATCATTGCCCAATTCAAGAAGTGTACAATTGCTTGTCTATCACACCTTCAGTAATCCTGTTTGCTACTAGCTACTCAGTGTTTTGGGGGCTCTGGGCATTTTGCTCAGCTAACCGTGGTACAGATAGAAAATCATATTCGCGAATCATGGGCCCAAATAATCATGACAATTAGTAAAAGGAAGTTGGGGATAATTGTTCGATTTCTAGTGGAAATGTGCAGCGTACATTTCAGTGTGTGTAAACAATAGCAATGAAATACAATCATCAATCTTAATTTCATATGCTAAGCTTTTTTATAGCAAAATGCTTTTCATGCGCTTCCCTCCGCTGTCTGCAACGCAGCTCCCGCAGCCTAAAGCACCTTTTATGCATGGTGGTCACCCATCTGAACACTATCAACACCACCGGGATCTGGTGACTACGGGCCCATTCGGGTTGATTTGGTCATCGGCCGATAGCGGGGCAGCTCACAGCGAAAGCGACCTTTAGTCTTGTGCCGGGCACAACAGTTCACTACAACCCCCCCCCCCCCCTTCCCCGGCGTGTGTCCGCCGCCAGGCGTTTGAAGGCAACGTGGACGAGGGAGGCCTCACCTACAACTACCTGCTCACGGTGGTCACCGCCCGCTACGTGAGGATTCTGCCGCAGGACTTCCACCACGGCATCTACCTGAGGGTCGAGCTCCTGGGATGCCGTGACGGTACGGAGCTGAGATGTGGGAGCCGCCTCGACGCGACGTCGAACGAGACGATGCGGGGGCGTGGCTTTTGAGCAATGGCCGTTGATATTTGGCGGGTGCTCTTCAACTGCGAGGCGTACGGAATCTCACGGCGGTGTCGCGGTTAGCGCACTGCGCTACGAGGCCGGAGACCAGAGTTCAACGCCCGCTCAAGACCAGTTCAGTTCATTTTGAAGTACCCTATGAGCCAAAAACCAACAAAAACAACACCACCGCTTCTCCGACATACGCAACAAGTCACAGTAACATAGATAAATAGTGAGCAGTAACAGCGAATTGGTCTTGGGCCTCCCCTAGGTCGACTCAGCCTTAAATGGGTACCTGGTGCAGTGTGTAAACATCAGCGCTGGGGAGACAAAGGTGGTCGGGCGTGGTGTTGGCCACCCACTCCCTCACGTGTCATGTCAGCCTTCATAGGTGCTCGGTAACAGCACTTGTCCCAACAGTTCTGTTAAAGACTATATGCGGATCTTTGTCTTTGTTTATAAGAAAGTTCGAAACACGTACCCAATGCTGAATTTGGTATTAATCGTCATCATTGTCAAATATCATCATCATCATCATCAAAGACTGAGCAGCATTTGTCAGCAAGGTAAACCTACTATTATCCTGCAAATATGTATATATGAAACGTACTGAAGCGGCAATAACATCGTTTTTAAAACACAACATTCGAGCCCTGCCAAGCCAAGTCATGCATTTTTTATCACATTTCTGTGGTCGAGTCTAAATAAAGTCACAATCTCGCTGCTCAAAATGAGCATCGGGGCGGCACCCATCTCTATCTGGCAGACCCGGCCTGTTATTGACAAGATGACCATCGTTGACTACCCACAGAGGGCTGGTCCAGATCGAACCCCCGATCCAGACTTGAACTCAGGGCAATGTTGATTGCGGGTCAAGTGCTCCGCCACAACGCCAACCAGCCAGACACAAAAATTCCCAAGCGGGAGTTTGCGAAGGATCCCAGGCAGGCACCCGGTGCACGCACAATCCTACCACATTCCCATCCTCCTTGTTGTTTTTTGAGAATTTCGATTCATAATCGTGACCCACGCCCTCTTACCACAGAGCCACCTAGCCAGATGTTACCGAATGCGCGGTACAACAATAATAATAACATAACAAACGCTCAGTTGTCATTGGGTGAGGCCTCCTTGCGGAGTCATGACGTTACCATCGGCGTGGTTTCCGTTCGAGGCTGGACAGGTGAACCGACGGCTCCGCACGGCCCCCGCGCCACGGACCGGCCGCGCCTGCTCCCGCTCACCCCGAGCGGCCACGACGGGCCACTCACCGCGAGGCCCCCGCGCCCGGGCCACCGCTGCCGCGAGGGCCAGTTCGCGTGCCACGGCGGGGGCTGCGTGCCGGCGGGGCCCGGCGGCGTCGTTTGCAACGGGGTCAACGACTGCGGCGATGGCTCCGACGAAATGTACTGCGGTGAGTGTGGCGTAGGACGCCGGATTTAATCGACGCAGTCGTTGAATGCGGCGCGTTCAGCGAGGCGAGGGGGACGCGTTGAGATTCGTTCGCGGCCCGTCGTTGAGATTCATCAGTTGCTTGAATGATTTTAGTGTGATCCACCAGCCGCACGTCCAAAGAAGTGGATTGCAAACATTGTGCCCACCGCAATGCCTGGCTCAATAGCTGTGCCTAAGCAGGTGTTTTTTAATTATATAAATTGCAAATTCAGTCATAGGTGGGGGACGCATCAGCCCATCACTCTTCCAGGGATAATAAAATTAGAGCCATTTTGGAAGTCAAAACTAGTTTTCCTGTGATTAAACTACTCGCCATGGGTCATCATCAGTGGTTGACCTATGAACATTCCTCGCCAAAAGAATGTGTCATTTATTCACAATGTTTGCAAGTCAGTTTTTGGATGTGTGGGTTGGTCGATAACACCAAAATGATCACGTGTGAAATTTCCAACCTACAGGAACGATGAGATGGCCAGCAGATGGCAGTGTAGTAAGCAGGTTATTAATTTTTCATTACTGTCAATAATTTTTATTGTTATCCCCTTGCATGCATTTGTGAGTGTATTTATTTACACCCACTTACTCAATAACACACATATGTACAATGTACAACATGTATGTGCAATGTCAATTGTGGGAATTATTTGACCGTACTTCACCACGCCGGTCAGTGCAGGTTGATGAAGTGGTGGAGGCGGGAGGGTGGCGAACGGTTGAGACATCTCTCCTCAATGACGTTAGCCACAGGCAGAACTCGAACTTAGGTTGCCCGGGTTGGCACAGTGCGCTAACCGCCGTGCCACCGCTCCCTCCGGCCACCAATGAATTTAAACAAAAACTCTCCAATGTAGAACCCTCACGTGACACCCATTCTGCTGCACTCTCACCTCCGCCTTAGGTTCCGGGCTCCGTCCAACCATTGGGCCCAGGCACGGCTGCCCAACCGGGCAGTTCCATTGCGCGGGAACGGGCACCTGTGTCCCCGCGTCGTGGCGCTGCGACGGGCACGACGACTGCGGCGACGGCACCGACGAGGCCGGATGCGTTCCCGCCGGTGACAGGTGGGTGGCATTGGACTTGTTTGCTCACGGCACTCCAAAAGGGAAAGGCCTTGACTGGAACGAGCTCTCTTTGACACGTCCCTTTGGTTGCAGAGGTTGTTTCAGCCTACTCATTTTTGGAAAAGCTGGGAGTGCCCCACATTTTACCCCACCGCGCACGACTTGCCGATAGACTAACTCCGCTGTGGCGTACACGTTTATACCACTGGGTGGACAGAGGTAATGGGATTTAAGAAACAAAATCTAATTTAAATGGCGGGTTCATATCTGTGCCGTCTCTCTGGTCTAAGACCATTGAACTAGTAAACTTGAGAACTTGGTTTTGTCAGAGGCCATCACCCGGATTCAAACCCAGGGATGTCAGCATTGCCAGCTCAGGTGTTTCCACCCCTGAGCCACCTGGTCACCTCTTATAACCTCTGCTTATTATAGGTACTGCATTGCTCGATTTTACGGGTGCTTGTGCATCTTTTATTTCTCAATTTGCATTTTATTGGCTACATAAACGTCTCAGTCTCTGCCGGGTTCGTTATTATCCTCTCCGTTTTTCGTTGCAGCTCAACCCAAGTTGGCGCCACCACCGCGTCATCTCACGGCGACTTTGTCACGAGCACCCGGGCACCGTCGATTACGAGCACCGGTGGCTCGGCGGTGTTCCCACCGTGGGTCGGACCAGGCGGGGCGACGGCTCGGCCGCCTTTGTCTTCCGTGACTCAGAGAATTTGGACCATGGGGGGCTTCTCGCCCGGCATGCAGTGGCAGGGCAAGACTAAACCGGGCCCCAAGGATCACGAATCGGTAACGTGCTCCCGCGCCCGGCCCAGTATCACCAAACCGGTCAGCATTACAGCGCGGTTACTGCGCCCAAGCGTGGTTTACGGTTCGGGCCACGTGATCAGCACGTCGTCTCTCAAACTTTCGCCACGCACTACTGCGTGCGTCTTCGCCGGGCGGTTTGTCGATATCCAGCACTGCGGAGGCAGCAGCAAGGGTTGGTCGATCACCGCACACATGTTGTGAAACTCTCTGCCCTGTGGCTTCGGGGTGCCATACTCCGGCTTGCCAGGAGAAGGCGGTGCAGCAAATGTGGACTCTCATCTGCTCCGCCCGTTTGGGATTGAGCGCTGCACCCTCGCACGCATGGGTTTTGTCCGGGTGTTCCGGTTTCCTCCCACATGTTATTGCTAATTAATTGGCCGAAAACGCCTTAATATATAGAGGGACACGGAGCTCTGAGGATAATTTAGCGCCTGCTGACTGCCTGGCTGCTGCCTTCCTGCTTGCCTGTGGATCGTCGCGTCGCTGAGTCATTCTTGTGCGGCGCGCGAAAAGTTAAAATTATTATCTTCAGGAGTTGAATTACACGGTTACAATGCAAATTTGCAAAGTGCACGTGTGTGGCCGTATTTCAAGACAATTTACGGAAGAGGCAGAGTGGGGTTGTGTGTCATGGGTGGGGCACTGGAAAGCAAGGCTTGTGATTAGGGTAATGGGGCGGGTTATTTATTATATTTAATGTAAGAGGAGAGGTTTGGGGGTTGCGTCGGGGTGATGTGGATACAGCAAGAGACAGAAGACCGGTACAGTAAAGGTGAGAACGGAGAGGGTGGAGAAGAGGAATGACTTAACCCTTGCAGCGGGCGCAGCGGAGGAAAACGATTGACTTCACAACAGCGTATTTTATTAAACGCATACAGCATGGACACAACCGTCTGAACCCTAAGTGGTGGCCTTTGTACAGCCAATGGAAAAGGAGGGGTGGGTGGGGGGTGGCTGTGATTGTGGCTATCGACAGATAAATATAATTTGGGGGAGGGCCCCTAAAACAAATAACACCATGCCTTTGCACTCAGGTGCATTTGCACGCACGGAGAGACACACAAGCGTACACAAACCGCTGCCTTCAGCTTGTGAGTCGTGTGCACGAGAGACATTCGTTTGTTCTCGTGGTTTTTATATATTTTTTTTTCCCCCCCAAACAGACTCATCTCTCGGTCAGCACCAGGAGACCTGGCGTGACAAGCAAAGACATTCTGGCTCCCCGAGGTAATTTGGGCCCAAACAGGCGCGCGTTAACGTTGCGCGGAGAAATTAGGACGAGAGCGCGGTGACGGAGTGGCCGTCTATGCCCCGGGGGGGCCCTTTTCCAAGCCGACGCTGTGAGTGGTGCAACAACGTTAGGCGCAGTGGGTAATTGGTCATTGTCAGGGATGCTTCCGTAAAATAAATTCATTGCGATTTATATTCTTTGTTTCTTTCGGTAAAGTCACGTATAAGGGAAATAATAAAATAATATAAATATAAAACAATAAAATTCTCACGACGTTTCGACTGCAACACAAGCAATCATCATCAGGTGTGAAATCCACAGAAAGAACATTTTCTTTCTATGGGTGATGATGATTGCTTGTGTTGCAGTCGAAACGTCGTGAGAATTTTTATTGTCTTATATTTATATTATTTTATTATTTCCCTTCTACGTGACTTTACCGAAAGAACCAAGAATATGAATCCCTGCAGTCACGAAACCTTTAAATCAAAATTTGATTGCGATTTAATTTACTTTGGTGTCTTGTGTTGCTAACTGAAGTCCTCTCCCTGTCAGTGCCAACTGCAACTTTTTCTCTGCATGTCCTGCTTGATGGGCTGGCCGCTCCTCCTCTTCTGCTTCTGCTCTGGCCGTTAACATCCATTCCTCCCGTTCGAGTTCAGGCTTAAGACTTCTCCTCTGCATGTGGCTGTTTAAAAATCTCATCCTATCTTTAGTGCATGATAAGATTGTTTGGCTTTGCCACCACTCCCGCCTCCTCTTATCCAATCCCTTTGTTTATGACAGAAATTCTCATTTTATCTCCCCGCTGCTCACTCTCAGAATTGGAAGTTTCCACTTGCACGGCATTTTTTTTTTATGTGCCATCCGACAGATGTGTAACGATGCATCGATTCATGAATTAGGAGTTCCTACGCTCACGATACATACATCGAATTGTGTTTGTTATGAAACATTATTTCCCTTTAATGGTAAATTAATTGCGTACGGTAATGTAAAAAGACAAATTTTCGCAAAAGAGACGAAAACAGAGCACCAATATAAATGATACGGTAAAAATCAACGCGTCACAAATGTATTGATTCTTTAGTCGGATCATGACCCCCGAATTTGTGAAAACGCAATTAAATCGCTGGGAGTGAATTGTTGTCTGGATGGTGAACTGTTGCGTGTACCGACTGCCCCGTGCGGCCCTTGTGTGGACTCCACTCCGTGTGCGTGTCTCGTGCAGAGGGCTGCGATTTCCCACTGGGGCTGGAGGACGGCAGGGTCCGGTACCAGCAGCTCAGCGCCTCCTCGCAGAAGGAAAGCAACACTCCGGACGCAGGGCGGCTCAACATCATCCCGAACATGTGCGTGTCTCACGTCATCGCACACGTCTCTGCGTGTAAACATCATCACGCGTGTCTGAATCTAACAACAGTCCCAAACTGCCACTGAAACCCTCACCCGTGCCTGTGTTATATACCGGCTCGACTGTTGCGACTCTTTTTTCTGCAGCCTCCCCACACACCCCATGTCTTAATTGCCTGATGATCCAAAATGCCCCTGCCAAGAATTCTCACTCACACACACAAATGAGACCATATCATGGCAATAATCCGTTCCTTCTGCGGGTTCCCAATCCAATCGCGGGTCAATTTCAAGATTTCTCTCACAAACTTCAAGGTCCCCCATGCACTCACCCCTACCCACTTCCCCCCCCCCCCCACTCTCATCTCACTTTACCCCACTCCAGCCCACACACTCCCCCCACTCCTCATCTCACTCTACCCCCCTCCATCCCACGCACTCCCCCTGCTCCGGCAACAAAGGCTTTCTATCGAACCCCAGAGTCAAAGTATGCTCAGTGGGAGATCTCCTTTGCTGCCCCCATAATCTATAAGCCGAATTTTCATTCCCCAGTCATCCGTGCCATTGACTCCCTGCTATTCAATTCCGGGCTCAAGACTCTCCTTTTTACCTCTGCCCGTGACTGACTGTGTGTCTCTCTCCTCTAGAAAACAAATATGCCCACCATTTTTTGTACAGCATCTCGAGATGAGGCCTTACTTACATTGCTGTGTATATACATATATATATATTTTTTACAATGTACAGTGTCTTATCATCATCCAACATATGCCCTTGTCTCACGTCGCGAACGCTCACTCCCACGCACACGTCCTTGTTTTCTTTTCCCTTTGTGATTACTTTTTTACGTTCTTCTTTTGCCTAAACATTCGGAGGCTTAACTGCGACGGCGCTCCTGATAAATGTTTATGGACCAGTGTCCATAAGCTGAAAACGTTTCATGGCCGTTTGTCTCTTAAGTGTAATGTTCCATGTCTGGTTGCTGATTCATCCAGAGAAGTGCACTTGTGCTTCAGAATTAGAGGTGTATTTGGTGGAGGGGGGTGGGTGGGTGGCTGTCAAACCGACACAGCCAATCGTCGGGCAGTCAGTTTCGCTCTATAATCTTCGGTGGATCCCCCGTGCGTCCTTTGAAGAACAATGAGAAATGACCAGCGAAGAAATGCGCTCACGAATTCATTTCTACTCCCATTGCAGATAATTAATATCTGTAATGTCGAACTTATTTCGCACCGCACACAGCCAACCATGTTATGGAGGTGGGGGGTGATGGGCTGGTGCGGTTCGGTTAGAAGATGGGATTTTGTGTGTGTGTGTTTAAATCTTTCGTACACCCTTTTCTATTACACTTTAAGGCCTGGCTCTCTCTTGTGACCTCCAGCCTGCAAACATTCAGCACTCCACATGGCTGCAATCAAAATAGTATTTTTTTACGTATATATATAACAATTTCAGTGGCTAAAGAGAGCCTCTAAATTAAAGGTGGGGAAACCTACAGCCCATGGCCACATGTGGCCTACCACTTCAAAAAAGCCCACACAACATTTATCCATCACTGCAAGCATTTTAGCCACACCAATTGGATACAAGAGGGAGATATTTTCGCCCTGCAAATGCTGTATTCCAAATTTGAGCACAGTCAGTCACTGCAAGGACCCCTTGCATCATTGTCCCTCGGTGGTTAATAAAAAACGAGTGACATTTTGTTGGACGTCAACGATCATTGTTCTTTGCAGAGAGCCATTCTTACTGCCCAGCACGCAAACTACGGTCATCCTCGCAGCGGCATTTGGCTCGCCGTCGAATTAAGACGGTCACCGCATCGCGTGCTTTCAGATGCGCTTCTGCGACCAACTGGAACACTCTTCCTTTCGGTATTAGGAAGCCACTGGAGCTATGCACTTTTAAATCTCGTTGAATACTCATTTCCTCAGAACCGCTTTTGGTGTTTAGTGTTGTTGTCCTTCCCCCGCACCTCCGATTAGCGCGGTTGGTTACGTACGGCGGCAGAGAAGTTCAACACACAGAGAACATACGTGAACTATCCGATTCATGCCTCAGGAGTCACCTCCGCGCGGCCCCTTTGACTTGACCTTTGCCGTGCGTTTCATCCCAGAGCCAAGATGGAATCCGGCTGGAGTCCCCAGCCCGGTGATCGCAGTCCCTACTTCCAGGTGGACTTCCAAAAGCCCGTGCTCATCTCGGGGGTCGTGACCCAGGGAAGCGGCCTCGGTCGCTCGCACTTCTCGCACGCTGGTGCTTATGTCTCCAAGTACAAGCTCCGCTTCAGCCTGGACGGGCAGCGCTTCTCCGACTACGCGGACCCGCAGGACCCCAAGGGAGAGGCCATGGTACGGTGCCCAACAGGGGATGTGGGTTTCAACTTGGCGCCGGTTACGCGCGGGTGGTGGCTGCGTAGTCCGGTGTTTTACAATGCGAGCCCCTCCTGAACACGCATTTCTTGGATAGTGGTATGCCCTTCCGGGACAATTAAAGGACGTAGATAACTGCCCTATGGGGTGGATGTTTAGTATGTAAAATCCATAAGCTGAACTCTTGACTTTTTCCTTTCGTTGAAGGTCTTTGAGGGCAACTTCGACCCCGTGACCGCAGTCACACAGAAGCTGCCACGCTACATTTTCTCCAGATACCTGCGGATCCTCCCCGTGGAGTATCGGACCGGCATTTACCTCCGATCGGAAATCCTCGGATGTTCTCTAAGTGAGTAAGGTCTCAGTTTCTCGTCTAATCAACGTACGTGTGTACTGTATGTATGTTGAGCTTCTTTTGCACTGTACGTAGGCGACCATGCTAATCGGAGGTGCGGGGGTAGGACAACAAAGGAAACACAAAAAGCAGTTGTGAAGAAATCAGCACACAGAACATAACTCACTATATTGTATTATGGTTAGCAGGGTGGCGTAGTGGTGGTAATGCTTTTGCTTCACAGCAAGGAAGGGCCTGGGTTTAATTCCCGACTCGGGTGCCTTTCTGTGTGCAGTTTGTATGTTTTCTCCCCTGTTTTAAATGGGTTTTCCACCGGTTCTGTGGTTTCCTCCTTGAGCTAAAAAAAACCCGTGCGATGTAACTGGTATTGCCCATAACATCCCAAATCAAATAGAATACCTGCAGATTACTTAATTGGGATTGCACATGGCTACATTGCCCCCCCCCCCTACAGCCGTAATAATAATACAAACTACGTCATTTACACATTTATAATTACTGTTTGACACCACTCCAATCCTCTCTGAATGGACACTCTTGTTGCCGAATACGGCAATTGAAATCGTTGCCGTCCGTTTGCTGCTGCCATGGTTGTATTCGTATATTCCTTGTACTTCTAAATCCCACCTCCCTCCCCGCCCCGCTCCTAGGTCCAACACCCTCCGAGATGCCGTTCATCACTCGTGGGCCCCTGGGCCCCATGAAGCCAACGTCCAAGCTGCGGCCAGGCATCGTCGACAGCCGCGTCACCGCTTCGCCGGCGCCGATTCCCGGTGGCCCGGGGCCCGGCCGTTGCCGCCCCGGAGAATTCCGCTGTGGGAGCGGGGAGTGCGTCGCCGCGGCGACGGCGCTCTGCGACGGGAAGGTCGATTGCGCCGACTTCTCGGATGAAAAGGGCTGCGGTGAGCGGCGGGGCCTTTGTCTCATTGATTGGGTTTGAGTTAGGGAACATTGCTATATGTGTGTACAGGGTGCTCCAAAAAAATGTAAACACTTCGGAGAATTTGCAACAACGGCGCAAGGAGATGTGGTTGTCTCCCGGGCTCTGGAGACCACCCGGTGAAGATTCCAGGCACGTGTTGACAATGATGGCGAACAAGTGGAGACTCTTTAACATTAACATTAGCTGCCCCGCCCATCTCTAAACCTTCATAAACAGCTCGCCCTCAGAGGCTAACCTCCCTGTTCCTGATGACGACCGCTTGTGTTGCGATCGAAACGTCGTGATATTTTTATTCACTTTATTTTCATTATTTTATTGTTATAATTTTTTCTATCTACGTGACTTTACCAAAATAACCATAGAATAACATACATTTGTTATCTTGTTAGAGTTTATTCTCTGTTTTTGCCCCATTAAAAATTATAGTCCCATGTAAGTGTTAACATTTCTTTGAAGCATCCTATATTTCTACAGGGTGGTCTACAGAGTCCCAATGAATTTTACAGTACTCCTCAAACACCTTATATATATTTAAAAGACAAAGATTCCCCCGTATAGCCTTAGCAGACTGTTGGAGCAAGTGCTGGGAGTGAGAACCTATGGAGGCCAGCACAGCACACCAGGGGGTGGGTGGTCAACACCACGCCCGATCGCCTTTGTCTCCCCAACGGCGATGTTTTTACACACCGCACCAGGTACTCTTTTTGAGGCTGAGTCGACCTAGGGGAGGCCCAGAATCGGTTCAGATAATCGTCACTGGGTGTTGGCCATGAGCAGGAATCAAACTCGCGTCGCCGGGTTTGCAGCGCAGCGTAGCGCTAACCGCCACCTACTCTACCGCTCCCTACATACTATACACTTAACTATATACATAAACACAGTTGTTGAGTACAGATGCCCAACTGACCACAATGTCAAGTGGCCGGCAAATAAACAGCACCGTCCGAGTTGGAATTAACAGATCAGGGTGTAACTCGTTGCTGGAATTGAGCAAGGTTATGAAAGCTTGGAACCAGAGATGATGGAAAGGAATTCCAAAGTGGAGCAGCAAAAGGAGTAGAAGCAGAGAGAGAAGAGTGGTGAGATGCAGCGTGGTGGGTGATCGAGCTTCATAGCTCATCGGATTTCATCCGGACTAAAGATTCGGTTCTTTGTGCCACACTGTTGGGTCTGAGAAGGCGAAACGTGTCACAAAACGGTGCGTATCAAAACATCACTGACCATCGCTTTCTGTATAATATCAAAGGATCAGTATTCTGTGATGTTGCAGAGATTAGGGTAAACGGCATCGTTACTTTGATAGCAAACTTGCGTTTTCCCCATGCGTTAGCGTGCACGTTCCTTCACCGTGCTTCTTAAGATATTTCACTCACCTTTGCCGCGTGGTCTGTTACATTTTCAGGAGCAGTCCCACCAGCTTCACCAAGAACAAAGTCACCTTCCACTGCCAAGTTTCCACTGGGGCCGGAATGGACGACGGACGATAGTGGTGGAGCGAGGCGCGGCGTTACAGGAGACCCTGGCGTTATCAGGAGACCTGACCAAACCGGAAAACCTGGGGTCAAAGGGAAGCAAGGAGTTACTGGGGAGCCAGGCATTGTCGTTAGACCTGGCGTAACTGGAGAGCCTGGTCTTATTGACAAGCCTAGAGGAACTGGGGAGCCTGGTGTTATTGACAAGCCGAGAGGAACTGGGGAGCCAGGCATTATCGTTAGACCTGGGGTAACGGGAGAACCGGGTGTCATTGATAAGCCCAGAGGAACTGGAGAACCTGGTGTTATTGATAAACCCGGAGTAACCGGGGATCCAGGCGTGAAAGGAAAACCTGGAGTGACGGGCATACCCGGCGTCGATGTGAAACCAGGGGTAACCGGGAAGCCCGGAACCATTTGGGGGCCCGGGGAACCTCCTTCGGTCACGGGTCACGTGAGCGGAACAGGTGAGCCCTTTGTGATCGGCAAACCGGGCAAACCGACGCGGAAGCCCGGAATGACGGGTGAGCCGGGTGCGAAGGGAGAGCCTGGGCCGGCAGGTGTTCCGGCCACGAAAGAGCCAGGAGGATGGCCAAAGCCTGGTCGACCTGGACATGGAGATGCCTTCACCACAGCGCCCTCTCGCCACGTGCACACGTTAGCCGGTCCAAGTGCGACAGCTGCTGGGCCCATCCTGCCATTGGGACCTTGGGTCACAGGTAATTTTTCAAATTTTCCACAAGTTAATTCGTTTTTTGCTGAGGTGCTTATCGTGATTGCGGCACGATGCAATTTGCAAGGAGTTTTTTTTAATTGTACGGACGTGCAAAGTAAATCTCTTCAGCGCCGTTATACTCGTAAGCAACTTTTTTCAGGTGACACAGAGCGATACACGCCTCAATAGTTGCCCATCGACACCAGCGATTCACTACAACGCTTGCCCAAATGATCTTTTGAATTAGACTTGAGAACCATCGGATGGCCACACCCCATGTGAGCACATGGTTAATTTATTTAGCCTGGTATGATGCTAGAGCCCATCGTATTAATACAAATGCCAAATGCAGTGAGTGTGTGATCATTTACGAAGCGATGATGGGACGACAGCAACACAGTGATACCCGCGATGGGGATTTGTTGCTGCTCTGTGAACGTTGCTACGCGGGCATTTGTCTCCGTGGGTTGTTTTATTTTACGTGCGGTGGAGTGTTCATCGCTTGTTGCAGAGCGTTCGTCGCTGTTCGAATCCGGCAGGCCATGCTGGTAAATGCTTCACGGTGAACGCTTAAGATCCCGCGACGTCACTCGAAAACAGCAGGCCATTGTGTGCCAGTGCCACGGTCCAAATATTTTGCCGAATTTGAAAAAATGACGCGGCAAATTGCTCGATTGGGATCACACACAGCAACATGGCCCTGTACTAATTCGTCGCAACGAGCACTAACATCGCCGCTGTTACCTTCGGTCGCGGGTTCCTGCAGGGAGGCCGTTGCCCGGATTTACCGCCGTGGTTCGGGACAGCTCGGTGGCTCCACCAGCGAGGCAGCTCTGCCTTGTGGGGGAGTTTGCGTGTGCGTCCGGGGGGTGCGTCGACGCCGCGTTGGTCTGCGACGGCAAACGAGATTGCCCCGACAGATCTGATGAGCGCTACTGTGGTAAGGGCAAAAAAAAAAAAAGAGGCAGATTGAATTGTGTTTTAGTTAAATGTTTGCTGTATTATAATGATTTCGCTGTTATTTAAAAAATATATATCGGCCTTATTGTTACTTACAACGATTTTGATGTGCACTTTGTTCTGCGATTAATCTACGTTTCACAGTTTTTTTTACTCTCGGCATGCACACATTCATTTTATGAATCCCCTTTTTTAACTATATAATATCTGTAAATTCTATTCCGTACAATATAAACTCATCTCACTGGTTTTCCACAGAGTAATTAAGACAAAACAACCGAAATCACGAGTCGATGTGTTAAGAAGTAGTGAACGTGTGAACATTGTCACGGTCGCACGGTCCGTCACCACGCGGTGTCGTGAATGTTGACGCGGCGCCCATCAGGAATGGCGACTCCGTTCCCGCACACGCCGCCGACGCCTCCCGGCGCGATCCCTGGCGGCCGAGTCCCCGGCCGCTGCTCTGCCCGCCAGTTTTCCTGCGCCAGCGGCGAGTGCGTGAGCTCGGAGAAGCGCTGTGACCTGCACAGGGACTGCCTGGACGGCTCGGATGAGCTCGATTGCCGTGAGTGCTCAGCGGGGCCCGCTTTTCGTCAACGCTTCCCTGCTGCGTCGGTGCTTTTTCATAGTTAGCCACCGGTTGGTTACTCAATTCCGTGATTGAGGAACAGCGTACGGTATTCCCTCGTTCTTCACGAACTCGCTATCCACGATTTTGGCCATCCGTAAATTGCATCTGGAACTCTACGCGACTGCATCGAGAGAGAGAGAGAGATAAAGTGATGGGATGAAGTTAGATGCATAGCATCATCATAATTTAAGGTAAGTTCATTTATGAACTGTTTAACATTTTATTGACTTAATGTTTATTATTTAAAAAAATGTGTACGATGATAATTTCCATGTATTTAATAGTTGATTTATGTATTCAGTTAAAGTAATTCATTAAAAATATATGTTTTCGTAGGCCAACGCCATTATCCGCGAAATGTGATGGTCACGCGCATCTCCGGAACATATCCCTCGCGAATGACGAGGGAATGCTCTATAGCTAAATGCACTACTGCTGCGTTGTGTTGTCCACCTCTCTGATGTATTTTCGGTTTGTTCCGCATGTTGATGAGCTTGAGGGGTGGGAGACAATCTCCTGAAGCCCTTTCGGCGTGGCTAACAGAACTCGACATTGGCATTTAGCCATTGAACAATATTTAGCCATTCGCAAGAATAGAATTAGCTTGAGGTCTGATGTTTTGACCCACGTGCTGGGAGCTTCTCGAACCCGCGGAATGAAACGTTGGACATCGTGCCGAACAACACGCGGTACAACTCAAATGCATCAGACAAAAGCTACAGATCAGATACAATAGCATCACTATAGCTGATTGTGAGTGAATGGTTGAGTGAGAGAGTGAGTGTTTGGGTGAGGAAGGAGTATGTGAGTAATGTCAATTTTAACCATGTTCTCAATTCACCAGAATCATTAGCGCTCTCTCTTCAGAGCCATTAAGGTCACGAAGTACTGAAACATTTACCAATTCAGAAATGTATGCCTAATCTCTGCAGTCAAGTACAGTATGACCAACGATATTACATTCACCATATTATGAACGCTCGGTCCAAAAGCCGCTTTTGGTCAAAAGGCTGAGATAACTTTTTTTTTGTCGCTGAGAAAGTAAGACATTAAGAGTAATGTATGACTGAATTCATGAAATATGAATGAACTTTCCACGTAAAATTATAAAAATGTGTTTGCTCTGCTTATTTCCCCATACGCTAGATATATATTCAATCCCTGATCACCTTGCCAGCTCTGTATATTCTCCAGGCTGAACATCAAGTTTTTCACCTTCCCGTGTAAAACTCCAACCAGTCCTGCCTCACGCAAACTTTAACCTCTCCGCCCAGCACCTTTCAGAAGCCAGCAGGCCTTGAGGCATTTCTTTAGAATCGTGAGCGGCGCTGGGATCGTTTAGCGTTGTTCTTTTTCTTTTTTCTTCTTCTTCTTTTCAGTGGACTGCATCGTGTCACCCTGGACCGAGTGGAGCCAATGCAGCCGCAGCTGTGGCCTAGGCGTCATGTTCCGGCAGAGAGACGTCCTCAGGGAGGAGCAGACCGGGGGCAGCTGCAACCGCACGCTGATGGGCAGCAGAGCCTGCTTCATGCAGGCCTGTCCCGGTGAGTCACCCTTTACCAAGATGACAACCGTCCTCTATCCCAATAAAGTTCGGATATCGCTTGGGGTGGTCACACGTGGCCTGGCGGTAGCGCGTCCGTCGCTTGTCGCAGAGGCTCGCGGTTCGAGTTGAGCGGTCGCCATGGTGATTAAAGATCACCTGACGTCAGTTTCAGTCGCAGGCCTTGGTGTGTATAAATTATCCAAGTTTAAAAAATTACCCGCATATTATTCAATTAGCAATAATCGCCTACTACTGGCACACTTGCAAATAAGACTTTCCTGGTCTTTTTACGTGCTCACCTGGTTAAACAAAACACACTTGAAACCACATGCCGCCTCAGATATTTAGACATTTGGTGCTTCGTTGCGAGCATTATCGTTATCATCAAGCCCACTACATCATTGCAAATATCATCTAGAGACAAATATCCCCCGTATATCTTTTATCACACGAGTGGGGTACGTTCTGTTAGCGAGCACCTATTAAGGCTGACACAGCACATGAGGAGGTGGTGTGACCTGCACCACAGCTGATCACCGCTGTTTCCCCAGTGCTGATTTTTTTTATGCAACCCTACCAATTTCGGTGCTTATTTAAGGCTGAGCTGACCTAGGGGAGGGCCACAACTGTTTAAAATATCACTCGCTACTGTGATAAGTGTGGCCGGGGAATGAAATGTAGGTCCCCAGGTTCATAGTGAATGTGATAACCACTACTACTTTTGCTATCACCACCACCACCACGACCGTTGCCATGACCACCACCACCATCAGCCCAGCTTCTGTACCTCTTAATTACAGACGAAACATTGACTCTCCCAATCATTCTTTGCCTCACGCTTCCTCTACATCGGTAATTGGTGCCATTAACCACTCCGGGCCATCTCTTATTCCTGTATCAGGTAAAGATGCTCACATCTCAGTGTGTTTTATATAGTTACATATCGTCTCTATTCTTACGATCGCTTCTCCCCTGATGCACACATCTGCTTGAGTGCGGTCGCACTTGGACGCTGATCAACCCCAATCGTGTTCTCTTGCATCTTACCCACGGTGGTGCCGCCATCGCCGCCGCTGTCGCCAGTGGAGGGGCAGTGGGGTGCGTGGAGCTCCTGGTCCCCGTGCGACGCTCGCTGCGGGGGCGGCATGAGGGTCCGGCAGCGGACGTGCAGCACCCCGCCGCCCAAGAACGGCGGACGGGCGTGCGCGGGCGACGGAGTGCAGCCCGAGCGGTGCAACGTGCGGCCCTGCGCGCGGCCCTCCGGCAAGTCGCGCCCCTCGTCGAGTGCGCGACGCTCGCCGGGGCGAACCCTCGCCGAGACGGAGCGGACGTCGCCGCGTTAGGCCGTGCTCGTGCGGAGGGGTGGGGGGACGGGGGGTGGCGGGAAGGCGAAGCCACCTGCGGCGCTGATCACTAGGTTTTTTAAATCCTTTATATTAAGTTCACTTGCTTGCTTGCTTGCATGCTTGCGTGCTTGCTTGCTTGCTTACGACCGTGCAAATCTTTTGGTCGTTTTTTAACCCACTTCCCGTGATCCAATCGAGCTGACATTTTGCACACAGACTCGTTGTGCGTGACAATTAATTTTCGTGAAATTTTTTTTCCAACATTTTACACTTTTTAGGAAATAATAAATTATATTTAATTACCAATTGCTTAATGGTGCCAGGCAATCATCTGACCCATAGGTGGCAGCCATCTCAAGCCAGAGGACGAGAAGACTCTAGCCGCCACGCATATAAAGGATTTATAGTGAAAAACTTAGTTTTTACGGGTTAATTTTTTACGTGCTGGCTTTGGTCCGCGAGTGCTAATTATGCGCGCTTTCGTCAAATGACGCTGGCGCATGGAAAACAAACTGAGAATTTTCCATGAGAGCGTTGAGGTTTTGTAAATTGCGATTGATACAAAAGTTTTGATGTTCACTTTTGGGAACGTCCGAGGTACTTGGCTGATTTTAAGCAGTCTCCATCCTCGCCTCTGCACTTGCGTGAATGTTGAGCCGGGGCCAACCTTGCAGCATGGCGAAATTATTCATCAGCTTGACACTCTACCTTTTGCGGACAGCGTGTTGCGTGGCAGCATCATTTCAGAAATGTGTTTTTCCGTGTAGGACATCTATCAAAGTGCCAATTAAATATAAATGCGAGCGTGACAGATCTGGGCTGTGCAGTGGATGTGGCTGAAAATTCCACCCAGGCTGCTGTGCGTAGGCCCTCCGATGTTTCGAAAGCTCGTTGCGTGGTCTGGCATTGTGTCACGTTGCAGGAGGATATGTCTGCTGAATACCCACGCATATTTTCTGAATGCAGGCTCTCTCAGTTTCTTCAGCATATCACAAATATCCCGAATGCGTATTCTGTTTCATAAAGATGCAGTGCTAACGCGTGGAGCAAAATAATGAGAGGCACCGGCCGTTTCGGGGTATTGTTCCTACAATGCAAAACAGGGGAAGAATTTACCTCTCTTTGATGTAGGGTGTTGGGAGAATCCGTAGATTGCGACGAACGTCAGACACAGGGAACGAGAGGTAGGCGAGAGCGAGTCGATGGAGGGGCTTCAAGTGTAACTGTGTAATGCTGGCACGTGGCCAAGCAGCACTAAAAGTTCACCCCGCCTTTACATACGCCTGCCACTGGTCAGTGTGGGTTGGAGAAGGCGGATGGCGGACACCGAGGACTGGTTCAGATATCAATCCCCACCGATAACAGCCATGGCGGGGAACCGAACTCAGGTGGCCGGGTTCATAGTGCAATGTGCTAAACACTATGTCACTGCTTTGCCCCCCCTCCCCGTTATAAGTAATGCGACCTGAAAATAACTCATCGCCATCATCTTTGACACCGCCTAGTGACATAAACGTGCATAGCAAACAAATATCGCGCACACAACAATCTTTCTTTTTGAAGTACGTTGTATAAAATGGAAAATGTCAAATTAGTTATGTAGTTTATACTTTAGCTTTCTACGTGTTGTTGAGTAACTGCAGCTACATATCATTAACATTCCTTTCCTTTGTTACTGCTAATCCCTGCACCCCCCTTGGTTGCTGCTGATCCTGCATAATGCATGGGCATAATATGACTTTGACACCCCCCCGCCCAACGCCTACGCATTTTCCATGAATATGCTAAATCCCTCTTCACATGCACATTCTTTTTGTTAAGGCGCTCTTCAACCCCCAATGCAGCTTATATATAAGCTCCTAGTTTGGTAGTGTCTCATTCTTCACCTGAGGACGGCTGCTTGCGTTGTAGCCGAAACGTCGTGAGAATTGTTTTATTATGTTTTATTTTTATTATTTTATTACTTCCCTTCTACGTGACTTTACCGAAAGAAACAAGAAGATGAATCCCTGCAGTCACGAAAGCTTTAAATCGAAATTTAACCGCCTCTACGGGGAGGGTTTCCACATAACTTTGAGATCCTTCAACAAGCTCCGGGATAAGAAGGCTCAGCTAATCGAGTCTCTCACCTTTCTGAAGAGATGCCGCGACTCTAAGGTAATACCAAACGCATTTACACTAACATCTGCTGCTGTAACTTCTTCTAATGCGAAACGAATTCTGTCTAGAACTAGCTTAGCTCTTATCTCAGAGAAAATCAGACTTACGCGCACCGAACTAGATCAGTTAGACAAGACACTCTACAAATCACACTTATCTTTGAGTGTAACAATGTCCACATCGGATTGGGAACATGTGGAAAAAATGACTGCCTCTTCAGCTGCCGCTATGTCGACTAAATGTAAGGACAACTTGATTTCCAAATTCAATCGCCTCTCAAACAAGAAACCGGACCCACACATTGAAAAGCTAGATATTAACAAAGTCGTAATTAATCGCAGTAACAGTCCTATTTCTGAAGGTTTGAAATCCGTTTTAGCTAAAGGACTAAACTTTGCAGTCACACCTAGACACATACCAGTTAATGATATAATTGCTCGAGTAGATGTAGCTCTCAAGGGCTTGAGTCACATCGCTGCAGACGTAGCAAGATCCGAAATCTCTGTAACCCTCAAAAACGCTAAGATGCCAGCTAGCAACATCAGCAAAGAGGAGCGTTTTGAATTAGCTCAATTAAAAAAGAGGGATGACATTGTCATCCTCTCAGCCGACAAAGGCAATGCCACTGTCATCATGGACAAAATAGAATACAACAACAAAATTCAAGAACTACTAAACGATGGCAGCTATACAAAAATAAAAAGAGACCCCACCAACAGCCTCGTCTCCAAAACCAACAACATCATTTCTGCTTCAACCGCATTAATTGATCAGACCAAACAGTTCTCGTTGAAACCTTCTGCAGCCAGACCACCAAGATTGTACGGCTTGCCAAAGATACATAAAGAAGATACACCTCTTCGTCCCATTGTCTCTACTATCAACTCCCCCACTTACAAACTGGCTCGTTTTTTGTCCGAAATCCTACGGCCTTTCACTGGAAAAACCACCTCTGCAGTACTAAACTCTACTGACCTGGTATCGACAATCAAGGGGATTGCCCTGTCCCCAGACGACCTGCTTGTCAGTTTTGATGTGGTTTCCTTGTTCACCAAGGTACCTGTGCCTGACACCATCGCAATCATTGAAGACTTGGTTCATCAAGGACTGAATGCTGGGGTACCCCCCCTGGTGAGACACTGCTTAACCAATACATACTTCACCTGGAATGGAACCTTCTACAAGCAAATTGAGGGCACCCCAATGGGCTCCCCCCTATCTCCGGTTGTAGCCAACATCTTCATGGAGAAATTTGAGACGGACGCCATCCAGACTGCCACTCTACGCCCGACCTTATGGAAGAGGTACGTAGACGACACTTTTGTCATCTGGCCACATGGCCGGCCTGCTCTAGACCAATTTCTCGACCACATCAATTCCATACACCCAGCCATCAGATTCACCATGGAAGTCGAAAATGATGGCAAGCTACCCTTTTTGGATGTCCTAATCAAAAGGAGACCTGATGGTTCAATGAGCCACTCTGTCTACAGGAAAGCCACCCACACGGATGCTTATCTAAAACCGGATTCCCACCACCATCCATCTCAGAAGAATTCCCTCATCAAGACTCTATATCATAGAGCCCAATGCATCTCCGACCATGAACACATTTCCAATGAACTCAAACACGTACGCCAAGCTCTTAAGGCAAATGGTTACTCCGACTATACAATCCGCAAAGCCATCACTCCAACCATCAAGAAGGATCCTGTTGAGGAGCCTTTCAAGACCATCACCTTACCCTACATTGCTGGGGTCACAAAAAAGATCTCCAAAATCCTGATTAAACACAAGATCCAGGTCCGATTCAACACAGTACATAAAATCCGTGATCTGGTACCGTCTGTAAAAGATGTGGTTCCAGACATACAGTACCCTGGCGTCTACAAACTAAGTTGCCTCTGTGGTAGCAGTTACATTGGGGAAACCAAACGACATGTCTCGGACCGCATCCGTGAACATAAAGCTGACCTGAAACACGGTAGGACTAACACCTCAGCCGTGGCAGATCACTGTTACAACTCAGTGGGCTCACATGATATTGACTTCTCCAAGACAGAGGTTCTCTGCAAGCCATCTGGCTATCATGAGAGATTCGTTCATGAGGCGATCCACATATACAAACACAGAGACAACTTTAACCGAGAAGATGGATTCTGGCTCAGCAATCATTGGAAGGACGTAATAAACCATTTCGATACACATTAGGGTGTGTAGAATAATACATAGTGTGATATTAAATGTATAAGATATAGGTTGGTTTACAGCAATACAGTATATAATTTAATGTTGGGTTTATCTATGGCAGTATATAGTACGGTATATGCTCGTGTGATGTAAGAGAATAAGGTTTAGATGGAAGCATATTATAGAATTTTTACGAGGTAAAATTGTAATGTATTACTTGCTGTTAGTAACTCAGCTTATTATAGAGTATAGTAAGTATACTGATGGTGCGATGCAGTTTATACTTTAGTTTTTTTATGTAGTTTATACTTTAGCTTTCTACGTGTTGTTGAGTAACTGCAGCTACATATCATTAACATTCCTTTCCTTTGTTACTGCTAATCCCTGCACCCCCCTTGGTTGCTGCTGATCCTGCATAATGCATGGGCATAATATGACTTTGACACCCCCCCGCCCAACGCCTACGCATTTTCCATGAATATGCTAAATCCCTCTTCACATGCACATTCTTTTTGTTAAGGCGCTCTTCAACCCCCAATGCAGCTTATATATAAGCTCCTAGTTTGGTAGTGTCTCATTCTTCACCTGAGGACGGCTGCTTGCGTTGTAGCCGAAACGTCGTGAGAATTGTTTTATTATGTTTTATTTTTATTATTTTATTACTTCCCTTCTACGTGACTTTACCGAAAGAAACAAGAAGATGAATCCCTGCAGTCACGAAAGCTTTAAATCGAAATTTAGTCATCGGGATTTGTTGCGTCCGCCTCTGGCTGAATTACTCGCGCGTTGCTGCGTGACAGACTGCGGTCCCGACATGGTGTTCGTCTCGGCGGAGGACTGCAAGCGACGCCCCGTGGAGCCGTGCCCTCTGACCTGCGACCACCTGGACAAGAGCCCAGACTGCCGCGTGCCCTGCGTGGAAGGTTCGCACGCAGCGGTGGCGCGAGGCCATAACTACAAACTATGAAATAAAATTTTTATTTTTTTTATTTTACAAGGTAAGGCCCACTGAGCGATGTAGCTCTTTTTTTAGAAGCGACCTGGCCACAATTGATAGCCCAATGAAGTGGCTTTTCACGTGGACATTTACAGCAGCCAAATACTCTAAACGCATGTTTCTAAATGTGGAGGGAAAAACCAGAGGACCTGGAGAAAGATCAATGCGACCACAGGGAGAACAGGCAGACTTCAAATATATGGGCGTTAGGGTCGCGATTGAACCCACGACCTCCTGCATACCAGGCGAGGTAGTTAGCATATCGCCACCGTGGCGCCTACATAATCAAACGGAACAAAGGTTTAGAACAATCAATCAGCTCAAAATGGTCACGGATTCATAAAAAAATTACGGATGTACGAACTCAGATCCGGATCAAAATTTTATCTAATATTAATGAAATGAAGGAGGAAGCCAATTATTCGGTTTTAATAGGAACGTTTTTGAACGGCATTGTAATTAATCTATGAGCTGATTTAGTTCACAACGTTGATATATCTTCTTGGTTCTTTCGGTAAAGTCACGTAGAATGGAAATAATAAAATAATAAAAATAAAACATAATAATAATTTTTATCATTTTATTATTTCCATTCTACGTGACTTTACCGAAAGAACCAAGAAGATGAATCCCTGCAGTCACGAAAGCTTTAAATCGGAACTGTGATATGATTAATTTATGTAGCTTGGCCATCGTCAAATGTTCGTGGCCATGTGACGCACCCACAAAATATGTCTGCTCGGGGCCCCTGTAGGCCGGCATCGCCACCGTACACTCACTGTCCCCAGGACATGCAAGCACATTGAATCTCCAGCTTCAGCAACTCTTAGAGGCTCATTGGCTGACCCAAGTGATTATCATTCATGCGGTGCCTCAGGATGGCTCGGCGCAGGCGACTCGTGGGAATCGTTTCCATCAGGCTGTAAAATATTAAAGAAAAACACTGAGGGTCAGAGGTCGAAGGCTGGAGCGTTAAGTACATTTGCATAGATAATTGGATGGGATGGTGCGGATGAACTTTGTTGAACCACGTAAGAGTCCATTGAGTCACGTGTCACTTTTGCAAAAGGAGAACTGGGAAGGAATTTTACAACGTACAAATGCAGGAGCACTATAGGTTAAATATAGAGATTGTTACGAATATGCAATAATGTATTTATATTGAAAATAATACATTAAATATTTAACAATTGTTCATTGTCATTATCAGCGACTGTTACTCATTCAGCGACCGTTACCTCTTTCACACACCGTACGTAGCAAACCGTGCTAATCGGATGTGCGGAGGGAGGACGACAAAAACCTATTTACGTCCAAAGTTGAAATGAAGGAAAAATGTTAAATATCTCTGCCTGATTCTAGATTTGAAGCTTTTGTGACTGCAAGGAATCATACTTTTTGTTTTTTTCGGTAAAGTCACGTAGGTAAAAAATCAAAGAAAATCAATGAAAACGACTAAATAAAATAAAATAAATGAAAACAACTAAATTAAATCAGTGATTTAATTTAATTAAAACTAAATAAAATTTAATTAAAACTAAATTAAATCAGTGATTTAATTTAGTTTTAATTAATTTTATTTTATTTTTTACCTACATGACTTTACCGAAAAAAACAAAGTATCTCTGCCTGAGTTTCAGAAATTAGCAACGGACACAATAACACTCTGCACTGGACAATCAGGGATTCAACTCAACAATGGAAAGCTGATTGTGTGAACCTTCCGAGATGATGGGTGGCAGCGATAACACTTGTACCTCGCGAGCAAACATCGCCTGGGTTCGATACCCATCTTGGGTCCCCTTTCTGTGTGAACTTTGCAGGAACCGACCCACGTATTTTCTCCAACGAAGTCCCCGAGACCTTAGGGTCGTATTCTTCTAAGTCCTCCGAGGTCGAGGCGCTGTTCTTAGGGTGATCGGGTTTTTGCCAGCGCAGCTCCCAGACTAGGGAACACTTTGCGTTTGGAAGTCAGGCAATCAGAGTCATTTACATCTGCGTTTAAAACGCACCCGCGTTAAATTGGCCTTTACCTCCTAGTTACGGTCCGTTTGCCCTGGTTCTGATTTCTTTACTGCTTTAAATGCATGGCGCATTGCGATATTAGGTATAAAATGTGCCTTGTAAATTCCAATTATTATGTTTTGCATGGGTTACCTCAAGGTTCACTGGTTTCCTCCTCAAGCAAATGGCTCACTGGGGATTACAAATAGCAACATCGCCCCCGCCTGCGGAAACTTGGCGGGATTCCTCCTGTAGACTTGGGGCATTTATCCTGGTTTATCAAGCGTAGTAACCAATAATGACGGTACATTGTTTGGTGTGTACATTATCGCCCAGGCTGCCGCTGCAAACCGGGCCTGTACCTTAGGAGTGGACGCTGTGTGGAAGCCGGCGAGTGCCAGTGCAGAGTCGAAGGCCGCGTTTACAAACCTGGCCAGGTCTTCTCCACGGCAAACTGCAGCAACTGGTATGGGAACGAGTTCATCGCACGTGTACCATGCACAACCCTTTGTCAATTCACCGACTATGTTAATTGTTTGGTGATGCTGCTGCGTTGGCGGTGGTGTACAAGCACAACTAACAAAAAGAGCCGCCACTCATTCATTACTCGCACTTATTATGACGAACGTGCCGCGTTTTTGTTTGTTTTCACTGACAGATGAGAGCACAGCCCGTGCCGTGTGGGTCACGGGGGTTATTTGACCATACTTCACCGCGCTGGGCTGGTTGAAGGAAGGGGGGGTTGGCTGAGGATCGGTTTCAATATCATTCCGTGACTTTAACTGGAATTGTTTTCGCAAGTGCGTTCAAAGGCCGTTTTTTATATCCACATAGCAGAGCTCTGAATGTGTATTGCTTTTTTTTCAACTTGGAAAATATGACAATGGGGAATGTTTTCACAAGTCCTCCATTGGGAGTGTACGTGGAATGTGTGATAACAGTGATGATCGCACACACATACATACACACGGACAAAGATGCCCTGTGTAGCCTACGCAGGCTGTTGGGGAAAGTGCCGTCAGCGATCGCCTATGAAGGCAGCACACAACAACAATCGCCGTCTACCACTATTTGGCAGTGACATCACCACGGGGCGCTCACGCCAGCCTCGGTGCACCTTGAGGCGGCGTTAAGTATGGAAGGCTTGTTGACAGGAGGACATGGAACAGACCCAGGTGCCATGTAGCATTAACAAACCGTTGGAGCAAGTGCTGTTCGTGAGCACCTATGAAAGCCGGCACAGCGCCACGAGAGGGTGGGTGGCCAGCAGTTTAAATTTGCGCCACTGTTATTGCCGGATTATAGCACACATATGCTCACACTCACATATGCTAAACTATTTTTTGTATTTTACCAGGTAAGGCCCACTGAGCTATATAGCTCTTTTCCAGAACCCACCTGGCCACAAATAACGAAGTGGCTTATCACGTGGACATTTATAGCAGCCAAATACTGTAAACGCATGTAGATTCTATATGTGGAGGGAAAAACCGGAACACCCGGAGAAAAATCCACGCCACCATGGGGAGAACATGCAAACTCCAAATATACCTCCATCAGGGTTGGGATCGAACCTACGGCCTCATGTATATCAGGCGAGCTAGTTAACATTTCGCCACCACGACGCTCACACGCGCCCGTCCCCCGTGCGTTGCGTGCAGCTCCTGCCGGGATGGCACCGTGGAGTGTGAGCCATCGAGCTGCCCCGTGCACTGCGGCTGGTCGGCCTGGTCCCCATGGACGCCCTGCGACCGCCCGTGCCGCACGGGCAGCCAGGAGCGCTACAGGTGATTGGCGCCGCTGCGGGTTTCCGGCACACAACCACAACGCTATCTCGTTGGGCCCTGCTTGCGATAAATGAGATCACCAGCCTCGTTATAACACTCCCTTAAACGGACCACCTTTTTAACCAAAGTACAGATACACGTAATAATCTCCGCATGAGGTATGTATCTATGTATGTTGAACTTCTTCTTGATTCTTACGGTAAGTCACGTAGAATGGAAATAATAAAATAAAAAAGTAAAACATAATAAAAGAATATAATAAAATAAAATAAGTATTTTATTATATTATTTTATTATATTATAATATGTTATTATGTTTTATTTTTATTATTATAATTTTATTATTTCCATTCTACGTGACTTTACCGAAAGAACCAAGAAGATGAATCCCTGCAGTCACGAAAGCTTTAAATCGAAATTTATGTTGAACTTTTTTCGCACCGTACGTAGCCAACCGTGCCAATCGGACGTGCGGGGGAAGGACAACAACAAAACGAAACTCGACAACGCTGCGTTACAGGCTAGCCACGGGTCGTTACCTCGTCCGGCGTTAACCCTTCTCACCCCGCCCCACGGTGCGCGCGTCACGGCGCAGGTCACCGACGAACCCGGCGGCGTCCGGCGGGGGAGCACCCTGCGCGGGAGAGAGCACGGAGCTCCGGGACTGCAACGTGGGGCCCTGTCCGGGAGACGTGGTCCCCGACGAGGGCGGCGACGGGGACGGGGGCAAGGGCGGCTGGGGCCAGTGGTCGGCGTGGTCCCGCTGCACGCGCACGTGCTTCTACTCGCCGGAGCGCGTGGGCACGCGCGCGCGGCACCGTCGCTGCAACGCCACGGCGGTGGACGACGTGACGGGCGACCCGTGCCCCGAGGAGGATGTGCAGACGGAGCTGTGCGGCGTGCGGCCGTGCCCCGGTGAGTGGCGAGCTGCGCCGCCTGATGCCGCCGCCGCCGCCGCGGTCGTTCGTGGCCGTTGTCGGAATAGTTTCACTTGCTTCCAACCTCCAGCGGCCGCTCGGTCATTGAGATAGGCGTAGTTAGTAACGCCTTCACTTTTGGGTTGAGTGATTTGTGAGCCCTCGGGTAGCGCCGTGGCAAAGTGAACACTTGGCTCACCTTTTGGGCCAAAAGACTCGGTCATTTATTGTACATATATATGTAGGGCTATGAATACGAGTGCTGCTTTGTGCCACGTTAACAGTGGCTGTACTCTGGTGGAGATGATTGTGGAATGTCCACCACTTTACTCAGAGACACCAATGGGGATGAGCATTGCTGGTGTTTTGTTTGAGCTTGGAAACACTTTGACAGTTTAAAAAAACTTTTTTTTGCAGAATAGAGTAATAAAGAGAAGTTATGTATACAAAAATTGGGACAATTATGAAATCATGGAGGAAAAAAACACCGAGTTCTTGGTTATCACATGCTGTGTGCGGGAAACATCATATCGTTAAATTTACAAGCATGCTGGGCCTTCGTGTTGTGCTTTGGCTTCCGAAAACACCCAGTGTATGTTTTCTCATCAGCTACAGAAAGTGCTTCAATATGCCTGACCGTGGAAAGTTTTTAGATATAACTTCAAATATTATAACCTGCTTAGTCTGACTTTGACAGATGAAAACCCAATAAATGTTGCAAAACGTTTGGTCGCCAGATGAACCTGGTAACATTTTTGATGGCGTGGTTTACATTTTTTGTACGTGTACATGGGCCTTGTTTTTAAGAAAGGTGCCTTTTCACGAAATAAAGTTCGATTTAAATCCCATCACAGGCAAACACACACTTTTCATCTTTGGTCCGCTTAAAAATAATGAATGTTCTCGTGTTCGCCGCCGCCGCAGTGGCCGGCGGCTGGAGCTCGTGGTCATCGTGGACCGGGTGCAGCGCCTCCTGTGACTCGGGGATCCAGACGCGGAGTCGAACCTGCACCAACCCCCTGCCGAGTCACGGGGGACCCAGCTGCCAGGGCCCCCACGGCCAGAGCCGAGACTGCAACCCGCAGCCTTGCAACGGTACTCGCCGAACCGCATCTCCCCTCGTTTGTTTGGACCCTCGCCGATGAGACATTGAATGTGGAAATCAGTCCAGCGTTTTGCTTGTGTTGAACCAATGCAGCTGATCGAGAAAAAAATCACTCCCTGAATGGGCGTGTCGCCGTTGGAAATGTGTAAAAAAAGATATGCTTTTAGTGTTTAATCCGTAGAGTCAAATATGGCAAGGAGGTGTAGTGTCTGCTTAAATTATTTTGTTTTAGCGAGTTGTGAAAATGTTAGGAATGTGATTATTCCCCCCTCTCTCCCTCCCACCCCCACAGTAATTTCATTGTCATCATTCGTGGTTGTGCTTTTCGTTCAATAATTGCTTATTTTGAATTCTATTTTTTATATCTCTTTTTTAATTGTTTCTAAAATTGTTCACTCCATTAGCCCAAGAGGTACGTTAGCATCCTCTTATGATTTGCACGAATTGTAAAATCGTAGATTCTCACATGCATCCTTCGATGCACGTATCTAGAGTGGCGGAATCCATTTCATTCAGTGCATTAATGCATTGGCGTACGCTTAAAAAACTGCTGTGAACTCAGTTATCGCCACTCGATCTTCACATTGACCCAAAGTGTGTCCAGTGGGTGTGGTGGTGCACATCTGTAATTAATACAGGGAGACAGCCTTGACGATTTACACAGAGATGGGGTCAGCCAGGGCTGCAAGACGTGCACGCCCTGGGCAATGAGGTGGATACGTAGAAGGTAGCACCACAAGTAGGTTTCTCTTGATTTTAAGCTTTTGTGACTGCAGGAATCCATACTCTTTGGTTCTTTCGGCTGAAGTCATCTTTCCCACCTGGTGACGGACGTTTGTTTGCGCCCGAAACGTCGTGATTTATTTTATTTTATACCTACGTGACTTTTCCGAAAGAACCAAAGAGTATAAAGTAGGTTTCTCGCCTATCTGTGCGGGAGTTTGCGTGCTCCTGTGTTTTTTTCTCTCTCTAGCAACCAAGGAAATAAGGCCCAAAGCCATACGTTGGCATACTGTAATGACGTAGGCCTTGAAGGTCAGGTGCCAACTGTGAAACAGAAGGAGGGGGATTGACAACAACAACAACAACAACAGAGGTGGGGCGGCCATCGGCAGCGTTGTGCCGCGACCGATCTCTCTCCGATCCCCTTGCCGATCTCTTCTCCGAGCAGAGCAGTGCCCCGCCGGCATGGAGCACCTGACCGAGGCGGAGTGCCACCGCCGCGGAGGGCTGTGCCCGCGCTCCTGCCTGGACATGACCCGCGACGTGGAAGTGCACGGCGTTGTGCCGTGACGGCTGCTACTGCTTGGAGGGCACCTTCCTGCTGCGGGGTGCCTGCGTGCCGCCGGTCCGGTGCCCGTGCCGCCACGAGGGGCGCGACTACGACCCGGGCGACGTCAGTGTCCGTTGACCCCTGCAACAACTGGTGAGCCGCACGCACACGCGCGGACAACAACAACAACAACCGCCATTCGCCACTAAGTGGCGGTGACGTCACCACGACGCTTGTGCCAGGCCATGTGCCACCTTGAGGCCACGTGAAGTGTCGAACGCTCGCTGGCAGGAGGTTACGGGGCAGACCCAGATGACACAGGTCGATTGACTGAGATGACTGGCTGATGCACCACCTGTGCCCCCTACTGTGCCAACTTGCTGTGCTTTAGCGCGCGTGTGTGTGTGTGTGTCAGAATCAGAACACTTGTTTGTACTTGAGGAATCCGACGAGCTCTTTTTTCACAGATGTCCAGTAAGGGGGGCACGGGGACAAAATGTTACAACAGCAAACGATACAAACACACGATATGGAGCTTAAAGTATAGGAAAGGTAAGCAAAGCTCTTTAAAAAAAATACAAATTAAACTAAACTATTCTTATCTTACCAGGTAAAGCCCACTGAGCTAATAGCTTCATTTTCAGAAGCGATCTGGCCACAAATGATCGCTCAACGAAGTGGCTTATCACGTGGAAATATCTAACAGCAACATTATATAAATAATCTTAATGGCATTTTTCTAAATGTGGAGTGAAAAACTAGAGGACCCGGAGAAATGTATGTGTGTTGAACTTTTTTCCGCACCGTACGTTGCCGCACCTCCGGTGCTACCTATGGTGCGAAACAGGTTCAACATGCATATATACATACCTAGACACCTGTGGTAATCGGAGGTGCGAGGGGAGGAAAACAACTCTCTAAACACCTCGCGACTAAGATCAAAAGTTGTATGCATTATCTCTCATTGTTCTATTTAATACTTTCTTAACCCGGAAAATGTGACTCAAGTCTCAAGTACTCTGTTTCAGGAGGGGTCCTGTCAAGCTTTTGCAGTGGTTGTCGACCATTGCTGTGTGTTTCCCAATGAAGGAATTTGCGAGTCAATATTTATCAATTGTCACATCTTGATGATGGCCCTGCTGGCGCACAGCGGCCCCACTTCTCTTCAAGTGATGCCACTCGGTCTCTTAACATGAACAGTGAAGCAGATGCCATGCATTTTGTGGTTAACACACATGCAGTCATAACCACCAGTTATGTCCCTCCATCTGTCTGCAACACAGATAATTACAATGACTGCTTAGCTCCATGATCTTACCAGCTGGACTGATGTAATCCTGAATTCGCGACAAATTAAAACTTCAATATGACGTTGTGTTTGCAATAAGGCGTTGTGGAGAAAAACGGTCAGATTTAACAACAATAATAATATGAATCTTGATTTGAGGCTTTCGTGACTGCAGGAATTCATACTCTTTGGTTCTTTCGGTAAAGTCACGTAGATAGAAAATAAAAAAATAAAAAGAATAGACCACGAAGTTTCGATCGCAACAACAAGCGGTCGTCTTCAGGTGAAAGAAACAGACAAACGATAATATTATCATTTCTATTCATGAAGTGTCTTTAATCATAGATCTCACAATACTGTGCAAGACACAACGTCAATGAGCGTGAAAATATTACAATAAAAAAATAATAATTGGTAAAATAATGAAATGAATACGAAAAGCCATTTGCTGAATTTGTTAAAGTTTAATAAGCGCAATTGTACCGATTGGATTGAAGACGAGTTTAAAAATGCTCACGAACTCACAGATCCTGAGATCGTTGCTGGGAAGAGAGGCCCAGAGTCTGGGGGCCCCACAGGAAAAATCTCGGTCGCCCATCGACTGAAGCCTCGACCTGGGAACGGAAGACAAATCTAGGGACATTCACCCGCGCACAAAGGACTTATTTGCACAGATGAAAATGCGTTTCTCCCCGACAGCTGCCCGCCGTGGACATCCAGTGATTAAATATGCACGATGGCAAAGCGCGTGTTTGAAAAGTATTATGTAAGCCACCCGTGTGTGCAAGATTTATCTTTCATTTTATTCTCGGATGAGCTCAGCGTCGCATGCAATCACACTGCTCCATCAAACTCAATTGCACGCATCATCTGATGGAGCGTTCTCCATGTATCAGGTGAGTTTGTGGGGGCGCGGTGGGAGGGGGGGGGGGGGCAGCTACCGCGGTCCGTGTTGGAGCAAAACGTCCAAGTTGCTGTGAATTTAATGATGTGCTATAATATTAATGTTGAGCCCTAATGTTCAATAATAATCCATATTCTCGGGGCACGCTTGGTGTTAGTAAGGTTCAGTGTGAATGCCTGAGCCTCATCCGACCGGATTAGGAGACCCTTAGGATTATTAGATTATTATTTAGTTATTATTAAAATAATTATTATGTAGTTTTAATGACTGCACTCTTGTTTCTCAGATGACGATACCTCCCTCTGCTTTTTCCTTTATCACAAATTATTAAGATGCTTTCATATTTCAGACGTTTAATTTCGAATGCATGAAACATGATTCATCCAGGGATGCAGTTCTTGGGGAAGCTTAACACATGGTCCAGATTTTGAGTTGTGCTGCTCACTGCGATGGCTCAAGTTTCGCTCTCCTCGTGTCGGAGGCCTTCCGTCGCAAACCTCAGCGACTGAAGAAGCTCCCGGTGCGTGGAGCATAACATCAGCCATTCTGCCAAGCAACGCGCAGTACAACCTGAAGATGACACATCAGAGAGCGATACAGCCACAACTGCGAACGCATTTCTCATTAACTCGAACATCCAGTTCATACGAGCGACCTGGGACAGGACTGGTTAGCAATCATGTAATTTCATGTATCTTTCAGGCACGAAACTTCCTGACCGCGTTCGAGCGTGGCGTGCCCTTCGTACTCGTGTGTTTAGTGAATAGATTATGTACTTATTAAGGACACTTAAAATAATGCCGTGTTTTTTCCTCTCATTCGTAGCACATGTGCGAACGGAGAAATGCAGTGTGGATCACTACCGTGTTCAGGTTAGTTTTTGCGGTGAAGTGAAATTGCTGCACAGTCGAGGGGAGTGGAGCGATGGCAACAGGAATCCCGCTCACTGGACTATTAACCGAGAAACCTGAGTTCAATTCCCAGTCACGATTAACCTCAGCGGCTAATGATATCTGAGCTGGTCCTTAATGACCACCACTGCCCCCCCCAACCCTGTTCGAAAACTCACACTCACCAGTATGGTGAAGTATGGTCAATTGATTGGCCGATTGACCATGCTTTTTTTTATTGAATGTTAAATTTACAGTTTTGTCTCATAGGCTTGGATAAAGATTATGATAATGATGACAATTATGATAAAAAAATATGACAAAATAACACTTTTCTGCATTATATACATGAATAACAACAAAGCCTGATTCATGCATGAGTGGCAATAGCATTGTTCTGAGCCAAAAACACTGCCAAATCACCAAGTGAACAGCAGTAAATTTAGCATTTTTGAGCCAAATATTTACAGAAATTGCTTTTCTATGAAGTGGCTTATCATGCTTGCCATTATGTATGTACATTGAACTTCTTTTGCACCGTACATAGCCAAACATGCCAATTGGAGGTGAATTGGCCCTGGCGCAGTGAATAAAATGGGGGGCTCCCTATCCAATTTCCCCCGCCCCCCTCGTCGTAGCGCCCGTGTTTCCTCTCGGGCCCTGTTGCGATAGTGCCGTGTTGCCCCCACGATTACCTGTGCCACCGTTGCCACCGTCGCACCAACGAGTTTGCGGAGCGTCCTCGCTTCCCGGCTTCGCTGGACGTGAAGCGTCGCCTCTCTCTTCTCCGTCCCCTTTTCCCTGTTTCCTCCCCGGGGCGCCGGCCTCGTCGCAGTCGACTGCGGCTGGAGCGAGTGGACCGCGTGGTCGCTGTGCACCAAGACGTGTGACGTGGGCACGCGCCGCCGCTTCCGCTCGGCCACGCACCCGCCCGCCGCCTTCGGGGGCCGCGGGTGTTCGGGGCTGCCCGTCGAGGTGGCCTACTGCGGCCTACTCCCCTGCAAAGGTAGCGCCGGCGCGGTGACGTCGGCATGTCGGGCGTCCGCGACGTAGCAGGGCCCTCCGGAAAAGAAAAAAAAACTCTTTGACAAAGTAACGTGTTAAATGTGACAGATGGACTCAATTCGCGATCGGGAGGTCGTGAGTTCAATTATTGGCCGGCGGTCGACTCTTGTCTGTCGTTACCTCTGGGGTCAATGAAGCGAATGCTGCTGTGTGGGAAGCCAGCAGGGAGTTGTGCTGTAGAGATGCTGGCACCTGACATAAGAATGTGGAATTTCACTTTTGAGTTTGGTTTATCATTGGCGATGGGCACCGCTGAATGATTGAGCAGGGAGGAAAGGAAGACGATGTTTTTCTGGCAGACTGATCTTCTTTGCCAAATATTATTATTGAGGCGGTAGAGTATTTGGGAAAACATTATATTTATGACTCTTTTTACTCAAAACCACACCAGATCAAATTATTTCTCAGAAAACACCCTTCAGCTGAAACATTGAGATATTTCCTTTCTGTCAGCGACAGTCAAATAATGCCCTTATTTTTTATGATTATATTTATGCGGAATATTATTTATTGACCGATGGACAGTGCTGACTCGCAACAACAAAGGCGCCACCGAGGGATTTATTTGGGAGACGAGCGTAGGGTGGTGAGGCATTGCTCATACAATTGGAATTCAATTGGAGTGACAGTTGGGTCAATGTGTAGCTGGATTGCTTATAGACCTGCTGTGTGTTATAACGGAGGGGACACACTTCCAGACGGGCAACTCGGAGTGGTGCTCTGGCATTCCACGGTTCTTCGCTTTGTGGAAGCCGATCGATATGATTTTCTAAATAACTGTCCATTAATTGGTTTTTAATACGATGAATGGGTGCTATTTTTGAGGCTGTATGTCGTTTTTTTTTCAACCTGTTCCCTTCAATTGATAGAGACCAGACTTTAATAATAATAAAATGCTTTCCAGGGTCAATGCAAAGTACCTAAGCGCGAGCTACAACTCTCATTCGTGTATCATTGGCACGTTCATGCCGTAGAATAATTGTACGCCCCGAAATATCATGACACTTTTCATTTATTTTCATACAATATATATATTTCTGGTCACAGAAAGCTTCAGCACGTTGGCAGGAAACAGCACGTATTTGGGCCTCATTTTCCCAGATATTGCAAGATTCTGCTTTTCCATTTACACTTAATTTTTTGGCAATAAAATATCCGAATAGAACAATAATGCAAATAATAATGAGCAAATTTCATAAAGGCATTTTATTTTAGTCAGAGTGGCACCAGGTCTGGAATTTCCCAACTCAATCAGAAAACTTGCAGTTAAAATTCTGTTTTCAGCTTGAGAGATCTCAGGCCATCAACCATTTTGTAAAAATATAGTAATAGGTTTTTACCCTTTCAACTGGTACACCTTTATACAAGGCATCATGTTTGTATTAACCACAACACAAGCAGTCAAAATGCAAACGAAAAGAAACAACTCTGATCATGAGAATGATATGCACTGTCCTTGAAGTTGATTGGTCCACACCCGAGACAGCTTTTCTTAGAGCCTAGTCTCCATTGGTGTTGGACCAGATGACGCCAAAAGGCGTACAACTCAAAAACAGCGCACTATCAGAGTATTGAGTAAGCATTTACACTATGAGACCTCCTTTACCAGTGGCAAAATATAGTAATAGGTTTTTACGCCTTTTGGCGTCATCTGGTCCAACACCAATGGAGACTAGGCTCTAAGAAAAGCTGTCTCGGATGTGGACCAATCAACTTCAAGGACAGTGCATATCATTATCATTATCAGAGTTGTTTCTTTTTGTTTGCATTTTGACTGCTTGTGTTGTGGTTAATGCAAACATGATGCCTTGTATAAAGGTGTCAGTTTTGTACCAGTTGAAAGGGTAAAAACCTATTACTATATTTTGCCACTGGTAAAGGAGGTCTCATAGTGCATTTTGTAAAAAGTCAAAACTAGTTGTCATTCCACAGGGGCTGGTTCCCCTCCAGGAAATGTGGACGTTTTACTGCTGTCTCTAAACCACTGATGTATAGAGAGACTTGCTATACACCATCATTGTTCATTTGAGCAGAGAGACGCTGTGAATGTGGCTTGTTACTCTGAACGAGAAATTTTCTGTTAGCGGTGGTCCCTTTGCCTGCTGGATATGTGTTCCGTAATGCGCATGATTTTAAAATTACGGTATGTGAGCACGCGGCCAAAAGGCACCAAAGGTCTAGTCGCCCAGCGACGAATAGCATGATTGAAGGTGTAATAAATAAAGGTTAACAAGTGTCTTACGTTGTGCGAGGTTAAGGAACTTTAGACATTTTAAAGTCGAGCAGTGCGAGGGGAGGAGCAGAAAGAGAAGGGGTTTCACCTACAGCGTGGTGAGTAGGTGGGTGAGTAAGTGAGCTGGTGGGTGAGTGCGTGAGCAGGTGATTGAGTGAGCAGGTGAATGAGTGTGTGGGTGAGTATGCTGCTCCACCTGCAAGTTTGGTGGTGGACCACAGCACTGATGAGAAAAAGCATCTGTCCGGTAGAGTCCTCAGCGTGGGGTTGAGGAATCAATGAGTGAAGGTTCATGGCAACAATAGCAGAGTGACAAGGAGGCGCTCACTGCCGGCGTGGCCTGCTCCGCATGCTCCCGCGCAGCTGTGTGGGGCGAGTGGGAGGCCTGGTCCGGGTGCTCGGCTTCCTGCGGTGGTGGCGTCCGCGTACGGAGCCGCACCTGCCCAACGCCGGCACCACCACCACCGGCATCGCCGCCCGGGTCCTCGCTCGCCTGCGACGGCGGCGGCGCCGTGGAGGACATGGAGAGCTGCAACACGGAGAGCTGCGGTGAGCACGGAGACGTCACGCCACGCACAGCGATGGTGCACCGATCATTCGCTGGCATGTGCCGCCCCTTCATCAAATCCGCTGCTGGATGAGGGCCTCCCTGTGCAGCGTGGGAGTTTTTTTGGCCACACTGTGCCACGCTGGTCAGTGCGGATTAGTGAAATTGGGAGCATAGACATTGGATCGTAGTGCAGTACAGCAATGGATTTTTCTGCATTGCCCTTTGAAGCAAAACATCGCCCTGGAGAAGCCTGCACCACTCACTCAAACCTGCTCATCGCCTGTTTAATATTAACACAATTATATGAATGGCAATTGCAATCACGGTTATAATGAAATGTCTAGCCGTGACCACATCTCCATTATGCTGCTAAAACTGGGGAGCCGGCTCGAGATGACAGCAATAATTGAATGATGCTATCTATTTACGTGGAAAAGTATGATGTAAGTCATTTTTTAACATCCAGAAAGTAAGAATGTTATGAAAAGACCATGGAGAAGGGGTTTCAACTGCAGGGTAGTTATGTGGTCTAGTGGGAAGTGGAGCATGTGGCATCAACAACTTTGGCTGTGATGAATGTATGACCTTGATGTGCTTGAGGAATTTTCCAATTTCTTGTTCAGTCGTTTTGTGTGTGGGAAGGCATCACAGTGGCTTTCTTCACTGTTGACATCAGCTGTCTTTGTTCACTCGAAATGAAGAGGCAACCCAAAAAGAAAATTGCTCATATTTGGCAAGTGCCTATCTAGGCTGTGTGTTCCATCTTCTGTGACATGAGGTTTGAGGCTTCAAGTCTCTGGATTTCAGGCACACACAATGTGTTCCATACATAATGTTCCACAGCCGTGGCATTACTACATCCAGTGTATGATTAAAAAAAAACTTTTTATTCATAAGCGCCACAGCTTTTAATCCAAACCACATCTTACTTACAAGTGCCCGCGAATGTCTGAAAATTTATTTTTGTTGCCCGTCGATCGGAATGCTGCAGACGGTCAGACGCTGAGCTGCCCTGATGGAAAGGTCTGGAGGCTGTGCCACCTCGATGAGCCTATAACCTGCGCCGACCTCGGCCGTGACCTCACGGTCTCCGGGAGAGAATGCCACCCGGGCTGCTACTGCCCGAATGGAACCCTGCTGTTGGTGAGCTACATGATGACTGTGCAGTTGGTTCATGCGCCAGCATTTTCTTTGTCCACAGCAGCCGGGATTTCGATGGATTTGGTATTCTAGCTGCAGCTGTGGTTTCCGCCAAAGCGTATTTTCAGGGTACACAGGACTCCCCGGACGTCTTCTCAAGCTGAACACTGCTCTATCCATTGCTGGATGAGGTCTCTTAAAGCTGAACACAGCCACTGAATAATACAAGACAATTTGACTGGATTTTTGTATTTGCAATCAAATATATATATTTGGGATGAGTTTTGGATGAGAACATTTCAGATTTTTTAGGAAAATTTCAGATCTCTTTCAGATTTTCGGTCTCACAAAAGTGACATCCCTGGATGGCACGTGACATCATTTTTGGCAAAGAAACATCAGCTGTGACATCGTATAAGTGACCCTCTTCCGACACAAAACTAATTCTGATCTCGTCCAAATTTGTGTTTCATTCATCCAAAAATCAGAGACACATCCCCAATATATGCTGTTTTTTTATATGTGCTCTAGCCTGCCAACAGCTCTCGTGTTGTTTAATTACAGCAATTGAGCTGGGTGACCTTCCTAATCTTGTCTTTTGCTTAACTCTTCCAGAACCAGACGTGTGTTCGAACCTCGGAGTGCCCGTGCTTCATAGGAGGCTCGGTGTATCTGCCCAGATCTCCGATACAGATAGGCTGCACCAAATGGTGAGTTCATTAAGAGAAATGTTCGTCTGCGACTGCGGCCAAACGGCGCTATCTGTTGGCAAAGTGCCCAACTCACATCGGGAGGATTGAGAGTTTCAATCATCGTTTCAAGAAAGCGTGGGGGGGGGGGGGGTGCATGCTGGGAATTGCAAATGAGAGGCACAGAAGAGCAATGCGTGGATCGGAGAACAAAATGAAAATTACAGCCATCATATCGACTCTCAAGGAAAGTGGGCGGGCTTGGGCAGGGCACATGGCCAGGGGGAAGGATGGTCAATGGATGGGGCTGGCGACGGACTGGCAGCCAAGGGAAAGAAACGTGGCCAAGAGGACGCCCCGCCAAGATGCACCGTGGCAACGAGGGACCACGTGGGATGGCATCGGGGTGGGGAGGTCTCATCCAGAAGTGGATCGGCCACAGCTGATGATGATACCGATGAAAATGACTGCTACTGTCTAGGAAGTCAGCAGTATTTGGCTTATTCATTGTCTGACCCCCTGCCCTGGGAATGTTGAATTTATAGTGCTAGCTGACAGCAACCAGCAGAGGTGAGCAATACCACAATGATCCTTCAGGCAATTAGACACTGACCTTTGACTAAAAAGGAAATTAGTTTAGATTAATTAGTTCATGCCTTTGCATATATTCTATTCTTGCAAATAGTAATATGTTCAGTGGTTCGATGCCAATGTCGAGTTCTGCTAGCCACGATGAGAGGCCTTCAGGAGAGGGTTTGTGTAGTTTTGGTATTCCTCCGTAGAATGAGTGCAGAATACAGTGTGGTTTTACCACATGGTCTATAGTTGGGGTTCCATACATATTCTCGTCCTTCCCTTATACGTCCGATTAGCACGGTTGGCTACATACGGTGCGGAAAGAGTTCAGCATGCATACATACAAACATGCGTGCATGACCACAATCGCACTACTGTGGCTTGTCTTTCATTTTCCACTGATGCAGATGTGACCATCGGCCCGCCAACGCTCTCATGGCGTCGATGGTTACACCGGTTTCCTCGAGGGATGCCAAGGCCAGAGGATGCAACGCTTGGGTCACGGATTAAGTGTTTTCTTCTGGGACATCCACGTTGTGCCACTGTTGCGTGTGTTAGAAATCATGGACGGAAAACTCTGCCCGCATATGTCTGCATGCTGAAAACCAAAAATGTTTGTTAGGCATATCGCACGTGTGGACGTGTGCTTGAGAGGCCGATTCAGTGTGCTGGTTCCGCTCCGTACCTGAACATCTCCTGGGGTTTCTCTCTTCGCAGCACTTGTGAAAATGGCGAAGCGGCGAGGTGTGTCAGCGTTGATTGCGATGGTGAGGAGCATATCCCTTCGTTCTGTACCGCAGTGCGATACTGCCGCCTTAAATCTCACAATCTGACGGCAATGTCGCCCATATCGGGCAGGCGCCGATCCAACCCCCCACCCCACCCCAGGCTTCTCTCCCACACTGATTCAGTCCATAGTCCATTTCTAAATTTTTAGTTTTTTTTTTACTCGTTTTTACCGTATATTGTAAAAAAAAACCGCAAATAAGCAATTCCTACAACCACAATTCAGCGCCCTTATCATGATAATCGAAATATTCATTCCTGCAAAAAATGCACACATTTTAAGCAACACTTATTAGCGAGTAAGTTCTAAACCAGACAATTATTCTGATTTTTAAACATAGATCTCACTTTAATATTGCTTAGTTCCCCATGAATAATATGATACAAATTTAGAAACATGCAATGAGATTATTTAAATTATTTTCGTGCGATGAATGTCCAAATGATGGGCCACTTTGTTGAGCTATCATACGTGGCCGGGTCGCTTCTGAAAAATAAGTTAACATCTCATTGGGCTTTGCCTGGGAGGATGTGGATGGTTTATTTTAATTTGTTTGTGTTTGGGTGATTTGTTTACCTTTCTTGTACTTTGCACTCCTATCGTAGTTTTGTGTTGTTTGTTGTTGTAACGTTCTTACCCGCCCCTACTGGACATCTGTGACAAAGAGCTTTATAGCTCATCAGATTCCTCCAGTATAGATACATATTGTGATTCTGAGAAAACATTGACTGATATGCGATAATGAACTCTTTCCCTTCTTTGATATCGCCCATCCAAAAAGTTAGAGGTTGAATGCCGAAGGTTGGCTTTGCTCATTGTTTCGTGGTGGGGTGAAGTGTGACTGCTCCCCAATGCTCTTCCACAACTTTTCCTACGAGCCGATGTCAAAGTTGGTCAAATTAAAACTTCATTAGACGTGAGTGGTGTGTGTTGAGCACTGTGCTGGGCCTGCCCTCTACTTCTTAAGCGAACAACAACACCGCCATAATAAGATTTATAAAGTTCTTTGCTTCAGTGCCTCGTCTTGTGTTGGGTACGAGCATTGGCTGTTCAAGCCTGGAGTGGGTGAGCCGTGGGTGTAGTAGTGCGGTGTACCGTCTTGGTGTGCTGAATGTGCTGTGCTGTCCCGTGGGACTTGCTGTGCGTGCTACCGCTTAGCCATGCCACCGTTTGTAGCAGCATGTATCGTATTTTTTTTTTACTCAAAGAGATTAATTGCATATTTTTTTTAAAGATTTGTATCATTTCAGGGTTTTTTGTGGCTTGATATATTGACCCTGTATTCTGTTCACCGACCCTGTTTGACACTTGGTATACCCATCGTATTAATAATTCAGGTTTCCTTCAAACATAGACCTTGTAGTCTCAACGGGCGATTTCCTAGTGGAAATAAAGAACACGTTACAGTCGTGCTGTGCGTGCGTGTTGTACTGAGTGGTGTGCGGTCGTGTGTGTTATAATGCATGACCCGTCTGCTGTGTGTGCGGTGTACTGAGTGCGGTGTGCCGTGCCACATTGCAGGACCCGTGTGTTGCGAGTGTGGTGTGCTCCGTACATGGGGCGCTGCTTGTGCAGAGTGCCGTGTGCGAGACTGTGTGTGTGTGTGTCACCTGCCGTGGTGCGTGAATCGCTATGTGCCGTGCGCCACTGTGCATTCGTACTGCGTGTGCGTTAACGCACCGCGCATTACGCCGCATGGTGCGCCGCACGCGTACGCGCTTTTGACGCGTTGCTCCCCCCCGTGCGTGACCCGTGCCCAACCGCAGTGGACGGTGCGTGGAACGACTGGAGCCCCTGGACCCCGTGCAGCGCGCCGTGCGGCCTCGGGGTGCAGCGCCGCTACCGCTTCTGCACGGAGCCGCCGCCGGCGGGGGAAGGTCGCGACTGCGGGGGGCCGGGCAGCGAGGAGCGAGTGTGCAACACGCACGCCTGCACGCGTACGTTCCTCCTTGCTCCTCCGGCGTACACAAAAACAACGATCCCACCCCCCCGTATGGGCGTAACAGACTGTTGGGGCGAGAGCTGTTTGCGAGTAGCATCTACGATGGGGTGGGTGGCCAGCACCATGCCCGGCCGCATTTGTCTCCCCAAAGGCGATGTTTACACACTGCAGCAGATACGTCCCTTCTCTTCCAGCGTGCATGCACGCACATCGTGTCAAGGAGCGTAAACCATCAAAACGCGAACTTCGATTATCCTCGCAGCAGCTGCGGCTGTTTGGCTTTCGGATGCGCTTCTGCGACCGTCTGTAACGCTCTTCCGATATTAGGAAGGCACTGGCAATACGCACATTTAAATCGCCTAGATTGCCTAATTTCTCTAGAAATTCTGGGAAATACACACGCAACCACGGAGGAAATGTTTTCCTTTGATGTTGATTACACATCCATTCGCATGCAACATTGTTTTTTTTTATTGTAGATGCTGGAGCAACAAAGACCAATGACTGAGCAGCAAGTAGCAGTGACATCACAACACGTTTTGTACCGGGCCGTGGTGAACCTTGGGGTCACATGGAGTAGCTTTTAGCTCATGGGCAAGAGGTCACAGAACAGACACACATTAGTCATGAGGGAACGGTTCGAGTATATACTCAGGAACAACGTTGCGACCACTCTCTGTTTAGCTGATTAGAATTAGCCGTGTATTGTTTTTTTTTAAAGGGAAGAATCATTATTCCCGCGAAACCATAATAAACTATCTTTGAAAAGGTGTGTCAGGCCTAACCTCTTTAATGGAGCCCATCAATTACCTCCACGAAGGCTGCGTCTGTATCATTGCTTAACATCATAGGAGCAATGCTCTGGCCACATGTGAATGCTAAGCAGAATTTCCTTTGATTAAAATTTTTTTTTCAGGGGGTTCCTTGGGCATCAGATTTTTACTCGTAAATGTGCACTGCTATGTTGTGACTCTACATGCCCTGACAGCCACGGGGGAAGGAGGCATATCGTCCGATTGTTTAAGTTGTTCCTTGAGACGAGACGGACTCGAGACATCACGATCCTTTTTTTTTAAGTTTAGATCTTGCTCCGTTGAGTCTAGCCTCTCTTTGAGGAGTTTTCGATGTGCAACGAAATTACAATTCCTGCAGTGACTACGAGGGCTTTTTCAAACGACCAAGCCATTGATGGCCTGTGGGGGTTTCCACTGTGAATGATCAAAGAGGCGTAGCTGCTACTGCTACTTCTTTTGTTGCTAAATCACGGCTCGAGATTGGTGAGGCGCCTCAATAGACTCACGAGGTGTAAACACCGTACCGAGTCGTGACTACAAGGGAGATCTCTATTCCCAGACCGAAGGACACATGCAGAGAAAGATGGGAGCGAGGGGACTAAAGGCTTAAGCCAGGAGTGACTCAGCAAGCGTGGCCAGGAGAGACAGAGAGAGAGAGAGACAAGAGAGTTCTCGACGCGAGCTACAAAGCCACTGAGGAGAGGCAGCGACGGCCGAGCCTTCCAGAAGTCCCCGTGTGTGTACCCCCTCGTCCATCGCTCATTGTCCCTGGCTGTCGCGTGGCTGTGCCTGTGCGTGGCGCGTGCAGAGGACGGCGCGTGGTCGGGCTGGAGCCGCTGGGCCGAGTGCTCGCGCAGCTGCGGCGGCGGGGGGCTTCGCTCGCGGGCCCGCTCCTGCGATGCCCCCGTGCCCAGCGGCGGAGGAGATTACTGCGAGGGCCCGGGCGTCGACACTCAGGAGTGCCACGCGGAGCCATGCCCCGGTGAGCCGTTGACCACGCGGCCGCCGGCGGGCTGCTTCGGGAAGGGGGACACGTCGAGAGAGCGAGTTCCTCTTTTAAAAGATAAAATTCTAAATAAATAAGAAGGGCCTGATTTCCCTCTCCCCCCTGACCCCCGATAAACAAGCAAGCTGTTATCTTGTGGATACACGTCGAGGGTGTGCGCCCTGCGCTGTCACGCACGAGTTTGATGCCTCGTTAATGAGAAAGAACGCCCCTGAGATTTGTTGAAGGGCTTCATGCCCCCCCGTCGCCGTCGCCACTGCGATTGCCCTGGAACTCGCTGGTACTGCCCCGGCTGTCCCGGCTGTCCCTCGGGCTCATCATTATCGGCACGCCGAGCCCGTTTACTTTCATCTCGCGCTGTGCTGCAGTGTTGCCCTCTGACCTGCCATGTTTCCCTGCCTTGACCCCTCCCGTACACCCCTTGATGACCTCATGTAATTCTGTTTTTTACGAAGTGTCTTGAAATGTAATTGCATTTAGGCGCTGTATGAATTTACGTATTTGTGTTGTCGTGTAAAGCCATGCTCAAGAAGGCCCATATAGCACCTTGGTGGTGCCACTTTGACTTCAAGGCCACACGTATCCAATCACCACGGCAGTGAAGTGTCCACAGTTGTGCCCTCGACAGTATTTCTTTGTCCTCATAACAAAGGGGCGTCACGGTGTCGAGGTGTTATCTGCCTCGCCTGGTATGCAGGATGTCGTGGGTTCGATCCCGACCCTGACGCCTGTATATTTGGAGTTTGCGTGTCTCTCTCCCCGTGGCGGCGTGGATTTTTATCCGGGTCCTCTGGTGTATTCCTCCACATTTAGAAAAGGGTGCGCTTAGAGTGTTTTGCTGCTTTTAAATTTCCACGCGACAAGCCACTTCGTTGAGTTATCATTTGTGGCCAGGTCGCTTCTGAAAAAGCGCTACATAGCTCAGTGGGCCCTATCTGGTAAAATAGAAAAAAAAATAGTTTGGTTAAAGGGCTTATTTAGAGTTTTACTCCAGCCCGAATTCGGTGTGCAATCCTCCTCTGATGGTTTCACATTACTCGTGTGCATTCTACTTTTCAGACAGGAACTGTTCGGAAGTGGCTGGGTCGTACTACAGTCACTGTGGGCCGCCCTGCCCGCGCAGCTGCGACGATGTGTCTGTACGTCATCAAACCCGCTCTCGGTCTTGCTCACATTGCTGCAAACGTGCGTCGTTCTGTTTGATGGTTAGCTACTCTGTTACGCCACTCACGACGCAAAAACAGTGCTTCACCGTCAAAATAAATTGACTTCATTGAGTTATATCGTGAGCTCCAGGTTAGTGGCAAAGTGCACCACTGCAACAACAACAACAACAGGCTGAACGCCCCTTCGCAGAGCTACGGGTCGAATATGCGGTGACCGGCACGTGTGCTTTCCGTCTTGATGCGTGACGTCAGTTTTGCTCGTGGAGCTGCGAGCCCGGGTGCTACTGCACGGACGGGCGCCTGATGAACGGCGAGGGCAGGGCGTGCGTGGACAAGCAGGACTGCACATGCCTGGACATCAACACCGGGCGGCGACACCCGCCCGGGGACACAGTGCCCCATGCGGACGGCTGCAACAACTGGTCGATCGATTCCTGTCGCACCTTCTTCGCTTCATGCACTCGCACGTCTCTTGTTTGCCAATCCACCGCTGGGTGATCGAGTTTGAACGGCCCTCGCGATACGGGATGGGCGCCGGGGATAGTAGCAGCAACGGTACACGCACGGCTCCTTCTTGACCGCCCGCTGTTGATTTACGGCCTCCCCCTCGTCCCATCGTGGGGGTTTAAGTGACCAAATTTCACCAACCACGCTGGCCAGCATGGGTTGGGGGGTTAGGGGGGCTGTAGATGCAGAACAGCGCAGCCAGAGCCGGCCCAGCCACTAAGCGACCCTTGCAATTGCAAAGGGCCCCGTGGCCAGCAGAGGGCCCCCTAGAGTCACTGCTAGCTAGTGGGTGAAAAAATCATACATCAAAGGGGCCTCCAACCAAATTTTGCTTAGGGCCCCCAAAGGTCTAGGGCCGGTTCTGAGCGCAGCGATGGGCTTTTGCTGGACTAACCCCAGCTAGCCACCACATAGTCCGCGATGCTGTGCGGCCAGCCTGTTTGTGAGTGGTGTTCACCCACCCAAGCAATATCAAGGCTCGAACATGCTTAGCATCCGAGAGATCCGGGCGACGTCGTCCAGATGGATTTGGCTACGCAACAACAACACTATTTTGACCATTGGAATCTCCTTTGCCAGTAGCAAAATATGATAATTGGTTTTTTAACCTTTTATCTGTGCATACATTATCAGAGTTGTGTTTTTTGTTTGCATTCAGACCACACGTATTGTGGTCAATGCAAACATGACTCCTTGTAAAAAAGGTGTCAGTTTTGTTGCCAGATAAAAAGGGTAAAAAACCAATTAACACTATTTTGATTTGAGAGGCGTTCTTACGTGACCGCATCCCATGGTGCTGTGCAATGAATGCTGGCCGGTTGCTGTGGAGCGAGCGGGGGTTTCTGTTTGGGGAATGGCGAGGAGAGAGGTGTCATTTGGCGGGGGCCAGGGTGATGGCGTGGTGTGAGGAAGAAAATAAACCCCCGACTTGAACGAGGTTGTCTGCAGTCGAGTCACAAGAGCTTGCTGTGCTTACGTAATTGCTCTCTGCATCATTTGAAGAAGTTACGTAAGATTTTTATTTGCCTTTGTTTTTTTTTTGCCTTGTTATCGGTCGAGGCAACATTTGTTAAGATCAATCTATGAAGGCTGCGAAAGTAAATCCGGCCTTGCGCTCAATGATTTTAATGTCGTTTTTATTTTTTTATAATTTCAGCACTTGCATGCATGGAGCGCTGGTGTGCACCAATCAGCCTTGTCCTGGTAAGCAACTAATCACAAGCATCGCACTGGATTTCAACGACAAATTATTGGTAGTGGTTTTTTTTTATCACGACCATTTCTCCAGGGTCAATAAAACGAGTACACACTTTGTGGGGTAAATCAATGGTGATTGTCCTTTGGATGGAGCTGCCCTAAGCCATAGCAACGTGGAATTTCCACCCCTGGCTGTAAAAAGAACACTAGTACCACCTCAATGCTCACTTGACCAGCAAATCACTTTTGATTTGATCATCAGTATACTTAACTGTATAAAGAGTGCATTCATAAAGTTACTGCGTTATTTCAACCACGACATATCCCAAACCCGCTGCCAGCACTGTACACCCCAGGGCTGTGTTTTGAGCCGATTTGTTAATCCGAGCGAAGAGTTTGCACGCACGCACAGACCGATAAATCATGATGAGCACGGCAAAACATATTTTTTTTTTCACGGGAGGCCCAAAGGCCGCTAATGAATGTGTCTCGTACTCACAAACACGGAACGAGTGCAGCTCGGTGGTAATGAGCTAAGGCAGCGTTCAGAATAGCAGTAACCAGCAGAGAAAGTGGTGGTTGCGTCGGTGGTGATGTAATTCAAACGAAGTTTTTGCTTGGACGTTGTCTGTCTCATCGCCCGGAGCATGTGATGCCAGTGCTTTATCAGTGAGTTGTACTTTTTTTCACAAAGCTACCGGATGTTTGCGAAGTCTGCATTGGTACCCAGCGGTGTCATGAGTAAGAGTTAAACGTCTTGCCTGTAGCATCTGAACACAGCTTGATTTCTCGTGCTCCTTTAAGACACCGACAAGAGGACGGAATGTCACACTGCCGGGCCACGAGAATTGATCCTTGGATGGAAATGCGGAGATAAAAGCCATTTATTTTCTCGCCCTCTATAAAATTACCACCGCCTTAACTGCAGTGTTAAACTTTTAAATGCGAGTTCTTTGAACTTCCAATGTTTTTTCCCTATCCACACAGTAGGCTTCGAATATGTTCACGATCAATGAGTAGAGTTGTCCCCTTGCTCCAAGTAAGCGATGAGCAGGACTCGTCCATTTGAGGGCCCAGCCGGCGGTGTAGACCAAACTCTCCCATGCTCTTCCATCCACGTGGTGTTCACCAGGTGGTGTTCATTTTCTCAGCCGAGCACAGTTAACCGTGCAGCCGGACGGCGTAGTGGCCGGAGCGCGTAGCTCGCAATCGAATTCTCGAGTCAATTCAGCCCGTCATCCCTCCTTCAACAATAAGATGAGAACCATTATGTTGTAAATCGACAACGGCGGTGCAGCCCTTTGTCACAATCAACTGCTGATTAAAGGCCTGTCTCTCCACGCCCTGTTGGTCACGCGGTTTGATTGACCATGCTTCACCACATTGGTCAGTGTGGGTTGGCGAAGGGGTGGTGGGTTCGTAGTGGTAAGCGTGCTGCGCTACGAACCTGGCTACCCGAGTTCGATGCCCGCTAACGGCCAACACCAGTGACGAATATCTGAATTGGTCCTCCTCTAGGTCGACTCAGCCTCAATTGAGTACCTGGTGTGGTGCGTAAACATTGCCACTGCGGAAACAAAGGCGGTCGGGCGTGGTGCTGGCCACCCACCCCCTCGTGTACCTTGCCCGGCCTTAATAGGTACACCTCGCTAACAGCAGTTGCCACAACAGTCCATTCAGGCTATATGGTGGTTCTTTGTCTTTGGCGGGGAATCAACGTAACCAATGCACCACCGCGACACCATTCAACAGTGGTAACCCCAAGTACATCGTCACCTCGTTAAATGTATTACATTTTTGCTGCCATTACGCGCTTGTTTACCCAGGCACGCCTCACCCAGTCTCCAATACTTTTTCACGAGGGTCCTGCCAAATTTCCGCCATGGGGGCGAGGGGGGAGGGGTGGGGGGCACCGTTGCCAGAGGTCGCAACCGGGTACCCGATACCCGTACCCTACCCGATACCCGGCTACCCGGCTACCCGTACCCGGCCGGGTACGGGTACGGGTAGCCGTTTGCGACCCTGGTGCGGCCGGGTACGGGTACGGGTAGGCCATGAGTAGCTGGAAAGTAGCCGTTTGTCACTAATTTCGGGTAGGGTACGGGTAGGGAACGGCTACCCGTACCCGGTCGGGTACGGGTACGGGTACCTGTTTGCGACTCTGGTGCGGCTGGGTACGGGTAAGGGTAAGGAATCAAAACCCGTTCGCGACCTCTGACCATTGCTCTGTTGTAATCCCACATTGAGTGATGTGCGGGTAACGTGTTTGCATCGGATTCCTCCGCTAATCGAAAAAAATAATCATTCCGATTCCGATTGCAGTGGACGGCGGCTGGTGCGAGTGGTCCCCGTGGACGCCGTGCTCCCGCACGTGCGGCTCGGAGACGGCGTCGCGCTACCGCACGTGCGCGTGCCCCCCGCCGCGGGACGGGGGCGCGCCCTGCGCCGGGGCTCAGCGCGGGCACGAGCACAGGGACGTGGGCGTGCAGCTCGAGGCGAAGCCGTGCAACCTCTTCCCCTTCTGCCCCAGTGCGTAGGCGGCCTGTCGCGCCCTCCTCCTGTGACTTTTGTGCGGACACGCGGGGGGGCGGGGGCGGGGGGGCGAGAGCACTGTCAGGGTGCAGGGACTCGTCTGCTTACGAACGAGTTAGGTTCTAGAGGTCTGTTTGTAAGTCGATTTGTTCGTGAGTTCAACTTTTTACTCCTGTCAATTCTAAACACGTTGTACGGCATCAACACTAAACACGATGCGGTGTGTAAACATCAGCACTCGGGAGACGAGAGTGGTGTGGGCTACCCCCCACCAACTCGTGCGCCGTGCCGACCTTCACGGATGCTCGCTGACAACAGCGGCACCTCAGTTCAGTTCATTTATTAGGTATAGCCCTGTGAGCCATGTGGCTCTTGACTCGGGTGCAACCGCAACAAACAAAAACACGAACAAAGAACATCTCAAAGTGACTTCGCGCAACAGAAAAATCCAGGGGGGAAAAAAACCCAGCAAAGTCTTCCAGAAAAAAACCACCGCAAGTCAACGCTGTGTGCCAAAGATCCCAGTGGGATGCAAGTCAAACGATAACAACCGTAAGACAAGTCTGTTAAAGGCTACATGGATCTGTGTGTCTTTGTGTTTCAGCGGATGGCGGGTGGGGCTTTTGGTCGTCGTGGTCGGCGTGCGACGCCTGTACCGGCGGCGCCGCCGTCAGGACCAGGGAGTGCAACAGCCCAACCCCGCGCTTCGGCGGCGCCGAGTGCGAAGGGAACTCCACCATGAGCCGTCCGTGCCAGGGGGACCCAAGCTCGTGTCCTGGTGGGTGTGTCGGGATGACTACAGCGGTCGTCGTTGTGCGAGCGCTCTGTCCATGTGTTTTGGTGGGACCAAAAAAACGATTGCAAAGTGGGTTAGCGCACCGCTCGTCGATAACCAGCGACCTGCCTTGCATTCCCAGCCATGACGCTCATCAGTGGCGAGTGATTTCTGAATCGGTGCTGGGTCCTCCCATAGGTCGACTCTGCCTTGAATGAGTACCTGGTGTGGTATGTACATACCAGCACTGGGGAGACACGAGGGCATGGTGTGGCCTGAACCGGACATGGTGGTGGCCACAAACCAGCATTGTGCCAGCCTCTATAATTGCTTTCGAACAGCACGTGTCCCAACAGCCCACGTGAACAATGCGAGGGATGTTTGTGTGTATGCGACAGGAGTGATGTAGTGATTTGTGTGCACTGCGCTAGCTTCGATCTCGCTGATATGAAAAACACATCTTGGGCAAAACATCAGTGGGGAAAATTGCCCTCCCCCTGGCCATGCTCGCTGGAAATTGATTACCTGGTACAAAGTGTCCCAGGAGTAGCACTCTGATGACAAGGGTGGCCAGGCCTGGTCGCTGGCAGTAACCATGTCAGCTTTAATTGGTCCAGAGTGTAGACGATAAAATGGGGGGTGGGGCATTGTCTTTGTGTTCTGATGGCTTATTGATTAACGTTTTAATAAGACCTAGTAACTACAATGACACTCATCATCACTCGTTGCCTACACACTCGATCAGTCGTGGGTGCCGTTTTAAACCGACTTGGCATGTTGCTATTGTCTACGTTGACAGAAAAGAAACGGACAGAGGTCTTCCTGAACTATAATGTTTACACCAACACACGTCCCCCTCTCCCCTCCCCCCCACATTGCATGGCTGATCGATCGCTGGCTTGGGAACCTGGTCGCTCGTGTAGCGAGGTCAGGCCCTGGCGGCCGCCGCCTACCGGGCAGCAGTGCTGTCGATAACAGCGAGGGACGTGTCCGCCACTTCCAGCGGCGATCGCTCGCCCCTGGAAGTGGCGCAACCGAGATTGATTATTGCGCGGGTGACGTTCGGCACAATAACAATTTGCATTAACGGTGCAGTTCATGATTTTCGGGTAAAGAATGCACTAATTAGCCGATCTACGGCGGCATGAAAAACATTTAAGAGTGGGTGCGACAACTGCAATGGCGTTCGTTACAATATTGTTAAATTTCTACAGCACGTTAGAAAGTGAGTCTGTTTCCCTCCCATTATTGTAAACATTTAATCTACTTTGCAATGCTCTGGCCTTTCAGAGAAAAGAGTCACATTCGGAAACTTATTTTCCAACTTAGGCATATGCCAACACGTCAATGAGTTCCAATCCAGGTTAAGGACTCATTCAGGTTACGAACACGTTGAGGCTCAATAACATGGGTACCACGTTTTGGCACCTAAACAGTGGCTATCCTGTGGCTTTACCGGCTGCCACCACAGGAATGTGGAATTTCCACCTACCATCTGAGACCCACAATCAGGCACAAGCACCCCCTCGCACTTAACTCCATCCAAGTCAATTGACCGATTGACTGATCGATACATTTATTCCGTTTTCAATGTTTTTTTCGGTACAGTCACGAAAGTTTTAAGTAAAAATTTACATTTATTCCGTTAAAGAGTTGCCCCCCTCAGTGGCAATTTGGAATTTCCACCGCTGGCTTTTCAACACGCGAGGGAGAGTCACTCGACCGTGTGACTGATAACACTGGTCAACAAAAAAAACATTTTTTTCTGGTCTGGACTTTTGCAGCTGTTTTAGACTAATTTCAGGGTGCTGATTCCAAATCTGATCTCAGATTTGCTCTATCACATCTCATTTTTATGCTATCGGCATACCCCATTTTCATTGATTTTACCCGAAATTAACTCTGTCACTTATGATTGCGAGTCAGTGACTGCTTTAGTGTTAAAATATGGTGCTGTATTTTTAGGATAGTGTGTTTATAATATAATTTTATGTAGATATCCACATTTATTTAATATTTTCTTCTGCAGTTTTTATTGAAAATGCAAAAAACTGATGCCAGATTTGGAATCAGCACCCAAAAATTACCTTAAAACCGTTGGAATACCTTATGCCAGAAAAAGTGTGTGACCAGTGTTATCGACTGACGGATCGATCGATTTACTTGACGGAGACTTTCTGAGGCGTCGGTGCCCGCGCTGTGTGGCTGCCCCTCACCTCTCGTCGCTCAAGAGTGGCAGGCGCCACGGCGGCGAAAAGTGAACTACCTCGCCCGGGATACGGGAGGTAGTAGGTTCTATCACGACCCTGGCGCCTGTATGTGCGGAGTTTGCGTGTTCTCCCCGTTGGATTTTTCTCCGGGTTTGTGACGGTTCCACCTGAAGACGGAAGCTTGTGTTGCCTCCGAAACGTCGTGATTTTTATTTTACTTTTATTTTACTTTTATTAATTTTAATTTTTTACCTACGTGACTTTACCGAAAAAAACCCAAGAATATTTAACCGTTCCGTTTGCTTGTCCAGACTGCCCCGAGGGCCAGGTGGTGCTGCCGTGCAGCAAGCCGTGCCCGCGGAGCTGCGAGGAGCTGCAGAGCGGCGTTCTGTGCGTGGAGCCGCCCTCCGAGTGCCACCCCGCGTGCGCGTGCCCCGGCGACCTCGTGCTGCACGACGGCGCCGCCTGCGTGCCGCCCTCGCGGTGCCCGTGCCGCTACCGCCCGCCCAGGCCGTCGCACTCGCACAAGCAGGACCGTGAGCGTTGGGTTCATTGCCGCCGTCGCCGCTCGGTCCCCACTCCCCACCCACCCTTGCCGCCGGCTCGCACCCCCACCACCCAGAGACCGGTGTGTTGTCATTATCGGTGGCAGCAGTTCTATGATCAAACCGCTGTTGGATGAAGGCCTCCCTGAGCCATCACCGACTGTGATGTTACAATCTCTGGGGTGGCATTCCCTCCCTTGGCTGCTGCATATTCACTATTCTTGGCCACCGGCCGGGGTGTCCTGCCCAAGCCCACGTTTCCAACCAGTGTTTCACCCTGGGTGTGTGTTGTTCTCGAATCCACGCGTTGTGGTTAGACCCCAAACAAAATTGTCGTTTAACGGCAGCACCGCAAAGTGGTGTTTTTGTTTCGTGGCGAGGTTTTAGCATTTTTGTTGAGTGCTTCCATAATGAAAGAGCATCTTCAAAGCACTTTGCAATGCAAATGGGGCATTGCAAAGCATCTCGCTTCGTTTTAGAATCTTGTTATCCTTAAGTCAGGTGTGAATGCGTAGAATTGTCACGCTTTAGCAGAAAGGCATCTTTTTTTTCGTGAAACGTTTGATGCAAAACACTCTGCGGTGATTCCTGTTTTATCGATTTTGGGCAACAGTGGGTAGAAGGCACTTTCCACAAGCGCAAAAATGAGGCCCTGATCATTGAAACACATGGCACAAATGCCGAGGTTAACATTCACTCGCGGATATACTCACACCGTCGATCCCCGAGCATAAAGCCACGGCAGTGCCGGCCAGCCTGCGACTGGGAAGCCGGTGCCCGAGTTAAATATTTAAAATCGTCTACAGAATTATTACCGCTCGCTGGCACATCGTTTGTCTCACGCCCTTCGGTATTTTTCAGTTCACTATCCGTTTAATCACGCACCCTCGCCTGTATAGGCGCGTGACGGTGACAAAGTTTTCCTCCCCGGGCAGATGGAGTCAATGCCAGCTCCGCCTCTGAGCTCCAGCCAGCGTGGATACTGGTGCATCCCGGGGAGACAGTCGCCATCCGTTGCAACAACTGGTAAGGGACGAAGCGAGCGCAGGGGACATCAGAGCTCCTGCTTGCTGTACTTCTGGCGGCCTGGGTCGGGAACGGCAGAAGGACGAGGAGGGTGGGAGGAGGGGTTGTGGGTAGCAGGGGGTGGGGGGGGTAGTAGAGGTGGGGTGGGGGGAGCAGATGATCGCATGTTTGGAGAGGCGGGGGGGGTGGGATGCGACAAGGGCAGACAGGGACACATGAAGGGTACTCGTCGCAGGTGGCGCGGTCTCATGCCGCTCGTGCGCTCCCTTTGTTTTTTGACACCGCAGCAGGTTTGTACAAATCAGGTTGTAATTGGACAGCGTAGATGCAACGCACGGAAGGGTTGTTGTTTTTTAAGGTTATTCTGGAATTATTTTGTTTTCGTGCGCAGCGTGCTGCGTGTGATTTTCAGTTTTTCGTTGACGTGTTGTTATTTTTTTCCAACTGAGTGTTTCCACATTTACACGGGGCTCACTGCGGTGTTCTTGTTCACCTAGGGAAAGCGAAATTCGACGGAGCGTTTTATGTAATTTCTCGCTTTATATTGGCCTAGAGCACGGGGAGGAAATTCGGTCTTTGAAACCAAACGATGCAAGTAAATGTATTAGGGCTTTCAATTGCATGATCAAGATATCGCAAGAAACTGCTATTAATAAAAAAATGATTTAAAAGGTCACATCTTAGAATTGCCCATAGATGAGCTTGAGACCGAAATGAAGTGGCACATGTAGATTGTCACAAATGCGCACTTGCTAAAGATTTAATTATGTTGCCATTGTCAGATAATTCGCGTATGATGTATTGATTTTTACATCAACCATTTTTTTTTCAGATTTTCTCACACAACCCATAATTTGATTCCGTCAATATTTCCAGCCATACACATTACTCAATTGATTTATTTTTTGTTGTGGAGTGTTTTTCATAAACGTATTTTCACAAATTATATTTGCCCCAAATTTGTCGCGCGTCTGGTGGCTCAAGCCAGTATTCGACCATTTTGGAGGTAGGGTCAGGGGATAGTACATGTTTAATAATGTGTGTTCGACACCCAACCTGGTGTCCGTGTCATGGCAGTACAGCAAGTACGGTCTGGCCGTATGAACATTTAAAAGTGTTATTCCTTTCAAGTGTCTGTTTTTTTTTCTGATTGATTGAGTTGCTCCCCACGCGCAATAGACTCTAAAAGAACGTGTTCAATTATCCCACTGCAGTGCCTTCCTGAACAAGTATTAATACTAAGGTGGCACTGTGTGTTTAATGATCTCAACTCACAATCAGATGTTTGTTTCAAATATCAGCCAGCGATCACATTATCTTCTTGGGGTCAATAAAATCATGACCACTCGATGGAGGTCAGCAGCAGTCGCCAAATTCCGTGTGAATATGTAAATTCCACCGTTGTCAGATGAACACTACCTCTCCCTATCAGTGGTATTATCCTGCAGTACGAATGGTTACACGAAAGTTCGTTAATCGGCAGGTCACATGTAGCGGGTACGTCGACATCTTCCAAGGTGTCTGGCGAGCGCGGAAGAGTAGGCCAAATATCTTCGAGAGGGCTTCTCTAGACCTCGCTCAAGTGGAGGCCGGTCTGCCAGCAGTGACTTAATAAAGAAGTTCCAGGGCTGCACCTTTACCTTCTAAAACAATATTTTTCGTTTCCTCAATCGCTACGCTCCTCTGCCGTCGTTTTCACTTCTCCCGCGGGGTGCGCCCGTGCACTAGACCCGGGTAGGTTCCGTCACGCGCGCACGCGGTGCCCTCTGACCCCGTCGCGTTCTCCCGGTGTCCTCCCTTGGCGGCAGCACCTGCGAGAGCGGGCAGCTGTCGTGCACCGAGCTGGCGTGCCGCATCGACGGCGGCTGGGGCTCGTGGACGAGTTGGAGCTCGTGCCCTCGTTCCTGCGGGGACGGCGTGCAGCACCGCTACCGCCTGTGCGACAGCCCCGCCCCGCACGCCGGCGGCCGCGGCTGCGCCGGGCCTTCCCGGGAGGAGAAGGAGTGCCGCGCACGGAGCTGCGTCGGTAAGGTGCCGTTCATTTTCGGAAGCGGATCCCCGTCCGGTGGGATGAGACGCGGGCGGCCAGCTGCCGCGTTATTCGTGCTCGCTCGAGGGTGACCCGGTCATTACGGTGGATTATCGCGTTGATTTTATTCCGCTGACCTTTTGAAGTGCGCGCGCGAGTGCATTGGCTAAATATGCACCCCCCCCCCCCCGCCCCCTTTGGGAGCGGACAAGGTCTGGGTGACGCCTCGCTCAAGCATAGGAGAGATATGCCCAGATTGTGAAAGTCCACTCCTCCCTGTCCTCTAGTGTAGCGCTTTAATCGAGGACTACGTCATCATGATGTGCGGCTATACTTCTCCTGAAGCGGAGCCTTAAGCCCCTTGCTCAGTGCATCCCTGTCACCGACTGCGATTTCTACAATGGAATAAAAATAGCAAGTGCTTTGGTACCGCCCTGCACGCATTGTACGGCTCCCAGTGACCGTGACCCGTGGCGCTGCTATTCATCCGCACAATGTAAGAGTTGGTAAGTGTTGCCAAGTGTCACGTGTAGTCAATACAAACTGACACATGTAAAACGGCTGGGAATGCGTGCGCTTGGGGGAGAGCTCATCGGGCTGTGATTTATTTTGACCGCTTAAACGAAAACACCGTGCGATGCAACTGGTATTGGCCAAACACCCCAACGCTGAAAGAAATACTTGCAAGTTTCTCAATTGGGATTACACATAGCAGCAGCAACATCGCCCACTACTGCAAAAAAAAACCGAACTTGGCAAGACCCTCCTAAAAAAGAAAAAAAGAGTCGACGGCTGATTACGGAGCCTTCTCCCTCCTCGATTTAAAGCTTTCGTGACTGCAGGTAAAGTCACGTAGAAGGGAAGTAATAAAATAATAAAAATTAAACATAATAAAATAATTCTCACGACGTTTCGGCCACAACGCAAGCAGCCGTCCTCAGGTGAAGAACAGGTCTGTCGGGGAGAATTATTTTATTATGTTTTATTTTGATTATTGTATTATTTCCTTTCTACGTGACTTTACCGAAAGAACCAAGAAGAAGATTCTCCCTCCTCGTCGCTGTCCGAACGAAAATGCCCTGTTGTGCTCGCGCACTCACGTGGTTCTTCCACGACGTCCCGTCGTTTCAGACTCGTGGCCCTGGTCAGAGTGGTCTCCCTGGGCCAACTGCAGCGTGGGGTGCGGCGGTGGGGAGCAGACCCGCCACCGGAGCTGCCTGCACCCCCCGTGCCCGGGCCTGGCAACGCACAGCAAGGCCTGCAACACCCACGTCTGCCAAGGTGGGGTGTGGGCTGCTTCTCTCCATCGCTGCACACGAAGACAAACATTCCTCCGTGGAGCCTGAGCACCGATGAAGGCCGGCACGGCACACGGCGGGGTGGGCGGTCAGCACCATGCCTGTTGTCTCCCGAGCGGCTATGTTTACACACCGAGGCTGAGTTGACCTAGGGCAGCCCCAGGAACGGTTCCGATAATCGTCACTGGTGTTGGCCGTGAGTGGGATTTGAACTCGGGTCACCTGGCGCACTACCGTGCATTGCCAGGTGCAGGATTAACACGAGAGGTAATATGAAGGTATTTACTTTGCAGGAAACGAGGCACACAGAGAAGCTGTATCGTTGTGTGCAAAGTCTCCGAATTGACATTGACCGCCTCTCTCTATAAATACATGCCCACGGTTTCCGTACAGCGTCTTGGAAGATGCGGTCAAATTTATCCGCTATTAAAAAATTGATGCAGCGTTGTCATTGTATTGAGGTAGTGACTGACCGGGGTGATAATTATCACTGTCGGAGCCTCTAGGCCAGTGGTGGAGATTCTTAATTACTATGACGGGGACTAGTCACCATAAAAAAACACCGATGACTTCTCACGAAGTGGAGCACCCCTCGCTACGCAGTGTTTACTTTAACCTGATACTTGGATAAGGTTGTTGTGTCTATTAGTCAGACCCTCCTACAAGCTGCGGAATCCAGCACTCTAGAGGCAGGGTTAGTAGGTGGTACAAACGGCAAACATCAGTGGCGTATTACTACTACTGGGCATGTGTGAAAAACAGCTGAATAGCTCATCGGATTACTCTAGAATAAATAAAGATTCAGATTCTGATGTGCAGAATAGGTCCTGGAAGGCCTCCCATTCACCAACCCACACGAATAATAATGAATCGGCCATGGCCAATCAACTGCTGGATGAAGCCACCCCACCACCAATCTGCTTCCCGTCTGGGGAGGCCTTCAACCCACTGAGCACCTACACAAATTTCGATTTAAAGCTTTCGTGACTGCAGGGATTCATCTTCTTGGTTCTTTCGGTAAAGTCACATAGAAGGGAAATATGAAAATAATAAAAATAAAACATAATAAAATAATTATCACGACGTTTCGGCCACAACGCAAGCAGCCGTCCTCAGGTGAATGGCTGCTTGCGTTGTGGCCGAAACGTCGTGAGAATTATTTTATTATGTTTTATTTTTATTATTTTATTATTACCCACCTACCTAAAGTCGGCTTGGGGAGGCCCTTCATCTAATCGTGGATCGGCAAGAGGCTGTAACAAAATAAACTCGGGGAGAATGCACAGTTGAATTATATCAGCTAATGGTACGGCACTGGCCTACTGCTCACAGCCTCATAAGCTCGTAACGTGATGGCCATTTGTCCAAACGGCTACGCGGAGTTGCGCGTTAAGTTTTGTAAATTGTTGTTGGAATTAATGCTCCCCCCCCCCCCTTTGTAATCGAGAACCATCGCACATCGGCCCGTTTGGCAAGCAAAAGCCACTCTCCATAATTGACCCGGCTCATACACACACACACACACTTCATATTGAACTCTGCTACACTGCAGCTATAGACAAAAAAGTTAACCCATAAAAACAAAGTTTTTCACTATAAATCCTTTATATGCGTGGCATCGGTTTTATTTTATTATTCATTACTGTTTTTCTTGAGTAAGAGTTTCATTTTTATCACATTGGTATTTTAAATTAAATCTGAAAAAAAAAATTTTCCTAATTGGAAAAACATTTTTCACGAACATTCACGAAAATAAATTGTCACGCACAACGAGTCTGTGTGGAAAATGTCAGCTCGATTGGATCACGGGAAGTGGGTTAAAAAACGACCGAAAGATTTGCACGGTCGTAAGCAAGCAAGCAAGCGGGCAAGTGAACTTAATATAAAGGATTTAAAAACACACGCGCACATTGCATTTGTAGTGTGCCAATAGCTGGAGAGTAACTACTTGGTGTCCTGCCAGGCTGGTTGAAAGCCATAGTGGCGGTTAGCGTGGCCATGTCCTGGGCTTCCCTGTCATTCGCTTTGTCCTGTGGACGTGACACAAACTGTAGTGATTGAATTCCTGAATACCAGGCCTTGAAAAAACGCAGACCCAGAAATTCAATGTGACTCGGCTCGAATGTGGCGTTGCTTTAATTTTGTGTGCTATGGTTAAGAGAAGGTTTTTAAAATTGTATTTGTATTATGTCAGCACGAGTGTAAGGCACATTACAGACTTGAAGATGCTTTTTCATTTGCTGGAAAAATTTCAAGCCGCATAGTTCACTGCCTGTGCTCTGTGAGTGACATAGAGAAAGGCCAGATTTTTTTTAGATGTGAATGTGTGCAATTACAAGTTCATGATATTTTCTTTTCACAGCCTCGGAAGTCGGTTCTGCCGAATACCAAACGTGTTGAAGGAATGTGAGGCACTGCTGTCTCTTGAGGCTCAGCGCTAAACAAATCTGATGGCACCAAGCCCCTTTGTTTAGTTTTTTGGCAGCTTTTCTCCCATGAACAAAATCTATTGCATTGCTTTCCCTGGATATTATCCAAGGCGGAAATCAAAACAATATATAAAGGCTTCTTGAAGTTTCACCGATGTAAAATGGCAACTACACAGCAAAGAAATTACGCTCACGGTGCAGAAAAATCGGACAGCGCTTCGTCACGTATCACACCAAAGATGCTGCGCAAGCTCATTTAGACTTCACGAAGCACACAAACTGCGGTACCGATGTCACGCTGATTGTCGGCCAGGCTACGTGACCTGTGTTGTAAGGAAGACAAACTAAAACAGCTAAACCGTGATACACTTGTCCTCACCAAAAAACTCTCCCCCCATTCCTGACGGCCATTTTTTTTGTCCGCGGGGGATCAGCCGGCTGTCCGGCCGACAAGCTGTTCCGGGAGTGCGTCCAGGACGAGGAATGTCCTTACACGTGCGCGCACGTGCGGGGCGAGGCGGAGTGCCGCGGGGAGACCTGCGAGGAGGGCTGCCACTGCCCCGTCGGCACCTGGCTCCACCAGGGCCGCTGTGTCCAGGTGGGGGACGCGTGCGTGCGTGCGAGCGTGCGTGCGAGCGAGAGAATGAGACTGCGAGAGAGCGAGCGAGAGTGCGGGAGAACTCCCCCGCTTCACGGACGCGTGATGTGTTGTGACAGGTTTGGGCAGTTGATCTCAAACAAGTGGCACTGAAACTTAGCAGCCGGGTCAACTCGCAGTATTTCGAATGCTGTCAAACATAGTGAAAGAACAATCGGAACGGTCAGCAAGGACGCAATTTAAGAAAGGATCAAAGTCAGAATGACTCACTGTTAGGGTCGCCACCTCTCTCTGTTTTACCAGGGTCGATCTATTTTTTGCACCTCAGAGAAGTAGCAACCCTACTCAATGTACGTGAGCATCGCAGCCAATTACCCAATGGACCACTCAGTTCCTCCAACGCCCTGCGGTAGCCTCAGAAGTGCCTCATTAATCATATTAAAAATTCAATTTGCTAAAACTTTATGAGAAAGTGTTTCCATGTTGCTGCTGCTCCATGTTTCTCGAATATGCTTGGTCCTCAATCCGCAGCTTTCTTTTTTCTCTCCCTTCACCCTTCCTTTTTATTTCCATATTAAAACAAAACACACCTGTACAAAACGCACCTGTACAGTTTTTTTTATGGCGCCTCTTGGCTCCCACATGTTTGCTTTGTCTTTTTCAATTCACATTTGTTTTTGTCGCTGTTTGGCAAAAAAATATAGAACTTACTTGCACCTGTACCTAACTTTTTTTTATTTTGCATTTGCGCTGTTTTTGGCTTGCGCGTGTTTGGTTTACAGCCATTAAATACCTCGTGTGGCACTGTAGTCACACGCCACAGATCTCCCTTGTAAAATAGCCGAACAACTGGCTAAACAGTAATATTCGTTTAACAAATTAATTAAATAATAAACATTAAACAATACAATTATCAGGACGTTTCGATTGCAACACAAGCAATCATCAGGTGTGAAACCACAGCAATAAACATTTCTTGCAAGAAAATGTTCTTGCTGTGGTTTCCTTGCAAGAAAAATTTCTTGCTGTGGGTTTCACACCTGATGATGATTGCTTGTGTTGCAATCGAAACGTCGTGATAATTTTTTGTTATTCTTTTGTAATTTCCCTTCTACGTGACTTTACCGAAAGAAACAAGAATATGAATCCCTGCAGTCACCAAAGCTTTAAATCAATTAATTAAACTTAAAATTTAATCATACACCCAGGGGTGCCATCGTTGCGAGATTTTAACTCCCTCACCTGGTATTCAGGAGGTCGTGGGTTCGATCCTGACCCTGATGCCTGCTGTGTATTTGGATTTTTCATGATCTCCTCGTGGTCGCGTTGTGTTTGTCTGGATCATCCGGTTTTTACCTCCAGATTTAAAAACGTGCGTTTTACAGTATTTGGCTGCTATAAATGTCCCCGTGACGATTGCAACACTAGCAACCGTCATCAGGTAAAACTACATTTGAGAGATAGAGACAAAACACAGACACGGAGACAGACACACAAGCAGAGAGAGACAACACAGACACACAGAGAGAGACACACAAGATAGACACACAGAGACCCAATGCCTCTGTGTCGAGGCCTTAAATAGAGAGAGAGGGGGGAGTGGGCAGAGAGAGAGAGGTGAGTCTGCTAGGTGTGAGCCACCGTGTCTTGAGCCACCGTGTCAGGTGTGAGCCACCGTTTCTTTTGATGGTGGAGTGTGTTTCTGGAAGCACAAGGCAACACGCGCGGTGGCTGTGCCCCCCAGGAGTGCCCCTGCGTGCTGGATGAAGCCACCGCAGTCCTGCTGTGGGAACAGTCGGCCCTCTCGGCCGCTGAGAAGGCGGCGGATCAGGGGGCGGAAGTTGGAGGGAGGGCCCCGCTCAATATCACAGCGCTGCGGGATGACGGCACGGCCGTCTTCCTGGGGCAGGAGATCCCGTCGGGAACTTCCATCACTCACGAGTGCAGTAATTGGTAGGTGGAAGGCTGATTTCATTTTGAAGTCCTTTAAGATGTTTTACTGCACAGGGCCTTAGTGCTAGGTCTCCGCTACCGATGCTGTTGCTCCTGGAGAAATACTGCAACTATGAATAATTATTATAATCATTATTATAATCACGTTCACACCGTTACCTTTGCCAAAGGACAACTCCAATGGGTCTAACACTATGTATTGTATAGACCCCTACATATTTTCTATAGCTATCACAATTCACCCGCCTGCGATTTGATGCATTGTCGCGGTTAATCACCGCAATTTGATTCGCAAACCTACGTGCACATCTAAAAATTAAAAACACAATGAATAATTTTTCTTGAGCTTAAGAATGGGTATCTCTCAACAAATTAATGCATTGTCCTACCCCTACTATTCACACTATGATCGTGAAAATTAAGCCAGGTAATGCTGTGAAAACATTGCACGGATGTAAAATGAATGCGTGCAAAAAGCGGTGGTGAGGTTACATTTAATTTTGTTTATTCCTAGGATAAGAAACCATCGCAGATGTAAGCAATGTTAGACTAACTTGCCGCGGTTATCAGATTAAGAGTCAGTGCCGCTTTACGGACTGCTCCTGTAATTCGTGAGCACACCTGGTGCCTCTCCTTCTCTGGTGTCCCCAGAGCAGCCGATGAATAATATAATGTATGCCTCGAACCTGCCGCTGTGCTTAAAATAAAAGCTTCAGTGTTCTCGCTGGCGAGCCTCATAAACGACTGCAAAAATAAACACACGTATGCACATCCCAAGGCAAACGCCGGAGCGTTTGCCCGTTCAGCCGAGTGATGATGGGGTGAGGCCTCCATTGAAGCAGTGGATAAATCATAATTTATTATTAATGCCGCGCCTCCCATGTGGTACGTCTTGAGTCAGAACAAAGGGGTGCTTGAGATTACCACGAGGTAAGGAAGCGATTGCAGCACCAAATACAATGTTCAAAACAGCAGTACGGCCAGCTGGCTTGCACAACAAAATAAGAAAACAAAATTGAAAAGTCTAAATGTATTTGACTCATGGCTGACGACGATGCTGATTTATGTATGTATTGCTTCTATGCAATGGCCCACCAGGGAATATTCTTTTAAGTAAATGTTCACGCTTACCACATGACGCTGTGATCGTGCAAATGAAGGCAGGGGATGCTGTGAAAACATTGCAAGTATTTTACATTGACGGATAGAGAGCAATCGTTCATCATCATTATCATCATCCGTGACCAATCCACTGCTGGACGAAGGCCTTCCCAAACCCTTGCCACCTTTAACAGTTCTTCAACGTAACAATCCACGTAGTACCATCATGCGCGTCGATTTCATCGCTCCTTCTCCCCGGCGGTCATCATCTCGGACAATTTCCCTTATTTGGCTGCCACTCCCTAAAGTTCTAGTGACCATTTTTACGTATTACTAATCATCTGTAGCTTTAACACTGTCCTTTATTCCTTCTTTACCGAGGATTTTCAGCCGCCACACCTCCGATTAGCATAGTTGACTACGTACAGTGCAAAGCTGTTTCACATACACGAACTCAGGACAACCATTATCACACCTCAGACTTGTGAGAGGTGGCAGCAGCTCAGGGAAGGCCTTCCACCAGCAGTGCATTTACCACGACTCACAATGACGACGACGACGTTAACCTACACCTGCGACGGTATAACGTAACATTCACCCATTAACACCGCCACTCCCACGCCCGCAAGCACGTGCGCGCACGGCAAGCTGCGCTGCGCCGCGCGTCCGTGCCCCGTGGACGGGCGGCTATCCGCGTGGAGCGGCTGGGAGCGGTGCTCGCGCACCTGCGGGGGCCTGGGCCGCATGACGCGCACGCGTACCTGCAGCGAGCCTGCGCCGCGCCACGGAGGCCGGCCGTGCACGGGCCCCACCATGGACATCAAGTACTGCCACACGCCCGACTGCCGCGGTGAGTGAGCAAGCGGCGACGGTCCGTTCCCCGTCGGAGCGCCGGTTCGACTGGAGTAGGCGGCACGTGACTTGGTAGCCACGGCCGTGGTGAGAGAGAGAGAGAGGCACGCTGGAGGCGGTGTGGCCGGGTGCGGGAATGCTTGAAGGGTCGCTGACCCCTGGAAAGACCAGGCTGAGAGTGAGCCCTGGCCACGTCGCAGTGAGGGCAGCTCAGGCCAATCGCGTAAGTTTAGCCTCTCGTTGGACAAGTATGGGACGTCGTTCGTCCCATTTCCATTGGCTATGATGTGCCACAGGTGGAAATTCCATGTTCCTATGATGGGAGTCCGAATTTTAGAAATAGGATGACCACTTATGATGTCCTACAAAGTAGCACTACATTTTATTGATCTATTGATGCTTGAGTCCCACCATAGTTTCATTCAACACCATGCCATTAAGTTTGGTTTTGTAGTTAAATTGACTGTGGACAAGCTGTAAGGGCTAACGCTTTGGATGCAATGTAATCAAGACGTTGCTTGGCCCAAAAGTAGTTCCATCACATGATGTTATGTGCAATTCATTTTAAGGGTGTTATTCAGAGAAGTTTGCTTACTAGCATGATTAAGATTGCACAGTTCGTTGTAAAAAGAAATATTCTCTTACATTCTAAAAATAGTTTTTTTCCCGAAAGCTTTACACTCAATGACATTTCTCTCTTTCCAGCTGCATACACAACCCCCAGCCCGGCAAATGTCACCATCGCACCCATGCCAGGTAACCTTTTTTCTTGCACCATCCTTTGTGGCAGCCAGTTCCATCAGGTGATATAATTTCTGTAATGTACACGGCAACTCAATTAACTTTCATCCCTATGGCTGTGCGATAAACGAAGGACACTAGGTTAGTGTGCGGGTGGTGAATATCAAGAGACGAATAACCTCAGGACTCTTAATTGCATGATTTAATGCATAGGCACATGTTGGAGAAGGGCTGAAATGTCCCAGATTATATATATATATTTTTTAATTTATCTTCAAAGCAGGATAATTGATGAATGTTTTGGGTTTTTTTCGTACATAGGAACTATATACTATACATACAGGAACTATATGCGAAGAGATAATTTCGGACAGCGTACAACAGAAACAACTATGGGTTAAGACAAAGATTAAGGTCACTTATACTGAGGCAAGGGAGAAGAGGAACAGGTGGAGCGTTCGGCAGTGCAGATGACCAAGTATGGTGAGTTTCAGACAGCGAGAGCAGACAAAGAGAAGGAGCGACCTCAAGGCAGCCCGAGGTTGGTAGGTGGTGGCAGTGCTGTGTGTGTGTGGTAGCGTATCGGTTACCACACTGCTCTACGATCCCGGCGATTCCTGATCACTGCCAACACCAGTGACGATTATGTAAACTGGTACTGGGCCTCCCCTAGGTCGACTCAGCCTCAAATTCTACCTGGTGCGGCGTGAACATCGCCACTATGGAGACAAAGGCGATCACTGCCAACACCACCCACCCCCCCCTCCCTCGTGTACCGTGCCGACCAACAGCACTTGCCCCGACAGTCTGTGAAGCCAATACGGCGTATTCTTTGTCTTTGCGTGCGCTCAGCGGACACGGAGGGCTTCGGCAGCTGGACGCCGTGGTCGCCGTGCTCGCGCACGTGCAGCGACCCCGAGCTGCCCGCCCTGAAGACGCGCGTGCGCTTCTGTGCGCCCAGAGCCACGTGCCGCGGCGAGTCTTACCAGGAGCACGTGTGCAACCTGCCCCAGTGTGACGGTGAGACCACACCCCCCCCCCCCCCCCCCAGGCCTGCCGGCCACAGATAGGCCATGTGATTGTCTGAGGTGAGCGCCTCCCAAGCCTCGTTTGTGTGAGACTCTATGAAAAATGTGTTTTTTTCAACAATTGTTTTTCTCGACTCTGTCGGTGTCATATTCTGTAGACGAAGTACGTGCGCGCGCGCATACACGCGCGTACACACACACTCCCAGCGCGAGGCTGACTCGTTACATCTCACGGAGGATCGCTCCGTTGAACAAAATAGTTCCGCGGTTCGGTTTGCAAGTGCAAGTTTGCGTTTGAATGGAAGCTGGTTCGTAAGTGGGGGCGTTCGTAAGTCGAGGACTGTATGGATCCATTGAGATGTCTCGCAGGGAAAATTGTCACCCTTTGTGTTAGAGAATAGCTCACGAAAGCAGATATCACAGAGCTACACTCTGAGCTCTGTATGAAGTGATCGATGGTTTATACAGCAGCGGGCTGCATTCTTCCACTGAGATGAATGTTTGTCGCATGATAGTCGAGCTAAGTTGTTTTAATTCGCGGAAGGAATTTAGAAAAATGTATTGCTGAACCAACATTTAATGAGTTTCGTTTTTTTGATCCAGTCATTGGTGACCGAGCTGAAAGCGCGAGCTCACTGCAACTTGAGAACCAGGTTTAAACCTTGCCTACGATTCGAATGCACATTCTCAGCAGTCCGATCAGCGCTCCAACCTCTGCACCACCTAGCCACTTCACGATTTAGAAACATGCGTTCAGATCATTTAGATAATTTTGCTGCTATACATTTCCACGTGTTGAGCCACTTGGTTGAGCTATCGTTTGTGGCCAGGTCGCTTCTGAAAAAAGGAGCGAATAGCTCAGTGGGCTTTACCTGGTAAAATAAAATATAGACTTAAAACTTTCGTGACTGCAGGAATTCATATTCTTGGTTCTTTCGGTAAAGTCACGTGGATAGAAAACAACAATCTAAATTAAGAGCAAATGCTTTTAATTTTGATTAATTCTTATTTTTGTTTTCTATCTACGTGACTTCACCGAAAGAACGAAGAATATAAAATAAAATAGTTTGGTTTTATTTGTATATTTTTAGAGTGATTTGTTTACCGGTCCTGTACTGTACACTATCATGTTTTTGTACTGTACTCTAACGTTCTGACCCGCCCCTAATGGACATCTGTGAAAAAGAGCTTTACAGCTCATCGGATTCCTCCAGTATAAATAAATATTCTGATTCTAAAACCGAAACTACTAAACTATTTTTATTTTGCCAGGTAAGGTCCACTGAGCTCTACAGCTCTTTTTCAGAAGCGACTTGGCCACAAATGATAGCTCAACGAAGTGGCTTATAACCACGTGGACATTTACAGCAGCCAAATCCTCTAAACGCGCGCGTTATTAAATATGGAGGGAAAAAAAACGGAGGACCCGGAGAAAAATCCACGCGACCACAGGGAGAACATGCACACTCCAAATATACAGAAGGCGTCAGAGTCGGGATCGAACCCACGACCTCCTCCATATCAGTCCGTTAGGGATGCTCCGTCAGTCGAGGTTTTTAGGGCTCGTCTGAAAACACATCTATTTTCTCTTCCTCTTGATTTTAACATTCAGGCTTTTTACTGGGATCGTATTGTAAAGCGCTGTATAGGCAAGGGACGTAACGTCTCGCTTAATCAATAAATATACGCTCTCCACGTGCCCCCCCCCCCTCCACCGGCAAGCCCCGGTGTCGTGCGAGGACGGCGACTGCAGCGTGGACTGCTCGTGGAACGCGTGGACGGCGTGGAGCACGTGTTCGCGGCCATGCGGCGTCGGGCAGCAGCAGCGCATGCGCACGTACAACCCCCCGCTGGGCAACGGTTCCTGGTGCCCGGACATCATCGCCGGCAACTGGGAAGTTCGCTTCTGCAACACGGACGTCTGCAAGGGTGAGGCGGAGCCGGCGCACGTGTCGTGAAGGAGGCCGCCCCCCCCCCCCCCCCCATGTGTACGACTCCACCAATTTCTTCTTCTTTCTACTGTGATTCAAACGGCAGTGGGTTGTCCTTCAGATGGGCCACTCTCTCTGAGCTTCAAGGGTGCCCACACTCAGATAAGCGCGGGGACACATTGACTTTTTTTTTTACTTGGTTTAGAATAGCGAGCCTATGACTGCATCACCCTGATTGCACTTGATCTTGTCAGATCCCAGGTGCTAAGCAGAGTTGAGCCCAGATGGTGACCTCCATGTCTGCCGGGGCATTACGTGCTGCTGGGGGCCTATGTGCTACATGGCTGTAATTACTTTGGCTGTAATTCTATGATCTCGCGTCTATGCTGCTAGCCTTCAACCAGCACTGACCAGAATGGTGAAGTATGGTCAAACGACCCTCACGACCCACGGCGACGTGGCGAGGGCCTTGCTCAGCAGTCGATTGACGAGACCTCTCCCGATGTAAATCAAAAACGTCGGACAGGAACACAAACAACAGGGGACCTCTAAAGCTCAAGCGGCTTCACTCGCCTGTTGACCTCTCACCCCTGGCGCACAGTGGACGGCGGATGGAGTTCCTGGAGCCCTTGGGCCCCGTGCGACCGCGCGTGCGGGGGAGGCCGCTCCTTGCGCGTGAGGGCCTGCACCAACCCCCCGCGGAAGAACGGCGGGCAGCCCTGCCCAGGAGACAAGTACCAAGTGACTGTCTGCAACACCCAGCCTTGCGGTGCGCTGTCCGTCCGCTGCTTTTCCGTTTTCCTTGGATGCTCGCTTGCTTGCGGCGATTGATTTGCTGTGGCTCCTGCGTAGGGTGCAGCGTCTAGGATCGGAGGGAGTGGAATGGCCCATTGAAAGCGTTACCCGTCCAACGGCGATGATGGTTGGAGTCCGCTGGTGCGGGTATTGTTGAGAGGCCATTTAGTGACATCTAAGCATGGAAATTGTCACACATAGGCTCGGTATATTGCAAACGATAGTAATGTGGGAGTTTCCTTCATCCCTATCCTCATATCTTTGGAAACGAGATCCCTTATTTTAATTCCATCCTTCCATCCTTCACTACTTTCCCACCTGAACCTCAAATCTAGGCTCCTCAGACATTTAGACTCGCATACGCACGCCTTGAATCCTAAAAAAACTCACTCCGATACTCCGTTCTTAGGTATTTGAAGTTAAATTTTAGTTTCTTGTGCAACAATGTTGTATACTCTTTGCGTTCAGTCATTTTGAGCGCTGTCAGGCCTGTAAAATGTTCACCAAAATCCCCACCTCACCCACACTCATGGCACACTCACTGAAGTACAAGTTCGCTTTCTCCCCCCAAACCACTTCCCGCCCCCCAGCAACCACACGATACAACACGGCGGCACCGAAAGAGACAAAGAGCCCCCGTGTAGCCTGCAACGGACTTTAGGGGCAAGTGCTGTTAGCGAGCACCTACGAAGGCCAGGACAGGCGAACGGAGGGGTGGGTGGCCAACACCACGCCCGGCCGCCTTCGTCTCCCCAGTGGTCGTGTTTGAGACTGAGTCGACGTAGGGGGAGGCCCAGGACCGGTTCAGATAGTCGCCACTGGTGTTGGCCTTGAGCGCAACACTAACCACTACACTACCGCTCCCCACAACGATTCCTCACGACAACACTCGCACCCATCCAACAGAACGATAAGACCACACAGCACACCATTTTGTCAGATTCTTGCACTTTCTATTTGGTGGTGGTGACATGGGGCATGCTCGCGTATGTTCTTGTCGATGCGGTGCGGCATGCTATACGTATTCACGTGAGAGAGGCATATTCACGCAGATTGATATACGCAGAATATATCATGTCGGGAACTCGGACGTGGCTTGCAGTCACTTCCTGTATATACTCAGAGCAATGGAGTCACCTCCGAAGCTTTTGTGTGTTGAGCTCAGTTCTGTAATGAGGCCGACCTCATTAAAGTCTGTCAAGTTACCAGACGGACTCATTACGTAATGTTGCAGTGGTTTTGTTGGTCATTATAATATGTAGACAAGCAAGGCGGCTGTCTCGACGGCTAAGGAAAGTTTTCCCACTACCTTTAGGATCATTGATAAGTTACTTTTGGTTTGGCTGTAGGAGCCTTTGACATTTACACTGAATCGTGAGCTTCCTAAAACATTGTTTGGTGTGACTTGGACTATACTTGCAGCAAGCAACCCACAGTTCATTATATCAGACATTTATTTTTATTTGTTAAAATATTTCACTTAGGTAAATCCCGTGAGACAGAACATCTTATAAGCAAGGAGTTTCCAGCATGTCAACTGACACGCATTGAACAAGTTAAACCACATATATAAACATTTTAAAGTCTGTAACGTAAATGACAGTGGTTGTGAAAATATTGCCTCTGTTCATTGAAGTACAATTGCAAGTCGTCTTTAGTCGTGTCATAATTATTATTATTCACCTGCTCGTGCTGTCACACATGCTCGCGTCTCAGCGCAAGCGCGCAAGCGCTGGCTTTGTTTTCTTGCTCTGCACGTCTCGTGCTAATTGCTTCCCGCGCAGAGCGCGAAACGCTGTGTGTCGCGAGACGCTGTAACGCCGTTATGCAACCGGCAACTTCTCCCATTTTTAAATCCTTTATATTAAGTTCGCTTGCTTGCTTGCTTGCTTAGGACCGTGCAAATCTTTCGGTCGTTTTTAACCCACTTCCCGTGATCCAATCGAGCTGACATTTTCCACACAGACTCGTTGTGCCAGACAATTATTGTTCGTCAAAAAAAATTCCAAAAATTTTACACTTTTTAGGCAAAAAAAATGTATTTTACATATATTCAAATAGAACGCATTCATGGCTTTGGCTGAACGTCAGAGTGTAAGAGCCCAGAGCGTAACCCCTCCACAGGCCGTGGTGGAGTAGCGCAGTTGGTAGCGCCCTCACTTCCCATGCCAAAGGTCGCGGGATCGATCCCCGCGTCCTCCACAGGCGAATATATTTTTAAATCCTTTATATTAAGTTCGCTTGCTTGCTTAGGACCGTGCAAATCTTTTGCTCGTTTTTTAACCCACTTCCCGTGATCCAATCGAGCTGATATTTTCCACACATACTCGTTGTGTGTGACAATTAATTTTCGTGAATTTGTTTTCCCAAAATTTTACACTGTTTAGGGAAAACAAATTAAATATTTAATTACCAATTGCTTAATACTGACAGACAATCATCTGACCCATAGATTGCAGCCATCTCAAGCCAGAGGACAAGAGAACTCTAGCCGCCACGCATATTAAGGATTTAGAGTGAAAAACTTTGTTTTTACGGGTTTATTGTTTAGGAAATTTTTACATCGTGACTCTTGTCAAAACTGCACGAAATATCCATTGGCATTAGTGTGCATCGCGACTAGAAGTTGATGGCTTCCGTTCGACATAAGCCTCACGTTTGTAGATAATGTGTGGACAGAGCACATTGGAGTGCCGCCGGTGGCGAGATGTTATCTCCCTCGCCAGGTATGCAGGAGGTCGTGGATTCGATCCAGACCCTAACGCCTGTATATTTGGGGTTTGCATGTTCTCCCCGTGGTCGCGTGGATTTCTCTCAGGGTCCTTCCGTTTTTCCGTCCACATTTAGAAACATGCGTATTAAGTATTTGGCTGCTGTAGATTTCCACGTGATAAGCCACTTCGTTGAGATATCATTTGTGGCCAGGCCACTTCTAAAAAGACACTATATAGCTCAATGGGCCTTACCTGGTAAAAAAAAAAACTAAATTGGAATAGTTTTTTTTGTTCGGAATACAGAGATATGAGTGTAAGTTGCAGCAAATAATATTCAAAGGCAGTGCAGTAAAATCTATTTTTCTAGTCCTGCATATCCTCCCACCTTCACAAACCAACATTGACCAGCATGCTGAAGCAAGATGAAATTATCACTCATGGCACACAAAGTATGGAGGAGACCCTCGTCAAATCAGGCTGCACATGTATAAGTAACTGTGGAAATATATACACACATACATTGCCCAATAAATGATCTTTTAAAAGGTCAATATTCCCTAAAGATGTGGCATTGATGAACATTTTTCTTTTTCGCATCCAGTGAATTTGGATTGACGTCATCAACAGCTCATCTATGATAGAAATAGAATGAGGGAGCAACTCTATATATACAATAAAAGCTTGGATTGCGAGTAACCTGGTCTGCGAGTGTTTTGCAAGACGAGCAAAATTTTAATATAAATATTAATTTTGATAAACGAGCGAGGTCTTGCAATACGAGTAGTACGTGTATACGCTTTGTCTGCCGAGCGTCACGTGATCACAACTGATATACGAGTGCTTTGATATACGAGTGCTTTGGATTACAAACACGTTTCCAGAACGATTTATGCTCGCAATCCAAGGTTTTACTGTACATCTTTTTTCATGAATAGCTTACCTGTATCGCTCAAGAAAATGCCTGGAAATGAACCCAAGCTCCCTTGAAAACGCGCCACGTGTTGAATATTCCATTGGGGATTTTTTCGTGTGATTTGGTGTGCCATCAAGAGCTCGTCGATGACAAAAAAAATAGACAGAGGTTTCTTCTCATTGTGCTCCGTGGAGCCCAGCAAGCCTCTGTAGCGAAGGTTGGAGGAGGGAGGCGGCGGACAAACGATGAGAATTTGGCAGAGGCCCGATGCGCGCGTTTTACTCTTGCTGCGCCGGTGCAGATGGCGAGGGCTGCCCTCCCGAGATGCTTCTCAGCGACTGTGGCAACCGCTGCCCGCGCAGCTGCGCCGACCTGCAGCAAGGCTTCGCCTGCGTGGAACCGGAACGCTGCCAACCGGGCTGCAGCTGCCCCGACGGTATCGGTTAAAGTTTTATTTGACGGCACTGAAGCGGTCACCGCCGTGCGCTTTTCCAACACACCACCCCCTCCCCCCCCGCCCCATCCCCCCAGCAGAACGTCTTGAGATCGCCGTGCGATTCCACGGGAGTTTAAATACGTGAATTCCGTTGTTCATGCTTTTAAAGGAATGGATGTGACCTTCTGCCTAAACAATGCGGGAGTATTTTTCAAACATCGATCGATGCATTACCGCAATGTCCTGTACCCTTTAGCAGCCGTTGCAAATGTGGCTTGTTGAGCCGCACATTTCATTTAACGTCCGACTTGCATTCCATAGCTCTGCTTTTCAGCATAAAACATTTACGTGTGCGTGCTCTCTGCCTTGAGTCGTACCCCCTGCGCTTGTTCATGCGCTAATGTGCATAGATTCACAACAGCATGCCCGCATGCATATGCTTAAAGCTCCCATGCATGTTTGTGTGCTCGTGCGAGAACACGTGTGCATGTATCTATGTATGTTGATCTTCTTTCGCACCATACGTAGCCGACCGTGCTAATCAGAGGTTTAGGAGAAGGACATTGACCTTGTCCAAAACGGTTCAGTAGAGTTCAGCAGAGCTGCAGGTCAAAACCCATATAGCTGGCGGGTTGGTGATGGGATCAATAACGAGGAAATGGTTCGTCACTGTTGTCGAGAAGCTGCATGGGTGGAACCGCAGTCATCGGTATGGAAACCTCCAATTTGCACGGTTGGCTACGTACGGTACGAAAGAAGTTCGACATACATAGATACATAGAGTGGCACGCGCAGATCCACCTCACCACAGCAGGCGTCACGACAAGGAGCGAGCACGCACGCATATGTCTGACTTTGCACGCACGTGCTTTTGCGCGTGTCTGCGCGTGCAGGGCTCCTGGAGCAGGACGGGCGCTGCGTGCCCACGTGGCAGTGCGAGTGCACCGACATGAGCGGCCAGGCCTGGGCGCCGGGCTCCTCGCGGCCGTCGCCGTCCGGCTGCGCCGACTGCACGTGCTCGCACGGCCGCATCGAGTGCGCCGAGAAGCCGTGCGCGGACGGCAGCTGCGCGTGGAGCGTCTGGTCCTCCTGGTCCTCCTGCAGCGCATCCTGCGACAGCGGAACGCGCACGCGGTTCAGGTCGGAGGGGCCACCGCGGCTTTGTTTTTACCGCGACGGTCCGACGGGATTTCGCCAAGCGCGATTGCAGACGTTTAACAAAGTTTGTGGACGAGACACCGGCAACTCCTGTGTCGAGGTTACCGCAAGTCGGGCCTGGTGGCGCCGTGCGTGTGTTGCGGTGCTTTGGAGCAAAGAGTTTCCAGGATGTCATCTGACACGTATCGGCTTGTCTCGCAGAGGTCCTGTCGTGTGTGAGACACCAACACGCTCGGGGTCGTTCCATACCCCGTAGATGGGAGTAGGACAACTATGTTACCAAATTGTTCGTGGAAATATTTGTTACTTCTTGCCCTTGTGTTTGTGGGATTGCTCTGAGTGCTGCAGTAATGCCCCATGCCTAGCAAGCTCAATATACTCAGCGTTGTAAATACTCAAGATAAATCTTGACTTAACGCTTTCGTGACTGCAGGAATTCATATTCTTTGGTTCTTTATATACTCAAGATACTCAATCAACACTTAGGAGGACTATCCTGAGAAAGGCCGATAAAGCGAATGCCACGCGGTTGAAATTCAATGCTGATTGTCCAATGGAGAGACGGGGGCCCCTCCATAGGAATGTGTAATTTCCACGACTGGCCAAGCACCATTAAAGGAGATGAACCCCACCCAAAGCTTATTCGAGCACCAAGACACTTTAATATTATTCGTAGATAATGTACATCACAATCTGTTTCTCGGAAATTCACGTGAAATGAGCTGCTATGATATGAATGCAGTAACCTACAGATACCATTAGAAGCTGCCCTCGTTGGTAACGTCTTTTGTGGTGGCTCCATTACCTTTGTAATGCAGATTTGAGTCTGCAGAGAAATGTCGTGGATTAAGAAATTAATTTTGCCATCTGCCTGCTTCTGTAGCAGTCTGGTTTAGGAACAATGCAGGGGGGTTTGAGTTGCAGGATGGAATTCATCTTGGCATCAAACAGTTATTGTGCACCATGTATCGGTGCTTTTATCACAAAAAATAACAAACAGATTGAGATGTTAGCCTTTAGATCCAACTCAAGCACAAAAGAAAGAGCTTACTGCGATGGATTTTCTGTCCAACTGAAAATTCACGTGCGCCATAAATTCCCGATCACGTATGAAATGACTGTTCGAGATAAAGAGAGATATTTAAAAACAATAACAAAACATGCCTCTGCTAGGACACAGACTCCGATCAAGGTGCCCAAACCACGATTAGAAGGTTGCGAGTTCAGAGCTCGAGGGGGTCTCACCTCGGCCCACTGATCCTCGATTCCAAACTCTTCAATCTGCGGGAAGTGAATGGCGCTGGCCGTGTATCGAGATTGGCCCTTACCGCCGCAACGGTGTAGTTTCCATCCACTACCTCAGAAATTGCCAGCGGTGGAGGAGCACCATCCAACGTTCACCTGAGCGCACTTTGACTCTGTGTCCGCATTCGTCTGGCGCTTCCGATGTCAAGGGAACACGCTCATCAGTCGCTTGTCTAGACTGCTAGAATGGCGCTCTGCTTATTCTTTTCTGCTGCCCAGATTGGAACTCCCTTCCCCCCCCCCCACGTGCTATTCCACTCCCTGCACCCATATTAAGTGCAGCCTCAAGACCTTCCTGTAATATTCCCTCTCCCAATGACTCACCGCCTTTCCCTGTATGAAATATATATGTCTTATGTTTGTGTACAGCATCTTGAGATCTGGGTCACATTTAGACACTGTTAAATCAAATTGTATTGTAAAGGGCAACGTCTTTACAATACAATAAATCCGCCCTAAACAATTAACCGCCCATTCCCAGTGCATCATTTGTTCATGGTGTAACTTGTAATTTTCTACAGAAGTTTTCATATCTGACCGTTATCACATATCTGCCTGTATTTCAGTCCCCAGTGAGTCGGATGCAACATTGAAGCGGATAGTCATTGCACTTGCATTGCTCGTGACACACTCGCGTGTGTGTGTGTGTTTTGTGTGTGTTTCCCATTGCGTTTCCACATAACAGATCGTCCATTACCTCGGGCTCCGAGGGAGCGAGCTCCACCTGCCAGGGTGAAAGGTCACAGGTGAAGCCATGCGACCTGGGCTCCTGCCCTCCTCTCTGTCGCCACGGCAACTGGGAGCGTTACCTGGGCGACGTCTGGCTGGAGGGGGAGTGCGAGCAGTGGTCAGTTTCCCCCGTCGGTCACGGGGCTGGGTTGACTCGCACGCGCGCTCTGTCTTCTCAAGGAGTAACTCCTCTCTGTGTGTGTGTGTGTGGGGCCTCCACTTCCGTTGCTTCTCATGAGACCAAGCAGTGGCAGTAAACCACTGTCATTACATGGTCACTTAATAAACTTTAGTATGTAACCTCATTACATATGTATATCTCGATTTAAAGCTTTCGTGACTGCAGGGATTCATCTTCTTGGTTCTTTCGGTAAAGTCACGTAGAAGGGAAGTAATAAAATCATAAAAATAAAACATAATAAAATAATTCTCACGACGTTTCGGCCACAACGCAAGCAGCCGTCCTGACAGACCTGTTCTTCACCTGAGGACGGCTGCTTGCGTTGTGGCCGAAACGTCGTGAGAATTATTTTATTATGTTTTATTTTTATTATTTTATTACTTCCCTTCTACGTGACTTTACCGAAAGAACCAAGAAGATATGTATATCTGTTATAGACCTTCTTGCCTTTGCTCTGCTAAATGAATCCTTGCCCACGCTGTGTGTGCTTTGGGGTATTTTGACCATCTTTCTGTGTTGGTCAGTGTGAGTTTGTGAAGGTGGCAAGTATAGACGTTGGAGGATAGTGAAGTACAACAATGGATTTTGCTGCGGCGCTCTCTGCTGCCCACAACATTCCTCCCCCGCAGCAGCCTATAACAACCTGTTATGCACTGTGGTCACCCATCCCAGCATGATCCAGGCTCAGGCCCGCTTAGCTGCTGATCTATGACGAGATCGGGCGCATCCCTGATGATTACTCATCGGCAAACTTTAAATCATCGGCGCTTAACTTTATATACTGATAATCAATACTGTATGCACGGCTAGCAGTAAATAAGTGCTCAACTCTTTAATTAGGTGATTAACTTTTAAAAATACGTGGTTCCATAACGCATACCTGGCATGTTTAGATATTGCTTAGGTTCCATCAATCAACTGTTTGAGTTAATTCGCAGCTTTGAGAAGCATGGGGAGATAGATGCATTCTCAGAGTTGCATTCTGAGACATGTGGATTGGAGAACACACACACAGACAGATTGATGACACTTAAACTGCTCAGAAAAGTTCAGTGAGCTTGGGTTGGACAGAGACATCAAGATTGTATTCAAGCTGGAAGAACCCGATGATCTATCTTGCTCTGCTTCACAAACGTGCAGTCCAAGCTGATCTGTAATCGCGGGGAATTACAGAGAAAGTTACATCGGCAGATAAATGAAGCGATCGTACATGAGCCCGAAACGTAGCTGGAGGGGAAGACGATGGCTGATGTTCGAGAATAACTTACGGAGTTGCAGCCAAGATTCGGAACACGTCCACAAGGGCACCCGCTGGGAGAAATCGTGGTGGTGGCTTGGTTTTGCCTTCACCCAGGATTGGATTGATTACCTCTGATTCGCGCGGTTGGATGCGTATGGTGCGCTAGAAGTTCAACATACATATGACTAAGGCTGATGGCGCAGCGGTGGCGATATATTAACTACCTCCCCAGGAGGTCGTGGGTTCGATCCTGACCCCGACGCCCACATATTTGAAGTTTGCATATTCTCCCAGTGGTCGCGTGGATTTTTCTCCGGGTCTTCCGGTATTTCCCTCCAAATTTAGAAACATGCTTTCAGAGTATTTTCAACACGATAAGCCACTTTTATGGCGATCATTTGTGGCCAGGTCGCTTCTGAAAAAGAGCTATATAGCTCAGTGGGCTTTACCTGGTAAAATATAAGTACTTTAGTTTTTTTTTTTCTAAGTAGTTTAGTTTGATGACGGTGATGATGATGATGATGATGGGAATGTTTGACCATATTCAAGGCAAAAAATGGCACTCTTACGGCAAACAGACGTGATTCGTTGTGGATATGGCTTAGCGAAGCACATACTTCACTTGATATCTTCTTTCCGTGGAACAAATCTATACACAAAGACACTCACATTGGCAGCAACGTGAACCGGCTGCATGTGGTTATGGAATAAGTACACGGTGACCTCGATTTTATTTTCTTTCAATGCAGAATAAATCACTGCCAGCTGAGTTTGTCTGTCGATTGGTTTAATGAAATAAACTACAATCTTGAAGAAACTGTGACATTTTGCTATGCATTGCATTGTTTGTAACGAGAAGGCAGGACATTGCCAGCTGTGTATTGGCTATTACTGAACAATCTCACAATCTTTTTATTTCTGAATGTGGCCATGATTATATGCAGTGTCGAGAAAATGCATAGTAGTCATGATACCATATATTTGAAAATCTACTCAACATTGTTTTTAGTTTTTGCTTTGAATACAATTTTCATACAAAACGTGCTCCACTCAAAATGGAAAGTCACGAGTTAAAATCCCAAGCCGGCGCTTGACTCAGCCCATCATCCATCATCAGATAAAATAGGCACTAGTTTGTCTAATAAAAAAAAAATCTTTTTCCAATCATAGTTGCTGAGCACAAACCCAAAGGCTCACAATGCCAAGCGGCCAGAAAATTTGAATAGCGAATTGATGATGTGAACGAACATTGAAGTCATAGGACTGTGGAATTTCCACCGCTAGCTATGGGAGATGATGGGGGGTGCGATGCGCGGGAAGTGTCAAGTGGAGTGGAAAACCTCAAGCTGACAAAGTAACGTTTCCAAAACTGCGTTTGATGTGTTGGTTTTTCTGTGTGTGTGTTTATTTATAGCCAGTGTACACCAGAGGGAAGCTTTTGCCAAGTCATAGACTGCCGGGGTAAGTGGAAATAAATAATTTGGATGATAGTAAATTGTTGGTTGGGTAGTGGTGCTGTGGTTAATGCACTGCACGCAATGTGAGCCCGGTAACTCGGGTTGGAGTCCTGGCCACATAAGTGGTGAGTGATATTTGAATTGGTCCTGGGCCCTATCACCTTCACGAACTGGTGTGGTGAAGTATGATCAAACAACCCACGTGACCAACACAATATAACAGTCCTTGATCCAGAAGCCAATTGTGCGAGAGCGCATTTATTGATAAATGCGTCAGCTAGTTAGTATTGTAGTATTGTACAGTTAAATCTGGCACGCCTTACTGCCCTGTTAGCATTTATAATGAAAGTCTCAACAGATTAATGTATTTGTTTAAATGATCAATTACCAGGATACATAAAATGTCAACATTCATTTCTGACTTAATGATTGTTACTACTGATCAGCACAATTAAGATGCTTTTCAAATTATGAACATTGCTTTTATGTGAGTTAGTCATCCCTGATCTAAATTAATTTCCTTATACCGGATGTACGTGGGCATACTGCGCTAGATAAATCTAATCACATGGTGAATGATTATCATGGTTATATTTATAAAAAACGCAACTTCCAAAACATATTCAGATGCATATTATTTTAACCAGTGATGTGATTTTAATCGATGAAACAATCAGAATAAATAAATAAGACAAGAACAAAACTAAATTTGAATGTCCCACTTTTACTTAATAGGACATTTCTTCACAACATCCAACTCATCGAACGCAATTTTCATAGGAATTGATATTCCCATTGTGCTTTTCCTCGACCATAGTACTGTGTAATTTCCACCCTTGGCTCAAGATTGCTAGAGGGAGCAAGCACCAGTCTTATCTCGCCGCTGTGGCTCTGCGTGTGCAGTGGATGGAGGTTGGACTCCCTGGGCTCCGTGGTCGGACTGTACCGCCAGCTGTGGCACAGGGAAGCAGATTCGCAGCCGCGCCTGCATCAACCCCCCGCCACGCAACAATGGGACAGCCTGCCGAGGACCCAGCGTGGAGAACCAGGAATGCGCCACTGCGCCTTGCCCAGGTAGACAGATTCATCCTGCTGTTTACGCAAGCGTCTCTTTTGATTTTTTTCTGTACGCGTACAAACGCTAATTTAAATATTTGTGTACGTGTCGTTAGGTGTTTGCGATGAGCGTGTCGGTTGACGCCCTGGACACAATTGCAAACGAGAGACGTTTCATCTTAAGAGGTTATCCAGATTAAATATTTTTATAGATAAAATAAAAGAACGGTTTACAAAAAAATCGACGCTTCCTAAGAATTCAAATCTTTAACCTTCACATGTAAAAATACAAAAATTCAACTGTTAGGTTTTGGGCTTTCTGGAATACAATTTTAATCATTTTATATTTGACTCCATATCTTTCCATAATGTCTAACAATACAGCGACAGAAAAATAGGAAACAGCAAAACAATTACAATCTTGATTTGATCTTAAATTGAAGCTTTCGTGACTGCAGGAATCCATAATCTTTGGTTCTTTCGGTAAAGTCACGTAGGCAGAAAAATAATAGATCACGACGTTTCGATCGCAACACAAGCAGCCGTCATCAGGGCAGACAACAGTCACGTCTGTTTGAGTAGTGAAATACTTGTAATTAATTTGAATACTTTCTGCACATGACGGCATAGTAGATGTAAACAAACGGAGACTTGGTACAATGGATCTAACAATAGCAACAGCAGGGAATGTAGAGAGATCAGAATAAGTGGAGCAAACCTCAATGGCACGTGCAGAAATGCATAATATTTAATGATGATGTCAAAAACACTTTCACAGTGATTTCCTGCTCAAGCGAGCATTGAGGTGGTTGGTGCTCATAATCCATCTACAGCCCTGAGCCAGTGGTGGAAATTCCACATTCCTATGGTATGGTGCGGGGAGGACAAGTCTCTCCATAGGACAACCAACGTTGACTTCCCCCACAACGTGGTACTAATTTTATCGACCCTGCTAGAATAATGGGCCGGCACTAAATATTATCGTTGACCAGGATTTGAACTCGCGACCTTCCAATCGAGAGCCGCTCGCTTCCACCGCTGAGGCAGCCGGTCGTAGAAAATCTACCCGAGTGACACTTCTGTTCTTACCTTTGCCAGTGCCGGAGGGAGTTTGCCCGGAGCCGCTGGTGTTCGACCCGTGCGGCTCGCCCTGCTCCCAGTACTGCGGGGGGCGGACGTTGGGGACCGAGTGTGTGCAGGAGTGCGTGCCCGGCTGCTACTGCCCGCAGGTTTGTGGGTTAGTTGGTTGGTTGGCGGTGGTTGTTGTGTGTGGGGGGTCACGGCTTACCATGCTGCCGCATTCGAATAACCACCCCCGCAGCCCTCAGCCCCGCTAGGAGTCAACCTCGGTGGCTCATTTGGTTTTAACCGTGGGTGAATGGTAAAATCCGCGTGGCCTTGTTGAATTTTAACAGCGGTTCGCCCTCGGTACTGTTACACCCCCCCCCCCCACCCACTGGTATCCCTGTTTTCACGTCTGGTCTCGTTGATTGTTAACAATGGTCGATTAACCGATTAACAAGGGCGATCAACTAAGGTCGATTAACCAATTAACAATGGTCGATTCACCGATTAACAATGGCCGGAGTGTAATCAACAACCTGTTAATGCCATCTGCTATACCGCGCTATCTTTGCCACTTCTGAAATGTGGATTGTAATTGAGATGTTGCTGGTGCATTTTGGAATGGGATGTGATCTGTTGAAGAGTACTAGTGGAACACAAGATGAGATACAAACAAGGAAAAGCTTATCATAGACTGCAGGCTTCAGGGCGAATTAACTGTAAAATGGCACGCCATCTGCTTTAACAGTGGCGTAGGCCATTATGTGCCAGCATCTTGGTCCAATTTTTTCAAAAATAACTCGATTGGAATTTGCATAGCAACCCCCGACTGCAAAAACTTGACAGGACCCCCAAATAAAGAAAAGAGTCTGGAGACAAATCGAGACTTTCCTGGGTGAACCAACACAATAATAATAATAGTACAGGGTTCTTCAAAAATGTTTTAACACTTATATGAGACTATCGTTTTTAATGGAAAAAGAACGGATAATACACTGTAACATGATAACAAATGTATGTTAATCGCTTCAAAAAGTCAAAAAGTCTCCACTTGCTCGCCATCATTGTCAACACGTGCTTGGAATCTTCTCCAGGTGGTCTCCAGAGCCCGGAGGCCACATTTCTTGTGCTATCGTTGCAAATTCTCGGAAGTGTTAACATTTTTTTGAAGCACCCTGTACAACAACATCCTAGTTAGATATTGACTCATCATCCCTCCCTCCAAGATTGATATTGTGAGTGCCACTGTGGGACATCAGCATTGCTCGTTGTACCAAGAGACTCTGTGTCACTCACCATGGGATCATGGGACATTCCACATCTGGCACAGGAGATCGACTGTTATTGAGCACCGTGCAATGCTCATTAGAGCAGGGGTACACTTTCACTTACGATCACCGCTCTAATATAGAGAGGGGTAGTGCCGGCGTCGGGGCTTGCCATTGATTTTTCACCGCGTCGCTGTGACCGCTACAACTCCCCCCCCCCTTCCCTAGGGTCTGCTGGAGCAGAACGGCACGTGTGTGGACGGTGCTGAGTGCGGCTGCGTTCATCTGCTCACAGAAGCCGAGGGCAGCAAACCCATCCCTTCCCTCATTGCGCCGGGCAGTAGGGTCACGGTCGGCTGCCTGGAGTGGTAAAGTGAATGGCGTAGCTCTGTTCTGCTGGGTGTGTGTGTGCTTCGTTGGGCTCAGCGCAGACCCAGCCGGACCAATCGTACCCGGAGAAGTTGCTTTGCTCGGTTACTAACGTGGTTTTTTGTCCATAATGCAGTTTTTTGTTTGGGTTAGATCGCTTAAATATACGTGTGTCGTTAAACCCGCCACCAACCGGCACAGACAATTAGTAAGGTTTGTCACGTAAACGGAACATGCCAAGCCAGAACGTTTACAATCTGAGTACAAGGTTTTGCCAGTAATTACAACCAGCTTCATCAGGTGACAGACAGATTTGTGGAAAAATCCTCCTGTTTCGTTCCTTAAATAGAGGGGTAGATGTGATGACATCACTTGTGAGCCCTTCTGGAGCGAAGAGGGGGAGGGGAATAATTAATGTATGTAAATGACAATTGGTATCTATTGCCGTTTGGGTTATTTATATGGTAATCAACATACATTATGCATGCACATTATGCAAGCCCATTGTTCTTGTACTTCCTGTCGATTGTGTGTACTAAAATAGCCATACCAATGGTAATCCCCATTGAAGTATGGTAACCTGTATAGGCATGCATTTAAACAACGTATTATTTTATGATTCGCTTCCAAGCAGTACAAAGTTTGTAGCTATCCGAACGGCTAAAATTATTTTAATTTATCTCAATTTCGATAGATTCTCTAATTCGTCTTGGCCAGTCATAACTAGTTTTGCACAGAACTTCAATATTATCAAAATCAATTGAATGCCCTTGTTGGCACGCGGGTTCTGCCATTGGGAGTATTTAATATTTCTTTGGTGTTCTTTTAGTCTCGTGCTGAACATAGCAAATTGCCACAAGTGCAATTAATCCGGTGGTTCTTTGTGCCAAAGTTCGTCATCGTCAGGATCATTGTCATCATCCGTGCGTTGTGTTATTGGTTGGGCTGCGTGTTGAGTGTTTCTCTTCTCGAGATTTGAACGCGAGCGGCTGCGGTTTATTCTGAGAGTTGCGAGTTCAGGGTTGGCTCAGCCCATCATTCATCTGGGGTCAATAATATAGCTACCGCTTTGTGGGGAAGTCAATAGTGGTTTTCATATGCACAGGCTCTCTGTCATAAGAAGGCAGGATTTCCACAACTGGTTTAAAGCTATACACAGGGGATGAGCATTGCCTATGCTTATTTGAGCAAGAAATCACTTTGACTCTTGTTTCTGACTGAAAGTTTGGTGCATCAAATGTTGAGACACATTAAATAATTAGCTATTGCTTGTCATAACCATTTAATCACCCGTGACACTGGCAGATGTCATGGCCTTTGCTGTGACATTGTCACCAGCAAAGTGCCCCTTTTAGCAAAGTGCTGCCAGAACGTAATGCATGTCAGAATCAGAATATGTATTTATACTGAAGGAATCCGATCAGCTATAAAGCTCTTTTTTCACAGATGTCCAGTAGGGGCGAGGAAGAACGTTACAACAACAAACTGAAGTAAAACATGATAGTCGTGTAGAGTACAAGAAATGTAAACAAGTCACCCAAACACATACAAATAAAATTTCACCATCCCCATCCTATCAGGAAAAGCCCACTGAGGTATTAACGTTTTTCTCAGAAGCGACCTGGCCACAAATAATTACCGCTCAACAAAGTTGCCCATCGTTTTGATATGTACAGCACCAAAATAATATGAGTAATACTCTTTGGTTCTTTCGGTAAAGTCACGTAGATAGAAAATTAATAGATCACGACGTTTCGATCGCAACACAAGCAACCGTCATCAGGTGAGACAAACACAGCAGGAGAACTGCTGACGCAGTGTTGTGATCGAAACGTGTTGCGTTCGAAACGTCGTAATCTATAAAAAAAAATTTCTACGTGAACATTACTACGTGACTTTACCAAAAGAGCCAAAGAGTATGGATTCCTGCAGTCACGAAAGCTTCAAATCAAGAATATAAATAATTTTAATGCATGTTTTTAAATGGGGAGGGATAAACAGGAGGACCCGGAGAAAAATCCATGCCACCAAGGGGAGGACATGCAAACCCCACATATACAGGATTCAGGATCGGGATTAAACCCTCAACCTGCTGCATACCCAGACGAGCAAGATAACATTTCACGGGCGTGGAAAATAGACGTCCCCCGACCGGGAACGTGGCGTGTGGGTTCAGTTCCATCATTCGTGATCACGGCACGAAAATTCCTGGCAAAGTTGCTTTTTTTGCTAAAATTAAATTGAGGGAGGTGTAAGATATTGGATTCTATCCTAACTCCCCCCCCCCACCTTTCTAAACATTCCCTTTGATGAATAACCTCAAAGGCTTTCTCTTTGTGTTCTTCACCTCTATTTTTAACAGCTTGTGCGAGGACGGCCAACTGCACTGCTCCAACGACTCCTGCCAAGGTGAGGTCTCCGTAGCCCCGATGAGCTCCCATTGGTGGAGGCGATGGCCAATTTGCCTTTCTCCTCGTGTAATTCTCAACGGGTTAAGCCTTCTAAGTGACATTGAAAGTTACCTAACCTAAAACCTGACCTAGTTTTTATTTTACCAGGTGAAGCACACTTGAGCTATATGGATATTTTTCAGAACTGACCAAATGGTAGCTCAACGAAGTGGCTTATCACGTGGAAATTCATAGCAACCAAATGCTCTAAACGCATATTGATTCTAAATTTGGAGGGCAGAAACTGGAAGATACAGAGAAACATCTCCATTTAAGACCGAAACAGGAGAATTTCTCCACAACTCTGACTGTCGCCTGATGATGCTGGTTGTACCAGCGAAACGTCATACTCGGATTGTAGATGTTATGGGTTTACTCTCCAGGACACGAGTATGCTGAAGTAGTAACTAATTGGCACGTTTTGTTCACGTGACAAACTTTACTAATTGGCTGTGTCGGGTGGTGGAGGGTTACGACACATTCATACTTACGCGATCGAACCCAAAAACCTTTATCATGGATAATATTTGTCGCGAAAGCCTGCATGTTCATAGTGCATGGCAGTTGCACAAGTAGGTCGCCGACCTAACTTTGTGTATTTTGAGTATCATCTTCTTATACGTTGAGACTTTTTCAACAATATTACAGTCGCTTTTGCCACATGAAAAAAAAAACTGCTAAAGGAAGAACAAAAACAACCCAAAGAGGACTTTTCACGCAAAGTGTCCTAAGACTCATTTGAGGCTCTTTCTGTATAAGTTATACAACACAATCACCTACCGGCCCATCCTAAGACATCGAATGAATAAAAAAAAACGACACTTCTGAATAAAACATTTTTCAGCCGTGAATTTTTTCCCCCTCCTACATCAAAGGTCATACATCGCATAAATAGGTTGTACATACCTTATCAGCCGTACTATCGGTCCCTGGTTCTCTCTGGTCAGAATGAGACCTTCATCAAAACACTGTGCGATGGAAATTACTCACTGACTGACAGACTCGCAGAGGGACAAATTACATTTTCACGTAATTTATAACAGCTGTTCCCAACCTCTCTGAATCCTGCGGACCACTGTGCGCCTTCAAATACAATTTGTCGATGCAACAGTTCCCCTGGCCTCACTTGCTTACCACCAGACCCCAGGTTGGACTTGGAGATTTAATATTGATGTAGATCAATATTAAATCTCCAAGTCGCTGCATAGACTCCTGCCCTAAAACGCTCGCCGGCATCACGTCGCTCAGTAACATCCGCGTTGTCGCCTCTGCAAGGCGCGGGAGTGCTGGGCGCGTGGAGCGAGTGGACCGCGTGCCGGCCGTGCGTGCCGCCCTCCATCCTGGTCGGAGGTCACCTGAGGCCCTTCCTGCGACCGCTTCACGAGGGATCCCTCAACGCCTCCGAGCTGCCCGAGCACCTGCGCCCGTTCCTGCCCACCCAGCGGCGCTTCAGGGACTGCCTGACGACGGGGAGCTCCCCCTCGTCCAGATCCGGGAAGGCCGGATACCGGCCACAGATGGGGAGAAGTTGGGACCCGGCGGAGACTTGCACTGCCCCGGCGATGGAGGAGAGGACCTGTGCCGATGCCGTCGCTTGCTCAGGTGAGGGATCGGACATTTATATTTTTTAAATCCTTTATATTAAGTTCGCTTGCTTGCTTAGGACCGTGCAAATCTTTCGGTCGTTTTTTAACCCACTTCCCGTGATCCAATCGAGCTGACATTTTCCACACAGACTCGTTGTGCGTGACAATTAATGTTCGTGAAATTTTTTTCCCAAAATGTTACACTTTTTAGGACAAAAATATTATATTTAATTACCAATTGCTTAATGGTGCAATGCAATCATCTGACCCATAGGTGGCAGCCATCTCAAGCCAGAGGACGAGAGGACTATAGCCGCCCCGCATATAAAGAATTTATAGTGAAAAACTTTGTTTTTACGGGTTATACTTATTATTGCTTGAGCTTGATTATTTTTCTTTGATTTGATTTCGAGCGTGCGCCATCGGTGTCATATCACGAGATGAAGGATACATTGGGGTGTCTCACGAAGCAGTTTGAGAATGGCCCTCAGAATTGGATATCGTAGAGCTACTTCTGATACCCTTGAGAGTGACCTCTGATCTACACAGTACGGGACATCAATTTCCCACCCACCCTGCTATATGTAATGTATGTTGAACTTCTTTTGCACCGTACGTAGCAAATCATGCTAATCAGCTATATCATGCCGCATGATATCGCAACTGATTTTTCTTAACTCTAAGAGCTATTTAGCCAATTAAGTGTTGGAACAAAATTTGGCTGAAAGGATTTTTTAAAATATGCAGTGATTGGTGACCGCTTTAATCGCAGACGCCTTCATGGATTCAGACCTCCTTTTGTGTGCGATGAAGTAGTGGCCATTACCCGAAACGTCACCTATTATGGATTTTTACTTTGAGGCCACATACAGCGTTATTGACGAATGTTTTGAGTTTTTTGGGTTCAAACCGAGCATCTCAGCCGTGCCAGCTCAGCATTCTTGACCTCTGGGCCATCTAGCCACCTCTAGTATTGATATTTGAATCTCATTTTAAACACCTTGTGATACCTGCTGGGTTTAAGAAAGACATGTCTTTTGTTTTAGCCAGCTTACATAGCCAGGTGATGCTGTGGCAGATTATGCAACTCGCAATCAGATGGCTGGGAGTAAAGTTTTCATTTAGGGGTCGACTCAGCCCTTTCTCGTATGGAGAGTCTGGTTGTCGCAGTAGTAATGTGGAAATTTTCACTACAGGATGTTAGTATGTTAGATAGATGTTCTTTATGTATAATCCAGGTGTATTTCCATTTCGGGACCGAAGTCTAATTTTCAAGGGGGAAGTGGGATTTAAATTGCTATAGAAAACAAGGAAACTAATTCTCTTTTGTCAACAGAAAATATACAGAGGCAACACACTTTGACTTTTCGAGTCGGGGTGTTATTGCATTCCATTCTTCTCGCTGCGTTCTCAAACACACAATAATCATTCTTCCAATCACCTTGTCACATCCAGAGCCAGGCCATTCAATGTGCAGCTGACGTATATATTCCGGGAAACAACAAAAGCGACAATGCTTTCCCCTCCCCATTTCTCTCTGTGCCATTACTACGACCCCTATCCCTCTCTTTCTCTCTCTCTCGCTGACTCCCTCACCCTTCGCATGTGCCGGTGCGGCTGATGGATGCGCGCGGACTCCGAAGACGATGTGTGCGTCTGGGGAGCCTGGGGTCCGTGGGGCGGTTGCCGGGAGCCTTGCAGCGGCGGCTTTCGGGTTCGTCAGCGGGCGCCGCTGGCCCCAGCCGACCCCACGGGGCCCAGGGCCCGATGCCACGGGGCCCGTCTCCAAAGCGAGAGCTGCAACACCGCGACGTGCCCAGGCAAAGTTGGCGCACCACGGACACTTACCGACGATGAATGATTTGCCAGCGAGTTTTGTTTCGCGCGTCTTGTGATCAAAGTATTGTCAATGTTGTGGGTTTACTCTGCAACTCACCGCCGCTGGTGCTGAAGTAGTTTACGTGACAAACCTTACTAATTGGCCGTGTCAGCTGGTGCCTGGTTTAACGACACATTTATATTTACGCGATCTAACCCCAGAAAAAAAACGTTTATCACGAAAGTTATATAGGCCCACTTTGTAGTTCACGGGCTCGGCTCAGGCTTGGCTCTGGCTCCAAGTGAGCCAGCTCAGAGCCACCCGTAACTTGAGCCGCCCCTGAGCAAGTTTCAACCCGTGCTCAAGATATCCGTGAGCTGAGCCACAACTGAGCCGCTCACTCCCTGCATCTTTTGGAAACAAGCGGGCTGCTCAAGCCTGAGCTAAGCCATGCCGATCTCCACGGCCCTAAGAATGTCTCAATCAACCTTGCAAAGGTCGATAAAAAATAAGTGCCACTGTGTAGGAAGTCAGCAGTTGTTGTTCTGTGTACGGAACTGGCCCCAACTATAGGAATTGGGAATTTCCTTTAGAGGCTTTGGGCTATCAACAAAAAACCCTTTTGAGTGTGGAGGCCACTTGGAAATTTTATTTTGCCAGCAATGTTTTCATCGTTTCAAGATCATTTTTGAACCATAAACTCCTTGGGGAGGCATCCTTATTCAGTATTTTATCTTATATGAAAAAATAATATATGAAATCATATATATGGAATAAATCACACGTGCAAAAATGCAATACCCCCAAAAATCCCAAGCAATACAAGGTGACATCACTCGAAAATGTCTAAAAGTTATGCCAGTAACCTACTTGACTTGCTGTACTACCATCCGCTAACCATTTAATAGCACTTAGAGGCCAATCGATACATAACCAATGCAGCTGTGACCACCCATTAAGTTCTGATGCATGGCACACATCCACAAATGTTCCGGCAGAGGTAATCACAGACCTACACAGAGCCCTCGGGCTCCCGGCAGCCAAACTCTCATTGCATAATTCACTTTCCCAATCTCGGGCAGCTAAATAAGTAAATAGGTCATTCCTCGTTAGGAGCAAGCAACTTCCTAAATCCGTTTTCAGTCACCGCTAAGGTCTGTGCTCTGAAACAGTGGTCGGGAAGTGATCTGCAGAACTGCCCATTGCACAACTACTCACCATCAGCACAGCTGACTGTTGACTGACTCATACCTGTCAACCCCTTATCAGTGCCCTACCTTATTACAGACCGATTCAGACCTCATTCAGTTGAACACGTAGGCTTTCGCGACCAATATTATTCATGATAGAGGTTTACATTTCGCGTAAGTATAAATGTGTTGTAACCCTCCACCACCCAACACAGCCAATTAGTAATTGATTTGTCACGTAAACAAAATGGCAATTAGTTACTACTTCAGCCCACCGGTGTGTTGGAGAGTAAATCCACAACATTTACAATTTTGGTACAACGTTTCACAAACAAATAGACAAAATTCATGGGGGTTTGTTTTTTGCCCATATTGAAACGGCTGTATGCCGTATGGACCTGAAAACTCAATTTCCATGTAAAAGAATACGGGTATACCGTATAGGTTAACAGGTATGCCGACTCTACTTCTGTTTTGGTGGCATCCTTTAGAAGAGTCTTAATTTTGAAAAACATTACTGGGGGCTTGGCAGTGGCAATGCGCAGGTCCAGAAGGGTTGGAAACCACTGCTCTAGAGAGAGAGAGAGGCGAGATGCCTCGGACCACGTGTCTTACGACGATGATGACCCAACTAAACTAGTACTAAACTATTTTTTATTTTACCAGATAGGGCCCACTGAGCTGCTTACATAGCTCTTTTTCAGAAGTGACCTTGCCACAAAAGATAGCTCAACGAAGTGGCTTATCATCGCGTGGACATTTATAGCAGCCAAATATTCTCACCGGACGTTTCTAAATGCGGAGGGGAAAAAAAACCAAGAGGACCCGGAGAAACATCCACGCTATCATGGGGCTCGAACCCACGACCTCTTGCATAGCAGGCGAGGTAGTTAACATCTCGCCACCGTGTCTGTGTGCCACAGGGGAGCGGTGCGAGGACCGGGGCAAGGCATTCCTGTCCACGTGCGCCAACCAGTGCCCGCGGAGCTGCTCCGACCTCTGGGAGCATGTCGAGTGCCTGCAGGGCAGCTGCAAGGAAGGTATTGGCGACAGTCTGACAATTTTCATTGAAGAAATTACGCGCGAAATTGTACGTTTTATTTGTACTTTAGTCAACGGTGACAAAGGAGCACGGCCATCGATAACTGCGACTTCCCACGTAATACGACGCGCCTGGATAAAAACCGCAGACTAAGATATTTCATAAGGGTTCTTAGAGACTGCAGTGCACTGACAATGACCAAAAATCGTACTTCGCTATATATGTAAGATTGACTGGCCTCAATGAATGGCTGAATTGACAATACTGGGGAGGAGAGGGAAAGAACATTGTGTACCCATCACATCAACTTCTAATGGCTAAGAGTGGATTAAATGTTTGGCTGTTCTAGTGAGCTAGACTTAGATAATGAATACATTAAATCCACAGACCAAGACTTGAGTAACATTTTACAGGTTTTCACAGACTAGACGAACACTATGATTTAAATCAAAAGTGCTGACTAAATTAACAAATTATTCATTGAACACGATGTATTAATTTGTGAATGACTTACTACTCTTTTGGATGGTGCTGTGGGCAGAGCACCTGACTCACAGTTTGGAAAGCATTGAGAATTGAAATCTAGATTCGGAGTCACTAATTATCACTGTGTAACATAAAAAAAAATTCCTGGGTAGTAAGTGTAATTTTACAATTGCTTATGCCTCAAAAGTACAGAAAAAGGCTTATTACTCCCCACAAACTTTGCTTCTTGTGACCAGGACACTTAAGCAAAGTTAATAATCCACTCCATTAATAACACGAAACTCTTTGGTTCTTTCGGTAAAGTCACATAGAAAACAATAACAGATCACGACGTTTCGATCGCCACACAAGCGATCGTCTTCAGGTGGGATAGAGCAAATCTAGATTAATAACACTGTATAACGAATATATTATATGTGTTTGTTCCCAGGTAATGAGTGTTTTTTCCTAATTGCTTATGCTTTCAAAGTACAGAAAATGGCTATTATTCCCCACAAAATTTGCTTTTGTGACCAGGACAGTGGTATTTTGAAATGTACCTATTTTAATGAGAAAACGTGGTGTGCATTTGTGTCATTCCTTCACGTTAAGTCCTGGTTACAAAAGCATCGTTTGTGGGGAATAATAGCCATTTTCTATATACTTTTGAGGCATAAGCAATTAGAAAATAACACTTACTACCCAGGAACAAAAATCGTGTTACATAGTGAATTATCATCCTTTCACAGGGTTTATTAGTTTTTGTTGTTGTCTACCGAGCATTGATAACACTGGTCAACACACTTTTTCTGGCATAAGGTATTCCAACGGTTTTAAGGTAATTTTGGGGTGCTGATTCCAAATCTGGCATCAGGTTTTTGAGATATCAAATATTGCATTTTCACTAAAAACTGCAGAAGGAAAATATTAAATAAATGTGGATATCTACATAAAATGATATTATAAACACACTATCCTAAAAATACAGCACCATATTTTAACACTAAAGCAGTCACTGACTCGCAACAACTTGCAATCATAAGTGACAGAGTTATTTCGGGTAAAATCAATGAAAATGGGGTATGCCGATAGCATAAAAATGAGATGTGATAGAGCAAAGCTGATCTCAGATTTAGAATCAGCACCCTCACATTAGTCTAAAACAGCTGCAAAAGTCCAGGCAACTCAAAAGTGGCCTGGTATGGAAATGCTAGCTCCTGTCGTAGGCAAGTGGAATTCCCTACCACTGTCTCAGGCAGCGGAGGAATATGGTCACTGCATAACGCTCATTGGAGTATAGAGAAATACCCCTTTTTACCGTTAACTGCCGAGAAAAATATACAATTCGGAGTCAAACTTGTACAACCACGTGGAAAATTGTTGGTATGCACTCAAGCAATGTAACCATATTGTTATAGCCAACGTTATTTTTTTAAAGGCCTGTTCTACTTTTCTGTTACAATACGATGTTAATGACAACGGTTGAGAATATTTTTTTTGAGGTTTACTCAGGGGCATTCTCGAGAAGACACATTTCCAAAAATAATGCTGAGGCCACTGTGGCATGGCTACGTAAGCTAACGGGATGAAAACTTCGTTTTCTCATGTCAAGGGGCCCTTCAATTATAAAAATGCAGCGTGTGGTAAAAATGGAACGAGATTTGGCCACGGCTCTGTTTGACAGGTGTTGTAATCGGCTTTCTGGATGCTCCTGTCAAATTAGTTGTGTTTTTTTAGGTCAGCACAAGCAGCGCAGAAATGGATTTATTTCTTTGATGCAGAATAAAAATCCAGACAGGATAAGCTCTTTCACTAAGGTTGCAACGTAACGTAATGAATGCTTTTCAGATGCAGCGACGTGAATTGCATTCCCCTTTCAATGTAATTCATCACAAGAGGTGCAGGACTCCTGAATTGTTTAAATCATTATTTAAATGACAAAGTATGACGGTACTGCATGGATAAAAAAAAAATATTCTTAACCGCCTTAGCTGTGTTTGTAACAACGTTTCGCTAATGCGCGGCGAAATTGACTCAGGGTCCTTTAAGTTTAATCTTATTCGAAATAATCCACAGTGGCTATACGCCAATAGCCCCACTCCCTCCTCACGCTCTCCATTTCGAAATTTGGTCCTGCGGATTTTCTTAGCGACAACCCTCGATGTTTTTTTTTTTCCACGCGTTCAAAGCATCGGCAGCATGGTTGCCGACTGAGGCCCGCTCTCCGATGTCCTCCGCTGGGAAATGTACCGCTGTCTCAGAAGTGCTCTGCCTGGCCGCTCATAGTCTGCCATTTCACTCAACATCCCAGTGGCTATATTTACCTTAAAAAGCTGCTCATATATTTTTAGGGCATCACCTGTGCAGGAGGTTGTTGGCAATTCTAGATTTGAAGCTTTCGTGACTGCAAGGATTAATATTCTTCGGTTTTTTCGGTAAAGTCACGTAGGTAAAAAATGTAAATTAAAATTAATAAAAGTAAAATAAAATATAAAATAAAAATCACGACGTTTCGGAGGCAACACAAGCTTCCGTCTTCAGGTGGAACCGTTGGCAATGTTTCCCTTCCAAAGGGCATTGATCCTTGCAGGGGGTTTTTGCCTACGATTGGCACCGCAGCGCGAGATTGCATTCGAAATTTCAATGAGCCTCGCACGGGAGACCTGCAGACTACCCGGAAGGCCATTCATCTCCACTCTGCACAGGTTTTATCCGGGTACTCCAGTTTCACGGCGGTGAGATGTTAACTCCCACGCCTGGTAAGCAGCAGGCCGTGGGTTTGATCTCGACCCTGACGCCTATATATTTGGAGTTTGCATTTTATCCCCGTGGTCACGTGGATTTTTCACCGGGTCATTCCGGTTTTTCCCTCCACATGTGCGTTTAGAGTATTTGGCTGCTAGTAATGTCCACGTGATGATAAGCCACTTCATTGAGCTATCATTTGTGGCCAGGTCGCTTCTGAAAAAGAGCTACATAGCTCAGCTGGCCTTACCTGGAAACATAACATTGTTTAAATTGTTTTAGTTTTCTTCCTCCAAATGAAACCGACTTGCTTAAAATTGGCCAAATATCTCCACTGCAGGACTATTCTGAAAAGGATTTACCATCTAACATAGTTTGGCAGCGAGCAAACTTTATGGATTCACTGCACTGAACACAATGCACAAGCACAACACGGACAGTTGCCAACAGGAACAACACAAAGCTCCGACTGCAAGATTCACAATTGATGTTCAAACAGTGGCGGCAGTGCACGAACAGACCGAAATCTCCTCGCCACTCTCTTCGCACTTCGATACGCTGCCTTGCAACAAAACAATTGATTCCAGCACTACCGTGAATGCGTCCTGCCCCCCAACATGCGGATTGTCGAGGGGGGAGGGGTTACTGCAAAGCAGCAGTCGTAATTCATCCGCGCCTCCGATGGTTGGCTACGTACGGTGCGAAAGAAGTTCAACTTACGTGCATGACCTTTTTGCTTTAATCCACCATGACGACCACCACTTCTGCCCCCCCCCCCACCACCTCCTCTTACTTACACCTTCCGCCTCTTCTATATCTCCCAAATTAAACTTCTCACAATTTGGAATGCAGTTATAGAAGAAGCACCGTACATGCATAGTGCTGCCCTTTTATTAAATCACGGCTGGACAAGGGCCTCCCCCATACCTTGTGGTTCATGGAGGTTATTGACCATACTCCACTACACTGGCCAGTGCAGGATGGCGAAGGTGAGGAATAGACATTAGAGCGTAGTACAGTACAACAGACGATTTTTGCCGCAGCGCCCTCAGCTGATAACATCAGAGTCACGTCTTGAGGCCGCACCCATCTCCTGTTTATGGCCCTGAGCCAGTGGTGGATATTCCTTATTCCTATGGCAGGAGCGAGTCTACCTATAGGACAACTACTATGGCAGTGCAGCTCCGTGAATTATCTCAAAATTTGCGAGGCAACGATAACCCCCCCCCCTCCCTCCGTCCCTCCGCCGGCACAGGCTGCCGTTGCCCCGAGAGCTGGCTACTTCAGGACCGTGCGTGCGTCCCCGTCGCGCAGTGCCGCTGCGGCCTCCCGTCTCCGAACGCCAGCCAAGAGTACCGGCCGGGCGAGGTGGTGCGGGTCGACTGCAACGAGTGGTACGACGATCGCCGCTGCCGCCGCTGCCACCGCAGCATCATTCCGTCGGATCGCTGCGCTGTGAAACGGCAGCGTCAAGTTCCCGTTGGGCACCAGCCGCGTGTTTCTGCTCAGCCCTGAATTTTTTACCAAGTTGTCATTTTGTTAATCATTCATGGTGCAGGGGATACTTCGCAGACTGCCCGGGTATATTTTTTAAACACTGTGTGTGTGTGCGTGCATCCAGTCTGAATGAAAATGCAGCATCGTCAGATAGTGTGTTCAAATAATGAGAAGTACTAACTGGTACTGATTATGCCCACAAAATGGGAGGGTTTCGTCATGCGATGGTTTGCGAACTGCACCACAAATTTGTCAACTTGAGTTTGATGCCTGGCCACGGCTAATATCAGTGGTGAGTGATGTCTGAACTGGTCCCTGTGCCACCCCTTCACCGACTCTCAATGACCAGCGTGGTGAAATATGGTGAAGCAATTTCCCATGACCCTACATTGCCTGGAGATGCCTTCATCCAATTTGCAATATGTGTACGGTTACAGTTTTTTTTCGTGAAACAAAAATGTGTAATTGGTAAGGGAATGACAATAATAAAATCTGAGTGAAAATTCAGGGTTAAATTAAATTGTTTTTACCATTAAACTAGTTATTGCGAAATAATTCAAAATAGCGGTTAGTGTCATGTTTAATGTGACAGAAAATGAAATTCCACACCCTCATGAAAGCCAATGATTGCAGTGGTTAAAGATACTATTTCCAGGTCATCAGCTCTCGAATTAGGTTTTAATTTGGCCACAGGTTAACAGTGCAAAACGTTGAAAACCCAGGTACACATTCAGTTCTCAAAAATCGTCAGACAACAAGGACTTGTCGTAGATTTTTTTAATTCACCAAACATTTATTTTTGGGATTTTTCTTCTTCTAAAAAGTACTTAAAATATGCAACTACTGCAGAACGATTGGAACGGTGCAATTGTTGGTACAATGCGGTGCAATTGTTGGAACAACACGTTAGAATTAAGTCATGCAATTATCATTCCAGTTGTGCAACAATGGGGCAGCAATTGTCTCCATGGTGGAAGTTCCACATTCCTCCGGTAGGAGCCATCGTGCTCCAGAGGACAACCCCTGGGCAACATCCCCCAAAATTTTCCTCGTTTTTCAGCAACAAATTAATGAGCAGATCCCCCAGGTCAAACTTGTTGACCTTATAATTGTGGGATATGTGCTGTAACCACGAAGCCACGCGCGCACTGTGCGCAGGAAAGACAGCCACCAGAAATATCCACCAATGGCTGCTGAGTTTCCAAGGGAGATGATGACAATGATGACCATTGCTCCAGGTTCGTTTGAACACGAGCAATAGGAAAGCACGCTGAAAATTGTCCAGGTATTGGTTTTCACAGCAGGAGAGAAAGAGGGGTGGGGAAACGATGAAAAAAAACTGATCCCATGCTGAACGACGTAACCTACGTGTGCGTGTGTGTATAGCACTCCACGCTACGAACCTCATGGCCAATACAAGTGACAATTATCTGAACCGGTCCTGGGCCTCCCCCTCGGTCGACTCAGCCTCAAACGAGTACTAAACATCACCACTGGGGAGACAAAGGCGGCCGGGCATGGTGCTGGCCACCCACCCCCTCGTGTGCCGTACCGGCCTTCGTAGGTGCTCGCTAACAGCGCTTGCCCCTACAGTCTGTTACAGGCTACACTATGGGATCTTTGTCTTTGTGTTTTTGCGTGGCTGCCCGCTGCAGCGTGTGCGTCAAGGGCACGTTCGTGTGCACGGAGCGCGTGTGCCCGGAGTTGGGGCCCTGGTCCGCGTGGGGCGAGTGCTCACGCAGCTGCGGTGGAGGCACGCGCGTGCGGCACCGCGACTGCCCCGACACGTCCGCCCCGCACGCGTGTCCCGGGGAGCCCCAGCAGAGCGAGGCGTGCAGCCCCCAGCCATGCCGAGGTAAGGGGGACGGCGATCAGTCGCGGCAGGGGGGAGACAAATATCGCCTGTGTAGCCTTTAACTGACCGGTTGGGGTCACGCACACGCGCACGCGGCGCGCCCGTGACAAGGTCACGGTGCAACCAAGGCCACCAGAATACAATGATTTCTCCACCGAGACGGATCAGCTCTCGCCGTCTCAACACCGCGCGGTGAACCCCCTGGAGTGAACCGTCATTGTGCACTTGCCGGTGCTCAAATTGTTGGACTTGTACATCCGTAACAGGTTTTACGTCCAACCAGTGGCGCGTGTAATGAGGGCGGCTGTTGCGCGGATATGCCGATTCGTGTTGTGTCCTGGACACCCTTGCTAATGAGATGTTCCGTCTCGAGGGATTTCCGGGTGAAATCGTTAATTGGCGGCTCTGCAATGGCAGGGACGTGGTTGCAGTTAGACACTCCGTAAGTGCAATTGTATGAATATTTGTATAAATTTAAGCGGCCAATAAGTAGACTTCAGTAGTGCCTTCACCATTGATTCAGAATGTCTTGTGGGCAGCCCATGCCCGTAATCGCGCTTCACGGAGACGGTGGTTGATGCTTCACGCAGAGATGCCCGGAGTGTGGTGATAGCACACTGGGTGGTAATAGAACCACTCCAGGACCAGAAGGTGCCTGTGTGAAGACTCAAGAGCAAGTAGGTCTGTGACGTATATTTGCACGGTTTGAATGGTTATCCCCTTGGTATCCATGTGTTTTCTCTGGGCACTTTGTGGTGTTCCTCTCCTCAGGGTGTAGAACGTATTGACTGTGCTGGGGCCTTGTCGAGGCTGTAACGCGGCGGCAGTGCGGGTTGGGGATTGGTGGGCATGGATGGAATCTTTGTGATTGGATGGGGTACCAGGGTAGTAGTGAATGCGTGTGATTGAGTGGTGTGCCTGTTGTGTTGCCGAACGTTCCCGCGGATTCTGCTGATGCTGGGATTCTGAGTGGCTGTCTCTCTTTTGTGTGCATGCAGAGGACCGTCGCTTTTATAGTTTTTTTCATCCCCGAGCCTGTGATGTCCTTCACCCTTTGTTCTTTGTCTCTTTGTTTTCTTTTTCTCCCGATATCTCTTCTAGTGTAATTGCCCTGGTGACGTTGTATTTTCCAGTTTGAATTTTGCAAGGTGCTTCGAGATGCACTTCCATGTAAGCACCAAATGAATGCAAATCCTTAGTATTACATATTTTGAATATATGTTTAACATACCGCCATATGTCCAATTCACATTTTAAATGAATTGACCTAACAGCACAAAACTGAATCCCACTTCGAAGTGGTGCGTGCTCACCCTCGTCTTGCAGAATTCGGCGAGCAGTGACAATTCCACATTATCATGGCGGGGCCATATCTCCCCCACGTACCACGTGACTTCTTGAGCCCTCTGCCAGTGGCGGCGCACAGCCAGGTGTCCTCATCCCGCGCCGTGCTGAGCCCGCGCGCCGTCGCTTCCGTGCCTTCCCGTGCCAATCAGCGGATTGCGTCCTGGGAGACTGGGCCGCGTGGAGCTCCTGCAGCGCGTCCTGCGGAGGAGGGGTGTCGTTGCGCAATCGCAGCGTCGTCACCGCCGCCGCCTTCGGAGGCGCCGAATGCCCCGAGCCGCTCGTGGCCCAGAGATCCTGCAACAACTACAACTGCAGCGATGGTGAGGCACATGATGCGGCGGCGGAAGCATGTGGCCCCTCTTTGTAGCCCGGGGCCTGGGCCCCTCTGGCCCGTCAACCCCCGTGCATTTACCACCGTCTACGCACTCGATATTTGCGCCACTGGGCAGGTGCTTCTTTGCCAGTCTGTGTCTGTAATTCCTCCTTTTTGGTTGTAAAATCGTCAATTATTTAATGTACAGCACTTCGTCAAAACCACTTGCTCGCTGAAGGAAGGCCTTCTCACGCCACTGTTCAGTTATGGGGCTTCTTTGTACTTCATGCTGGTCAAGAGGAGACCCAGGACAAGCTCAGGTATCATTTGCAACTGATGTCAGCTATGGACAGGTTCATAGTGCAATGCACTAACCACCGTAGCACCGCTCCCCCTCAATTTTATCATATTATTGTCATGCCAAGAGATGAATACGTTTCCTTTTGGGACTCACTATAATATCACATAGTGCCCAAGAACGACCTCCAGAATAAGACATCACATGATAGACAATGAATTGACTGAACTCAACAGGCCTCTGATCTATACTCGGTGATGCTCCATTCTAATCTCCAGCAAGTGTGTTCATTCATTGCACGGGAATGAAACAGAAATACTTAATCTTGATTTGAAGCTTTCGTGACCGCAGGAATCCATACCCTTTGGTTCTTTCGGTAAAGTCACGTAGATATAAAATAAAATAAATCACGGCGTTTCGGGCGCAACACAAGCGACTGTCATCAGGTGGAACAGATACAGCAGGACAACTGCTGACATAGGAACTCCGATGTCAGCAGTTCGCTTGTGTTGCGATCGAAACGTCGTGATTTATTTCGTTTGATACCTACGTGACTTTACCGAAAGAACCAAAGAGTATAGAAATACTTAATGTTATTAATTCAATGATAAACCAGATGTACCACGATATCATTGGTTACCATTCTCATGCTATGAGCTCGCTGCACTATTTGGTGTAATCGCAGGTCCGTAAATCCCAGATATGAGAACAGGGGGGTCACCTGGCCATCTCACTCTGTCTTTTGCTCCAATATTATGACCCAATGGAGAATCTCTCTTTGTCTCTCTTGAGTTCTGACCCAGTTGAACAAAGTAAACCTGAAACTTGATTCTTGTACCGAGACAACTTGAGTCATTTCCTCAACATGTTGTGAGTTTCAAGTATGCCATTTCCTAATTATAAGCAATGTGCAAGGATATGGATGTTACACATTGTTTTTAGTACATCATGAATGTTATTTAGCATCTTGATGATGCTGAAGGTTGTTAACATTGTATATCACAAGGCACTTTGAGTGCTCATTCAGTGCCATACAATTAAAACTACCTACTCATGCAGATTCTTCTTACACTTAATATTGCTTTTCAGCACACGCTGCAGTTTCAGTTTGTTTTCCGATAATTGCATTGTTCATTTTGTTCCTTTTGTTAAGGATGCTTAGTCAGCCAAGTGGTGGAGCTTCGTGTGATTGCTGCCTCAGCAAATGGGCTGCTGGCGCTTGCTGCTTGCTGCACGCATGAGAATGTGGCTCGTGGCAAGATCTACCCCAGTGTGCTTTTTTCTTTCCCGGGGATGCTTCCACTAGTGGTGTAATGTTTATCACACTGGATCTCGCAATCCGGAGGTCGTGGGTTCGACTCCATCTCCCGGCACGGCAGTTAAAACAATGGGGGCAAGTTAAAGTCAACTATTAAACTAAACTGTTTTTTTTATTTTCGCCAGGTAAGGCCCACTGAGCTAAGTAGCTCTTTTTCAGAATCCACCTGGCCACAAATGATAGCCCCATTGAAGTAGCTTATCATGTGGAAATTGAGATTCTAAATGTGGTGGAAAAAACCGAGGGACCCGGAGAAAAATCCACACAAACACGGGAGAACGTGCAAACTCTAAATATACAGGCGTCAGAGTTGGGATCGAACCCACGTTCTCCTGTATACCAGGCGAGGTAGTTAACATCTCGCCACCGCGGCGCCCATATTTTCTCAAAATCCCCCTTGCTGCCACCTCTGTCCACCCAGAAGCAAGAATGTGTGCGGTCGATTGGCAAGATATCTTGTATGTTGAACTTTTTTCGCGCCGTACGTAGCCAACTGTGCTAATCTTGCCAGCGTGGAAGAGCAGGCCAAAATACCAGCTAGAGGGGGCTGTCTTGAGCTCACTTTAGTGGAGGCCCCTTCCACCAGCAGTGGCATGAGCGAGCGATTGCGCCTTCACGAGCGGTGTTAATGGGTGAACCCATGGTTGATGCGGTGGGTTTTGAAGTGCCGCTTACTCCCAGCTGTTCCAAAAATGCCCTCCAGTGGGAGAGGCCCTTCCGCCAGCCGTGGCGCGAGCAGGCGACTGCAGAGCTGCACTTTTACCTGTTTTACAGATTGCACACCCGGCCAGGTGTACATCGACTGCGCTAACCTGTGCCCGCGCGCGTGCTCGGACCTGCACCAGGGCACGGAGTGCGTCCGCGAGCCCTGCCAGCCCGGCTGTGCCTGTCCACGTGGCAAGGTTACTCCGTACAACTCGGACCTCGCAAACCTTCCCCCCCCCCCCCCGCCGTGCAGAGGCATAATGATTCACCCCCCCCCCCTCCACCATATTTTGATGACTCCTTGCGATTCAAGGTCACGGTTCGATTCCGGAATCGATTGGCTGATTATTTTTTTACAATGAGTTTAACGACGGCCGCCCTTGGCTGCAGGGTCCGCTCGGCCCCGTTTGCGTGCAGCGTAGACGATTCGAAACGCACTCGCTCATGCGCACGAGACTCAGTGTGCACGCATGTTGAGCTTGAGAACTGATATTAATCGATTAATTCACGTCTTAGCGGGGGATGTTACATCATCACTATCAAGATCAGCATCACCAGCATTATCATTTTCACCATTATCGTCATCATCATCATTTGTCTTCATGATCGCGGTGAGTTTATCTTACGTGTAGCGCCTTTTGCACACGGGAGCTTTGTAATGCTGTTTTTTTGCGTGAAATGGTGATCTTGCGGCACGGTAGCATTCAAATTAAACAACCTTGCCTAAAACGTCAAACAGCAACCAGGATTTGTTTAGAGACCGTTTTAAGGGGCTGGGATTCATATTAAGAATACTTCCCCGTGTTTTATGTATGCGTTATGCATATCCATTGTCCCTGTGTGTTCACATCTGAATCTTTTCCGCCAACTTCATCATTTCCCCCCTGGGAGGTGCAGACATGCTCAGTCACAGCCCTCACCTTGCGAATTACCGGCTCAGCGTGTCCTCGTTAACTGGTGGCCCACGGCCCGTAACGTCAAAATGACTTGCATCGGCACGAGTCCGTTTGGACTCTGGACACTCATTCTCTCGTGCTGCCGAATGCTTTTAAAAATAACCGTGGCTGTCCTGGTGCCGGTGACAGAGCTTTTGTTAATTTGCACCGATGTTATGCAACCATCCTCAAGTGCAGCTTTTGTCGCACACAAATACATCTTTGTTTTCAGGCAGGCTACGAAATGTGGTGTGTTCAAAAATATTTATATATTTTTTGTCCCCGTACAAGTTGCTCCTGTCTGTTGCGAGCGATATTCTATTCTTGCAAAAGAAATATGTTCAAGAGCTAAATGTTCACGTAGATGTCTACCAGCGACAACGAGAGCACTTAAGGAGACATAGAGACAGAGTTTGTGTAGTTGAAGGCGCTATCGGTATCGTCACGCCATGAGATGAAGCATCTATATTCAGAACTCTCGCAGAGCAATGCAATTCATCGTGTTAGAGAATGGCCCGTGGAAGCGGATATCACAGAACCAATTCCCAGATCCCTCCCAGTGACCTCTGGTCCACACGGTAGCAGGCAGCACTTCCCCACCTTTCCTGATGCAGAGACGAATGCTCGTTGCTTGAAAGTCTTAACTGATATATTTCATTATCACTGCTGGAATTTAGCCAAATTAAGTACAGAACAGAACCAAACTGAATATAACAACAACTGGACACATACGTCAATAATAATTAGAATTTATAAAGCGCCCTTAAAAAATCGTTTAGGGTGTTAACACTGCCGTAATAACACTATCCTAATATGAAATGGCCCTTCTGCATAGCACATGGGTGTTTTGTACAGTCATTGATGACCAGGCTTGATAACTATGAATTCATTGCACGTGAGAACCCAGTTTAATCACAGGCAGCTGTCTGGATTGAAACCCAGGGTCTCAGTGATGCTCGCTCAGTACTCTTGTCCTCTGACCCACACGACCACCTCAAAATGTGGCACTTAAAGAATGTTCAATCTGTGCACAGTTTTTGAGCAGAGACCCGTGTGCGTCGTCAGTGGTATAATGCGACACTTGGGTGAATTGCCATAACTGACAGTTTCACGCGGAATGAAATATGTCTGAAGGACGTGAGTACTTTAAACTGCCTTGGAGTGGTTTTAAATTTGATTATTATTACCGATAGACGGCAGAGGTGGCACGGTGACCCAGGATTCAGGCCTAGCTGTACGGGTGCTAAGCGAGAGGTCAACTGGGTGCATCCACGTGCTCGGCAGGAACTCTAACCGACGGCGTTTTGCTGGCTGAGCTGAGCTGCGGGATTATAAATATCGCAGGGATTAGTAAAAGTCCGAATGCTTAGAAAGCCCATTTAATTAGAATAACAAAATCGAGTTACGACAATATCAGCATTGGGTGATCAAGATGTTAGACACGATGATAATGATGATGGGACTCGCATCAAACCCAATGCGAGGCAAATTTCCGGAGTGACACGCTCTGAGTTTGGTAACGTTTCTGAGATGTTTAAATTGACCCTGGTACCGTGACGGACATGGGCCTTAATAGCAGAGAGGTCAGGATGAACATGAGTATGAAGACTTCGACAGTTTGGTTCGGTGACTGGCCACACCACGCCCTCGTGTGCCGATCCGGCCTTCTTAGCTACTCGCTCACAGCACTTGCCCCAACAGTAAGGTTAAAGCTACACGGGGGGGGGGCTCTTTGTCTTTATTTGTGCTCACACGTCAATGAATATGTACGCGTGTGCACCACTCCACTGCCACCGCCCGTCTTAGGTGCTGCAGGACGGCGTGTGTGTGGCACCCTCTGAGTGCCGCTGTGCGCTTGGTGCGGCCGCCCGCTGGGGGGCCCAGCCCCCCCACAGTGACAGTGTTGAGTACCAGCCGGGCACCGTCCTCGCACAGGAGTGCAACAACTGGTGTGTATGTGTGTGTGTGTGCGCGTGCATGCGAGTTGGCACATTCGGGGGCACATGTGGTGCATCTGCCAGTCAGTTCAGTCAGTCAACCCATGGCACCTCTTGGGTCTGTCCTGTGGATTTCTGCCAGCGGGAGTTCGACACTTCACGCGGCCTTAAAGGGCACCTAGCCTGGCACAAGCGCCGTGGAGATGTCACCGCCACTTCGTGGCGAATGGTTGTTGTTGTTTTCGATTTAAAGCTTTCGTGACTTGCAGGGATTCATCTTCTTGGTTCTTTCGGTAAAGTCACGTAGAATGGAAATAATAAAATAATACAATTTTTTATTGAACATACTAAAATTATTCTCACGACGTTTCGGCCACAACGCAAGCAGCCGTCCTCAGGTGGAGAACAGGTCTACGTGACTTTACCGAAAGAACCAAGAAGGCGGTTGTTGTTGTGTGGCTCCTGATCTTGCTCATCATTGTTTACGGAATTCCACTTTGGTGAACGCCAGGGTATCAGGGGTCGGCTCAGCCCATCTTATATCTGGGGTCAAGTAAAATGAAGGCTTTGTGGGAATTTAAGCGTGGTTATGCCAAGAAGCCACGGCCCCCTTTCAGAGTAATGTGTAGAGGACTCTACAAATGTATAGCTTCTGCCCCTAAGCTCAGAACGGCCAAAAGAGCCAAAGATGACCACTGCCCCATGCTAATTTTTATATGGAGAGACTTTTGTGTTTTTGTTTAAATTTAAATGTTGCTCATTCTGTGATCTTATAAAATAAATAACAGGTTAGTAAACATAAAAGTAAGATTTGGGTTGGGTCACTAAGAGGAAAATAAAATGTCTATCTCTTAAACAACTGATCTTATTCATGGGTCAATCACTGTCCAATTATAAACATGTATTCTTTATCTACCTTACGGATTGTTTTTTATATATGCATTGTATTTGTAGTATATGTAAATTTTCCAACCATTTAAGGTATTCAGAATTTAAACTTGCATTCGAAATGCCTCGTTTGTTGATATGATGATTATAAATATTGCTTCCCGTTTAATAAAGACAGCAAGCATATTTGCCTCGCTGTTTGTGCTATGACAGAGTGGTGGATTTGAAAGTCAACTTCGTGAACATCATCAGACGGACAACATCATTAACAACGAACTAAGTTGTAATCGGCACAACCAAGATCATCGCTTCTCGAGGATAATCTTGCAGTCATTGGAAGTCACACACTTTGGACCACGTGCGATTCCATTTGACCAATGAGGACTCATCGCTCCGTGCTCGCAGCCGTGGCTAGTGCAGATCACCCCGTTCCCGTTCCCAATTCTCTCTTTGAATTCCATTAAATTAGAACCCTGACCCACAGTGAGAATGGAAATGAAATGCTTCTCGTAAGAGCTTTCGTTAGTCATGTGTGCACAGTGTGTTTGGGATCTTTGTTCAAGCGTGGCTTTTTTCTTTGTTTCTCTTTAATGTTTTTGCGAAGCACTTGCATCGACGGCGCCTTTCACTGCACCTCCTTCAACTGCGAGGGTAAGGACTTGCATAACCATGGTCTGGTAGGTCTCTTCATTTTAATTATGAGATGAGAAATAGACACGGCCTTTGTATGTGAGAATGACATTTTTTTTTCTCTCCCAGTTTCACTTTGGTACCACTTACAATGCTGCACAAAATCAATTGTGAAAAATGTATGCCGGGGAATGAAAATAGACGTGTAACAGGCAAAGCCAAGTCTGCAGTCTAAGAGCCACCATCATGCATTAATAGGAATTATTATTATTTCAGTTACTTACGAATTAAGTGGATTTGCAATTTACAGTCAATTCCTTATCAGCTAATTGTCAGAAGCACACATCATGGCCTACATAACCTAGGATATTAAATATCCACAAACGTGCTTTATGCAATGCATTATTTCAACTAAGTGATACACACTAAGCTACCTTCATCGTGCAGCTGTATTAGTTCTGCAGAACTTTACAAGAAATCAATGTAAAACGAATCTAAAGATCTAAAAACAAAGGACGATTGGGGTCTGTTATTCTCATTAGCTTATCTGCCAAACGGGGACTGGGAAGTGGAGAGAGGTGAGGTTTAACCCGTAGGCTTTCGCGACCAACATCATCCATAATATAGGTTCTATTTTTGTGGGTTAGATCGCGTAAATATAAATGTGTCGTTAAACCCGCCACCACCCGACACAGCCAATTAGTAAGGTTTGTCACGTAAACAGAACGTGGAAAATTCGTTACTACTTCAGCACACCGGTGTGTTGGAGAGCAAATCCGAGTGGTGGTGCGTTAACATCTTGCCACCAGATTCCATCAGATCTCGGAAGCTAAGCAGGTTTAAACCTGGATAGCGCTTGGTTAGGTCCCACTATGCACAAGCAGTTTGTCCTTCCCCAACACCTCTGATTTGCATGGTTGGCTACGTACGGTGAAAAAGAAGTTCAACGGCTGTGAGTTCAAACTTGAGGGTTAACTCAACCCATTATCAGTCCTGGGTCGATCAAATATGTAAGTACCACTTTGTGGGGAGGTTATCATTGGTTTGTCCTATGGGGATACTCACCACCGCCATAATAATATGGAATTTCTACCATTATTTCAGGGCTGTAAGCGTCATCTTTTAATCTAATTTGAGTGATAATATTTTTTGTTGTACTAAGAGAGGGAGAGAGACAAGAGGGAGACCAAGCCCATTTCTGTTTCTGTCGTGGACAACTAAGAGCCGGCGTGGTTCATCCGAAAGCCTCACCGTGGTTCCTCCCCGCTACCGCCCCCCCCCTGCCCCGCCGACCCCGACAGAGGACTGCGAGTGGGGGCCGTGGACGGCGTGGTCATCGTGCTCGGCCTCCTGCGGGGCCGGCGCCCGCACGGCGATGCGACCTCGCAGGCTCAAGGCCCAGCTCGGAGGGCACGAGTGTCACAGCCCCGAGTCGCGCACGGAAGAGTGCTACGTCCGGGATTGCGGTGAGAGCCGCTCAGACCTCCGATTAGCACGCTCGGCTGCGCACGGGTGCCAACGAAGCGCAACGTAGATACGTACGGCAGCAACGGAGGTAACAGGCGCCAAGAGCATCCTTCCTCCTGCTGTTACTCCGATCTCTATAACACCTTACAACAGCAGTGAGACTAAGGTGCGATTTGGCGTGGCATTGTCGGACAGTAAACCAATCGGACGTGATTGTGACATTGTATCCCGCTCGATGCCCTGCTGTTAGCCACGTGCTCATGCCATCAGCAAGTTACCATGACAGGGAGCCGTGTCATGGCAACCTCATTATTTTAGGCTTCCCTCTGGGATTGCCAAGACACTTTGGATGGATGTCACTTCAGGAGAGGATGACTCCTTGTCCCGCTGTACAAATATCCATACTTGGATTTGTCATTCGAAGCTGATGCTGGAGTTTGCATGCGAGTATGTGAGGGGCTGGTGGCCTTCATAGGTGCTTGATAAAAGCACTTGCCCCAACAGTCTGTTAAGGCTATATGGGGGATCTTTGTCTTTCTCTGTTGGTTGAGGACAAAAGGTGGCTGGGTCGAAGGTTAGTTGCTCGGCCTCAGAGGCTCCTTAATTGCTTCAATGCAGCACATGCACCTTTCCAAATCATCCGTTTAAAAATCGTAGCGCAGCATGTCGACTCCAGGACCTCGTGTTGACAATTCTTCTAAGCTGCCTTTGACTGAATGCTCGCATCACAATTGTCAGGACTGGCCCGGGATGTTGCGTGTGTGCCGTCGTCTTTTTATTAACGCTTTTTTCATTGGGGAAGTGTGGGGGGGAAGTTTTCCCGGAAACATAATTTATGAGCGCATCAGAGTAGACTGTTCGGCCGCCCCCCCGCCCTCCCCCCCCCGGGAGCTCACTGACTGACATCTAATTTGCTCTGATCTATTGCACGAGGACATCTCAATGCACCCTGATTCGATGGCCGCCTGCTCTTCCGGCTTATGAAACAAGCACGTTCCGACATTCTATTTTCATTCTCGTCAAGTAGGTGCGCTGAAAGAAGGAAAAAAATCTAACGACATTGCGCCGGCGATTCAAACTCCTGCTGCTGCCGCCACTGTTGGACCACTGGCACAAAGGAGATTGATGTTTTCATCAGCAATGAAGTAAAAAAAAACAATACAAATATATAAAACTCCATTGAGTGCAACAATGTTGCCACTTAAAACAGTGTTGGCACCACGGATCGCCTGGCCCCGACATAGAACTGTGTAATTTCCACCATTGCATCCGAGTCGCTCATTGAGACGTGTGCCGTCACAATGCTCACTGAAGCGTGGGAAGCCAACGCGCATCGCAACGTGTCCAATGCGTAAGAAAGTCAGAGATATATTTTGGTGATTGGCGACTCTTCACCCTGCCAACGATGCCTTGCACGGAGTAGCCCTTTTTCATCACTCGTTCCACTCTTAAAACTATTCAACTGTTTTGTTTATTTTACCAGGTAAGACCCACTGAGCTAGACAGCTCTTTTTTTAGAAGCGACCTGCCCATCACAAATGATAGATCAACAAAGTGGCTCATCATCACGTGCAAATTTATAGCAGCCAAAAATTCTAGACACGTGATGTTGATTCTAAATGCGGAGAAAAATCCACGCAAACCACTGGGAGAGAGAGAGACACCGCAAACTTCAAATATACAGCAGGTGTCCGGGTTGGGGGATCAAACTCACGACCTCCTGCATACCGGGCGAGGTAGTTAACATCTCCTAGCCACCGTGATGATGAGAGAGACACACAAACTCCAAATATACAGCAGCAGGCGTCAGGGTTGGTGATCGAACCCACGACCTCCTGCATACCGGGCGAGGTAGTTAACATCTCCTAACCACCGCGGTGCCCCACTAACGCCTCACTCGTCATGTCCGCCCACCCACACCGCCCCCCACACCACCCCACACCGACGCCGTCGTGATCGTCGTTCAAGTTCATTTATTTTCAAGTTCATTTATTAGGTATAGCCCTGTGAGCCATTCGGCTCTTGAATCCGGTGCAACCGCAACAAACAAAAAACAAAAACACGACCACAAAACATCTTAAAGTGAATATGTGACTGAGTGCAAACAGAAAATCCAAGAAAAGACAGCAAAACGTTGCAGAAAAAAAATCACCGCACACCAACGCTGTGTGCAAAAATCCCGCTCAACCGCAGGCTGCCCGCCGGGCGAGCGCTGGCTGCGCGGCTACACGTCGGCGCCGTGGTGCGAGCGGAGCTGCGCCGAGGTGTTCGCCACGGAGCTCGGCAACTGCTCAGGGGCGGCGGCCGGAGGCGGCGAGGGCTGCGTGTGCGAGCCGGGCCGGTACCGCGACGCCTCGGGGCGCTGCGTCATCCCGGCGCTGTGCGAGTGCAGCGCCGACGGGCGCATCTACCAGGTAGGGGAGTCGCGCGGCCAGTGCCACGCCTTGTGGTCGGCGTTTAAAGCGGTTTGGACAAACGTGCCGGTTAAATTTCGATTTTAAGCTTTCGTGACTGCAGGGATTCGTCTCCTTGGTTCTTTCGGTAAAGTCACGTAGAATGGAAGTAATAAAATAATAAAAATAAAACATATGACTTTAAACCCCCCGCCCACCTCCTATGCATTTCACAAGTAGTACTAATCACATATCTGCATTTCCCATAAATATGCTAAATTCCTATTGATATGCAAATTCTTTTGTCAAGGCACTCTTCCCCCTCCATCCCAGCTTAAATAGACGCTCCAAGCCTGCGGTGTGTCATTCAGACTCTGTCTTCTCGACAGACCTGTTCTTCACCTGAGAACGGCTGCTTGCGTTGTGGCCGAAACGTCGTGAGAATTATTTAATGTTTTATTTTTATTATTTCATTATTTCCATTCTACGTGACTTTACCGAAAGAACCAAGAAGAAAAAAAGTGCCGGTGTGCGCGGAGCGAAAACCAATTATGCATTTGTGTGCGGTAGAGTGCCTCTTAACGACCTCCCCTTTTAGCGAGTTGTCGAATTAACGACGGGCCTCCAAAGAGCCCAATGTGTTCGCTTACCGAACATTCCCCTTTTAACGACGGGCTGTTGTGGGTACGGTAAATGTTAATGGATGCATTGATTAACCATGCTTCTTTTAATATCATGTGTTTATAATGTTGTTAGTATCTTTATGTATTAATTTCCATTGCTTAAATATTTAGTAGTTTTTTTGGGTGAAAAAGGGGTAACTTTGCTCTCGGAACGAATGAAGGCTTTAACGTGTATTTCATAAACTCGCTTAATGACCAAATCACTTAACGAACGGTTTCGTGGAACCAATTACCAGCGTTAAGAGGGGTTCTACTGTCATTCTATAATGCTACGACGTGGAATTGTAGTGTTTTTAAGATACAAATTATTTTACTGCCCGAGAGCATTTCCGCTTAGGAGATAATGCAATGAAATTAGCTCGTGGCTGTATTATCGCATCGTAGAAGCCCAAAGGATGGCGACGACTTGGGGTGGAATTCATCCAAATTTTTATTGATCATGGCTAAATATGATGATTATTATATACAACATTATTTATTCTGGTACATTTGATACGTATTATATATACTACAGAACAGTGTTCCAGTGCGTGCATAAACATCTTGCCAGGTGGCACAGCGGTGGAGTGAGCGGCTCGCAATTGGAAGGTTGAAATTTCTAAATCTAGTTGGGGGTTACTCAGCCCATCATACCTCCGGGGTCCATAAAATGAGTAGCACTTTGTGGTGAGGTCAACAGTGATTTTTCTTCGGATATACTCACCCCTGCCATAGGAATTAGGAATTTTCACCACTGGCTCAGAGAGCTGTAAACATGCAATGAGCACCAAGGCCTCTATTCCCATTTGAGCGGAGAAATCACTTAGAGTTTTTTTGTTTTTTTGCTCACGTCACCAATTATAATACAGCGTTACATCTCAGCGCGGCAGGAGGTGCTGCCCAAATTGGATCTTGGCCTAAAGATTCGGATTCAGCGAATCCGATTCTTTCTCTCTCGACTTCGACTCTATTTGCCGGTGCACGCTGCCCCAATCTAAACCACTGTGCCCCGTCACCCGAGGCCGTAGCCATGGAGTCAGCATTGGGGGGGACCAAATCTTCCAGGGTGTCTGGGGGTCCCAACCTAGAAAAATTCTAAATTTGAAAAGAATTTCCTGCCTAAAATATTAATTAATTCACTTACACATGGGATGGATTTTTTTTTTACAATGTCTAATAGTCTATTGTATTACATTGCTCTGTTTTTACTTTTTATACCATTTTTTCTTTCATTGTTCGTAATGGTAGAGATTAAGGGTTCATAAAGTCCAACCATAACCACAATCATATGAACAGAAATCTATGCATTGATTTATTTGAAGACAAGTCCAGATATTGTGGCCAAGCTTTAGCAAAAATTTTTTTTACATAGCATAGCAATTATTTTTTTATAGCAATACATTGAGGGGGGACATTTTGAGCATATTTGAATATTCGGGGGGGATGTGTCCCCCCAATATATATAATATATATTATATGCATCATAATTACGGCCTTGCCGTCGCCTATCGATTGGCCCCAGTCGGCCACCGATGCATCTCGACGTTGTCGGCGTGCCTCGTGGAGTTTTCTCCGCGCTATTGATTGTGTTGCGTTTTCTTCGCGCCAAATGTTAAAGTAAAGCTGTTGGAGTCCCTGACAGCTCTGTTGGGGGAGGGGTGGGGGTTAAGGCTTGGCAAGGAGCATTTGAGGCAAAATTCACTAATGCGGCACGATTGGGCAACTCGTTAAAAGCAGCGTTAAATTATTAAAACTTAGTTCGAATTCATGTAAACATGCGGTAGAGCACAACTACAGCATAATCCGGCACTTTGGTGATGGGGTTGGTGGATTGTTTTGCGATCGTGTGTGGTGAAACACTCACATGCAGAGACAGCAAATGCCTTCTGTAGACAGGGCAGCAAGCTGGCTGTGGATGTACATTACCCCTCAAACATTTGGGGTTTTCTCCTGGTATTCTACATATTGCTCGCTCGTGCACAACACTCAAAAAAATAATTGGACAGATCCATAACACGAACGCCAGAGGGAAGTCTCGAGACCAGAAAAATATTTCCTGAGTAAACGAAAAAATAAAAAGTAAATAAAATGAACATACGACGTTTCGATCACAACACAAGCAATCGCCATCAGGAGGATGACGACCTATCTACGTGACTTTACCGAAAGAACCAAAGAATATGAATTCCTACAGTCACGAAAGTTTTAAGTCAAAAGATTGTTAATATCATTATCATCATCGTGCGTACATGAATCTTACCCTTTGGATTTTGGAAGCAAATAAAATGTTTGTTGATAATGTTGTTATACTTAACAATTGGTTTTGTCAGCGTTACAGATACTGTACATGATGCATGAGGATGTTCTATATATATACAAAACTTTTCCTCTTTCACAAATGTACACATTTGTGAGATTTATTTTTTATCACGCACGTCAGCAAAACCATATACATTTGTTCAACAAAAAGTATATCCTGCATGAAAGCAGATGCCACTTCGCGTATTGGTTCAGAAAAAGAAAAATGCTCTGAATTTGGATTGTCCCTAGAGTATGCGGATGGAGTTTCAGGGGCCCCTCTCAGAAGGAAGGGGCAACCAGGGACAGCCGTGGCCAATTGGATGACCTTGTTAGGATAAATGTTTAATAAAAAAAAAACAACGTTAGAAACGAGACTTCGGGACATGGCCGGGCGGAGGTTCGCGAGGATTGGCTGTTGATCTTATTTTTCGAGGAAATTAAAAACGGTGAGCTCACGGGAACGTCGTGAATAACGTTCACACAGAGGGGGTCTGTACACAGTATGCATGGCTTTGCGTTGGCGCAAAAGGGAAATTATCATTTGTCAACGCAGTCTTCGCGGTGTGCATGAGTGAATCTAAGAAAAGTGTCGCGTATATTGTTTCGTGTCATGCAACTCGCATCGATTTCGAATACTAAATGCAATATAATGAAGTCGTTCATTATTTTCTGTAAGGAAATATGTATTCATTACTTAGACACGTCTCATTGAACACACATTGATCATAAAGTCAATAATTAAGCAGATGAACCTCGCTATTTCCACTCGGCCACGTGAATGACTGTATCATCGCAAGGAGGCAAGGTTTGTAAATCGGACAAAGATCGAGCCATCTTATGAGAGATATCCTCTTGCATGTCAATAAGGTACCTGTAGGGGGGGGGTTGGGGGGGCAGTACCGCAAGTAGGTCGCTGACCTATCTCTATACTCAACATGAAGAGTTTATTTTGCTTGGAATAGAGCGTTGCCCCCTTGCACGCGTGGCTGCAGTTTCTGCCCAGATGTCATCATCGTGATCATCGTCGTCACGATTAGCCCCGTAGGTGTCCACTGCACATTTCGTCATTTGTTGACACTTTCCTCTCTGTCTTATGCCAATATGCTTTAAGTAGTGCCACATCTTTTTTTGGCGCCATTCTCTTATGTCGTTCGGATTTAAACACTCATTATATTGGCTGATGAACACGTTAATATGTAGAGGACAGCCGAGCTTGCAGAGGGAATTTGGCCGCCGGTTTCGTTTCCCGCTCGTCCGCATTTATTCCGAGTTGTCATTTCTCTTAAAAAAAATTACAAGTTTTTAATTATTTTGACATTATTACGCTGGTTTTTTTTTTGGGCCACCCGTCCCTTGTAAATTGTGGATCGTTATTCACAATATTTAGCGGCCAAAGCCAGCAGGGATTTGCTGTTGTCTCCATTGTCATTTCTCTCTCTCCTCCCAACCCGAACCGGCGTTTTCCCCCTTGCTGAGATATTCTGATTGCCTCACAGTGTTGCAGCTCATGAGCTGTAAAGCTGTCGCGGTGTGTGTTAATCATCGGTTGGCACCTGGGACCGGGGGGTTATCCTAAGTTCATGGCCAGCATATCCCATCAATTAGGGACCAACCGTAGTCTGCGAGGAGCCCACACAAAGAGCCCCATTATATCCACATAATTTGGAGTGGAAACACAAAATTGGAAGGGTTATCAGTCTCCGAAAAAACGACCGCGCACCCAAGAAAACAATTACTCTGTTACGGTGCGGTAACAAAGCCGTGATGCCAGTTTTCTCACTTATATTTTCAATTTTTTTATAATTTTCATATTTTCCGTGTCAGGTGAATGTCGCCCATGGGTAATTACAGTCTCTAATGCCAGAACAACATATTTTGAGTTAGCCGTGTAATTGTACTATGCCCCTGTGCGTTGCATTAATGTTCAGAAGTAGATTACAATGCAACTAAGCACGATGTTAATATATATTGCGTTTAACATAATATGTATTTTTTACATTATATTATTATTAATCAAATACAGCCCTTGGTTAGTCCACTTGCTGGATGATGTCTTCGCCTTTGTCGTCGAGGTCGTGAATGTTGATTGACCAAACTTCACCACGCTGGTCAGTGCAGTTTGGTGAAGGGGGTGACCCAGGACCGGTTCAGATGTCACCGCCGATGTTAACCATGGCCAAGAATCAAATCTCAGAACTTGCCAATTCACCATTAGTACAGCACACTGGTGTGTTGGAGAGCAAAGCCGCAACATTTACAATCTGAGTACGACATTTCGCCAGTAATTACAACCGGAATCATCAGGCTGCAGCCAGATTTGTTATTTTTGTTAATAAACTCACTGAATTGTTTTTTTTTTCAAAATAGTAGCAACACATATGGATGTGTATATGTGGAGAAATGGGAGCGATAGTGTAACGTATAGCGCGCTGCGCTACGAACCCGGTGACCCGAGTTTGATTTCCACTCATGGACAACACCGTTGACGATTATCTGAACTGGTCCTGGGCCTCCCCTAGGTCGACTCAGCCTCAAATGAGTACCTGGTACGTAACTAGGGAGACAAAGGCGGCCGGGCGTGCTGTTGGCCACAAACCCCGTCGAGACAGCAGTGCTGTGTAATTGTATTCTGCCGCTGCAGTGAGCGAATCTGTTCACCACAGCTGCTCTCGCTGTAGCGAATGCGGCCTGGGTCAGAGAAAAAAAACGGGAATGCTTACCGCGCGCATGTGGAAGTACTGCAACGAGCTGAGACACACGTTTATACATATTTATCTTCACAATCGAAATCTTGATTTATCCAGGAGAAATCCGATGAGCAAAGGACCTCTTCTCCTTGGTTTTTTCGGTAAAGTCACGTAGAAGGGAAATAATAAAATAATAAAAATAAAACATAATAAAATAATTCTCACGACGTTTCGGCCACAACGCAAGCTGCCGTCCTCAGGTGAAGAACAGGTCTGTCGGAAAGACAGCGTCTGAATATGTGGACGCTGTTATTATTTATTTTATTATGTTTTATTTTTATTATTTTATTATTTCCCTTCTACGTGACTTTACCGAAAGAACCAAGAAGATGAATCCCTGCAGTCACGAAAGCTTTAAATCGAAATTTAAAGGAGCTCTTTTTCATACATGCCCAGGAGGACGTGAAGCAGTATTCTAAAGAGAAAAGTGGTAGTTCTACTGCTTCTTGGCGTGAAGCAGCAGTTGGCGCACTGCGTGATGAAGCCGGCGACCCGAGTTTGATTCCCGGCCACGGCTAATATCAATGGCGAGCAATAACTGACGGGTCCCGGTCGCCTGCTTCCTTAACCCGCACTCAACCGGCGTGGTGAAGTATGGTCATACGACCAACTCAACTAAGAAGGCGTGGGGAGTCCGTCATCCAGTAGTGCATCGACAAATGAATACAAATTGTTCGAATTCTTATTATTTTGTGAGCAGCAGATAATATGTGCAGGAATATTAAATAATCTAAAGAGAAAACGTGCAATCGGGCCATAAATGCTGCTTCGCCAGAAACGGCTGCAGTGTTTCTGCTATTCTTTACGCTCGGTAAATCTGTGGGGTTTACTGGAATCAGCTCCACATGAATGGACTGCTTGGGGATTCCGCTCGTTAACCCCCTGACTCTAGGTTTTCCCGGAGCCATTACGTTGCAATGCAGAATTAACTGTGCGTTTATAGATGAAAGGGTGTGGGTAGGGGGCGGGGGGGGGGGTTGCCTCTGACTACACATTAAATTGCAAATGTGTTTTTTTCGCGCACGAAATATCTATGAACCCATTGACCTGGCCTTGATTATTTATTTTAAATGTGTCCCTATGAAACTGTGTTTTTATATTAGTTCCTGTTTTTCTTGGGCTCCGTTTTCATTTTTTGCATAACGGATGAGAATTGCGTCGGCAGCGATGTAGAAACGTGCAAATTAGTCGGCGCTCTTCGGGGGTGCTGCTGCTGCTGCTGCTCGGCAGGGAACGCCGCGACGTGAAATGTTTGCAACGTTTGCCTCCCTCTCACCCCACCCACCTCGCCAACGTCCTCATCTCCTCACCTATTTTTTATATTGTCCCAACTGTCCTGCTGATGTCAGCAACAACCAACACGGGCGTTTGCTGTTGTCGGTCATCATCGTCGTCGTCGTTGTTGTCGTGCGTGCGCTAGTCTGGCCAGCGCTGGATGGAGGGCTGCCACGAATGCCGCTGCATCAACAGCATGAAGATCTGCAAGGCGGACTGCCCCAAGCTGCAGTGCCTGGAGGTCTGACCTCTTTCTCCCCGGTATCACTCACCGTCTCGCCGCGGCACATTTCACACCCCCGTGGGAGCGGCGACGCCTGTTTCCTGCCCCACCGTCGCTCGCCTAGCACGGTTGGCGATGTACGGTGCGAAAGAAGTTCGACGTGCATACACGCACACACGAAGCCAGAAAAGCGCAACGCTTCATCTGCATTTTTTCTTTAATTTGGAAGCGTCGTCGTAGCAGCTTCTTCTTTCGCACTGCCGATGTAGATGGCAAAACAACGAACACAATTTCACATTTAGGTGGTCTAGCCAGACAACCGTGTCAGGAGAACGCGGAGTTTATCGCTGTGAAGTTTGTCTCATAGCAGCACTTTGTTTGCGAGTTTATAAACACGCGTATTTTTTATCGCGCGGTAGGACAGCCTTGATATGCCAGCACCAAGTACGTAATTGAAAAAAGTAGGTTGATATGCAATGGCGTGCACGTCTGTGTTATGGCTGCCTTGATTTTTAGTTGTCTTTGAAACACCTCCCAGCGCATGGAAGAAACCTGCACACCACTGCTGCAGAGAATATTTAGCTGTAGCCAATGTAGCTTGGATCAAATAAGATGTAAATGTTTAATGTGTGCACAAGGAAATATATTCTGAGAATTTGTGATCCTTTTTTCTCGCTGTCTGGGGTGTGTAGCTGTAGTTGTTTGTGCACCGCGCTGTGAAATCGGTTTGATTCCGACCCACGGCGCTCTCCCCACTGCACACACGAAGCATCAAGGCCTCTCACCTGTCCAGGCCTCTCACCTATCCAGGGTTTCTGACCTGTTCAGGGTTCTCACCTGTCCAGGCCTCTCACCTATCCAAGGGTTTCTGACCTGTTCAGGGTTCTCACCTGTCCAGGCCTCTCACCTATCCAAGGGTTTCTGACCTGTTCAGGGTTCTCACCTGTCCAGGCCTCTCACCTATCCAAGGGTTTTTGACCTGTTCAGGGTTCTCACCTGTCCAGGCCGGCATATGAGAAACTTTAAGCTCTCGCTGTACACCTCCGAGTTCTCGATCGAACAATGCATCCGATTCGCAAAAAATACGTGCTCGCGTTAGAAACTGTTCTCATATTCACCATTGGAACCTCGTTTGCCAGTAGAAAAATATGATGATTGTTTTTTTACCCTTTTATCTGGCAACAAAACTGACACCTTTTTTTTTACAAGGAGTCATGTTTGCATTGATCACAATACCTGCGGTCGGAATGCAAACAAAAAACACAACTCTGATAATGTATGCACTGTCCTTTTGGCGTCATCTGGTCCAACACCATGTGAGACTAGGCTCTAAGAAAAGCTGTCTCGAGTGTGGACCAATCAACTTCAAGGACAGTGCATACATTATCAGAGTCGTGTTTTTTGTTTGCATTCCGACCGCAGGTATTGTGGTCAATGCAAGCATGACTCCTTGTAAAAAAAGGTGTCAGTTTTGTTGCCAGATAAAAGGGTAAAAAAACAATGATCATGTTCTCATATTATTATGCTGATCGACATGATGCGGTACTGACAGAAATAAAAATAAAACGTTGTAGAAATAACGTCTGCTGTTTCTCTCCTACCTAGGGAGAAGTGAAGGTGGAGGAACCGGGTAGCTGCTGCCCTGTGTGCAGGAAGGAGGTGATCGGTAGGTTCTGATGCACGCCCTCCACACTGCTGTGTATCATCATCGCCTTATCTAGTAGGGGCTGCCGCAGAAAAAGTATCGCCAATTTCATTGTGATGTTCGCTCACATCGCTTCTGGTCTCGGGGGGGGGGGGGGATAAATGTGCAGCCGTAGATGCTGTTTTCGCCAAAAGACTGACGCAGCGATTTTTTCCGCGTCTTATTTGATTGCTGCACAGATGTGTGCACGTGACATTATTTAGTTGGACGGCAATTTCCTAACGCTGGCAAACCGAATTTTGATGTCGTGTAAATGTCGCCCTTGATTGTTACATCCCGTCTCATATTTGGCTGGATGGAGCCTCAGATGGCACCTCACTCCATCAGCGGTTAATGCCGTAGAGGCCTACGTGAGATTAAAGATATTGTGAAAAATCATAGCGTCTCCAGCCACTCGTGCAGCAACTGACAAACCGTCATGGCAATGCAACTTCATTTACATGGGTCTGTATATTATGTTAATTGAGACGGCTTTAAGAAGTTAAGTGATTTATGGTTTGTTATTTAGTTTACCGTAATGTGTGTACTTAAATGCCGAGTACGATTTATCCATCACTTTAACAATTTTCTGTCGCATTTGCTGAATTCAATATTCGACTGAATTATTAATTATTATTTTAATATTACAATAACAGTAGTATTTGCCATGCATATTTAGGCTTTTGTCGGTCTCACAATACCGAAATGACAACGCACCCTCTTCTTCACGCAGTATGTGCGTATGATATATCCACATCCATCCATACTGATCTTGTCAAAGGCACTTCACATCACAGCAGTTGAAGGTTACAGGATAGGATAATGCACTTCTATTCAATTACCCCCTTTACATTATTCAATCAGTTAATTAGTTCACTCGCTTGGCAGTTGCAGCAGCAACAGTGGCTTCAGCGTGACAGCCTGCTCGATCTTGTGCCAGGGTTGCTCACTTATTGGTTGGCATCCCACTTTGGCTCGCCCGACCACACGCAGATGAGCAGGCGGACGTGTGCCAGCGCTACACAGAAGTGCGTAACATCACCAAAGGCCTGTGCCACATCGCGGGCGTGGAAGTGAGCTACTGCCGGGGGAGGTGTCCGTCGCGCACCGTCGTCATACCACAGGTGAACGTCATACCGCATGCGCGCTATCCCTCTCGGCCTCGTCACGGGAGGATGAAAGCGCATCAGCCAGACTCCCGCGCATCAGAGGGGTGACGGCTGCCCGTAATGCACCGTTCTCTGCTCACTGCCAGGCCTTTGGTTCAAATTCCCTTCATCCTGTCCGATCTTGAGCTGTCTCCATAACGCCCCCCCCCCAACCCCTTTCCATCAAGTTGTTAAGCACCAACCTTCCTTTCTCTGCTTTCTCTGCTTCTCTCCCAACATCCTTCTCATGTCACGTGTAAGGCGCCTTGTGAAGTGACTCCTTCACAAAAGGGGTGACGTGAATGTGATGTTCATTAAATCAGTGGCTGCCTGTACATGACAGCTAATTTGCGGACTGATCCATCTTTGTGTTTTTTTTTCCATGAAGATAGCATGGCGAGAATTGCGGTGTGTGTTGGGAAGGGAGGTGGTGCGGGTGGAGGGGGTTGCGGCCAGTGCCAACTTGGACAGAATGAAAAGCTCATCCCCTAGTATTAAATACTCAGGCATCTGGTAGCTGTCATTGTTACACATGAGAAGAAGGTGATGCGATTTAAATTGACCTGCGCACTTCCAAATCCTACAGCGCCTGTTGCACGACGATTATGCATCAGTGTCAATCGATTAGCAGCCCTTGGCTGATAATCACCGTGTGCCTTTCTCGCCCCCATAAACCAATCGGTATAATACCTTGAAATGATTGCCGTTTACAACTCTAACGACAACGTGCGAGCACAACTCACTTCAAGGTGGTCTGTGAAAACTTTAGCATTCAAAATAAGCATGTATATCCTCAAACAAGGATGGAAGCGAGACTCTTTCTCCAATCGGAGTCCTGAAATGGTGGTGGAAATGACACATTGTACGAATGACTTTATGAACGTGAGTTGGGCATTCTATAACCACCTCTCCATCTGGCCGGACTGTGGATGATCAGGAAAATATTCAACCCTGATGCAATGAAGAGTAAGAGACTACACAAATTTTTCTATATATTTACTTGTTGATTTGTCACCACTTCGTGGAACAACGAAAAAAGCAAACTAAGGCCGTTAAATCGTCTATTCAATACCAGTAACCACGAAAACGTTGCTGCTAAAAGAACTGATTACCGGTTTGCTGCACACACAGTACAGTATAGAAATATATTTCTGGCAATAAGCATTTCGGTATCACCTTTTTAACTGCGATCTGATTGCAGCTGCCACAGTTGTGTAATGGTCAGCGAGCCGGACTGGAACTGCAGAGGGTCACCGGTTCCATTCCATCTCGCCTGTCCGGCACTTGAAACAACGGTGCAAATCTTGACCTAAGGCTTTCGTGACTGCAGGAATTCATATTCGTAGGTCTTTCGGTAAAGTCACGTAGATAGGTTCAAAAGAAAATAACAAGAAATAACAAAAAACTACGACGAAAACTACGAAACCAATACCTAGGCCGTGGCTGATCATTGTTTTAACGCGGTGGGCTCACACGAAATTGATTTATCTCAGACGAAGGTACTTTGCAAGCCCACTGGCTATCAACAAAGATTCGTTCATGAAGCCATCCAGATATATAGACACAGACACAATTTCAACCGAGAAGATGGGTACAAACTGAGCAATAATTGGAAGGACGTTATCAACAAGTTTAAGTCATAACTGGCTGTGATGTTCTCATCCTACCTGCCATTAACATGCTAGTCTCTCATTAACATGCTAATTTTCACCTGGCAGCCCTTTGATTGGTGGAAAACCATCCACCGTTGGGTTGGCTGCCCACCACTTACATTATCATTGGCTGCTGACATTTGGGCTATGCCCATTTCAAACCCCTTATAAACAGTTTGCCTTGGAAACTAACCCCCCTTTTCCTGAAGACGATCGCTTGTGTTGCGATCGAAACGTCGTCGTTTTTTTTTTCTTTTTGTTATTTTCTTTGAGCCTACCTATGTGACTTTACCGAAAGATCCAAGAATACAACGGTGCAAATAAAAAATAGTTTTAATCACCCCCAGACGCGTCGTGTTCACCTACAGTTGAGTCGACCGGCGGGTCTCGTGCGGTCGTGGGGTAAAGTGTGGGTATGCCCCCCTGAAACAGACTCAACAATCGATTTCTGTCTTAATTTGGAGCTTTCGTGACTGCAGGAATTACTCTTTGGTTCTTTCGGTAAAGTCACGTATAAAGATACATCTTTAAATCTTTATACGTGACTTTACCGAAAGAACCAAAGAGTAATCGATTTCTGGTTCATGACCTTCTGAACCGACAGTACATTTTCAAAATGGCTGCCGGTTATGGTGGCTGTCGTTTATTAACCCTAAAAGAAAACGAAGGTACGTCTGGCGTTGCCTTCGCCATTTCTTCTGAATAAATTGCTCCCCGCTATGCGTCGGTGTACTCTGCACACTGTGCAATAAACCAGACACGGCTCACCGGACATTCACGGGGTGGAAATTGTCAGCAAGCATACATTTTTAATGATCAATTTCACATATTGGCCAACCTCTGTCTTTCCCTGATGGGCACCTGTACTGGAATAACATCAATCGATGGTCACATCGTTATCGCAATGCCAGTGCTTTCCATGTGCAAGCACCGCTCATTGCTCTGCAAAGACACCCTAATTGAATGGTACGATTTTTATTACGATTCAGATATTTATTATATATTTATTATATATGTCTGTAGATATTTTTTTTACCCAAGAGAAAAAAAACATGTGGGAGTATGTTGACTATTGCTTACAAATGGTCCATCGTTTGCCTTTATTTAACCCACCGTGAGCTCAATGAGAAGTAAGTGCCTTGCCAGGTACGCCTGGGTGACACCGCACAAAAAAATCAAATTGTACCAAAGGATATCCAGTCGCCGTGTCAAAATATATCGTCCAGAAACATCCCACGTGAAAAACGTGTGAGATATTGCACACGTAAAAAAAAAAAACGTAAGATGTTAAAGGTTTTAATTATCTCGGCACCCCAGGCCTCCAATCTCCCCCCCCCCCATCCCCTAAGACTTTGTACTGACTTTAATTGACCCAATGTTCTGAAAAATATTACACTCAAAACGATTGGGCAAGGATGTGATTCACTTCGTGCCGAATGGATGTGTTGTTTATTTTGATGTTTTCTTTTGCAGACATGCAAATCTAGTGCCTTTAAAAGTTACGAACATGAAAGGTTTTGGAATAATTGAGTCAGGTGTCACTGTTACATGACGCCCTTTGAAATCCTGGCCCACGTGCCGAGTTTCACGGGTGTACATGACCAGAATTCTGTTCTCTATCTCCATACATAAATAACATTACGTTATTTTCTATGGTTTACTCTCCAACGCAGCACTGGTGTGCTGTACTAGTGTAATGCGGGCGTAAATGGGCGGGGCGGATATGACGATCCGAGAGGGAGGAGTCAGGGTCACGTGGGGGAGAAGTTATAGCGGGGAGACAGGAAGCTATCTGGTCAGTCGGGGGAGTGAAGGGTGGTGAACACGTTGGGTGGTCGCCGTGCCTCAGCCTGGTGGCTGAGGGGCTCATGACGGCGCCAGCCAGCGGGGTGGAAGAGAGAGTGGAGGATTGAGGTTGGAGTGGCGAGATAGCCACAGAGGCCACGAAGGGCTGAGGTAGGAAGTGGCGAGATAGCCACAGAGGCCACGAAGGGCTGAGGTAGGAGATGGCGAGATAGCCACAGAGGCCACGAAGGGCTGACGTTGGGAGGTGGCGAGATCGCCACGCACGGAGGAACAGGGAGCAGCGATGGAGCTGCTGTGAGAGCAGCCAGAGGGCTGCACCAAGAGCCTGCAGCGGAGCTGCAGGAGCGCGGAAGGCTACGGGAGCGAAGGCAGATGTGGAGCTGCCAGGCAGAGAGTCTCAGGAGGAGTGCCGTGAGGGAAGGAGAACGCGAACCCCAAATAAAGGACACGGAGTCAGAGAGAAGCGTCTGAGTCCTTTTATTACACTAGTAACGAATTGGCATGTTTTGTTCACGTGACAAACCTTACTAATTGGCTGTGTCGGGTAGTGGTGGAGTTAACGGCATAATTATATTTACGCGATCTAACCCAAATAAATTCTAGATTTGAAGTTTTTTGTGACTGCAAGGATCCATATTCTTTGGTTTTTTCGGTAAAGTCACGTAGGTAAAAAATAATAAAAATGAAAACAACTAAATTAAATCATAAGCCTCCGGAGGCTTGTGTTGCTTCTGAAACGTCGTGATTAAATGTAGTTGTTCTAATTTGTTGTTTTATTTATTTAATTTGTGATGTAATTTAGTTATCATTTTTATTATTTGTTACCTACATAACCCAAAAACCCCTCTATTTTGGATGGCATTATTTATATATTTAGCACATAAGCCTATTTGCTCTTCAGACAGATATCTACAGGCATCCATGTACGCAAGCAGAGTACAGCATGTATAAAATAGGTACCACTTTGTGAAAGGTCGACAATGATTGTCCTCGGGATAGACTTGCACTAATCTTTGGAATGTGGAATGAGTACCAGGGTCCCAGGTCTGCAGAGGTAGAGAGATGATCAATGGCCCCACTTGAAGAAATGATGCAGTTTGATTATTCTTGTTTTGCTTCAGAAACGACGAAGGTTTTGGTGTTGGCTTTGTGATTTTTAATTTCTTGTAGTCTGAATAAATTGTTTCTGTCATTGGTTGCTGTACTCTGCCAGGAAGTGCAATCTATGTGAAATTTAATGAAAACTAAACTATTTGTATGTTACCAGGTAAGTCCCACTTAGCTATATAGCTCTTCTTTAGAAGCGACCTCGCCGTAAATAATAGCGCAATAAAGTGGCTTATCATGCGGAAAATACTCTAAACGCACGTTTTTACATGTGGAGTGAAAAACCGGAGGACCCTGAGAAAAATACACGCGACCACGAGGAGAGGCATCCAAACTCCAAATATACACAGCAGGCGTCAGGGTCTGGATCGAACCCACGACCTCCTGCACAACCAGGCGAGGTAATTAACATCTCCTAGCCACCGCGATGATGATGAGAAAGAGATATCCAAACTCCAAATAGACAGAGCAGGCGTCAGGGTCGGGATCGAACCCACGACCTGCACAACCAGGCGAGGTAGTTAACATCTCCTAGCCACCGCGATGATGATGAGAAAGAGACATCCAAACTCCAAATAGACAGAGCAGGCGTCAGGGTCGGGATCGAACCCACAACCTCCTGCACACCAGGCGAGATAGTTAACATCTCCTAGCCACCGCGATGATGATGAGAAAGAGACATCCAAACTCCAAATAGACAGAGCAGGCGTCAGGGTCGGGATCGAACCCACGACCTCCTGCACAACCAGGCGAGGTAGTTAACATCTCCTAGCCACCGCGATGATGATGAGAAAGAGACATCCAAACTCCAAATAGACAGAGCAGGCGTCAGGGTCTGGATCGAACCCACGACCTCCTGCACAACCAGGCGAGGTAGTTAACATCTCCTAGCCACCGCGATGATGATGAGAAAGAGACATCCAAACTCCAAATAGACAGAGCAGGCGTCAGGGTCGGGATCGAACCCACGACCTCCTGCACAACCAGGCGAGGTAGTTAACATCTAGCCACCGTGATGATGATGAGAAAGAGACATCCAAACTCCAAATATACAGCAGCAGGCGTCAGGGTCGGGATCGAACCCACGACCTCCTGCACAACCAGGCGAGGTAGTTAACACCTCGCCACGATGACACGCCACGCATCGTCTTCCGAACGCTCGTGACCTTGCACCCCTTTTGCGCGACGCAGGAGCCGTACATCGAGGCCGAGTGCGAGTGCTGCAGCTACCGGCTCGACCCCCAGCGGCCGGTGCAGTTCCTGCGCCTGGAGTGCGCCAACGGGGAGAGCGAGCCCGTCGTGCTGCCCGTTATCCACAGCTGCGAGTGTAGCAGCTGCCAGGGTGAGGCCAGCGTCGGCCACGATGGTAGCCACGGTGGGGGGGGGGGGGGGGTCACATCGCCTTGCCCGCTTGTTCAGGCTGCACAGCAGAGGTCGCAAACGGGTTTTGATTCCTTACCCGTACCTGTACCCGGCCGCACCAGGGTCGCAAACGGGTACCTGTACCCGGCCGTACCCGTACCCTACCCGTACCCGGCCGGGTACGGTACGGGTATCGGGTACCTGATTGCGACCTCTGGGATGAAGCCATGTTGCAGGCGCGGGTGGGTTGATTCTAGGAACTTGAATTGTGAGAAGAGACAAGACGTTGGGAAATTAGTAACAAACAGTTACTCACCAGTGACTCACGGTCTACCCGTACCCGGCCGCACCAGGGTAGGGTACGGGTATCGGGTACCCGGTTGCGACCTCTGTTGCACAGGGAATACGTCAACCGCAGCCCGCAGGGTGGACGTGTTTGATGATGGGGCACGGAAGCAGGGGGGTGGGGATGTGGAGGAGGCAGAGGGGGAAGTGGGAGTGCGGAGAGTGAGTGGGTGTATGCAACATTGATTTGAAGCTTTCGTGACTGCAGGAATCCATACTCTTTGGTTCTTTCGGTAAAGTCACGTAGGTCGGAAAAATAATAGATGACGACGTTTCGATCGCAACGCAAGTTATCGTCATCAGGCGTAAGCAAGAGGAGGGAAGCTGCTGATGCAGGCTGCTCTTCCACCTGATGACGATTGCTTGTGTTGTGATCGAAACGTCGTGATCTATTTTTTTTTCTACCTACGTGATCCAAAGAGTGTGCGTGTATGGAGTTCATTGTAGGTAAGGATTGGTAAGGTTAATTGTTTTTTTGCAATACCTGCAGTCTATGCAAACATGACTCCTTGTAAAAAGGTGTCAGTTTTGTTGCCAGATAGAAGGGTAAAAAAACAATTATCATATTTTTACTGGTAAATGAGGTTCCCATAGTGAGATTGGTAAGGTTGTTGTGGTTAAGGCCTGGTCCTCCCGCTTCTAGTTTAGGTACGATGACTTTCTAATTATACACAGTGATCGATGTAAGGATACCCCACTGATTTCTAATGGCCCTCTTATTTAGATATAACATCAGTGACCTCAGCTTGTATGTCTCTATGTTGAACTTCTTTCGCACCGTACGTAGCCAACCTATAATAATCGGGGGTGCGATTCGCACGGTTGGCCTAACACATTGCTCATTTCGGTAAGCTTTGTTGGAAAAATAGTGCATGGCGAGAGTGTTAAAACGTTACATCCGTCTATTGAGATTGGTTTGAGACGTGTAGAGGATTGGTATATTTTTTTTCCCTGGAATTTATCCATATGATTGTAGTGCCGTATCTATAAATGGGTCACCCCCTACTGTTAATAGTGCATGCGCACTGCATTGTTTACCATAATCTGTATCATTGAGGACATGGCCTGCCGACACCTCGAAAAATATCCACGTATATTTAATGACTCTCATTCGGCACTATTAAGGCCATTCATAGGGTATAAGATTATAAATATCGGAGTGACATTAACACGCTTCCATCGCGTGCACTGGAATAGTTTATTTATTTTTTTACGTTACTCAGCGGGCTGAATAACGTGCATCGCATTTGCACTCGGTTTTACACAATACATTTCTAATCGCGTGCAAGTGTTATAAATGTAGCGCGCGTTAATTTCTAATTGTACAAAAAAAACACAGTCATGCTGAGCAGTAGCTCAATAAAACAAATTTTGCGCTTCTCTTCTCAGGTGGTGATTTCTCCTAAACGCTGACACTGGAGGAAGAGGGGTGAAGGGTCTCGTAGACGTTCCGTGCTGACATCAGCGAAGCTTGCGAATTTATATGTCGGCATTAGTGTTCACGTTCTCGAAGTCTTTGTCGTGTCGGGCGCGCTCATGAAAACCCTGCCTCGTTTGCTTCGTGGACAAAATCCTGTGGGTTGCCCTTGCAGGAATGCTACCGTGCGATCTCAGTCATCGTCGTTTGTGTCGTTATCTTGAACGGACGCTGGCGTCGCGCATCGAAGAGCTGCCCTCTCCGATTGTGTACAACGCCGCACTGCGTAACGTGACGGGACTTTTAATCATTGCGGATGATCGCTTCTTAGTTGCTATTTACCCAGCAAAGAGATGGATGCTCTGCATCGGTTTAGCAGTCATCCTTATATTTTCCGGTAAGATCTAGACGTGGCAATATTTTTCTGTAGCGCGAGGAGCGTCGCCCTTAAGAACATGAACAAGTTGTGGCAGGCCTTGGCTTTCGCACAGAAACGCCTCCGTAGATTTTCACGCGAGTGTTGGCAGCCTTACCTTTTTTCCACTTTCGCACGCGAGCGTCGTTGGCATTACTTCGCCTCAATAAAGCAGCAAATATGAAATGCGTTTGTCTTCTCAGACCTGTGTGGTTTTGTTGTTGTTGTTGTTGTTGTTGTCGTTGCATGAATTGTATTGTTAAAGGTAAAGGTGCAGCCCTGCAAGATTCCTGCTCGCGTGCTGCCGGAAGGTTCCTCCGTACCCTCAACTCCGACGGAGCACCGTCTCTAGTTCCACTCGACCCGGCGTGGGCATCCAAAATAACAAGGAGAGACATACTAATAGGGATTTTCCCCTTTTTTCTGGCAACAAAACTGACACCTTTTTGCAAGGAATCATGCTTACATTAACCACAATACTTGCAGTCAAATGCAAACAAAAAAACAATACTCTGATCATTTATGCATTGTCTTTGAAACTGATTGGTCCACATCAGAGACAGCTTCAAAGACAGTGCATACATTATCAGAGTATTGTTTTTTGTTTGCATTTGACTGCAAGTATTGTGGTTCATGTAAGCATGATTTCTTGCAAAAGGTATCAGTTTTGTTGCCAGAAAAAAGGGGAAAATCCCTATTAGTATATTTTGGTTACTGGCAAAGGAGGTCCCATGAAAGAGAGACATTTTTTATTTAAAATTCGGTAAAAAAAACACCCTCAATATTTCAAGAGCCAAAATGCGATGTGAGTACGAGAGACGGCGAGTTCTTCGTAATTAGCATCGAGTAGCAGTTCGTAAAGAGTTACCGCAGGCGCCTCGCAACTGCAATTTGCCGACCCCTGCACTGGAAAGTGCTCTGCGTGACTCTTCAGTATAGTTTGGCCTGCTTGTCCACGCGTTGCGCACATGCATGCAGCATTTTACAAAAACAATCGCGAATGGCTTTAAACGCTCAACGCAACGCATCGTAAAGGTTGAACACAATTTTAAACGCGAGCCGCTGTCTATAAACTTGCCCAAGGTTTGCGCTACTGCCCAGATAGCTGTTGACAACTGAGACGAGGACTATTTCTCTTTTTTTCAAAACTGTACGCTCTAATGAGCATGCAAGCTACAAAAAAATAAAAAATTGTGGAGTAAATGTAAGGATTTGGTTCTGCGCACGAGAAAAGATTTCCTCGGTAGAACGCAACACTGCTGTGCAATGATGTACGCAAAGCCATCGACAATGGAGGGGGTGCTCACAACTGTCTTCGTAAAAATGTCGTGTCCTCGTGTGTTGCACTGATGCCAGGCCATTTGCACATTGCATAACTCCATCGGATAACACGCCGGAGAATTTGGTATATATTTGAGCTCGCTAAAAGCACTTTGCAGTTAACAAAGCAGCAGCTTTTAATAATTGTTCAGTCGTCCTATAAATGTAAGAGTAGTTTTTCTTTTACATTTTGTAAAAAGAATGGTGCTAATTAGAATAGCGCTGAATAAAAAAATCTGCAATGTTCCATTGCGATAATTTTAGTGACTTTTTGCCCATAATACGAGTACAATACGCTCCGAGAGCAGACAATTTGCCAGCTGCATCGCCGAGTGAACGGGGGCACAAGTAACTAGTGAATTTCACGTCAGAACGTGTCGGAGATAAAAAAAATAAAAAAGATGCTTTGGCCAATGCGCAATTAACCGTTAACCATTGCGAATCCAGAGCTCGCCAACTCCTGATACGACAAACTGCTCCCACACTTCAATTTTACATTCAAAGCGCTCGATTGTAATTTTTTTTTTACATATAAATATAATATTGGATCGCAAGAAAAGCATTTCTGAAGACGAGTAGGAAATGTCAAGGTGATACAATGTTGACGTGGCCTATAGATCTTCATAGGCCCCCGACAGATTATAGTAAGTCTGTGTATAATTGCCCGATGTGTATTTGGGTTGTGCCGTATGTTGTTCGGCGTGACGTCCAACGTTTTTCTCCACGTGCTGTTCCCGAAGAAGCTTCGAGTGAGTGGAGTGAAACGTCGGACAACGTGCCAAACAACGCCGCGGTGCAACCTGCAAACTCATCTGAGGGCTGCAGAGCAGAACCGCAACAACAACAAAAACACAAAGAAGCAATATGTCTCGATTTAAAGTTTTCGTGACTGCAGGGATTCATCTTCTTGGTTCTTTCGGTAAAGTCACGTAGAAGGGAAATAATAAAATAAAAATAAAACAATAAAATAATTCTCACGACGTAAAAATAAAACGTAAAATAATTCTCACGACGTTTCGGGGAGACAGCACTATCTCCCCGACAGACCTGGTCTTCACCTGAGGACGGCTGCTTGCGTTGTGACCGAAACGCCGTGAGAATTATTTTATTATGTTTCATTTTTATTATTGTATTACTTCCCTTCTACGTGACTTTACCCAAAGAACCAAGAAGAAGCAGTAAGTCGTAGCAGTATAGGCAGACGTGTCTGTCAGCAATAGTGCAACAGCACACTTGATCGTAATACAACATTGAACACTAATTTTTTATTCTCCCACTTCCATTCAGAATATATGGATACGTTGCTTTTATTGGCACGTACCAACCGGGGGTGGGATGAAACACAAATTTATTCCACTTGATGAGTTTGTCACACGTTCAGTCGTGGATTAGGCCCCCCCAAACACAGATTAACGCGACTTATAACCCGTGCCAAGAGCAGGTGGTGTAACAGCGCAATTAATGTTATCAAAGAGATTCGAGACCAGCTGTTGGATAAAAATAATAATAAAGGAGCTGTTTACAAGCATAAATTAAGCACTTCAATTGTGGTATGGTCCATCAATCGCTCTATTCAAAAAGGGTGATACAACTGATATGACGAATTACAGACCCATTAGCGCCGCTTATCATACACACACACCACATATATGAATTATACACGGAGATCATTGGGAATAGAGTAATGGACATTTTAAAGGCCAGCCAGTCACGTGATCAAGCTGGATTTATATAAAAAAGGGAGTTTTCTGCTGTTGACCACAGATGTACGATCAATCAGATTCTAGCAAAGACGAATGAATGCGAAGTTCCATTATGGCTTGGCTTTTGTAGAATAATAGCAATGATAATAATGAAAGAATGTGTTTCATTAATCCACAATTGAAGTAGTGACCCATTCTCTTAAAAATAAGCAAGACTTTTGATAAATACACAATAGCAATGATCAACACCGTTAATGAAGATGGGACAGCTACCCTGAGATGGCCTGCAGAAAATGATCAACTTACAAATGAGAAGATGCGTCGGGAAAGGAAGATACGCTCTCAACGAGGCCATTCAAAGCGACACTCGTAAATAACATCCAATAGCGGTGTTGGTGATATAAAATTGTTAACCATCTCAGGATATCTGATGACATAGTCGTTCCTATGGCGGGGGGGTGGTGAGTTTCCGTGAGAACAACTCTTAAGTGGAACTTTAAAGACTGACCACAACTACGGCTACTCTGAGAAACACTAACACCCGAGACGTCGTAGCTGACGCGGCTAATTGCTGCATCAATCACGCTTTGATCAGCGCTTGTCAAGCAAGAGTCGCACAGTTCCAGAACCTTGCACGGTGGAGTTTGAGAATGGCCCTTGCTGACACAGCACTCTCCAACTCAATGTGACTCGATCAGCGATCTGCTGCTGTACAGCGGCATGGGGCCCAGGGAATGATGACCGCAGGGGGCAGGCAGAGTGGCGTGCGGGGAGCTGTAGCGCAGAGGTTAACGCGCTGCGCTACAAACCCAGCGGCCAACACCAGTGACGATTTCATAGTGCAGGGGTTTTTTTTGTTTGGGGTTAGATCGCGTAAAATATATAAATGTGTCGTTAAACCCGCCACCACCCGACACAGCCAATTGGTATATATTTACGCGATCTAACCCAAAAAGAAAACTCTATTATGAATGATATTGGTCGCGAAAGCCCTCTACTTGTTAAACTGACCGGTGACGATTATCTGAACAGGTCCTGCGCCTCCCCTAGGTCGACTCTGCCTCAGAATGTAGTACCTGGTGCGCTGTGTAAACATCGGAGGGAGACAATGGCAAGCCACCCCCATTGCGTGCCTTGCCGGCCTTCGTAGGTGCTCGCGAATGGCACTTTGTCCATAAATTCTGGCAAAGGCTGCACGGGCTATCTTTGTCTTTTGTGGCAGCGCTAGCTATGGGAGATCTGTCCGGGTGCCACTGTTTGGGAGAGCGCTTCAATCAGAATGGGCTGATCGATTCAGCCCATCGCATCTTTGTGAACAGGCAGCCCTTATGCGTTAAAAGGGGGGGGTGGGGGTGTTGTTTCTGTCTCTACTTCAACATGATGGTCGGTGCAGGCTGGTGAGAGCAGGGACCATAGATACGGAAGCATCGCAGTTGAAGGGCAGCAACTGATACCAGAGGTGTGGACTCGAGTCATGTGACTTGGACTCGAGTCAGACTCGAGTCATGAATTTGATGACTTCAGGCTCGACTTGGACTTGCATAACAATGACTTTGTCCCACCTCTGAGGTGTGGACTCGAGTCATGTGACTTGGACTCGAGTCAGACTCGAGTCATGAATTTGATGACTTCAGACTCGACTTGGACTTGCATAACAATGACTTTGTCCCACCTCTGAGGTGTGGACTCGAGTCATGTGACTTGGACTCGAGTCAGACTCGAGTCATGAATTTGAGACTTCAGACTCGACTTGGACTTGCATAACAATGACTTTGTCCCCCTCTGAGGTGTGGACTCGAGTCATGTGACTTGGACTCGAGTCAGACTCGAGTCATGAATTGATGACTTCAGACTCGACTTGGACTTGCATAACAATGACTTTGTCCCACCTCTGAGGTGTGGACTCGAGTCATGTGACTTGGACTCGAGTCAGACTCGAGTCATGAATTTGATGACTTCAGACTCGACTTGGACTTGCATAACAATGACTTTGTCCCACCTCTGAGGTGTGGACTCGAGTCATGTGACTTGGACTCGAGTCAGACTCGAGTCATGAATTTGATGACTTCAGACTCGACTTGGACTTGCATAACAATGACTTTGTCTCACCTCTGACTGATACTATGCCGGTCCATTCCGCTGCCGATCAGCTTGGGCCGTG